GCCTTCTGGCTGTCAGCGACTTACACCTCAATGATAATGCACAAAGCCTTTCCAACTGTCATAGTCATGGAGACGTCGAGTATGCCAACCTGCTGGCCCTTTTACAACTTTTATTGACCGCCCATTACTCAGATACTGCTTTGGTCCAAATGGACAAGAGACTCCTATCGCAACGCATGCTTCTGGCCCTTCAACGACCCCTAATCACGCCAGCGTATCCCCAACCGCCACAAACGCGGCTCAAACTACTGCCATCACCGGCTGCCATTTGCACGCTACCCAAACGTATGCATTTCCATGTCAGTTGGGCAAAACGCTTTAGCTAACGAGCCGAGTAGATTTTGCATTGGTGGGGACGGTAAAGAGGTCCAGGTAACTGGAACCGGGAAACCCGCTGCTACACCACCTGCTCAATATACAGACTGTCATAATCATGGCAGTACACTGTACGTTATATCTAAATCTAACCTGCTAAGATTTTTCGAGGTGCTAATACCATATTGCAACCTAGATATTGTGTAAGCCCCGATGGTGATGAAGTCCGAATCCTGGCAGCGGATGCACCCAGTCCACCGGCTGGCCATGATGAACATGACCCTGAAGAGTTGAACTGTCATTTCCATGCCGGAGTGGAGTAAGCCATTCCAATACGTCAACCTTTTATAAACGAACGGCGATGCTAATTATCCAAGGCACTGCGTCTCAAAGGATGGATCCGATGAACCAAAAGTCTCTTGTGACCGAGTTGACCGCGACTATAATGTGCCATACCGAATTGGCTCGCTTTTTGCCATCCTCGTCACAAGTGGCATTGGTGTTTTCCTTCCCATAGTTTGGAGACGATTTTCACCCTCAAAAACAAATGCGGCCGTTTTTCTTATTCTTAAGCAATTTGGTACAGGTATCATGGTGGCTACTGCTTTTGTCCATGTGAGTTATATGAGATCGCGACTTTAACAAGAAATTTCTCGTGCCTAATACTTGATTAGCTCCTGACTCATGCTCAACTTATGTTCGCCAACAAATGTCTTGGGACCCTCAAATACGAAGCCACTACTACCGCTATAATGATGGCTGGCTTATTTACGACGTTCATGATGGAATATGTTGGTACTCGAGTGATAGACGCGAGAAACCGTTCGGGATCCGACACTGAAGGATCGATATCCAGCTCAACGGCACAAACAGGCCAGAAGGATGAACCTGGAGTGTGTGCTATGGGTCCTGAAGCTTCTCACCAGCACTTTGCGCCAAATGATAAGTTAAGCGTCGCTCTTTTGGAAGCCGGCATAGTCTTCCACTCTGTTAGTAAGTGATATCCTCAATACTATTGCTCAGCTAGAATTAGCCTAATCGTCGGCACAGTTCTCGGTTTAACTCTTGTGGTCGCTGGAGACTCGGCATATACTCCTTTATTTGTTGTAATAATCTTCCACCAAATGTTCGAAGGCTTGGCCCTTGGTACCCGAATTGCCGAACTTGCTAAAACGACGATGGCCATGAAACTCTTGATGGGGACTATTTTTATGTGTATCACCCCCCTGGGCATGGCGGTTGGAATAGGCGTTCGCCATACATTCAATGGAAATGACAGAGGCACGATCATTGCTATTGGTACCCTTGACGCCTTCTCTGCTGGCATCTTGACTTGGGCAGCCATTGTCAATATGTGGAGCCACGATTGGATATTCGGTGAATTTAGACAGACCGGGGTCCTGAAGACTTGTTTGGGTCTGCTTTCCCTTGTTCTGGGTATGGTTCTCATGTCGGTATTAGGGAAATGGGCTTGATCATTGGATATAACATAACATATGGAGTATGGAGTCTTTGTTGTTTCGCAGAGCCTGCGCATGTCTTTTTGATATTTTAGATACAGGAATGCAGCGCTTGATCAGGAATATTCCTGGTGGAATTCAGCCTAGATTGGCTTCCTTCGCTAGACACATATTAAAAGAAATAAGAATTATCCGAGGAGTCAAATTGGATTCCATTATGAGGCTAGTTTCATGGAACCTTGGCCTTTTGGGCACCATTCTTGAGGAAGATGGAACTCTTGCAGCTGGTTTGACTGGCCAGTGCATCAACATGGCCGAAAGCACTCAAAACTACTTTGATAATGAATGTTGAAGAATGGAAGGCGTACAAATATGATATGGCTATATAGTTTATTACGTAATCTAGTTAGCTAGTTAGTTCCAACAATCTAATTAACTAGGAATTGTTCTTGAAACTTTTCTTTCAGCCGGACATTTCTCAACCGCAGTGTCAAGCAAACACAGCAGGCCATGTCTCACCCAGATGACCTTCTTTCCAACCTCGAGCGCCAACGCCTCCAGCTAGAGCAGCAAATTTCCGAGCTCCAACGATCTGTCTATAACTGGCGCCTGTGGGATGCTGAATATGACGGGTTGCGGGAAGAGCTCGACGCCCTAGGTGATAGCAGCACCAAAGATGATATTCTCCGCACGACAAACGAATTCGGCGGCTCTCTGGTTACTGAAGATGAAATCAGAAATCTCCTTGGAGAGCCACAGGGCATCACCCGGTCTCGGAAGCAGGTTATGGAAATACTGGGGCGCAGGGTGGACTATGTGCGAGACAATATCAAGACGTTAGAGAAGCGGATCAGGGTCGCTGAGGACAAATTACTCAAAGTACTGGTGGTTGAGCAGCCGGGTGGGGATGTTAATGAGGAAGGGCTGCCGATGACTGACATTGTTGAGCAACTGGACGAGGAGGGAAGGGTTATCTCGGGTTCTACTACGACTCCTGGGAGGTCAGCAGAGGAGATCTTGGAGGTCCTTAAGAAAGCAGGGGTCAAAGATATTGCGGAAGGTGATCGCGAAGAGCCACCATCAGCGGAAACAAAGGAACGACCGGATTCGCTTGCGGTGGACAATGTGTTATCGAAGGCAGATGTCGATGAACTATCCACGTCAAAACCTGCTGATGGTTATACCTCAGCCGATTCAGGGTCGAATACTGCCAAGCTTGGATCGAATCCAAGCGTTCAATTCTTCCCAGGCACCAGAGACAAGAAAGAGGATATTCAAACGACAGACATAGACGAGTCACCTGAAGATGCGGCACTTCGCAGAGAGATCCTCCAATACGGCCTTGAGGAGGTTGGGGCTGTGGTCGCAGAACTAGAAATAGATGAATCGGCGAGCGAGTTTTCAATATCCGACGAAGAGTACGATGACTATTTGGTGAGTGATGAGGATGAGGAGGAAGATGAATATGGACGGGCTACAAGGCGAGTCATCTCCGATGATTATCATAAGCAGATGCGAGAACTCGAAAAGAAACTAGGCGCAAAAAGTTTGCACAACATTGGCCCTGATGTGAGCGGTTTGCCTCCTGAGATCCGACAGGGTTTAGAGGAACAAGAGTCAAAACATGGGAAAGGCGAGACAGAGCAGGGAAAGCCAACGAAGAAGAAGCAGAAGAAAGTTGCATTTGCGGACGAGTTGGATATCGCACCAGAGACACCCATCGCCGCTACAGCACCTAACCCTGTGAAAGTAAAGGCGCATGAGCCTCCCGCTATCCGCGACGTAATAATGGAGCATACTAGCACGACAAAGGACACCGCTGTGGCAGAGTCCAAGCCAAAGAAAAAGATCTCCCGTTTCAGGAGTGCGCGAACAGGGGAGGAGAGCGCTGCTTCAGAGCCCATCTTTGCATCTATGAGCGCAAACCCGCCCACCCTGGACGGCCCTATCGGTTACGCTGGGATCGCTGCATCCCAGTCACCATCTCACTGATCCGCAGCTAAGAGCGATCCCGATCCAGAAACCATATTCGCAGACCAAGTAGAGACCCGGAACTAGTACTCAAATCTTCTAAGCGCCAGCACAATGTCTGAGAGACTCGTGGCACGAGATGTTAGCGATACTTCGGCACACGTCCCCGACTCCAATGACCTTGACGAAGCTCTCCTTAAGCGAGAAATCGATACGGAATTCTACAAACTGCGCAACCGGAAAAATCCAGCAAGAAGGTGGGTTCATGCGAGAAGACGAGGATGATCCGCAATCCGTCCCGCTTGACGATGAGTATCAGTCTAGCAAACCGCGGATGAGCCGGTTTAAATCTGCTAGGGTAACAGGGAGCCTAGGGAAGTGAAACATAATCTATTTTGACATTGGTTATAGTTGCATTTCATATAATGTGATTGCCATAATAGACCTAGAATACCTACTCATTTTTCTCAGACTTCTTTTCCTTGTTTTGTGCCTTTTCCCAGGCATATCAAACCTATGCGGAACACTTAAAAAGGCAGACATGGCGGGTTATGCGGTCAATTGGTGGCTCCACTACATTGATTTGACCTGCTCGGCTGCCTTTTATTCCGGTCAGTCTCCATGTCCCCCATCAATGGACTGGCCTGGATACAATTGTTCCAAGATCAACTTTTCATAGTGGGCTCTCTGACTGCCTTACCCATTCCATCTGTGACTGGTGTCTTCCCTCTGGGAAGATGGGCAGTCGTGATGGTCCCTTGTGGGATTGTTGGTTACGTTTCACCCCCTACATCCGTCCTTCGTGGGCTTCTAAGAAGTTACTGGTTATCACGACCTGTATATGAAAATTTGCGAATTAAATAGCTCATGAACCATCTAAATATTTGATCACGTAATATCTCATCAAATCATAAACCGAAACATATAAACATCATACATCAAAAGGGGAGTGGAGAGTGCTAAAAGAATCCCGCCGCTGTAAGACAGAATTCCTCGAGCCGAAAGGCAATAGACATGATAATAACATGCACCGTCATCGTAAGTATATGTGCCCAAGTCTGTGTAGTGCCCAGATCAGCTACCGCAAGAATGATAAGTGGGTAAAAAATCCAAGGATTCACGGCAAGTGGTGAGCAAGGCTGGGTTACGGATAGGATCTTGAGGAAAGAAAGGGCTATAGCAACATAGTGATTAGTTTGATGGCGCAAGAGATTTTGAACTGAGAAGCGAGTTGGTGGTGGTAAAAGGAGGTGGTTGGTAGCATGGATCCGCTGATGGTCGGCAAGCGGTTGATTAGTAGGTAAGCAACGATGGAGGAAAGCACTGGTCTCAGATGGATGGCGTTGTTCCCTTGTTTCAGGGGTTGGTTCGGACGCCCGTCTAATATCGAGTATGTTGTTAGTGCCGTAGCCAGGAGACTGGCGTGTTGGGATAATCCTCGCTGTCAGGCCTCTGCTGGGACTTCTCGTTTCTGGTGTGGTGTTAGGAGATTCAGCGGCGAGAGATAGCGAATTTGAACGCATTTCTGAAGCGGATGAACCGTTTCTATGGTATCGGCGGCTATCCGGCACACCTACATTGGCCTGAATTCCGTTCAAGACATCTTCAGCGGTTGGGCGCTTGATGGGATCAACGGAGAGCAACCTCTTTAAAAAGCTGTATAACTTCTCAGGAAGCTCTGGTCTCATACGGCGAGCGTCGTCAAATCCTGCCCACTGACTTATTTCGATGCGCAGTTGATCCAGATCCTCTCTGTCTTCGTCAATAGCGTCAGCATTTCGGTACGGAAGCTGTGCAAAACAAAGAAAGTAGAGAATCATCCCTAGCGAGAACACGTCGGATTTAAACGTAAAATTTCCAAATGGCCCATCGGGGAAGGCACGCCGTAGGACTTCTGGTGCGCAATAAGAAACGGTTCCAGTGCTGCCAGTTGAGTTCCGAATGGTGTTTTCAGACTGCACTTCTCCAAAATCACTGACAAGAACTCGTAACTCGCGCCCTGTCTCATGGAGCAGGCAATTGCTAGGCTTCAAGTCTCGGTGGATGTAACCATTCGCATGTAGGAAATTCAATCCTGAGGCGATATCTTTGAAAAAGGAGTAAATCTCGTCAAAGCCAAGTTTGACGGGCCCATTTAAACCGGGAGGATCTGGTTGGCCTTTTGACCTCCGTCGCAAACGGTTTTTCAACTCCTGCGGAGTCACAGCAGGTTGAACGGAGCCGCAAATGTACTTTTGCAAATCTCCGGAGTTACAGAACTGTTGCAATATAAAGGCACATGGCACGCTGGGCCCAAATTTGCTCAGCTTGGCATTCTCAAGCCAGACATGTCGGTAGGACACCAGGTTTTGATGTGACAAACGTTGGAGTAGCTGGACTTCAATCAGTACCTTTTTTAGCCACTCGTGATCATCTCCCACAGGAACACGCTTGCAAGCATATTCGCCCAGCGAAACGCCATCGAGAACATGCTTGACTCGCAGTACCACGCCCTTACCACCTCGACCAAGCACACCCTCCTCGACAAAGAACCGTTGAAAATATCCCTGACTAAATGCCGCGGAGGAGATACCAGGCGTGCTCGGGACAGCATTATTATCATTATATGTAGAGTCTGGAGATGTGCTTTCTGAAGGCGCTGGCTGTACGAGTCGCCTTCGCGGAGACGGAGGTCCAGACCGATCCGGAGTGCTAGGAAGTTTCGCATCCAGCATACGAAAGTATTCGGGGTTAACAAATCCGGGTTGAGCGGCCGGTGTCCGTGCTCTTCTGGGTTCTACGCCATTATCGGAACCATCGCGCAACCGCTGGTGACAATAGGGGCACTCTGATGAGGGTTCTAGATTCGCTGGGGCATTGTTTGCGCTTTGAAGCATCAACTGCCTGGATGAACGGTCGAATACTACTACTGCATCGTTATGGCGACTATAGAACGTCAATGTCAGCAAGAACCGTGTTGGGATTGTTGCCACATCGCCAATTAGAGCGCCCTTACAGAACAACATCACGGCTAGAGCCGTAGGGGATAATTGACATCCGCTCATCGGGTTCAGACATTGTGTGGCAAACACCGCGACGGCGGAGGCTGATAAAAGGGACAAGAAAGATATGGTGTCATTTCCGTACGCACTTAAAGCGAATTGCCCAGCCGCTCCATTCGGATCCGCCGCTGCAGAGGAATTGAAGCTCTGTTGATCGTTGCTGACGTTCAGCGTGAGGCAAGTCGGGAGGCTGCTGTACTAATCCGGTAATCTGTATCACGTGACGTCATTGGTTGCAGGAATCACTCTTGAATTTGACAATCAGCATGAGTCTTTACAGTAATAAGCTACGGACAAATGTCTTTGATTCAATTAGACGACTATTTAGCCGTTGGTTTGACCACCTTTATGGGTACGGCACCTTGGTCATAGTGCTACTGGTCCTAATCCTGCATTTGGGAACCAAAAGCAAACGCTGCAGCGGTACGGTGGGCAGCGACATGGCGTTTTTAGGATAGCCAGGTGACTTATGTGCACATCGTTCGCTATGGCAAGGCCATGATGATCGACAGCGAACGCCCAGCATCGATCATTAGAGGCATGCGGACGATCTTTCATGATGCTTCATCTCAGCCAGCGTGAAGTAGAGCTCGAGCCAAATGGACCGAATCGAGCTACATTAGTACAGAAGAATTCAAGGCCACCAGGCTACTCTTCAACCTATGGCATCACCAGGCTCGGGAGAGGCTTTTGCCTCATTACCCGAATCACCCGCTTCTGCTTCTTCATCATCACCATCATCATCAAATCCGTCAAAAGTGTCATCGTCGGAGTTCTCCAGCGAGGATCCTCCGGCGTCGTCTTCAGGGCCATTATTCCCTGCATCTGAGATTTTCCTCTTTCGAGTGATTTCCCCTAGGCGGCCCTCGCGGCCCTCAAGTTTCTCAACCTTCTCGCCTGGTGTGTGGGGAGGGGGTGTAAACCATGGTATCTTTCCACGAAGGAAGTCATTTATAACCATTTTAGCAACGCCGTCAAGATCCGGCTCCCCTCCCTTCAAAAGCCTTCCTCCCTTTCGGGCCAATATGCTCAGGAAGTCAACTGCATCCGTATAGTTTTTGATTTCATAGGTCCGTTCGATATGTTTACGTTGAGTCCGTTTCAAAACGCCGGGGATGTATTGCTCGGGATTTTGAACGTTCTCCACGCGGACTACCCCACGGAGTAAAATGTCCTCCTCAGTATCCGTGTTGCTAGGCGGAACAACTCCTGGGCAGTCGATCAAATATATGCGCTTCATCAAGGTGATATACTGCCAAACTTTCGTTTCCCCTGGGATAGGAGCCACGGTGCAAACCTTCTTTTTCCTCAACGTGTTAATAATTGAAGACTTCCCAGTGTTCGGATACCCAATAAATCCCACAGAGATTTGTTTTCTATCCGAGTGAAGGGATGAGAATTGACGAAGCAGCTGTATCAAAGATCCTTTGCCAAAAGAATTATTGATCGAAGCATGAAATGCAAGTGTTGGATATTCCTTGGATAAAGCACGGACCCACGATGCCTGTAGTTATAACCAAGTTAGTGTCTGTGTATATGGATTGTGAAAACCGATCAAGTCAAAAGTGAAATGTGTGAAATGTAACTAAGAGTGCAACTATAAGGACACCGATGTGGCGGGAGCAGCACTCAACTCAAAACAAAACACAGCCGGCCCTATACAACAATCCTTTCAGAACGAAAGCATGTCTAACCCTGAACTTCAGAATGAAACCAAGGCAGCGGGCGGAGTCAATCTGCCAAAGCCGTAACAGACAAGCTTCCATGGAGAGAGCAGTGCTGGGCACTAGAAGTAGTCTTGACAAAGCGATGGCCTCGATTCGAATAGTATGGGACACAAGAGAAGGAAAGTATAGAAAACTCACAGCTACCCCGGTTGGCACTAGGTCGCATTTATTCAACACGAAAATTAAATGTTTGTGTGGCGCTTCTTCGCGGATGTACTTCTCAACGCTGCGACAGCGAGTGCCTTCTGGATCTCTCGCATCGAGAACATGGATAACGACGTCGGACGAATCAATTACCTTGTAGAGCTCGTTCCAAATTCTCTTACTCTGCCCCTTTGAAAAAACAGGCTCCCTAGCGCTTGTGAGCTCTCCATCGTGCTCTGCACTGTCGGCTTCGCCCGATGTTCCGCTTAAAAGCTTCGCCTGTTCCAGTCGATCTAGGTATGTGTCATGCATTTTCTCTGTTTCACCAGCGAGCTCATCCAATGTCCCGACACTGAGTTTAACTCGTTTCCTTTGTGCTTTCGGCCCAAAGGTATCACTGAACGGTGCAGCCTCCACCGCAATTTTCGCGCCGTGCTGCTTCAACCCGTTTGGAGCTTGACCATCCCGAATTAAGCTCATTGGAAGTTTATTTGTCTTAAGAAGCACTTGGTATGGGTCGGACGCCCGTTCTGCAACGGCCTCGCGGAATGAACTTAATGCCTCTTGTGAAATGACTCGAGTATTTCCGAACCATTTCCTATTGGGTTCAATTCGTGCATTTGGAATCTCTCGAGACTGGTAGGAAGCCGCTTTTGTGATTTCACCAGACGCATTTCGCTGTGCCCGGCCATCCTTAAACATATTGAGCGTCCTTATCTTCTTCGCATTTCTATAGCGTATTAGTATTCATGACATTAAACTATTTCAGGTCGAATTACTCACCTGTAGAAGTTTTCGCCTTTAACGCGGACGTTAGCCATCCCATCCCCAGTCTTCCCCTGCCGCTCTCGACGAGCGGCTTCTTTCTTGCCTGTACCCATGATTTAAAGTGAAATTCCCAGCGGATACTTCTCTAGGTGAAGGAGTGGTTGTTGAGAGAAGGTCCCTCTCAGCGACAAAATCGAAGCAGCAGCAGGAGAAAACATTTGCTGCGAAGTTTTTTGCGGTTGTGGACTTGGCGCCAAGGCATCACCCGTGCACGGACCATCCTCCAAATTTGCTTTCAACTTCGAACTTCGGTTTTTCCACCCAAAACACGAAGCAGTTTGGTCTCTTGTCAACGCAGCACAGCAGATAGACTGCTGTGTTCGTATTGGCATTTTCAATTGCTGTCATGGCGTCCTTAATTGAGTCCAGCGCCAAATCCTTGTGCCGGTCGTGCAAAACCTCCCGACTCCACACGAAGTTATTCTCCTCATCGGCCACTGCGATGGTCGGCCCCGAGTCTCCCAATTATATCGACATCCCTCGGATAATACAACCCTATCCTCCCCAGAAAAGGAAAGTCAAGGGTGTCCTTCCCGTCCCCCGTGAGATCTTCCCGCGCCGACGACCTGACAAGCCTACCAAATCTTACATCGATGCCGCAACCCCCGAACCATCCAGCAACGAACCAAAGGTCGAAAAGGACCATCCTTTTTTCGAAAAGCTCGAATGGAAGCGAAGGATGGCTGAAGTCAGGAGACAGAATTTGCGAGAGGGTCTAGTGGAGCTATACCAACGCAAACAGAAAGAAGAGGCTCAGATGCTTGCCCGAAGCAGGGCTAGACAGGCGCAGCAGAAAGTGGTTCTAAACCAACCCCCAAGAGAGGATGAGCGTTTAACTACGGCATCGGTCCCATCGGGCATCTCACTTGCCAAAACCCCGTTTCTCTCCGACCCTAACGCTAAAAACCGCCATGAAAGATCCGTTGCCAACCACCTTGTGAGGCAGGAATGGAAGAGCGAGGAAAGGATGGACGCAATCCATACATTATATATGAATGCCCGTGACTTTATCACTACCGAACAACAATTAGATGCGGAGATTGAGCGAGTTTTCCCTACTGAAAATAACCCCGATTGGGCAAACGATCAAAGGGATGGAGATAATGTTTGGAATTTGGGCCCTCCTCCAACCGTCGGTTCCTTGATGCACAGGAAGAACGATGAACACTCCAAATTCAACTTAATCCAAGATCGCACTCGGAAGATCGCAGAAGCGCTCACTGGAGGAAAGATCTAAACTCTCCCTGAAATGGACTAGAACATTATGTACAATACACAAACGCGTTGTGCTTGATCTGCTGTATCTAAATTTGTTGTCATTCGTAGGTTTATCAGCCTTTTTTCGCTTACTGTTGCACTCGTGCATCTTCAATTTTTCCAAATTGAATGAGCCACTTGTTTGACATATACGTCGAAACCCCCAGCTACGAGCCCATTGCACTAGTGTACGAGGAAAGTAAATATTTAAGAACACAATACCATGCCATTTATCGTACAGGAATAACTACCGGCTACTCCATGGGTGCAAGATGTCCAAATATTAACTTTCTACCATCCAGCCCCGGATTTAACCCCAAACCCACCGCTTTCATCCGCCTTCTTCTGTCCACCACCAGCCTTGTTAGGCTTCGACTGGGCCGCTTCATGCTTGCGAAGCTCCTCGGGAACCCGTGATATGGACGACTTCATAAGCATTTGTTTGAGATCATACCTAAGGTGGACGACGGTTAGTATCACAATAGGTAGACATGAGTTGGCAGATAAAGTGAAAAGTTCAACATACATAACATCCGAATCCTCATTTCCAAGGAACGTAATGGCCACACCACTCTTTCCTGCACGGCCTGTACGTCCAATACGATGGGTATAACTCTCGATGTTCGTCGCCATGTTGAAATTTACAACTAGACTGACATCGGGCACATCGATACCACGCCCCGCGAGGTCTGTAGCAACGAGTACGTCTGTGTTCCCGTTGCGAACGGAAGCCAAAGCCGCTTCTCTCTGTTCTTGGGTTTTGCTACCGTGTAGAGTGACCGCAGAGAATCCCATCTGTTTAATATCCCTAGCAACAGCATCGCAGTTCCTCTTGATATTAACAAAGACAATGATGGGAGGACGATACTCGCCCGATGCAAGAATATCCGCAAGTCGTTTCTTCCTCTTGTCCTCACCGGCGATGAATTCAACTCGCTGTTCCACCGTATCCACGGCCTCGCCCACATTCCCAATGGTGATAATAGCTGGGCGCCGAAGATACTTCCTCGCTATTCGTTCAACAGCAGAGGGCATGGTTGCTGTGTACATCATCGTCTGTCTGTACCGATCTTTGCCTCCAACATGCTGGCTCATTGCGCGCGGGTCCTCGGCTTCATCGGTATCGGGTTTCTCGTTTGTTACTGGAAGGGCGTCAAGAATCTTGTTCACTGGCTCTTCGAAACCAAGGTCAATCATGCGGTCAGCTTCATCCATGATCACGTAGCAGCACTGGCTGAGCACGAGGATGCGTCGCTCAATGCAGTCAACTAGACGTCCGGGAGTGGCAATGATGATTTCAGCACCGTTCCGCAAGCTGAATGATTGTTCTTCCAGGGAATGGCCGCCAACGATACTAACGACATTGAAGCCGAGGGGACTGCAAAATTTTCTCGCTTCATTCTCAATCTGCTGCGCCAACTCACGGGTGGGCGCCAGTATGATAGCGTAAGGTCCATCGCTCTTCCTCCACTCGAACTCGTCAAGGCGAGGTAACTCAGCAATATAGACGAGAAGGGGAAGTAAAAATGCGGCTGTTTTACCCGAACCTGTGACCGCGACGCCTATGAGATCTCGGTTTTGTAGTGCAATAGGGATAGCTGCTCTCTGAATCGGCGACGGATCCTTATATCCAACCTTATCAATTATCTCAAGCAACCGTGCTGGTAATGTAGACTCGCCCCACGACCGCATCGGGTTCGGTATGCTGCCGCCTTTGGTGCTGATATTGAAATCTTCTTTGAAAATTCTCCAATCTCGTTCGCGCATTTGCTCCAGCTTTTTCTGGCTCCAGTGCAAATCCAACGCATGTCGGCCACCTTCCTCCCTTCTGCGCCGTTCCATCTCAAGAATTTCTCGTGCTCTCGCACTGCCGGCTTCAAGGTCTCTATCTTCAAGAGCTCTCGCATATTTCTTCGCTGCATTATCGACCATATCATCTGCAAATCCGGCCAATCGACCGCGTCCAAAGAAATTCATCTCAGATCGGTTCTGGTACAACGGATTATAATCCGGGCTGGTATCTTCCTCCACATTCCATTCGAAATTAAACTTGCGCTCCGTAGTTCGCCGTCTCTTCTTCTTGGCAGAAAAATTAGACGTCTGATCCGCGCCCATATATCGCTGCTTGATCAGAAGAGCCTGGGCGTCTTCAGGCGCAGTTCTTTTCTCTCCAACGGGAGTTGAATCCGATGTATTCTTGCCTCCAGATCGTGCGTCGCCATTTTTTGATTGCGAACTCCGCATTGCAGCTGGCGCGGTAGGTATTTCGCCCCTAGAGCCCGCGGTCCTGTCGGTATCGAAGCTCTCGAATTTCCGTTCGAATCATCATACCCGCGTCGCTAAGATCGAGCTTCCCTGTAAAATCACGACTCCCGCCGTTGGAATCTGAAGTAATACTGCCGTTTGTACTTGCTGTTCGCTTGCGTCTCTCGTTCTCAAACTCTCTCGCTCGCTTCTCCAGCGCAAGCTTCTCGCGCTGAGCTTTGCTGAGAAATTTGGGCTATAAATTCACCAATAGGTTAGCTACATCTATAGTATACTCATTAACCTCGTGAAGGACAAATGATATGAACTCGGAAAGCAATGAAATTGAGAGCGTACCTTTGAAGCCGCATCGTCCGCTTCCTTCTTCTTCCTCAAGAGCTCCTCCACACTTAGTGGTGTAGTCGACTTTGCACTTCCCCATCCCACCTTCTTTTTCTTCGTCACAGCTTGCTCGCTAGGTGCAGGTGGAGGTACATCCTCCGGTGGTGGAGGCGGCGCATGGAAATCTGGAGGTGGAGGAGGGAAGGCGGAATCGTCTGGAGGGAGCGGCGGAGGGGTCGGCGGGCGATCAATAGGCTCTGGAGGGGGTGGAGGAGATATCGCAGAAATCCCGTCAGTTAGCATATTATCCATAACGACGTTATTCAAAAGGCAAGTCAAGCATCGCTTTCAAAGCTGGAGCTTCACATAAGACCCCAGGATGACAGGCTAGCACGTGACAGGTCGCCACCAAACTTAATGACTCAGCAATCTGGCATTTTGACGAAGCAACCAACGATATATATTTACTGAACAGGGCTATCAACTATGGAATCTAAGGGCTCACGCAAACGAAGCCCTTTGCTTCAGTAGTAAGAAAAGCAGAAAGAAAGCACAGAAATTAGTAAAATGCACGCCAGGTCGAAGCTTGGCGCAGCCGTCCTTGTCACAGACATCGTACATTCATCTCCAGTGAAAAAAACCATTTGTGAAATCCCCAATATACAATTGCCCTCCATCATTTCTGTTATCTGCTGCGTAGGCCTCGTCTAAAGTATTTAAAATAAAGTCACCTGCCCCGAACATGTTTTAAGAAAAATTGGAACCTGCATGTAAACAAGGGAAATACTAGGGATATGCGACGGGCACGGTCTAAATGATGTTAGTCAAGGGAAGGTTCAAGTTAAAACAAAAGGGTAGGCTTACAGTCCCATTAGATGATACCGGAACCTGATAGTGCTTCTGATGAGAGCCGTCAGAATGCTGGACGGGAGTTTGCGGCGAAGTTTGATCAGCAGGTTCTGCATGTGTTTGGTTGCCATTTTGAGTGACATTAGTTTTAGCGCCATTATCTTTCTGGTTTTCTGTATTCTTCATAATCTTTTGAACAGATTGTGGACCGTTCACTTCACGATCCAAGGCGATGTATTCTTTTGCCGCATCTTTGGAGCCTCGTTCCAACAAATACACCATATAAACTTGGATCAATTCTTTAGCCGCCTCGGGATGCAGACTACTCTTGGTGCGAACATCTTCGATAACTTGTTTGATCCTCTGGTACTGCGAGTCTTCAGTATCGGCACTTGTTGGTTGATCAAGTTCGAACATCAAATAACTCATCCAAAATGGGCGGCTATCAGGATACCAATGCTGGTTCTTTTGGAAGACTTGGCGCGCTTCGTCAGCATTGCCCTTGATCTTCCACAGAAGTTTGGCCCATTCCGCGACCAGGGCGGCTTTTGCCTGGATATCACATTGGCTGGAATCAATTTGTGCCTTGTAAACATCAATTGCAGAGTCCAAGCCTCCCTGACGGCGTGATAGATTCGCATATGATATTATGGTTTCCACATGCCCAGGCAAAGTAAAAAGAATCGCACCGTGGATATCCTTGGCGATTTCAGTTCTTCCGCACATTTCCTCAAAATAAGCGTAGTGCAACCGTATCGTGGGTCTCGAGATCGGGACATAGACTGTGCTAGCCCGCTGATATATGTTTCGCACCTCTTCTTCCTTTCCCTCTTGAGCAGACATCCACCGAGCATAGCGCATCCAAAACTCGTCATAATGCGCGCAGGTGACGAGGCATCTCTCATATAAGAATTGTGTTCTTGTATAAGAACCCTCCGATTCTTCAAAATCAATATACTTCCTCCAGTTAGCCAGCTGCCCGTCGTCAAGCTCAGTTACATGAAAATAAGGGCGCTTGATCTCAGACTCGTAAGTCCACCGCTTCGTAGTCTCAGCTTGTGTTCGAGTGAAAATTTCCAGATGATAACCATCCACTCGTAATCGAACATCTCTTTCAGTCTCCGCCTCGCTTCTGGATCCCGGAGGGACACCGGCTGCTGCGCCCTCGACTTCAGCCCTGAATTGCGCAATAACCTCCGGAGGTGCGAGTTCAGTCAGTGGCCGAGCTTGTGCCAAATGACGGTAGGTCTCAAAATATCGCGCGTACTGGTGCATGGGGATCTGGATGATTCGGCCCAAAATCTCGAATATTTTATTGTCACCAGCCTCGAGGTTCTCTTCGAACTGGAGGTACTTGTCCCAAAAAGGATGGGAGAGGAAATCGAGTCCCACGCAATTGGCGCCCCGATCAAAGAGCCTATGCAGTAAAGCATCAGTAAAGGAGTGCCTAAAAAGGGGGAAGGGGGGAAGAATTGGGGTTGGGTGCGCAGGGGCAAAGGATGGCAAACATGGCATATGAATGGATCTTCAGGTATCAAGGTGCCGGATCATTGCAACGTATCATGGTGCTTTTCATGTCATCGTGCGCAACAGTAAGGAAGTATCCCCGAACAATCCCAGTGAGTGGTATTCGGTAGTTACGAATAGAAAAAGAGAAACAGCCTGAAACTAATGGGTGAGAAGTAGTTTCAAAGGGACCCGGGTAGCAGACGACTATCTCACCCATCAAGGAACCTTTGATGAATCTCAAGCTGCAGTACGTGTCCTCGCAATCACATCACGACTTTCGAGCTATGGTTGGCATGGTTATAGGGGGCAGGAAACCAGCACAGTATGTATACTTACTCTCGAATAACATCAGGATCGTGCGTGGTATCGACCTTGAAAGTGCAGTAGTTGGTCCAAAGGTCTACTGAATTCGAGATGCTCGCAACTCCTCTCTCGTAAACCTAGCCAAGCGTTGGTCGCGTGTTCCTCAATAGGTCGTTAACAAACACACTTACCATCTCAGCGGCCTCCGTGCCGGCAATAGAAAATTCCAGGTCCGCATATTTTTTCCAGTAGCCGAACAGTAGGGGAAATTTAGCCAAGAACTTGTCGTATATTTCTCTGGTTGCGGTGATGGCCTGCGGGCTCGAGTTTCGGTTAATGCCGCCTTCCTGGCTTTCGGCGGCTCGGACGAGCTTTTCCCAGCTCTCGAAGTTGTCGGTGTCTTCAAGCTATTCCATGAATGAAGATAAGCAAATGACTGGCCTTTGCAACTTGAGGCGATCAAACGGCTTTGACTTGACTTACCACCTCCGCATTCAATTTCCTCAGCTCTGCATTTTCCTCCTCGGTGCCGGTGAACTGCAAATCTGCCATAGCGGCAAGTGTATCGGATATAATATTTGCTAAAGCACCTGGAAACAAGTGTTTATCAAGGCGTATGTGAGGATTGATGATAGAGGTGAGGAGGGGAAGATGAAAGGAAGAGTTACAGTTGAGGCTGGATGGACGCCGTCAAAGGGTGAGTTGGGGCACAGAACGCGCCAATACGGAATCTATCGCCCATCCCTGTATGGACTTTGTAGTTTACGGTAATTGACTGGTAATCCACATACTCCATGGTGCAAACAGCGCAAACTTATCCTCTACCACGTGACCGTGATTTTGCATGCGGAAATCTCAAGCTTTCACCCAAAGAACTCCGGAGAGAGCAAGCAGACCGCACTTGGGGAGGGAAACTATTCTGTGTACAATGGCTGCCAAACAAGCAGCAGTCAGTCTCACTGAGACACTCCCCGTCCGATTACGAAACTTCTTTGCCCGTTATCCTCCCCAATTCTACTCCGCAGCCGCAATCCCCAAACCCACACCACCCGCCGACGCAACTCTCCCCTCCGCCGCTCCAGTCCCCTACACTCCGTCCCGTAGCGCGAAACCCTCCAAAGCAGCCGAATTGGCCAAAGGTCAATTCTCAATAACCGACTCCATCCTCCGGTCGAGCGCAGAATACCCGAACCCTTTCCTCCCACATAAAAGCCCCGAGACCGGTCACTGGCGCGGAGCGGTTGTGTCGCTCCGCCGACAAAATGAGCTAGTCAAGCTAGCGCAAAGATTTGGCGTAGAGGAGCTACTACCGCCGGGACGGAAGTCGTCAGAATATCGTGAGGCGAAGGTGGTTGAGAAGGGATTGAGGATTAAGGGTACCGGTATTGGGCAGAAGGTTAAGGGTCATAAGTGGGAGAGAACAATGCAGGGCAGGCTGGAAGAGAGAAGGAAGGCGATGTTAGAGATGCCTGAGATGATCAGGTTATGGAAACAGGTAGGTCTCAAAGTGAGACTTGGGGACAGTGTACAAGCTAACCTTGATACTTTAGCGTGGTCACGGAAGAGGATGGAAAAAATATCCTCGAAAATAAATCTTACCCGAATAGCGACTCGGGCTTATACCCTTATCAAAGGGTTTTCTGTTGCGTACGGTGTCTTTTTCGGTCGGCAAATCGGGCAATTGTACAAATATGGGTGCCAATTTTGAATCTATTTGAATTCTTCTGCACGTATCATCATCAATCGTATACACAGCGTTGGATACAGTTTCGTGGTTATACAAAAATGCTTTAACCAACGCCCGAATGCCTTTACTCCAACCGACCCAAAACCAACCTGAGTCCATACCCAACAAGCCAATGTAATATATAGTATCCTCAAAAAAGGAGAACCGGGGCTGGAAGCCTCAAGTGTCCTCATAAAATGGCAAAACCGCGTCCCCAACCTTAACGGTCGGGAAAGATCCACCTCCTCGCATAGAATCACTGGCCAGAGAAACATGTCGTCCAAAATATACCTTCCCATTGAACTTCCTGGTCTTTGCAAGCGTAGAATATGGCTCTTCATTTCGAACACCCGTATCCTGATCGATGCAAACCATCTGGCACCGCTGGCACGACGAAAGGACATCAAACTTTTGGCCTCCGACCCGGAAACCGGACCAGGAATCCTCGATGTACGGATGTTCTGTCGACAATTGCGTATTGTGAGTACGGCTGTTCATCTGGTAGGGGTACAGGTCTTCGGCCACGATTATGTTGGCACGAAAGACGTCACAGGGCACCGTCCTGGCGTTGCTCCTACGCTGCTTTATCATTTCGTTGAGTTTGTTGACGCTTGATCTAGAGACAAGGAGCATAGGACTTTCGTTTGAAAGGAGGATCGGGGGCTGATAGGGTGGTGATTTAAATCTGGAAAGGGCCCTGGGTAGAATATTCGATCGTCCATTCTGTTTGGATGAGGGCGAGCGAAGCTTGTAACAGCGCTCTGACGACTGAGGTGGAAATCTGGCAAGGGTGCAGGGCACGCCGAGAAAAGCTGAAAAGAAATCTGTGACATTCGAAGCGGAATATATCTGTACGGCAACAACGTCCTGGCAAACTGTTGCCGATTTTGCTTTCTGGTGCATCTGAAGAACGGTTTGGCCTTCAGTGTCGTCAGGAAACAAGGGAATTTGTAAGGAACTCCAATCCTTAGATCCAGCTGCTCCACAAGTGATTCGTAGCAGACCTGCCTCGAGGTCAATAACCGGGTTAATGAGAGCCATTCGAGGATACTTCTTCTGGCTAAGGGCAATATTTGTCCCCAGGTGTACAAGACACCACTCCCTATCCCAAGCTAGACCTTCCGGCCTGATTTCCCATTGCTCGCGTTTGGGAACCACAAACGCTCCACAGCTTTTGATCGGATACACGCAAAGCCTCTCAACATAAAATCTCGATTTTGGTGGTGGTACCGGCGCAGGCAGTTCAGGCCCAGGATTGACTTTCTCGACATAGAAATCTGAAATGAAGTTGACAAAGTTGTCAATATCGCGGATATTGGTCATCGCGCCGACGCTGACTCGCAATACTCCGGAAGGCTTCCCATCCATAATGTCATTCTCATCACCGCAACGCACACCCGCGGCATAGTTCCTTTTCATATCGTCAGACGTGAGATGAAGAAAGGACGCTATTCCACCAGGGTTACAAAGGCCTCCAGAGCGGATGTGGATGTTTTTGACGGTGGCGAGTTTCTCAACATCTGACTTTCCTATCCATGACCCACGACTATCTTTCAAATTAAAGGCAATCACTGGCCCCTGCGTTGCTGGATCTCCGTACACAGACCTTGGGGATTTGTATAATTCGCAAACCTTTGTACCATTGAAATGTCTCATAGCGTCAAGGCGGCTGGAGACATCCTTGATGAGAGAAGCGGTATGACGGGAAACATTTTGCATTGAACCGTAGAGCCGATAGTGAATGTCAAGAGCACTATGCACGGCCACAATATTGTGGAAAGGCAGTGTTCCATCTTCGAGGCCATTGTGGATGGTATGGTCGCTTTTAGCATGCCATTCATTCCCAATGCTAACGACCATTCCCACTGTGCCCCCGCCGAAATATTTTCTCCGTTCAAAGATATGGCTCGCACTCTTGCGAACAATAAGCACACCAAGGTCCGGGTATCCGAAGATCTTGTAAAGACTCAGCGCCGTGAAATCGGGGGCAGACTCTGGGTCACTCAAATCAAGCGGCGAACTGAGCACGTAGGCGGCGGCATCATACAAAGTGTAGACATTTCCCTTGGGGTTTGTCTTCGTCCGGATGGCCTTGCACCAATCGAGGCCCAGGCGGCTTCCAGTCATGTTCGACTGGGCGGGATATGCAAACAGCCTTGGGAATGAGCGGCGGTCCCGGCCATCAGATGTAGCATCCAAGCCATCAATCCACTCTTCCACCTCACGATGGTCGAGAAAACACCTACTTCCTTGAGCTGCAGTATTGCGAGGCCCAACCAAACTTGTATGCGAATCGATATGGTACCCGTACCAGAACCCCTCCTCATCATAGTCCCTCATTGCCTCCGTAACAAGCTTGATTGCGCCTGTCGCATTGGCGACGAAGACAAGATCGAACTCGTCTGGGCTCGCGTTGAAGAATCGCAGCAACCGCAGCCGCGCATCATCTACCCTCTGCGTGGACAGTTGTGAGGAAACGGAGGCTGAATGCGGATTCCCGAAGATGTGCGACGTCATCTCCTGCGAGAAAGCTTCGATGAGGCTTCTGGCATATAGTGTTGCGCCTCCATGGTCAAGATATGTTGTATCTGGAGCGAGCACCGACATTAGCTACTCTGGGTCAACTCTGATATGGCATAATAACCAAGCTCACCTTTCAACAAGGGAAACTCCCGCGCCCGTATAGTCTCCAAGTCTTCAGGATAGAAGCCCTTGGCCTGTTCGGCTTCTAAAGGTGGGATTTGCACCCTACGCTGCTGGAGCGACGGCTTCTCGCCAGTCCACAGCGACTTTAGACGTCTATTGTGCCCGTCGCCCACCAGCCTCGACAGTGCCGACAGTACCATATTCACAAACCGGGATCTATGGCAACAGTAAGCGTGAATCCAAGATATCCAGCTCAAAGAGAGTCGTCATCGATGTCTCCGGTCATGTAGAAGCGCGAGTCATACAAGAATATCCCCAGAAACACCACCGCACCCTCCATTATAAAGACAATCCATCCCCGAATCCAGCCCTGCAAGCAAGCTGAGAGGTCCCCGTCGTCGGGTCAGGCATTATTCCACGGAGCGAGAAGTTCGAGCAATCGAGCCACGGGCTTCACATGTGGAACCTGGGCAGCTGTAAGTCGAACAAGCGATGTCAAATCGGAGAGTCCGAAGCATCCTCGAGCACCTGGCTAGGCGCTTGGGGGCTGATGACTGCGTGGTTGAACGAGTTATCACTACGGGGGGGCGAACTTGAGCGCATAAACTCTCGTCTACAGAGGCTTGTAATAGGCGATTTCACCGACAAATCCAATTAATATCGAACTAATTCTCCGCAGTTGCATGTCTACATTTTCAGTCGGCAATATCCAGCCGTAGAAATGCCCCAGGCCACGCAGGCTTGTCCGGCTGCACAATCTCGAATGGGGCCACGACGCGGAATCCTTGACGCTCATAGAACCTGCCATATATTGTGAATATTAAGAGGCCTTCACCGTTGCTCCGCGAGTGTACTTACGCCACAAGCTTCCCGTCGTTGCCAGCCCAGCAATCCACGTAGACTGCCTTCTTCCCAAGAAGTCGCGCATGCATTTTTATCTCATCGACCAATGCGGCGCCAGCCCCTCTCCGAAATGACCCTGTCCGAAAATCCGACGCAAGGGCTCGCAGGAATATGAAGTCGTCCCGCGCGTTGGCCTCGTTGATAATAGTCTCGCACTTTGGGTCCGAAACAAGGTAGGGAGAGAACGCCTTTTGGATGATAGCGGCGCCGACCATAAGGAGCTTTTCGCCGGTCTCATCTTCCCTGTAGCTCCCAGAGCCGCCATCCAGGTCCGCCCCCTCGACTTCGGCGATGAGGACGCGCACATATTCCCCTTCGCCCGTGGTGCGGTTCACTTCAGATTGATGAATCGCAGCCTGGACCTCCTTTGTGAAGTTTTCCTTTTGAGACCAGAGTTCAGTCCCCCATTGCTTGCCACTGCCGATGGACGCGAGATGTGGGAGGGTTGAATCAAAGGCCGCTGCGATGAAGGCGGCGTCGTCAGGGCCGGCTCGCTGGCGAATGCGAAACTGGGGCATCTTTGGATGTTTTCAGCAACCGCCTGTCAATCTCCTCAGTTGAACAGTGTTTTCCAACCTTCTCAAACTAATGATGGGAAACTCTTCTTTTATTCCCGCTGTGTGTGATACGGTCTTGGTTGGGACAAATGTTCTTAAAGCCCCTCTCTGCTCCTTCGGGGTAACTCCACAAGGATGATTTCTCGCTACGCCCTTCGTGACTCATATCTAGTTATCCGAAACGTTACAGCTGTTGGCCGCCCTTGATTCCCATCTCTGGCGTGCCATAATTCCGAATGTCGATGTAACCAGGCACTCTGGGCACATCTCATTGATATCAAAGACTCAATAGGCTAGCAGATTGTATTTTATTCAACCTGGGATGGGGCAGATTATAGACGAGTGTTTTGATATGTGGAACATTGTCCGCTCATGAGGGTTTGCATATTATGATGTGATAGAGAGCGCCATAGGTGTTGGACTTCATCGTAGGAAGAACACTCTTGGATTCCTTTGAAGCGGAATAGATACGTTAATAGAGCTGAACGGTCTCGCTTGTTGATAACTCAAAGCACCATGGACTACTTTATTGACATTCTTCATTATGGTCATACAAGCAAACAATTAGACATCTGTACACATAGCGCATCATCACGGGTCGTAAGTATAGCTACAAGAACGCATCGTTCAAGGAAAAACGTAACTCATAAGTCCTCGCGAACATTCCAGGCGAAATCAGCCAGCTCAAATATTGGCAGAAACAGCAAAAAATCTTCATGGCAAGATCTTTCAAAACAGATTTCTGGGATATCCATATCCTCTAGATAACCGAAAAACCCGCTCACGGTATTGGGGACGTGCGCCTTGGGGCTTTAGACATGATAATCCCCCCGTCGCCCGGAACTACTCCGATGGCGATGACTCTGGCTCCGCCGACTCGAATGGCTATGGCGACGCGATCTCTTCTCATCATGATGACTGCTCTCATGCTGCCACAAGAAATACGCAAACACTGCCGTAAAAAAGAACGATATCGTATTCAGAATCCCAAACGCAAACGAGGCCTTGAGCATAGAGCAGACCTTCTCCGGGTCGCTGCTGAGCGGGTTATTCGCCCGGCGACCCCAAACGCCAAAGGGGCCCAGGCTCAGGAGGAAGCGGCTGCGGCTGAAGTCGTTGCAGTTTTCGTCGACGATGCCGCGGAGGAGATAGACGCTGGCGATGAAGGCGCCGAAGAAACAGAGGTCGACGAAGGAGACGAAGATGGCGGAGCGCTTGGTGCTGCCGTAGCGGACGAGGGTCTCAAGGGCCCATGCGCCGGCTAGCACGGAGACGATGAAGAGGACGAGGATGTAGGTTGGGGTGAGCATGTTGGCGTGGACGAAACCGTCGACGAACCAAGCCTGGTGGTGTCGCATAATGTCAGTGAACGGACCAAGTTATTATCAGAAAGAGTTCGGTATACCAGCATGCCGATGGGCGGGATGAGAGTGACCAGTTGCCCGGCCCTCCAACAGATGAAAAATATCCCAGAAAACATCGCGATGTCACTATATCGATGTTGACTTTTTTTATCAATAAGGACCAAATGTCGAGATTTCGGGGAGCGGCGCAGAGCCACCGAGAGGGGATGCTGCCAAAGGTCACAGCCGTAGTTATGTGGAAAGAAATAGATTTCAAACAATCTAGTTGGACATCACAATGGGAAAGGTTCTCATGATATGAGAATAGAAGTCGTCCCAGCAACCGCGTTAACAACACCTATAGATCAAGGCACCGAGAGAGCGAAACCCCAAGATGGCTTGCAGCAAGGCCAAAAAATGATCTTCACGAACAGGAGTTCATCCACAGAGATTGTCCTCCACTGCCCCTCAGATATAAACATATCAAAGAGGCTGGGAAAGAAATGCGATGGCGGGGAGTTTCGCATGTCACTCAGCCAGCACTAACTAACTAACTTAGCACGCCTTGGCCGGGCGTCCAGCGCCCAATCGTGGGCTTGAAGACCGCGGCCTGGCTTCATGGTCGATCAGCGGTGGAGGCACCCTGTGTCATCGATTGCTTGCATGAAGGTGTACCGGGGTGTTTGTCCAACATGCAAGCAACAGGGCTGAAACGATAGAAGAAGAAGCAAGCAAACAATATTGAGAGTCCGCATTCTCCTATTCTGAAGTTTGAACTCCCAACAAGGTTGCGTGCCGTTTGGCCGGTTCCAGGAGCCAGAAAACTGCTTCCGTTTCTCAGGATGTGGAATTTAAGATTACAGACATTCCGCTAAAGCTTTGCATACAGAGAGTAGGTATCGACAATGCAAAAAAAAGGCTTCATGCATCATAATGTTCAATTCAAAAAAAAAAAAAAAACACAGATCCCCAACCAACTAAATAATTATCCCGAAAGAACAGGAGCGCCCACACATCAAGACGCCGTTATGCCTCCAGATTATCTCGGAAAACATGCCAAAAATGTCACAATTGCAGAAGGGACAGGAGAGAGGTGATGGTCGTGGTTATTGCCGGGTCGGACTCGGCGATGAGGGTCTTTGCTGTGATGGTCTTTGATAGGCGATATCCAGGGGACGACCCGAATCCAAACGCTCCTGGGACTCGCTGGCTTGGTGCTGCCCTCGATACCCTGACTGCATTTCATAGTTGGAATGAGACTCTCCGCTGGATGAAGAATAGTTGAGATCCGTGTCATGTCTTCGTCTCGCATATGTCCTAGGAGGCTGGAACGGGTTACCACCCGGGGGTGAAAGGTCAGTGTCTCGTCTCTCTGGGGAAAACGTCGATGGCCTCGCCGTCGAAACGCCCTGGTATTCCTCATCCCGCGAAGCCATGGGCTTGGCTTCGTCGTCGTCATCCAGCTCGAAGCGGCGTCTTTCGCTATATAATGGCGGTTGAGGGATCGTTCCCCATGATCGAATGGGATATGCTCTGCCTTTCCTCCATGGCTCTGAAATAGGTGGGAAATACTGCCTATACGCCATCCACGCGCACAAAACGCCAAGCATGGATCCGGATATCACATCGAACGGGTGGTGGCGGGCGTCCATGATTCGTGACACTGCCACCAATCCGGCGCCAAGTGTTGGGATCAAAACGACAAACGCTTTCCAAACCTCCCCTCGACTATCCAAGACATGAAGCTTGCCCGCAAGATAGAGCGAAAGATAGAAAAGGCCGGCAAATGCAGCTAGAATAAAGTGTTAGAGCACGAGGCCAGATGGTGAAAGAAGTCACGGTAACATACAACTACTATGTCCTGTACGAAAATAGTCAGCAAAAATTCGTTCACATCCGCAAGCCGCTTGTGTGACATACCAGAAGGCCAAGATCTGAATCCGTCCTTTAGAATAGCGTTATCAGTTTGTGTGCAAATCGTGGAGTTTGACAGCCCAAAGACCGGCGCATCCTCGCTTCCAGGGCGTGGGCGACAACGATCGATGATGTCAGGCCGGGGCTTTCCAGTGGCATTCTTGAGAGCACTGGTGATCACAAACGCAGTCGCCTGGGCCAAAAGCAGACCAAGAACACCGCAATTCAATTCCCATAGGCGGTCTTTCAGTCGATATCTCCCGAGCAGTTTCCTTCTCCCTGTAGAAGGATTGGTAGGCTTGTGATGCGAAAACAGACCATCTACAACGACTGTATACACTACGATCACGACGATGGGGACAGCGCCAGTGACGACGAGTGCCATGAATATAGGAATGCGCTCATGTTCGGCATAGGGGTACTGGAGCGTATAGTTTTGCAGGGAGAAATGCTGGTGGAACGGTTCGACTTTGTCCAAAATAAAGAAGCCAGCAACGAGAGCGCTAGACAGACGATTAGCAAGGAGCCAAATGAGGAATCCGATCACATGTGTGGTTGGTAGGGAGGAAGAAGGGTGGTCCCAGCGGCGTACACTAGAATAACATAGTCTAGGATATATCTGGAAAAGAAGAAGAAGCTGTCAGTAAACTCCCAAATCGCGGCGCCGGTCAGCGGGATTACTCACGATATAATCACCCGAGCTCGAAGAGGCTTTTTGGAGAAGGGGAGTTTACTGGGGAGCTGGGCCTCCATCACTTCAGGGCTTTCGCACGGCGAAACACTGCAGTTCGATTCATGGAAAAAAGGAAAAGACAAGCTAAAGAACAAGCGATGCGATAGATTGTAGTATCAGGCAAGGGAAAAGGGAACGGAAAAAGAAGCTGGTGAAGATTGAAGGATTCCCCTGTGCTGCGGTGTTTCAAGAAAGCAGATTTCTTAGCTGCAGCGCTGGCTGTGCCTCCAGGGTTTGAGGATCTTTCCGCCCAGTCGAGGCGCCCAGAACGAACCAGCCCAGCGTCGGTCAACAGGGGTTTCTCCGATGAGCTCTGCCGCTGCCAACACCGTCCGACTGAGCAACTCGCTGCAAATTGCACGTCTTTTCATCCTCTTCGTCCCCGATTTCTGTTTCCTCAAGACAAACCAAGCAAACCAGCCGCGCTGTCCACGTAAGCCGCCAAGAGCCCAGCCTCGGTGATCGCTGAGGTAAGCTTGGCTCGACATCAACTTATCAAGACGGCCTTTTCCCAGCGGAGATTCAACGTCAAGATCATGAGTCTCTTGCGCATCATTACCCGGCGGACAGATAGCTGGAGACTCGAGAACCGGAGCTCAATGTCGGAAAGCCGTTCCAGACACCATAACGTGGAGCAACCTCACTGCACATTGGGCTGGCTTGCAGTTGGCTTTTCAGCTACATTGCTCTTGAACAAAGCCAGACAACAGAATGAAGCCAAATCGCCTTCTCTCAATATAAGTTCTTCGGTGCTTTAAGCGCCTATCCAGTGCCTAACGCGTCAGCTCTAAACACAGGGAACGCATCCAGATGTATGAATATACATACAACTCAACACCTAAACATAGGACACGGATAAACCATTGTCTCGGCTGGATCAGGTCCTGAAGACAGGAAGTTGATTCTGCGCAACTGCTACAGTTGTATCAGTTGCATCTCTGTGCTCTTGGCTACCAACATCTCTGTTTAACAAATCGCGCACTATCAGCCTGCAAATGGACAGCAGACTTCCCGCATACCATGCTCAAATTAACCACCATTTTCACTGCCCCTCGGGCCGCTTTCAAGTTTCCATGTTACACACACCTTTGTCTATGGCTTCTGCCTCTGAGTTCTGCATTTTGTGTGTAACACACTACTGTCAACTTGGTCGGGGCAGTTGCAGCGAACCGTCGGTTTTCCTCATTTCAAAAGGTGGAGACATAAATTTGAAGACTGGTATTAGAGCATTTAACCCCCTTGAATGTTATCATCCCTCGACTGCAAGGTATGCATTGATGCACTCTCTAAGCAATCCGATTCATAGCGATGTCGCTCTGTTTTAGAGCTCCGTCTAGCCTGAGTTCCAGATGCTGAAGCTCGTGATAGCATAAGTTTAGAGCGACAGGTGATTGGGTACAAACTAGCAGGAACCTAGTACCCTTTCCTATTCATGCAGTTGCTTTGCTGCAGGCAGGCATGGAGCATTCCCAAAAAGGGGAATTTTCAAAGAGGACAAACATGCTAGAGTGCCCGCGGAGGTCTTTAGCTATAGCACATTACTACCTGTTTTTGAACATCTTTATTATATACACTTATTTCATTGATATGTTTCCGGTTTTTGGCATATCTAGGACCCTTTTCAATGCAACTGAGACACGGTTCCAGATAACCCTTTTAATAAGGGTCCACGATCGCCTGTGCAACACAGTTTACCCGTTAAATGTCGAACATTTCATTATTTGCATGGTCTTGTTCTCATTCATCATATTCCGACATGGATAAACCCCAGGGCATACCTTTCTGTCGTCTACTTGAATTCTCCCGGCACGTCATTTTGCCATCCTTTCGACAGTTATGCATATATCTAGCTCGAAGATCTACAGTCATTATTATCCTTTGGGTATGGAGCTAACTGGCCTGCTCCTATCATCTTCCACGGGTACCTGTCGCGCAACGTTACCTGGCAGCTTCCCGACATTCGGCTGTGATGAGCGATGTTGTTAAACATGGCAAGTTGTGAAACTCGACATTGAACCTGAGCATCATTCCAAAAGGATGCCATGGGCAACAACAGTCCACGAGCGGGTTTTCTGGACATATAAAGAGGGCTATGTTTCCCCAAATCGACACACAATCGAGAGAAGCTTTAGCCCAGCCCCTCGAGATTGTCTGGCATTATCTTCCCTGCTTTGTACCGTCACGAGTATACTCTTCCAAAATGAAGTTCCTCAGCGTTGGTGCCATTCTTGCAGTTGGAGCAAATGCTCTCTACCTCAATCCCAGGTCTCCGGGTCCTCTGAGCCTGAGATCAGCCAACAGTTCTATCTGCGGCACTCAACTCTCCGACAAATTCGAGTTCCCGCATTTAATTATTCCAATCAACTCATCCTCTCCGGATACCGCGTTGGGCACGTCGTTCAACGGCCAAGTCTCCACAGACGTGTCGTCGCTTTTCAACTTTGACATTCCTGAAGGCGGTAACCTCAGAACCTGCTCGCTCGTGTTCCACTTTCCAAGTACCATTCAGCACCCGCCCAACTATTATACGTTCCGCGGTGATGGCAAGATTCGGTTTGCCAGACTCGATACTCCGGCTACTACGTCCACCACGTTCAATACGGCCCCGAAGGTGCGCGAATCCTATGGAGAATTTACTATGCAGCCTGGAAATACGTATAGTATTGCGAACTTCCAGTGTCCTATGGGGGAGAAGATCGGATTCCAGGTGTCAAATGCCGGTTCGACGGTCTTGAATTACTTCCAAAACTATGGAAACCCTGCGTAAGTCACTCTTATTGGTATACAATATAGGTCATGGTTTAATGCCAGCAATAGGTTTGGCCTTTTCATCACACGCTGCACTGGCTAGCGGTCACATACTACGATGCGGGGCTATTCTGGCTCTTGAGAGCAGTCTAACATTGGCCTGGCCTGTGATTGTGAGAGCTGTTAAGAGAAAAGTTTCTGATATGCCGGAATAGTTTTGCTTAGAAAGTCGGGGTAAGGGCTTGTGTCTGGAGTTCTGGTAAATCAAGCTCTTAGTGAATTAAAAATATGTCAGTGGTCCACTTATGTCCTGCAGGGATATTGTATCGTCGATTCCCTCTATCCTAGTTTTTCCAGCAATCAAAGAGGGTCATTGGTATCAAATTCTCTGAGTTGAACTTGAATATAAGGAGTAGATGAGCAAACTTTTGTCATATACAGCTGTGGCTGGGATGGATTTCAGGAGCCACCACTTATTAGAGAAACAGACTCGCTGTGAAGATGCTGGTAATCCCTTGTTTTTGGGGTGTGATGATGAATGTGAGAAAAAGTATGGAAATAGTATAAAAGGAGGGTTTCAGCACTTAACAGCATTATTAAAGGGGGTCCTATTCAATTGCTCATATTTTTGCACAATATGGCATCCCAGAGGGCTCAATTGTTCCCAGTAAATCATACCCTAGAGGAGTCTATCACACCTCTTTCCACTGTGAGAGAGGATACTATTTCGAGGTTCTTTTTCGGAAAAAGTCCAAAATACATCGAGGCTATCTTTGGTAGAAAAGAAAGCTGACGATATCATCTCGGGGACGCACAAAAGCCATTTTGCAATGCTCCCCAAATGGGTATTCGTCAAGAAATCGTTCTTCTCGAGATATGTCATCCGACCCGGCATGCATTGCGCTCATCGGGTCATAGAGCCCGCCGGTGTTGTGTTTAATCTGTGTCCACCGCATGGCCTTCGGGGCTGAAGACAGTATGGGCGCGGGGCATCAGCTAAAAGCGGAACAATTTTCCAGATTCTTTGCAGCATTCAGGGGATCATATCCAAGGCGGGGCTCAGCTCGCTCCGGTCGGCAACATATATTTTCAAAAGGCTGTTTGCTAACTGCGAGAGTAGATCTGATAAATCGCTGCTTTTTCTGGCCGTTCCGATTGACGCTGGAAGCGAAAGCTGGCGGCGGGAGAAGGTGAAGCAATCTTCGATTTGATATCGTTGAATAATAGCACGTCCCGGTAACAAAATTACATAATCAATACACGGACTTTTATTTATCCATCACTAGCGGCTCCACCAGAAAAATTCGAACCTTAAATAATTTTGCAATTTTTTCATTGGATCACAGAGTCATTACCAGAAACGACGTAATTTACAGCCCGGTCAGCGCCCGTATGGCTTGGCATCGTGTATTCAAAACGGCGAGCCTCTTAGCCCGGTCACATGACTTTTAGCATATGCGTCCCGGGTTCTTGGATCCCGGAACCAGATCGCGGTTGTTCGGTCCGAGATTGGAGGGCTTTGTTTGCGATAATCTGATGCATCACAACCTTTCGCTCGATTTCTTGCGCAATTTGACCAAATCTCACTCGTTTGATTTCCCCCCCCCGGTGCTCATGCAAAGAATAATTAAATGCGCGGGGAAAGCGGTTCTTCAAACCTCGAGGCAGAGGTATCTGTTTTTAGAATCATCTTGCCCCCTTTTTTCCTTTTTTCTTTTTCTCAGCCACCTGCACTCTCATCGGCGTAAAACGAGCGATAAGGGTCGAATCATTGGATGAGACGTTGAGATCTCTCTTGGTGCAAATTCGATATCACGCCGTTTTGTAACATGTTTCTTTTGGTTTTTACTGGATCTGGCAGGAGATTTTGCAACGACGACCTGGATTCAGATCCGCTTTTCCCAATTCGAAATCAAACATCTGTCCAGAACCCACTTGAAGTAATCAATGTGCCGATCAAAGGCACCGGCGGGTGTAACCCTTGCGTGATGGCCTTTGATTTGAACCTCTTCTCCGCATAGTCCCCGACTCCCCGATCCTCCCGGAGGCACGGTCGCGAAGCAAATTCTGGGATGTGCTTTTCAGCAACCTTGTGGCACTGTGGAGGTTAATAGATGTCAGTTTCACAGCAAACATGTATTTATGCGTGTACTCCGTGTATGTACAGTGGGAATATCCAAAGTTCCCTTCCGCTATTTCCAGTCTGGTCAACAATTATACAGCCAAAGCCCTCCTCGATGAAAGCCAATGAGCAAATAGGAGCAGTTCAACCAGAGATAATATCTGAACACCGTACGCTCCCAATTGACCCCGAGCTCAAACGGTAAATTCCCCAACTACCGGGGCAAAGTTAAACTCCAAGGCACCATAAACCTGAGAGCTTCTCTCAGTTCGTATGCCCATGACAAAAAGTCAACCGCGCTGAGAGGATTTTTCAACCACACTAGCAAAAGTCGGGAGTCGACACAGTATCAGCCAAGCCAATATGGCTGAACAAAGGACAAACATTAAAACCCATGGGAAAACAGTGTCAACAACCATGATATAATGAGTGTTAAATGAGAAATTCTGAACATAGAAAGGAATCAAACGAATGCAGATGGAAAAATAGGAACATCATGCCGCCCAGGGTATCTTCAGGTAAAAATACAAACCAAATGTTTAGACAGGCCTTGTATTCCCCGGTCGACAAACGCCAGTAACGACCGAATATGGCACGAAGCACAGAAGATTCGGGCCCATTATAGGCCACACAATTTGGATAGGAAATCGAATGTTCACCGCTCTTATACTTTAGAAATGATTAGAGCCAATACCGTAGGCCAAATGAATATTGTCGCAACCAACGCCTGCCTGGAGGTCGCCCTCGGAAATATATTTTAGATATGCGCATCGAACGCCTCCAAAAACGTCTGATGAGTAAGTGTTGAAGGATGAAAAGAAAAATAAACTGGAATTAACATTTTGTAGTCGCGTAGGAGTCAATGAGGAAACGAGGCATCATGACCCCGAGGCGACACCGGGTGAGGAAGGCCATGATAGTGGCCATGAAAAGGTTGCTGAAATTGTTGCAGTGTCTCGGGTGTCGTCGACATCGAACTAGTAGTTATGACCGTAGGCCATGGAGACTGGTATCCGGGCGAATTAAAAGGCATTGCTGGCTGAGCAGCCGTGGGTAACGGCATTCCCAAAGATGCGGATCCAGTTCGTGGCCGGACAGAACGTCTTGCAGTCATTCGACCATCTGATTCTGATTCTGATGGTTGTTGAAATGTCGATGGGGCCAAAGGAGGTGAGGCAGGGCGGGGTGGAACATGTGTCCCTGGAATTCTATTGACATATTCCCGAAAGAAATCGCGCTCAGTTTGGTAGAACGAAACGACTTGCTTCAGGTGCTTGACTTCGTCTTGTAGTTTTTCCATTATTCGAGCCTTTTCATTCTCGCTCGCTTTCTTCCTCTGGCGAAATCTCCTCGAGGCGTGACTGTTCTTCCTCCGTTTGTCTGACGCCCTTTTAGAGCCCGAATCCATATCAATGGTCACAGGTATGAGTCCTTTGGGTGGTTTCCATGGCCATCTGGTGTGCTAAAAATGGAGGTAAACTGGCTTGAGGTCCTGGCCAAGCGGGACTGTAGGAGATTGTGCAGGCGATCCCTTGTTGGTACGGCCTATATGAAGAATGCCGCGTGCTTGGGCTTGGCTCATGCGCAAGAACCTGAGGCGCCCGGTGGTCTGGTAGGCTAGACGGTTGATGCAGATTATAGCTGCTGGGGCAAGCGGTGGTGGTTTGTGGGGGAGGGGACGGGGGGAAAGGAAACTGGGCCACATTCATGGTCGCAGGAATTGAAGTCAATCTGGTTCCTAGACTGGCAGCGCGAGAGGCAGGGGATCGAGGGGTCAATGTTCGCCGATGCTGATTTCTCGGCGATACGGACTTGTCCAGTCGAAACAGTGCAGGGTCTGTTTGGGAAAGTCGCGCACTTGGAGATGGAGATGGAGAGGGGCACGTCGACGAAGTATATTCTAATGGTCCATTGCTGCTCTGGCGGGAAGGAGATTCGAAAGCTGGATGCGAAGGGGGGTTCAGAATCGAATCAACTGCGATCAAGCGGGACGCCCCTTGCTGGGAAGTCGTATCACCTGCCACAGGAGCGAATCTTCCTGGCTCATGTTGAGACTGGACAGGGCTTTCAATTGGCGAACTCTGATCGGGTAAATCTGGTGCCTGCGACCGCTTCGACATAAGCTCCAGGTCTCTTCTAAACGGCTGTGTTTTCAAGCATGAATAGTCCTTCCCTCTCTCCGAAAGGTCTTGTACTCCGAGCAATCGAAGTTGAGAGAGGGAGGGAGAACCCTTTGGGAGGAGGCCGGCAAGAAGAAGTGGTTTCTGGTGACAAGTGGGTATGCCTGACGGCCCCGAACAGTCTGGCAAGCGACAAAGTTGCGATACTCCGAGAGTAGCCACGGTGAAGAGTTGATGAAATCCCGGGGAAAAGAGGAGATTGGAAAGTGGTCAAGAAGGGAAGCAAATATAGTAGACAATTGCTCGACACAGGCAGTATTTCTGTTTTCGCCGTCGTCAAATCAAACGGGCCATGTAAAGTGATGCTGCACGACAGAAGAAAAGAAATATAAGAAGTGGTGACAGCCTTTTTGAGGACGACTCACAAAGTATATAGGAGAACCCTGAGGCCAGTGTCAACCCAACAGACCTTCCAGAGGAGTGAGAGAGCCGATTAACTCCACGCTTCTCTCGGCCACGAGCTCCACAACAGCAGGCAGGCTAAAAGCGGGTGAAAACAGGTTAACGGAACCGGGACCCACGGATTAACTGCTGCTGATGGCTCGAGGGAGGGGCTTGATTCGTAGTGGGATTTGAATCGCATTCTCCATCTCAGGTCACACGCTAACTGGTGCAGGTCAAGCACCCGTGAGAATGGTTGGATTGAAATGATGGTGGATCGGAGAGACAAACTCAGGGTGCCCGTCTCGCCCAATTGGCGATTTGTTGCACAGCCCGCCGTTTTTTTGATGGTTCGAAGTTGTTTTGCAGAGTAATAATAATTCATCCCTAGCAGTAATCCCAACTCCAGAGAATCTTGATATTGGTCGCCGACTCCTGAATGGTCGTCCCCTTGGAAAGTTAATAATAGCCTGTAAGTTTACGACTTCGTAACGGCGAGTTGGGGGGGAAATAATAATAATAAGAAGAAATGAAGTCTTCGTTATCACTATCTCCGAAGGCGACCAGGGCCCTGAGCGAATCGCAACCATGACAATCCGAATTAAACCTCGGCCAATACATTATCACGTTTGCACCTCGAGGATGGGAGCCCAGAGAAGTGCAAGACAACCGCAGGCATTTTGTCTCATCCTTTCCATCTGCATCTTCACGGGTTTGCCAGCCCCGAATACGAGCCTGTTATATATGGGAGAGATGAAGACGTTGTTGCCCGGCGAGATTTCACCCTGTTGGTTGGGGGATTGCCAGCCATTCATGGTATTCACACTATGGGAATTCATGATTGGGCGAGCACAATTTCGCTTCTTTCACCCCAGACACCCGCCACTTTTGCTTTAGGAGCGCCTCCAGCTTGTAATGACGCCCAACGAACCCATGTCGGGGGGTGGATATTGGGAGTAGTGACTGAAGATCGCAGTTATTAGCTGGCTTCGTTCCCAGAGATGTGGACATCTTACTGAGCGGGTTCTGGACTGCACAGAGCACCTCCTTGTCTTCCGCAGCATCAATGAAGGGTCTCTCTCGTGACTGTGATGTTGGCGAGATCACCTTTGTTCCAGGCGCCTTTAGTGAGTTTCCCCGACTATCCTTGTCGGTTCTGATGCACGGCAGCATTGACGACAACCTGAATCCTTGTCAAACGTGGTTGGCCAAACGGACCATTTTGGCCGTTGGCTTTGAGCAAGCTTGGCAAAACCCGAGCTTTCTGCACTGGCGACACGCTCCGCAAGAATGGCACAGCATATTATCCTCCGGAAACAGATATCAATTGTGATAGCCTTGGTTTGCAGACGCTTGACCAGACTGCAAAATCGACGTTGCAGCGATTACACGTCAATACTCCGTACTGGCCCAGTGATACGGAATACTTGGTAATACTTGGTTACATACCTCGATCGTTACTGCGGTTATTACAGGACTGCGTTACCAGATCGCACCTCGAATATCTTCTTACCGCGCAAGAGATTTCGAGATGGATTCAATGCTTTTTCCTTCTCATCATCAAAGGGGTAAATGCAGGGAAGAGTCTGGAACAAGTGGTCTGATCGCCTCACAGCTTCCTGCGATGGCCCAGAGCTTGATTTCCCAGTGACGACATCGGCCTTCAATGCCGCTAGCTACTCCGGACTGATCCTGCATATGAGGCTTCCCCTACGCTTGTCGCCACAGCAGAAGCGCAAATGCGTTTGAGGTTGCTTCGAAGCTTCTCCATTTTATAAACTTCATTGCAAAGGCTCTCGAAGTTTGTGATTTGGATCATTGGAACGGAACAGGGATGTGGGGCCGATGCTCTTTCTCAAGGCTTCATGAAAAGCTCATTTTTTGCTACCTGTCGTTTGAAAGCTTTCGAGGTCTCAAGCTCGAGGCCCGATCAAGAATCATGCAGGCCTAAAGGGATACATGTGATGCACTGATTGAGCTGTGGGGAGAGGTATGAATGTTCAAATTCTTTGCATGAGACTATGACCTGTTCACCCTCCCTTGACATTGATAATTGACTAGTTGTTATTCGAAAAACAACTAATAGTTGGCGAGCTGGAACCCTTGTTCTTGTTGTCGAACTAGTGCTGAAACCCCTTTGCGGGCTAGCAAATTACGTTTCGAAGCAGTCTCCCTGGTGACTGGTGTAGCCGGAATTTGCTCATTCCAGTTCGATGGCTTTTATAAGGTATCCCCTCGGAATACTACATATGTACCATTCTCTTGGATAATAGAGGCTGCGCGCTTTGTTTGAGCGTCTCGAAACTTGAGCACAACTGTCGCCCGAATCCCCAATCGTTGAGATCAAAGACTCTTGGTGGAATACCTGCTGATCTTCCACATACAGGGCTATGATTGGTTTCCATTCCAGTGACTAGTTATGGGGTTAATAAACTCAGTCCCACGCAAGCTTGGTGATGTGTCGAGCGGTCCGAAGCCTATAATGGCGGATAGTTCCGCTCCTAAAGTATCAACGCTCTTGTGATTTCGAAGATGAAAGGAGCAGAAGAGAACAACCTGAAACTCGCAGCAGGAAATTAAAGGCCAATAATGATAGTGGAAAACTGTGCTCCAAATGAGACACGCAAAGATGCCTCCCTGGCCGTATCTTTCCGGGATCGAGAATCCAAAGCCCCGCACAAATGCAATAGCCGCGCTTTGTGATCGTTTAGCCTTGTCACAGTGACTTGCATCAGGACATTATGTATGTATGTGCATGATGCAGGAAGTCGGAATGTGCTGGCTGCTCGGACATCCTCTGTACGTGGGGGATGTCCTGCTTGGATGCACTGTACCAATTAGCACAGAGTGTTCGGGGCCGACTCCTTGCCATTGCTCTCCTCCTCCGTCAAGCCTGAGAAACCGTCGCTGGCTCTAGAGCCCATTTCCTCACTTGGACTCGACTATACGTGTTCAACCTCGACTTCCATACCATCTCCTTTGATTGTCCCCCATGCAGGACTCGAGCTTTTGCACCATTCCCGTCCGCTATTATCGTCGAATCGCATGGTTTCTCGCTGACTTCATTTGCTTTACTGAGAAACAGCAACCATGAATGGTTTCAATTCAACCCAAACACCTCATACATACATACATTTGATACACATATATACGGAGTACGGTCGCCTTACTCCGTACATACGCTTATCATAACAAGGCGTAACAATGCGTAATGCATGGAACACATGTTTTCTTGAGACAGAGTCTGCGTATTTATACCACGACTCCATCTTCTCTGGCGGCTTTCAGCTGGGTTGCCATCAAGAATTCTTTTTGACGACAGGACAAGACCCCCAGAGGCTAGAGCTCGGGCGAGACTTTATGCCCGGTTTCAATCTCGACGGGTGAGCTCAAGGGTCGGAAAATGGCGTCAATATGGCGATCCTGGAACTGTCAAATCACTTTCCACCCCATGACTTGTGACTTCCGGTTCTAGAATCATTATCCGCAATCATCCTTGAGGTCAGACATTCCGGCTTGAGTGCCTCCACTTAGGAAGGCCGGAAACAGGACCAGATCATTGATCAAAGCTCAGCGGACAAACGTTCCACGCCCTCGGATCAAGATGTCAGCTCGCCTTGTTTTAGGAGCCAACCATCATCCCCCAAGGGGGGCGGAGCTTGACTTCTTTGTCACGTATCTCATATCTGCTGGGATCTTTTTGATAGTGGGCATGCGTATCCCTCGAAACAATTGACCCGCCGCTCCTCATGGACGGTGATCGTGAGATCAAGATTCCAAACTCCCCTCAGTCTTCCGTGTACCGGCGTACATTCGGTGTTGATCCCCTGGGAATAGTCAACTCAAGCGGGTGAAACCAATCCTTAAACGGATGCTCTTGGGACCAACCATGAAACTAAAGCAATACAACCAAGCCTCTTTGAATTTTTGACTTCTCTCGGTCAAGAAGAACATGCTTGATCATCGCCGAAAGGAACCAAGCCACCGAACCTATCAAAATTCACAGCGTCACAGCCTTACAATTACAGGACTATGATCCACATCGCGAACAAACCCGTTGCAACTTGCTGGGAGCATTCGAAACGCTTGTGACAAAGTCAGCTCATGATGCCTCCTAATGAATCTATCCGATAGGCTATGAGCATTGAGCAACCTTCTCTGGAGACAACATTGGGAGCTTGCATCAAGCCAAAATCTGTGCCCGCGTATTACGGCAACTGCCAATAATATCGTATTTATCTTACTGATGGGGACGGGAATGGCTCCGTCGATGCCAAACTTCGAGACAAAGTCTAGCAAAGAGCGTGGACAGTCATGCCTCTTTGCATTTTGTTCAACATCACTTGCATTTGAGGGATCATGGCTTGAGCTTGGAGCTCAAGCCAATTTTGCGCCAGCGAAACGGTAAACTAATAATACGGAGCAAGCTGAGCAAGGATGGGCGCGGCTGTTAGAAATCTGACATTTTGACAAGTCCTTGATTGTGATTCCTCCTTTATTCGTCGATTTCCTTCACATCAAGCCTATTATGACCAAAATCTCAATTGATTCGCGCGCGAGATACCTCGGTAGAACCGTTGAGACAATATGTTTACAATCCTTGCCGTTCTGACAGGGGAGCTTTTTGCAGCTCTCCTTCAAGGATGAAATTGTGCTTGGGTTTGCCCCTGATCCCAACATCAACTTTATACAACCTTCCTCCAAACTCATCTGATTCCGCTTTGCTATCTTTTGCAGTGGTGATGAAAAGAGCTGTCCCCACAAATTCAGGGCAGGTGACACACTTTGCCGGCAGGGAAACTTCGCCTATGGCCTTTCCCTCTGGCGAAATTCGAATCACTTTGTTAGAACCATATTGCGCACTCCACAAGCATCCCTCCTCATCGATGGCGAATCCGTCCGGGACAGCATCCCCGCTAGCGGTGAAAAATACGCGCCGGTTGGAAAGTTGACCCTTTTCCACATCGAAATCATAAACATAGATGTTTTTAGACGGAGAATCCGTCAGATACATCTGCGTTTCGTCTGCATTCCAGCCCATCCCATTGGGCATTGTCATGTGTTCAACCATGCGATGTAGTGAGAGATCAGGATCCAGCCGAAACAACACAGCTTCGTCTTTTGTCTCTGCCACTTTGGGGTCGTTGATCATGCCGAGCCAGAACCGCCCTTTGCTATCTACAGCACCATCATTGGCGCGCATTCTTGCCGGAAACGAGGTAAGCGTTCCTTTGGAGGTACCAAGAAATTGATTTCATCTAGAAGTCACATACCTTTCTTCTCTCTCCGGACCGTCAGCTCGGTTCCAGACTTTACAGATATAGGTTACCTTGCCAGCATCTCTGGCCAAGATGGCATACCCGTGTTTGGCCCCCACTGCAATTTGATTATCTGATGAACCAGCAATATTGGCAGTCACGCTAGCATTTACGCTTAGTGCTTATCGAAGATAGTATTTTCAACAGCTGGTACGACGACGAACCCAATAGAAGCATCAGTCTTGACTGATGAGAGGGAACTTGGCCCTTGCTCGACATTCAGCCTGTGCAATCTCTCTTCCCAGATGTCAACGACCGTAGCTCCTTGCACCCTGGGTCGTAAAAGGGACCTTCAAGCAGCGTGCCCTGGAGGTTGAGGTAAGGCTACAGAGGATTTCAGCATTGACATTTTGTTGACTTGGGAAAGGCATCCCGCTGCGCCGGCTGGTGGGATTCCATACTTCCTTTGCTTCCCATTTTTGAAATTCCGGCGACATGGTGGCGGTTCATCAGAATGCATCTCATACTACGGTGCTCCGCCGCACTGACAACGCAACCGCTTGCTCGCCCCAACTTTTATATGCGAATAATCAGAGTTGCCAACCGAATGACGTGAGCTTACATAAGGCCATCCCAGATCAGGGAAACGCGGACCGGGATCCCGTTCCCGTTGGGCCCTTTTTGCTCTCAAGAGATATCATTCGAAGCAATTGCAATGGGGACGGGCCAGGCGTGAGGCAGTGTTCCGGAATCTTCTCAGCATGAAGCATGGCATCATCGTGAAGTGAGGAATGTGGATTCGCAAACAGCACCAATGCATAATGTCTCACATCTCCCGGGAGGCTTCAAGCACCAAAGCTACCCGTATCCGATCAGATGGAACCTATTTTTGATCTATCGGAGAGCGTCCTCCGTAGATCGAGCTCTCCTGTGAGGAAAAGCACCAGAGTTGTTCATCCGTCCTAGTTATCTTCCTCGTTACGGAGCATTTCTCATCATCAGAGAAGCGCGAGAGATCCTTGATAGAAAGGCGTCCAACTTCTTGGCATTAAGGACCGCTTTTCAGGGGACAACGGCCATTATTGTGCAAAGCGGCATGATCCATGCGCCTGAGATTCTGATCCATACCCAGGGTATCCCTCCCCGGGTACGAAGTGCACCGTTGAATCGCCAATCACACCTCCTTCGGGTAATTGGCTCCTGTTTGTCACGATCCGTCAACAGGGGTGATGGCGGAGAAAGAACAAACAGCTGGAGTCGCTAGCTCCGCTGCTTGTAATTTCACTAACGATGGACTCATTTTATACTTCCAACGGTGTCTTGCAAGCGTGAACATGTTGGAAACGATGTTTCGCTTGTCCCTGATCTTCAGAATGCCACTATCAGGGACCTTGGGCTTGAACCCGGGAATCAGAATCCGAATCCCGGAATGACCAACGCCCTAGCGACTCTCGAGAAGGCCCCCTGCCTGTCTCCGCTCACTAGAACGATGCGAGGCGATATAGAGTCCTCCGTAATTCGCTTTCGTTTGAAGTAATCATCATCGAATACTGATTGAAGCCGTTTGTTTGCCATGTGGCAGAGAGCGGCTTTTTAGAGCCCGCCGTTCGGTTTCCTGGTCTTCGGGGCACTTTAGGGTTGGTTAGTCCTGCTGAAGTGGAGGCGCCAACTCCCCGTTTTGTTGCTACAGGGCCCCATCACGCTTCAGCCTTTTTTCCTCAACCTCACAGCTGCAGGATGACTATCCCTGTGATGCGTTTCAAAAATTCCATTTTCCTCATTTGGAAAATTGTGTCCCCGGTATCCGAAATCGGGCACTCTCATTCAAAGCTTGGAAGAAAACCTGAAGGTATCCTTTTGGTTTCGCACTCCCAATGACTTCTGCTTGGGTGAATTCTTTAACTCTTGATGGCGCACTGTCTGCTTTATATAATAACCTATATCGTCTTGGTGCTCTTGCTTCGATAGGAGTTTTCAGTGCTGGTATGTTATGAGGATGTGAACCTCGTGCAAGTCCTTGAATAGATGGGATGGACTCCTCTTGCTCAGAGCTTTGGAATGGAAGACCAGGAGGTACAATGCCTGCCCATCATACATAACTTGCCTCCGCTTTGAAGCTGATACACTCACCGGTAGCAAAACAATAAACATTGTTTACAGCCAAGAGTCGGGACGTCCCGTTAATCATGACAGCTTCTACCTTGGGATATGCGTGTTGCATTGGCTAGCATGGGCAATTTACGACATTTCCAATCCTTTCAAGGGTGGCTCCCTCTTGCTACGACATTGTGAATCACAAGAGCTTACGTTCTTTGACCTCCTAAAAAGGCAGTAAACTCCGCCTGTGCAATAATACCCCGGATTCCGAGTGAGTTTGAAAAGTACACAAAAGAGCGTCACGATATTTTCGGCGACATCCTTGCTATACCCCCTGCACGTTGCTTGCTGCCCCTTGCGAGCAACTAATAGCGGCTGTGCAAGCATGATGAGCTATTGAAGTTTGGGCCGTGCATGATGTACGACGCATGAAAGCCACGACTAAACAAATGACGTGGAACAACGATGTGTGAGAGAGGCTCTCAATATCAACAGCGCTCAACGCCTTGGTAGTTGGCCGGTCCGTCAATAAAGTTGGAAGGATCAATCGCCGTATGCTTCGGTTTGGAGCCGGGAGAAGCAACCGTTTTCAAATATGAAGATCATTTCGTGGCAAGCTCGATGTTAGCTGTTCGCAAGGGAGAGGGCTGCCGATGCACAAGGCGCACTGCCTGGAGCGGAAAGATATAACTGTCGGCGGTTCCGGCCTACTAATATTAATCACCCATGGCCTGTAAGGCAAGGGCCCTGCGCGGCTGAATGCTTTTAGCTCCGTTTTCTCCGAGGGAGCGCCAGGATGAGTGCTTCAGGGCATGCTAGGCGTTGGACGATTTACTATCAGTATGATAAAAAAAAAAACCAGCCCTTGGTTTTGCATGGAGAGCTCAGTCTTCTGTTGGCTGCCCGGAGGTTGAAAGCTTGCTGTTAATCAATTCAACGTTCCATATTGATACAAAGAGATGGGTTATTGTGCAAAACTATTCTTTGGTAGCATCGAGAACTCTTGGATGCCGATTGGAGGGCCTTGCCATCGATGAGAAAGTCGATAGTTATGTGACGGGGGTATACGACTGTAGCATTGGGCGTGGATTCGTTTGGTAGCTTGGAAGGTAATGCTGAGTTTGCTCTCCAAGTGTGAATATTCGTTCAGGGGCTGCCCGGGCCTATAAACGCCTATCCTAAGGCCCTTATTCATGCACATATATATACCAAATCCATTACTGACAGCAGTTGAAGCTTCCGAGCTTATAGGACAAACCAGTTCTTTCGGTTGTATGGCCTTGCTGGTTAGCACAACGTTATTTTGCTCATAGGTAAATCGGCATCACAAGGTCATTGTCATCAGCATGTGCAAAGCTACTTGACAGACTGGGAAACGGATGCAAGGAAACAGTGTTCCGGACATTTATTTTCAAACAGAATGAATGAAAATTAGTATTAAAATGGTGTGTAATAAAGGGTAACCTGGGCCGCTCTATATATATGGTAGTTAGGATAAGGAAGAATACAAAAGGGAAATGAAAATGAGAACAAGAAAAGTCGGTTCACTGTCATCCGCATCTCATCAGACATCCCTTCATTGCATCACTCTGGCTTCCTTCCGACCATGAGATACATTGGAGTGAAGAGCTTCAATTCACCACCTTTGACCAAGCAGTCCGCCGCATACGCCAAGCTATCTGCAGTCTTCTGTGATCCCTTGGGGAATAAGCCAAACGTTTCCATGCCTCCCATAAACTTATGGACCAAACCACGTCCCCACCATGTCATGCGTGCAATGGTAAGGACATCCCAAAGGGAAGACATGTGTTTCCAGGAGCCAGCCAAGGGATAATACCATGGGATATCATCGTCGCGGTCGGCCAGATCCTCGGCTTTGATGAGCTCGAAGCCAGCTGCCTTGAAAGCTTCGAGAGCTTCAGTTGCCTTGACCATGTTCGAAATACCGTCTCCTTGCTCGATACCGAGTCTGATCTCGCGATGGACAGGATCATCGTTATTGTAAGCATCAGTCATGACCCATTCGTAGACAGCGAAAACACCGCCGGGTTTCAACGAGTTAAAAATCTGAGTGTAAACGCCTTCGAGCGATGGCGCATGGACGGTGGCTTCGATCGCATACGCAGCGTCAAAGGTTCCAGGTTCGAAAGACATTTGCATGAAATCACCCTTCGTGAAACGGAGCTGTTTGCTCAAGCCTTCCTTTTGCGCATACCGCGTGGCTCGCTCGATTTGATAATCGTTGTTATTCAAGCCAACAATGTTGACGCCGGCAAACTTGGCGATTTCTCTCGCGGGACCTCCAACTCCACAACCAACATCGAGCACCATTTGGCCTTCTCTCAAGCCCATAGAGTGCGCGAGGTAATGCTCATGGCGAGCGATGGCCTGGCGGAAAGGTTCACCGTACGCGAAACGGCAGAAGTGAAAAGAGCCTCCCCATCCATATTCATACATGTCCGTGGCCAAATTATAGTAACTGTTTACAAAAGAATAGTTAGTTACTATGCCCAGCCGGTTACCATCAAAGTACTTGAGATAGAACGATGATGAAGCTTCGGACAACCTACTGTCTCGTTAATGTTGCATACTGGGCTCTTCTGGCCTATTATTAAACATAGTTAGACGAATCTCAAGAGCAAGACACTCAAATCCATGAAACCCACTTCTCTGATTTCTTCTGTTTCATCTGCAGATGGTTTCTGGTCCCAATGCTTGAAATATTCATCCAAAGCCGCTTCCTGTGCCTTCTTGTCCTTGGCCATCATTGCCCTCAAACCACCACGAGTACTAGCAGATTGGCCATGAAGAGCTTTGTTGAATGCGGCATCACGGGCATGATCTTCCTGTTCAAGCTTTGTTGGTGCCATTTTGTCGAAACACTGAGCGTGGTCGACGGGGAGGAAAGGGTGGTAAGGATCTCGCAATGGCGAAGTAAAAAGAGCAAGTCGAAAAAGACAATTGAGAAAGTGAGCAAGGCTTCTGTCAAATATAATGTGGGACTGTGGTTGATGAACAGTCTGGAGAAAAAAGCTGGTTTCGCAAAGGGGGCAATGAAAAGTTGTGGAGAAATAAATTGCAAGCTTGCGATTAGTCTCCAGGGTAAACTGTGGCTTGGCTCAGAGCTCTAAATAGAGTTGCAAGGTTTGAGCCAATCAGATCGGGTGTTGGCGAAAGATTACACGATAGCATACCGTTATACTGAGATAGGAATGGCAAATACCAATATTACAAGTCGGAAATTCGAATTTCCGTTGAGCCGAGCCAAAATCACGCCACTTTTACATAACAGATACACGCTAGTCAGAAATAGGTTAGCTGTTGATCATGTAATGCTTTGATTACATAAGGGTAATCAATCTTGGCATCTGGCTGTTATTTTCATCATCATCGAGATCATGAAGCATCGCAGCCCATAGCTCCAGTCAAAATGCCTCCGCAAATCAAACAGGATATTAACCGATCAGGGTGGGAAACAACAGATTTTCCTTCCGTCTGCGAACAATGTCTCCCTGAGAATCCGTACGTCCAGATGCTCAAGGAAGATCACGGCGCCGAATGCAAGATATGTACCCGCCCGATGACAGTGTTCCGGTGGAAGGCCGATAGAACAGCCCGAACAAAAGCTACAAACATCTGTTTAACCTGCGCACGCCTGAAAAACTGCTGTCAGTGCTGCATGCTTGATTTATCGTTTGGACTACCGATTGTCGTGCGTGACGCGGCGCTGAAGATGGTCGCGCCTGGCCCGCAGAGCTCAATCAACAGGGAGTATTATGCGCAGGAGCACGAAAAGGAGCTCGAAGAGGGCCGGGGTGCGGTGGAGGAATATGAAAAAACCGACGAGAAGGCCCGCGAATTATTAAGGAGATTAGCAAGGAGCGAACCCTACTACAAGAGACAACGTCGATTAGAGGCAAGCGGGGCTACAGAGGAAGCTAGCGCTGGGGGTGCGCCGGCTGGTCAAAGACAAATAGGGTACGGGCCGGCCCCGGGGCCTATTAGAACGAGTGACATTCGTCATGGAGGCTTTTCTGGTCGTGGAAGAGGAAACGCGACCCGCGGGCGCGGTGGTCGGTCGTTCCCAAGCGCCGCCCAACTACCACCGGGGCCACAAGATATTCTTCCTCCCGCCGATCCAAACATCACATCCCTCTTCCTTACGGGTGTCGAAGACGACCTCCCTGAACATGCTATTCGAACATTTTTCAGCCCCTTTGGTACGATTCGCTCTCTGATCTGCTCGCATAGATCGCATTGCGCTTTCGTCAACTACGCTACCAGAGAAACCGCAGAAGCTGCAGCCGCTCACTGTCAGGGAAAAGCCGTGATTCAGGGATGTCCGTTACGAGTACAATGGGGTAAACCGCGGCCGTTGGATAACATGGAACGAGACGAAAGGATGCAATACGCGCGGGAAGGCAGGCAAACTGCGGCTGCTATCAAAGCTGCCGGTAGTGGAAGGAGGACTATTGAGAATGCAGCGGAAGGTGATGAAGACCAGGGTAGTGTTGGATTAACCCAGAAGCCCACTTATGCTGTTGCTCCTCCTCCTGGAAAAGAGGAGGTGAAGTACGCTAGCATGGCTGGTGATTAATGCCACCGGTCTAAAGTTCGTTTATGATATGCCTGCATCGTGATTCCCTGAAGCGCCTGTAAATTATACACCAGGTGTTCGTTCTTTTGAATTCTATCTTACACTGTTCACTGATGAGGAGAATTTCTAATTCCCGCTTTGAGGGTATCCCACACATCCTCGTAGCATATATACATGAGATGGTCTCGCCATACCTCTTAAACGCCGCTAGCGCCAAATATTCATGCTCCCATAACCATTTAAAGCTCTGCTTTAGAATTGAGCCGCTGTATACCACTTTCTGTGCCAGTTCGGAACTGCTACTTTGAGCAGGGCTTCACCTTTACCGTTTCCTTTCCCGCCGTCTTGATCGTATCATTATCGCCTCGCTCGATATGCTCGTGTATCCTCAAAGCTATTTTCAGGTCAGCATTCGTCCTCTTTATAATCAGGGTAGCGAAACCTACAATAATGATCTACTTTCTCTCCTTGCTCATTAACGACCTCCGTTTTCTCTCCTTGCACTATATTCGATTTTAGAATATGTGCTACTTCGAGCGCATTATGAATCATTGACGGCGTGTTTTCGCTTTGCTCCCGGTTCGTATCGAACTGCTTGCGGGCTTCGGCACGAGCGGCGTGCATCATTCGATGGTCACCTGGCGGAAAATACGTATTAGCCTCCGAAATGCATTGGGAAATGGGAGCATATGGTACCTTCGAATGCGATCCGCATTGCGCGGAGAAGCTGACGATAGGCATTCAGCCCATGCACCGGAGATGCCATTCGAGGAAATGCGCCCGCTCTGGCTGGCGCAGGGGTCAAAGTTGGGATAAAGATGAATGGCAAACTATCGGAGCAAGTAGTAGTAATCTATGGCCCCGTAAATCACCCTTTTGTACGCCGTATCGTTTTCACAAATCTGAAGACTGAAGGCCATGCATCCCGAATGGAGCGCAAAGGTCGGCGGAATGCGGCTTGTCCCAGAAGGGTTTAGCGCTGTCCAGCCGAGCTTCCAAAGAAAAAAAAATATTTCTACAAAACTGTGTATCCAACGCGGGACGAATTCTGAGGTTTCAAAACAAAAGCTATTCAGGTAGCTAACGACGTTTTATCAAATGGCGACTCCTGAAGTTGTGCATCTCCCATTGCCTCACTTGCCCGAGGGTTGGGACGGCGGTGATAAAGGCTTCAAAGTCCTCGGCAGCTTGACGCCTGCAAGCCAAAGAACTGTTGAGCCTGTTGGACCGCACTTTTTAGCTCATGCTCGCAGAGTACGTACAATGATATATCCCAGGGCATGCTAGGATTAGACTGACGGGTTGGTTAACTAGAAACGTCACCACCGCACATTCTCCGAAGACGACCGCATCCTCGCCCAGGAAAACGTGAAGAAGGTCGAAAATGAAGATGATGGCGAGATTTCTGAGCCTGAGGACCCAATTATGCTCCAGAGAGACGCTAAAGATTGGAAGGTATTTCTTGCCTCGCACTCTGCTTCTCGAATCCCTGACGACATACTCACATTTTGATAGGGACAAGATCACTACGCAGTTCTCGGTTTAAGCAAATACCGCTACAAGGCTACCAACGAACAAATCAAGCGTGCGCACCGCAAGAAGGTCCTTCGCCACCATCCCGATAAAAAGGCAGCTTCCGGCGATTCAGACGAGAATGACAACTTCTTCAAGTGTATCCAGAAAGCCACAGAGATCCTGCTTGACCCGGTGCGTCGCCGACAATGGGATTCGGTTGACGAGTTGGCCGATGTTCCGCCACCCGGTCCCAAGAAGAAGGGGGACTTTTTCAAACTCTGGTCCCCGTTCTTCGAATCTGAGGCACGATTCTCTAAAATTACACCTGTGCCAATGCTGGGTGACGATAACAGTACAAAGGAGGAAGTTGAGGAGTTTTATAATTTCTGGTACAATTTTGATAGTTGGAGATCATTCGAGTATGAAGACGAAGATGTTCCGGATGACAATGAGAATCGTGACCACAAACGTCACGTTGAACGCAAGAATGCCAACGCGAGACGGAAGAAGAAGACCGAAGACACGGCCCGTCTGCGCAAAACCGTAGATGATGCTCTTGCCGCTGATGCTCGTATCAAGAAATTCCGTCGAGAAGAACACGCCAACAAGAACAAGCGCAGACTAGAGCGAGAAGCGGAGGCCAAGCGTCTTGCCGAAGAGAAGGAGAAGGCTAAACTGGAGGAGGAGCGCTTGCAGAGAGAGCGTGAAGAAGCTGCCAAGGCCGAAAAGGCGGAAGGGAAAAAGGCCAAGGAGGCCGCCAAGAACGCTGCGAAGAAGAACAAGCGTGTTTTGAAAGCAAGTGTGAAAGACGTCAACTACTTTGCCGATTCTGGTGACGCGTCTGTGGCACAGATTGATAATGTGCTGGGGGATGTGGAACTTATCATGGCCAAGATCAATAATGAAGAACTCGCCGCGCTCGCGGGAAAGCTTGGCCAAGCTGGCAAGGACATGGCCGCTGTCAAGGCGGTGTATGTCGAAGAAGCGGCGAGATTGGTCGGAGCAGGTCAGATAAAGGATGCAGATATCAAGATCTTCAAAGCTTAGAGTGGGTTTGGTCATGTGTAACGAGAAAAAGCGATAGAGTTCCTCCGTCTTATTATGATTCTGCCTTTGGGGATCCATGCGCTTTTCAAACAGGATACTTGGTCGTTTCATCAGTGGGATGTACGACTTTCTCATGTGTACTCTGTAGTTTCCCTGATATTTCGGTGATCGTCAAGATTCTTTTGCACGGTGTCTGAGTCGTAGAATCTATCAGCCTTGTCTGCAAAGAGGATGCGAGTAGAGCTGGCTCGCTTTTCTTCAGTTTGCTCCATTAATTCGAGAGTTGGAGGTTGTCTTGTGTTACTGATGATAAGTCCACCAACTTACGATTCGCGAAATCAAGGCGTGGGATTACACATTCTTCCATCTTTTAGATATCTGGAACCTCTTAGATGTCGGGCCCAACTCCACTTCAAGCCCGCATGAATGAGCTCAGAGAGTGATCTCAAAGCTGCCTTCTTTATCTCATGCGGGAATCGAAGCCAGCTCAAATCACATGTCAATTGAACACGAACATCAGTTGACTCGCAAGGCTGCATTTGCTGGCATTCGTTATACCCAATCGGAAAGTTGTAGCCTAGTTGAATCAATTATTTCTTGGCGTAAAAAGATCAGTTTCAGGCTTTTGGAGACGGAGCCCCTAGTTATAATTGGTATACACGGAAACACATGAGGAACGAAAGTCCACGTCCAAGTGCGAGGGCTGTGGATCATGGATGTGCAAATCAACAAGAGATCTGCAGGATGGAGGACTATCGGTTGGACAAAGGACATGGTGAATTGTTTTAGTAGGAGTGAGTGGCGTCATGAGAAATCAAGTGGTTGTGCTGATGTGATAGTGTGAGCTGGTGTAGGGTCGTGAGATCTCAGATGACAATGTCTCAACGTGTGTGTGCCAGTCCAAAAGAACTTTCGAGTTGAAGCTGGATGTCGGTTGGCGTAGACGCGCGGCTTTCGTGTCCAATGGGAAAGGAGCCGATTTGGCGCCAAGCTTCCGGAGTCTAGAGCCGCTCTAACGCCAATTGGACTAGCCGGGCTCCTTGCTCTCCACGTGCCCAGGAACCGCCAAAATTTTTTTCTTTCGCTCGTGAAAGCCGCTTTGAAAACAATAACACGCCGAAGAGCAGACTGGAGAAGTACTCGTCGTACGTATTTCATCAAAATAACATGTCCCTCAGGTGAGTCGCGATGGCCGGGTAGCAAACCCCGGGATATCATTTCCTAATTGAGGGCCAGCATTAGTGCTTGTGACTCGGGTGTGCTGTTCTCCTCCTCCGATCCCCAAAACCCACTATTGGGCGGGAATCAAGCGAGGAGCTCCCAAGAGCAATGCGCCTTGCATCCCCATCACTCAACATATGAGTTTGGGGGCCAATGGCATTGCTGGCCGAATGGAGAGTTCTTGGTTTGACTTCAAATCAGCTTCACGGTTTCAAGGCAAGCCATCACATGAGCAGCGCGATATCCGTATCGTACTGTCACAAACGACGAAGATAGTTCTAGATCTGTAATTTTCAGCGGTTTGGGAAAGCTTATCTTGGCTTAAAGTAGGGTTTAAACCCTAAGCGGCCTTAGCCTCCTGTCAATTGTGGCCGCCCTTTGGCTGGGTTATCGCAGCAAAATTGCTCGCATTGCAGACCGCTTTTGCCATTCAGACAAGGGGTCTCTGATACCGCAGCCGGAATCATGCCAACATGCATCACAGAGCGTCTTTGGCTCGTGTTTGAAGCACCAGCAAGACATCGTACATGCATGTATTTACATGTTCAGACATGTAAACTGACAAGTGCGACGCTGGCCTTCCAACGGTTCTCAAACTCCCTTTTTCATGATTTTTCTCCACTCCCGCTAACAGGGTGGAGCCAACCAGGCCCGGTATTGGGTCATGCGCTCGTATTGTATGTAAATTTTGTTTTTCCTCGCCTTTAGCAACGGCTACCTGACAACAGCCGTGCTGCCCACCACGCCAGCCAGGAAGGAAACACCATGAGTCGGGGGAGATGAGAGGAGAGCAGGAGAGAATGGCGACTCCGTCTTCCCGGCAATGGATGGTTTCGTCTTCAACGTCGGGGATCTCGCCATCCCGGGTTCTGTCTTATCACGCAATTGAGCGGAGTAATCGACTGCTCCCACCGTCCTCCCTTTGCCACTTGCCGAACCTTCCAGTCCATAATGCATGGATCGACTGTTACTAGCCTGGGATTGAGAGATCAGTCCAAAATGCTTGGCTCCGGCCTTTCTCCTCTTCTCCTCGATCCGCATATATTACCCCATCTGCCCCCTCCCTTCTCTTTGCTCCTTATTCCCTCTTGTGCAAGCCTTGATACCCTATTAGCCGCTCATCCATCCTTCTGAAGCACCATCTCCGTTGGCCCAGCGTCTATCTTTATTTCTTTTATAATCAAGCGGCTTTTTATTTGTATTTGACCCCGCTGCCTCGAGCCTCATTTCAATCTAGCTCTAAGCATTCGCCACCTGAATATCATACAATCCTAATCTCAGCACAGAAGACGCCAGCAACAGACGCTATGGATACTACAAAGAAGCCCAATATCCTTTACATTATGGCAGACCAGATGGCTGCCCCCCTTCTCTCTATTTACAACTCTTCCTCCCGGATCAAAACCCCTAATATCGAGACGCTTGCGGAATCCGGCGTGGTTTTTGAGTCAGCATACTGCAACTCTCCTCTCTGCGCACCCTCGCGCTTCACTATGGTCAGCGGACAGCTTCCATCACGAATTGGTGGTTACGACAACGCCAGTGATCTCCCAGCCGACACCCCTACATATTCCCATTACCTGCGAGCGCAAGGCTATCACACAGCACTGTCTGGGAAGATGCATTTTGCAGGACCCGACCAGCTACACGGGTATGAGGAACGACTAACTAGCGACATTTATCCTGGTGATTACGGATGGACTGTGGATTGGGATCAGCCGGTGAGTGAGAACACAAGTGACAAAGAAGACGGAACAGGGAGGCTTTTGATGTAATCCTTGGTCCCCTTGATCTTCTATTATCGTTCTTGAGGTGCGTTGTTAGACATAATACTAAAAACGGTGAACTCGAGCAGGAGCTGCGCAAAGACTGGTATCATGACATGTCCTCAGTGATGGAAGCTGGCCCGTGCGTTCGCAGTAACCAGCTCGATTTCGACGACGAAGTGGTTCACAAAGCTACGCAATACCTCTATGACCACGTTCGCTACCGTACTGGTCAGCCATTTTGCCTTACTGTTTCCATGACACATCCACATGATCCTTATACTATGACCAAAGACTACTGGGATATGTATGAAGATGTGGATATCCCACTTCCCCAGACTCCTGCGCTCCCCCAAGACAAGCTTGATCCGCACTCACAGCGCGTAATGAAGATTGTCGATTTGTGGGACAGGGAAATCCCTGAAGAGCGTATCAAGGCTGCCCGTCGCGCTTATTTTGCTGCTTGTACCTATGTGGATACGCAAATTGGCAAGCTGATGACCGTTTTGAAGAATTGTGGCTTAGCGGATGATACCATTGTTGTATTTACAGGAGACCACGGCGATATGCTTGGAGAAAAGGGGCTGTGGTACAAGATGGTGTGGTATGAAATGTCTGCCAGGGTGCCAATGATTGTATCTGCTCCTGGAAAGTACCAACCGAAACGGGTCAAAGAGAATGTATCTACTATGGATCTACTACCCACATTCGTTGCTATGAGTGGTGGCTCTGTTGACCCCACCTTGCCGCTTGATGGTGTCTCATTGATGCCTTACCTCGACGAGAGCTCCAGTGGTGAGAAGACCGATACAGTATTGGGAGAGTACATGGCAGAAGGTACATTGGCTCCAGTAGTCATGATCCGTCGCGGCCCATGGAAATTCATCTACTCGCCCATTGATCCGCCCATGCTCTTCAATGTGGAGGCCGATCCTACCGAGTCTACCAATCTTGCTGAAGGTATCCAACTGCCATCCCATCACGTGGCAGTGAAAGATAGCTGTCCCCAAGCAGCAGCGCCTCCAAAACCCACAGGCCCAGCGCCGCTTCCGACACCTGTGACGTCCCCCAGCCCTCAAACCCTACCCGTCCCATTCTTTTCACAGTCAAACACTTCCAATCCTGCCATTTTCACTCCACCTCGCAGTCCAAGCCCCAACAAGGCTACCACCGTTGCGCGTGGTGCGATTAAGCCTGCCGAACTAGCCGCCCTGCTAGCTTCGTTCCACGAAGAGGTTCACGCACGCTGGGACTTTAAGCGTATCCATCAAGAGGTTTTGCACTCTCAGCGCCGCCGTCGACTGGTATATTCTGCTCTGATTGAAGGCAAAATCACGGCCTGGGATTACACGCCTCCAACAGATGGAAGCCAGATGTATATCCGCAACGTTGGACAGAGCGCGTTGGGAAATGTTGAGTTTTTGAACCGCTGGCCAAGAGTTGGGAGGGAGGTGCAATTTCGGCCATGAAGATGGAATAGGCAAAGGAATTTGGTGAACGGTTTCCGAGCAACACCTTCGACCAGCAATTTTTTGATCTAGCGAGAACGCAGAATATGGGCGGAGAAGACGAAAACGGGGTCGAGAAAAGATAACCAGAAAAAAAAGAAAAAACACGGAAAACTATTGAAAATCATTCAACATGCAATTCACGGCGGTGAAACCCCCCATGAGTGGGGATTCGGAAAAACCAACCACAGTACACAAAAAAATGGGAAATATCATTAACTAACTAGTATACTCCGTATTCAAAGGAGCTTTATCTGCCATGACTTCTTGGCCGAAGTGCGCGGTGGATGGTAGGCGGATATCCAGGAAGCCGGGTTACTCTCAGCTTTTCGTCCTGTCATCTAAAGTATTCTTAGTTGGATAGTTAAATTGAAGACGATATTTATATTTGGAAGGAAACAAGGATTGGATCCATATTCTGCCTTGATAACTAACGCGAGCCGTAGGAAAGCAAGACGCCCAGTCTACACCTTTATCACTATCTCAAGGTACATAAACCGGATCCCGGGCAGCTAAGATTCGGCTTCGGCTCGGCTGAGGTAGTTAGTCACGTGCCGCTTATGCTCGGCCCGATCTTGGTGTCTAACCTGATTCGGGCAAGAGTAGCTTATCTAACCAGGGCTTCGGACCCCGCCGACGTCAGTTGACGAGGCTGTCTTGCTTTCTCCAGGACGACATATAAAAGGCCGGTTTGATCCATAGCATCGCGCTCATTTGAAATGCAGGCTGATGAGGTGGCTTGGGATGCTTCTTACTGCTAGGCACTTGGTGTTTCTCCCAGTATAGTTAGTTCTGAAAGACCCAGCTTGCTACCTAACTTTTTTCCGTACATTCTTTTGGCCTGATACGTTTGTGAGACTGCCAGCTTCTCCGGAATCAGACGTATCTACCTGCTTTTCTCCTGGCGCTTTACTTTTTGTTTTTAAGAATATACCCATTCCATATCTATTTTAGGGTGCTTTGTCTCTATTTTTGATAGTCCGCCATCCTTTCGATAAGGCCTAGTTGAACGGCTCCTACCGTTCTTATAAAATATCATGAACGGTAGTAGATCAACAAATGGCTCCAAAGGAGGATACTCGCGGACAGTATACTATGGAACCTTTCTGAACGTGACTCGTGGGCCGGACACACAGGCAACGCCAAACTTGCCCCCAACCTATCGACTAGTTGTTAATCACGGTGCCTTGTGGGTAAACGAAACAGAAGGCAGGATTGAAGGTTTTGACTGGGAAGTACAAAGTGAAAACGAGTTGTCTCAACTAATCGAGAGGCATGGATGGGACCTGAATGGAACGGAAAACGCTGGGACATTTGTGAACATTGTGAGGTCAAGGAAGGAGAGAAACGGCTTCTTTTTTCCAGGGTTTGTGGGTATGTCGACTCCGTTCTCCGTAGAATAACATCGGAAGGGGGAACGCGCGATAGTTTTGAGCTTATCCATCTGCACCTCCTCCGCTGCTCGTCATGCAAGCCTTCTTTGAAATTGGACCAGGAGCCAGTTACACGAAACTGACGCTCAGGGCACAGATACCCATATTCATGCTTCGCAATACCCCAACTCTGGCATTTTTGGTTCGTCAACGCTGCTTGATTGGTTAGAGACCTATACATTCCCATTGGAGTCGTCCTTTGGAAACAAATCAGATCCTAATATTGCACCTCAAAAGGCGTACACTGCCTATAACCGAGTGGTAGCTCGCACCCTTTCACATGGCACCACGTGCGCTGCTTATTTTGCTACAATTCATGTCCCCGCTACCAATCTCCTCGCTGATATATGTCATGCTCGCGGCCAGCGAGCTTTGATCGGCCGCGTCTGCATGGACAACCCGGAAACCTGTCCAGGCGACTACCGCGACGAGTCCAGCGAGCAATCCATTGCCGCCACCAAAGCCTCAATGGCACATATCCGTTCTCTAGACCCAAGCGGCCACCTCATCCGCCCGATCATAACACCCCGATTCGCCCCATCCTGTACTCTTGAAACGCTCTCCAAACTCGGCGCCCTCGCAGCCTCAACGTCCCCACCAACGCACATTCAAACGCACATCTCCGAAAACAAAGAAGAGATTCAACTTGTTCTATCCCAATTCCAGCAGTGCAGCAGCTACGCTGAAGTATACGACAACGCCGCACTTCTCACCTCGCGCACCATCCTTGCGCATGGTATCCATCTCACACAAGCTGAACGCGAGCTGATTCATGCCCGTGGCTCGGCAGTTTCTCATTGTCCCGCGTCCAATTCGGCGATTGGATCGGGGTTATGCCCGGTGCGGACGTTGCTGGATGATGGCATACCTGTCGGCTTGGGTACGGACGTAAGCGGAGGGTATAGCCCGAGTATTCTGGAAGCAGCGCGGCAGGCGTGTTTGGTGTCCAGATTGGTGTCTTTCCAGAATGGGGCTGCTGAGAAGCAGGAGTCGAGCGCTAGCGGCCGGGAGAAGCTGAGTGTTGAAGAGGCACTGTATTTGGCCACGCGTGGTGGTGCGAAAGTGGTTGGAATGGAGGATGATATTGGTGGATTTGAGAAGGGAATGTTCTGGGATGCGCAAATGATTGAGCTAGGCGGAGTGATAGGAAAGGACGAGGATGAGGAGGATAGGGGAAATGTGGATATTTTTGGGTGGGAGAATTGGGGAGAGAAAATTGCGAAGTGGATGTGGAGCGGTGATGATAGGAATGTCAAGGCTGTCTGGGTGGGAGGAAGCCTAGTTCATGGAAAGATCCCTGGTGCATGATCTTCACTTCTGAGGGTGATGTGCTCATTGATTGGACCTGGAATTTGTGAAAGTTCGTCAACGACTTGTCCTTAACTATATTACAGCATAGACTACATCGGTATGATGTGCAGTATACCGTCAGTCAGTGACCATGTAGGGTACATGTATACTATTGATATAAATTGCTCTCTACAAGATATTGTTGAAAAGACAGCTGGTCATTATATGCACGGCTTTGTCACTTCCAGAGCTAGAGACTACGTCCCTCTAGCTATACATACCAATGAATCATTCCGCAGCTGGACTACTCGAACCTCGAAGTAGGGGATTCCGCTGCTGGTCCGCCCCTGCCAAGATCCTTGGCTTTCCGCTCCCGTGGCGCGGGAATACGTCAAATACGAACGCAAAAAGGAAATAGATTCATGAACTGGATTAATAGTTTGATCGAGAAAAGTGCCGAAAGGATATGAATAGTAACGCCTATAAAGAATAGCTAGGGAGACATGCTTTTTCTGTTAGAATGAAGACCAGGAATTAGTTGAAGAGATTCGGAAAGAAAGTGAATGATAATATTGCTCGAAGTAAATCTTTCAATTTTTGGAGTAACGGTCAGTCAATCATGAGCAAGCAGTGAAGGACAAATAGGGTATTATAATATTTTTCAGTCATAAGGTGTTGAAACACTTTGCACTTTTGGACATTACAGGTCATGTTGGGTGCTTTTTTCCGCGAGTAAGTGATTTAATTGTACACGTGACAGGAGGGGTAGCAAGGACATATCTAAAGTGCTCGTGTATGGATTCTTTCATGTTAAATGCAACGTTGCAGAGGTATCCCATGAATGTTAAAAAGGACATCAGGCATGAACGCAAGATAACGAAACGAGATAGGGATATCATTTTATTCTGTTTTTATTCTGAGTCTTCAACCGGGCCGCAAGTGCAGAAGAGGTTTTGGTCGCCGAAAGCTATATGGCAAGGTTAGTCAGTTGAAATCCATGCATTAAAGAACTCTGAGGAGACTCACCATCATCCACTCTTGTCACAGTAGGCCAGAACTTCTTCTCCAGCAACCACGGCAGTGGATAGGCTGCCTTCTCTCTCGTATACGGACGATCCCACTCCGTGGCAAGCAAGTCGCGCTGGGTGTGAGGTGCCATCTTCATCACGTTATTCTCTCTTGGCTGTTCTCCACGCTCGATCGCCGCGATCTCCTCACGGATTGAGATAAGCGCATCGCAGAATCGGTCGAGCTCAGCTTTGGGCTCGGACTCGGTGGGCTCAATCATCAGGGTGTTGGCAACGGGCCAAGACATGGTCGGCCCATGGAAGCCGTAGTCCTGCAAGCGTTTAGCGATGTCAATGGCTTCAACGCCAGCGGTGGCTTTGAATTTGCGGACATCTAGGATGAACTCGTGGGCGCAGCGGCCATTGGTGTTCGTATAGAGAATGGGATAGTGCGGCTTGAGGCGGGAAAGAAGGTAGTTGGCGTTCAGGAGGGTGATCTTAGTAGCGTGAGTGAGGCCCTTGGAGCCCATCATGTTGATATAAGAGAACGTGATCGGAAGGATGCTTGCGCTTCCAAAGGGCGCAGCAGAGATTGGAGGGGAGTCAACGGAAGATGACCGTTTGGCTAGAAGAGGTTCGCTCAGAGGATGAGAGGGGAGGAAGAGTCGGAGGTGTTCAGCAACACCAATAGGCCCAACGCCGGGCCCGCCACCGCCATGAGGAATGCAGAAGGTCTTGTGAAGGTTAAGGTGGCAGACGTCAGCGCCAATCTCTCCGGGGGAGCAAAGGCCAATTTGAGCGTTCATGTTGGCGCCGTCCATGTACACCTGACCGCCATGCTCGTGAACGATATTGCAAACTTCCTTGATAGTGGGTTCATAGACGCCGAATGTGCTAGGATAGGTGACCATGATTGCCGCCAGCTCGTCTTTGTGTTTCTGGCACTTAACGCGAAGGTCTGCAAGGTCGAGATTTCCGGTGGCAGTGTCGCACTTCACCGTGACAACTTTCATACCAGCCATGGCAGCGCTGGCAGGGTTGGTACCATGCGCAGAAACAGGAATCAAGCAGATATTCCTCTTTCCGGGTTCACCAATGCTATCTTGGTACTTCTTGATAACTCGCAAGCCTGCGAATTCTCCTTGAGCTCCAGAGTTGGGCTGAATGGTAACTTCGGCCATGCCGGTAATATCTGCTAACTGTTGTTCCAAGTCCTCGACCATGTCGACATAACCTTCCACCTTTTGAGCGGGAGTGAAGGGATGCATGGTCGAGAACTCTGGCCATGTGATGGGGACCATTTCCGTGGTGGCGTTCAATTTCATGGTGCAGGATCCGAGAGGAATCATGGAATGGGCAAGAGATAGATCTTTTGACACAAGGTGCTGCATATAGCGCAGCATTTCGGTTTCGGAATGGTGGGTGTTGAATACAGGGTGGGTAAGATAGGAAGACGTCCGCTTGACGCTTGCAGGAAGTTCGATAGACGGAACATCCTTGACGTTCAAAACTTCGGCTCCACCCTTCGAAGAAATACTTGCAAATACAGACAGGAGTTCTTTCAACTCATCGACACCGACACTCTCGTCCAGCGAGATGCCGACCTTGGTGGGGCTCACTCGTCGAAGATACAATCCCGAATTTAGAGCAGAGGTGACAATCGAATCTGCCTCGGAGGCGTCTTTGGCCTCAATAGTTAGGGTATCGAAAAAGGCATTTCCTCTCGCGAGCACGTTGAATCCTAACAGCTCCAGATTCTGGCGCAGAAGAGTGGTCAACGCCATGATACGTTCGGCGATGGCCTTCAGGCCCTTTGGGCCGTGGTATACGGCATACATGGCAGTCATATTGGCCAAAAGAGCTTGCGCCGTGCAAATGTTGCTAGTGGCCTTTTCTCTGCGGATATGCTGTTCGCGGGTCTGTAGGGCTAGTCGCAAGGCTCGGTTGCCGAGGCGATCTTTGGAAACACCAACAATACGGCCAGGGATCTTACGCTTGTACTTATCAGTGCAGGCGAAAAAGGCGGCATGAGGACCACCAAAACCCATGGGTACACCCAATCGCTGTGCGTTTCCGAATGCAATGTCGGCGCCAAATTCTCCAGGAGCTTTCAGAACAGTCAAAGCGAGGAGGTCAGTGGCAACCGAGAAGGTCCCGCCTTGGGCATGGATTTGGTTGCTCAGGTTTTCAAAGTCGAGAACTGCTCCCTCGGTATCGGGATACTGCGCGAGGACACCAATTAGTCGATCTCCTTGACCCTTAACAAGCTTAAAATCCTCTGCCATGATGTCGCCAATCTCCAGTCTGATGCCAAATCCTTCCGCACGAGACCTCAGGACAGCAATGGTCTGCGGGTGGCAGAGGTGCGACACAACGAAGACTTTTCCATCTTGTTTCTGCTTGCTCATAGGGAGGGTGGCCCATGACATGGTCATCGCTTCGGCGGCAGCGGTTCCCTCATCGAGGACGGACGCATTGGCGACGGGGAGACCGGTCAGGTCGGCCGTCAGAGTTTGAAAGTTTAGGAGGGATTCGAGCCGACCTTGGCTGATCTCCGGCTGGTAAGGAGTATAACTGGTGTACCAAGCAGGGTTTTCGAGAACGTTTCTCTGGATCACGGGTGGCACCACGGTCGAGTAATACCCGCACCCGATGAATGATTTACCCGTCGCGTCGATTTTTGCCTTGTACGACTCGAGCAACTTGATCATATCCTTTTCTCCAAGTCCACCCAGCACGCCGTCTTTGCGGAGTCCCGCTGCGGATTTTGGCTCGGTAACCGAGAGGTTCCTGGCAGTCAAGATATCCCCGGGAAGTACTTGTTGGACGAATTCGTCGAGGCTTTTCGCTGGAGGGTCTAAAGCACCCAGCATCTGCTCTGTGGCATCTGCGCCAGGGCCAATATGTCGGCGTGGAAATGTGTCTAGTGGAGAGAGAAGGTCCCGGGGCTGGAGGCTGTCGGTGTCGGCGCCAGAGCTCGAGTGGACGGCTCTGCGGGCTGATTGCGTCTGCTGGAAACGGGAAAGCTGCAAGCATTGCCTGCAGGCCGTCAGCGGCGACACGCGAGACGATCTGAGCGCAGCATTGCGCAGCGAATTATACGCCAGCTGGCGGGCGCCTGTTCGGAGAACCGCGAATGGTGCGACCATGATTGCAGGCTGGAGGCGCAAGTCTGCGAATCAATTGTGCAGAAAAGGGGAACCGGGGACCGAGACGAGGTCTCTCGGCACAAGCAGACACGCGAACTGCAGCAATTGAAACGAGAGGAATTGCGAACAGGTCAGAGACAGAGCAGAAGAGCAGAGAAAAGACGCAGCAGAATAAAAAGCGAGCGGGGGATGTGTCACTCGGCGGGATTGCTGCGGAACCCCAAGGTTGCTGAGGCGCGCCGCTGATTGGCTGGATATCCCTGGCAAGCCTCGGCCGATAGCAGTCACGTGCGATAACCGCGGGCCAATGGAAAACGAACCTAATAATTACTAAGCAGTTTAAGGCACATGATTGGTGGAAACGGCAAATCCGTGCTGGTGCTAGCCGCAAACAGGCAAGCGCCGAGATCACCTGACGGGAAAAGTTTTCAGGTGTATTACATAATCTCCGACGGGCAACTCAAAGCAGTTTCCCGCGTAAAAGGGGCGGTTGGAGCGAGAGAAAACTGGATTGCAGTGGATATAGATTGTGCTGAGAGCCTGGTTGATTATACCGTTGATTATTTGGCTCTTGTTCATAAGAGTTGTTTGAGCAAACTCTGGAGTTCAGGGGCTCAGGGGTTTGCGGATTATGTAAGACGGGATTTCAAGGGAGATAGTTATCAAGTCAATCAAGAGAAAAGCAGTATAGTTTCTCTGTCCTATGCAACAATTGAGTCTTGTTTTGCACGGAGCAACTCCTCCATTGTGGATGCCGTTATCTTATGGCCGTTCTGCACGGCGAATTGCCATGCCGTAAGCCCATAGTGGTCCTTGATTTCGGTGTTGGCCATGCCCTCCGTCATTAACATTCGAGCAGCAGATTCAAGCCCATTACCTGCAGCAAGATGCAATGGTGTCCACCCATAGTTATCTTGAACGTCTACAGCAGCCTTGCCATCAGCAATCAGCACCTGAGCAGCAGCTACATGATTGTGAAGGGCCGCCAAGTGGAGTGCTGTTCAACCGTCGTGGTTTTTGAGCTCAACATCCGCTTGACATTCAACAATCATCACATGCTCAAGTGTGGCAAAGCCGCGACGGGCAGCAATGTGGAGAGGTGTATGGGTGTACCCGTCTGTTGCACTGACATCAGCCTTACCCTTGGAGAACAGCGAACGAACAATTGCTTCATGGTTATCGTATGTGGCTAGATGTAGGGCAGTTTGCCCATAATTGTCTTTGGCATCAACATCAGCTTGAAACTCGGTAAAAAGGAGGGACGTCGTTGATAGCCAGCCACGGACAGCAGCCAGGTGTAGCGCTGTCTGCCCATGATCGTCTTTGGCGCCAACATCTGCCTTGCCCAAGGTAATTAGCACGCGCACTGTTGCATCTTTGCCGTTATGTGCTGCAAGATGTAGTGGCGTCCTCCCGTCGTCGTCCCTAGTCTCAATACTAGCACCAAATTCAGCGACAAGTATGCGCGCGATTGCATCATAGCCTTCCATAGCTGCGAGATGCAAAGCCGTTTGTCCATCGTGAGCTTGAACATTAGGTTCAGCCTTGCCTGTATTGATGAGAACCCGAACCGTCTCCTCCTGGCCGTGGCTGGCAGCCAAATGCATGGCTGTCTGACCGTAATTTCCCATTGCGTCAACTTCAACTGTGCTTTGAGACGCAAGGGCGAGCACAACGGCTTCATGGCCTTTCAGAGTAGCCAAATGAAGCGCTGCGAACCCGTTCTCATCCTGGGCTTGGGCATCGGCTTTGCCCTCAGTAACCAGGGCAAGAGTTGTGGCCACATGGCCATTCCGAGCCGCCACATGCAGCGGGGTCCGAGACTTGTAATCGCCTGCTTCGACGTTTGCATCTCCTTGAATGAGAATGCGGGTTACTACCTCAAAATCTTTACCGGCTGCCAAATGTAGTGGTGTTTGACCCTTGCTATCTTGGGCTTCAATATCAGCCTCACTCTCATTGATAAGCATTAGAACTGTCTGGTCGTGTCCATTAGCAGCTGCTAGGTGCAGCGGAGTCCGTTCTTTGACATTCCGGGCCATAATATCAGCGTCTGCCTCAGCTATAAGCACCTGCGCAACTTCTTTGTGGTTATTGGCTGCTGCCTTATGCAGAGCGGTCTCGCCATTAGTATCCTTGGCCTCAACATCCGTGTTCTGACTAAGGAAGAGAACTATGTCCTAGCGCCCCTTCTTCGCTGCCCAGTGCAGCGGCGTTGCCTTTTGCCTGTCCACAAGGCTGGCTTCTGCGCCGTTCGATATGAAATGCTCCACCAAAGCCATCTTCCCCGTAATAGCCGCCAGATGCAGCGGTGTGAGTCCGAGTCTGTCACTGATGGCCAAATCCTTCATATTCCATCCTAAATGGGCAATGATCTCGAATACATTATCCACCTGGGCATTTGAAACTGCGGCCAAATGCAGCGGGGTCATTCCATTTGCTTCGAGGGCAGCGGTGTTTGCTCTCTTCTTGACTAAGAGTTGCACGACCTCCTCATGGCCATAGTATACCGCCCAATGGAGCGGCGTTGAGCGACAGTTGTCGAGAATATCGACAGTTGCCCCCACCTCAATCAGGAGCTTTGCAATTGAACTGTGGCCTTTCTCTGCTGCGCAGTGCAATGCTGTCATGCCATCTCTGCCTTGCAAGTCAATGTCTGCACCGTCTTGCAACAAGGCCCATGCAATTGAAGCGTGGCCTCCCCAAGCCGCACAATGCAGCGGTGTCCATCCACACAGACTTCGCGCTTTCACTTGGGCTTGGGGATCCCATTTGCCCAAGAGGTGCCTAACACAGTCTTCAACGCCGATAAGTGCTGCATAGTGTAGAGGTATCCATCCCACCAGGTCACTGGTGCATGGGTCGTTTCCGTGCCCCAACAACTTCTCAACGCCATCGGCGTACTCCATGATCACAGAATAATGAAGAGCTGTGGGTCCAATAATGTCAACTTTAGTTTTTGCATCTGAAGCAAGCCACTCATCATTTGACAGCCAATGGAACATCATATTATAAAGCGGAAGCCCATCATACACGATTGAGATGGAATTTACATTCGAGCGTTTCTGAAGGTCAAAGACCGCATCCAAACCGCTAACTACTCTCTCATCAGCGAGAGTCAGCTCTTTGTCCATGCAAGCTTTGAATTCGACGAGTAGTTTAGTAGCCTTAACATTTCGGCATTGCCGCGTCCAGAGCTCGATTCTATTTCCAACTCTATGAGTAAACTCATATAGAGCTGCAGTAGCCTTTTTGGTGATAGGGTCGTCGTTGTCAGAAGCCATACACGTCCGAAAGAGCCAGACATAGACATCCGTGGCTCTGCTCCAATGACCAACCGCCTCGTAGCCTCCAGCGATACGCATCGCGTGGTCTAAGATGCAAGACGGCTCAGGGAGCTTTCGATGCCAACTGAGAGGCGAAATGATACTGAGATAGATGTCATTTAAGCCTTCAAAGATCCCACCTCCATGCACTTTGACAGCGTATGCAACTTCTGCCAGGATCGAGTTCCAAAGCTGGATTGATCGCAATTGATCGGTCCCTGATGGCTGGGTTTGCTGTGGATGGGCTCTTGTTTCGCCTCCGAGTTGATCCATGCCGCTTGCCACGCTCCATATAAAGACCGAGAACAAATCTCGCGCATAAAGCTTTTCTATCGGCAAATCTGACACTGTAGCAAGGTACTCTGCCACTGGCGCTGGGCTCGCCGCAATCGGAGCAGGCGTGTCGATGTCTGCAGGCAGTGGAGACAAACGAAACCTTCTCTTAGCAGGACGAGACTTGCTCTTTTTCCAAGGGTCATTGAGGCAGAAACCCACTACTCTCCTGCCTTCGATCTCAACAATCCTATTCTGGGTATCGTCGTTCGGCATGCCCTTCACAGACGCTAGCTTGGGTTCGGGAAGCCCGGGGCTATCACCGCTCAAAAGCTCTTTTGCCCTAACAACGTCTGAGGTCCCATCAACAAGGTACCAAGTTAAATCACGGATATAGCTTGGTGTTGCGTGTCCAAGTAATCGGACACATTGCGGCCTGAGGGCTTCATGTCCACTTCGAAGCCAGTCAACTCCGCCCGCCGTTGCCCAATCGTCCGGTAGCTCACTACTGGCTGCTTTCTCCGCGGTTTGCTTGACGATTTTGTCTTCCGTCTCAGCAGCATAAACCCACAGGGATAAGACGGCATCAATTTCTGCGGCGTTGGCTATCCAACGACCGTTATAGTATCGCAATGATAGAAAGATCGATCCGCAATCTTGACCCTGTACGGCCCATCTCAGCTCTCGTTTCTCCTTCCATTTATCAGGCGCAAAACGTGAATTCATGACAGCTTCAATGGAGCCTGCAAGAGAGGTAGCCAGGTCGGTTGTCGTTGTTGTCCATTTGATCAACGCTCCAATGCGCTGTCTTATCCGAACGACATCGTCGGAGCGGGTTGCTGCAGTAGTGGGCGGATTAAAGCGATGGCCCATCGGGTCGGAGACTGCTATTACACCCCATTTCCAACATCCTTCAGTCCAGATCGAATCGTCGTCATCTGTTGGATCCGTCGACCAAATCCTGTCTTGATCTTTCCCGCTGGCAGCTCGAGTAGCGAGCCAGTCGAGCTCCCGCCCATGCGGGAGCTTCTGGCTGCGAGGAGCCTTCGCCATGCCGCGACGCACGTAGGATCTCACTGCAGTCATAATCAGCGTCGCCGTTAGCTGGGCGATGGAGGCTGACCAGTGCATTACTCGAACCCCGGTGAACTGGGGTTACGAAGCCCAACCAAGCCGGAAAGCGTCCCGACTACTACAAGCGTCTGGGTTGAGATCCTTGCCCACGGAGCTGCCACCAGTATCAAGGCAAGGTCCATGACAGATTGGCGTGGCCTTTCACCACGATCACATATGAGTCAAACACTTGGTCATTGACGTTCTCCCCTCGCTGCAGCCATAAGATGCGAAAGTTTCGCGTGCCAATCGTGGTCTTCCACACCGTTTCGCGCGTACTTGACTCTACCACATATGCGCATATGAGCATCCCGATTACCAGCATGGTGGTCCCCGCAGCGTTAAGAGGGTATCCATATGGTAAGCTCGCTTCTCGTTTGATTTTGATCCCCGGGCTTGTATCGTACGCTATTATCCCGGAGAATAGGAGTGATCCTACCTGCAATAAAAAGCCAAATATAGCAAATGCTCGCGGCTCCACCGTGTTTCTTCGATCGCTCAGGTTGAGAGAAATATTAGGGAATGACCTGGTCTTCTGGCCGTGTGGGTAAAGCTTGGTTTGGGCATTAGAGACATTTTCCTCGTCTTTCAGAGTCGAAGAAGAACCGCAACTCTCGGAAACTTTTCTAGTCTGGAGTTGCGGCTTCGGCGCGATTGAGATGGACCAGTGAGCTGACCTGTCCTCTATCACCGACAGCTTGCCCTGTTCCATTGCCGCAGCTACGGAATACCAGCTTTTCTCCGGCTGATCCCCCAGTTGGGGGAAGTATACAAGTTCAGTAATTTTGGGCTCCCCCGAAAGCCGTACGACTGCTTTTCCGTTCCAAAGCTCGCATGCGTCTGATGACACTGACGTTGTCAACTCAACCTCTGCAGTCGCGATGTGTTCTCGTGCTCTGCCGATAATGGCTTTCAACCATGCAGGGCCGCCAATTCTGATAGCCCCGACAATGGCGGTAATGATACCCAAAGGGGCCTATCCCAATACCTACATTAGTTAAAGTGTCCCATCGCTATGATCTATCAAGCTTACCATTGCAAAAAGTATGTTGTCTGCCCATCCTAGTGAACCTGCCATAAACTGCTTTGCCACATGCTCGCCAAAGAGCGTAAGTATCGGTGCCAGATCGCTGAAAAGATTATTGCTGAAGTCATCACCGCTTTGGTTCGCTGCTGATACGACGGGGATATAAGATGCTGTAATGATGCTCGCAAGCAGCACATGTAGATTCGTCGAGATCTGCCATAGTCGATTTTTCTGTAGCTTTTCCTGGCAAGTACTCCAATAAATAGGTAGACTCGAGTCTTCACCCATGCTCGCCGCAGAGTCCTTGCTGGCAGTTGAGAAGAACAGTAGCTTTCCTAGGATGATGTAGGTATCGATCTGTTATGGAGCCTCATGAGCTCACCAACACATAGTGAAGCATCTCTGGCAAAGTCGAACGCCATCGCGTTGCGGGGAGCCTGACCCCCAAGACGAGGAGACATGGGCATGCAGAGCCCACATCGCATGCCACCCAGTGAGCGCTGAAGGACACTCAGATCAAAGTCGGACGAGAGTCAGCGGCCAATCAACCCGTCTTCATCCAGCCCAGAATCAAACATGCTGCATTTAGCGCAGATACGAGGCCCAAAGACCAACGACCAACCGAGCATGTGTTGACAAACATTGCGCAAGACTGTGAGGACAGACAGCCGTCCTTGTAGGGTTGATGATCCTCCCGTCGTATGTAGTCGAGACTCGAAATCGCTACAGAAGCGGCGTTTCCGTTATTCCGCCTTATGTAAGCACAAGGTGCGGAAAGAAAGCGGCCTTGGGCTTCGAGAACAACCTTGAAACCCTGATGCTGCGATTCTATTGGCGGGATCGGGTTGCCGATTTTCGGCTGCTTCAGCGGGGAACTTCGGGCGCCCTTTGGTCAGACAGCGTGGAGGCCGAAAGAAATATAAGAGGCATGTTTGATATATTACATTCTTTCAATCGTTTGATATTGCTTGTGGTGGTTGATATCAGTAACTAACTATAGATTGCACCCCTTGTTTTAATTCTCTCTCCTGTGGTGTCAGTCGCTAGTTTTTGCGTCCTACCAATTGTTTCCTTTCCCAGTCCTTTCGTAGCACAGGTTGTGCCTTGAGCATGGACGCCGACCAATTCCGGCAGGCTGCCCAATCAGCCATTGAAGAAAGTAAGTGTCGTCTGATCTAAGTGGAATCGAAAAGATACTGGCGCTGACTTGCTGCAGTTATCGAACACTTCAACACTCTTCCCTCCCGCCGTGTCCTCCCAAACATAGAACCTGGATATCTTCGCCCGCTCCTCCCTCAATCCCCTCCCAAAAGCCCGGAATCATGGGACCAAATACAACAGGACATCGAATCCAAAATCAAGCCTGGCCTGACGCACTGGCAATCCCCCCATTTTATGGCCTTCTTCCCTGCGCTCACGACGTACCCTAGTATTTTAGCCGAAATATACTCTGCGGCGTTTAGCGCACCGGCGTTCAACTGGCTATGCTCTCCTGCCTGCACGGAGCTGGAGATTGTCGTGCTGGACTGGGTCGCACAGGCTATTGGATTGCCGGAATGTTTCCACAGCACGGGGCCGACAAGAGGCGGTGGTGTGATTCAGGGTAGCGCGAGTGAGGCTGTCGTCACGGTCATGGTCGCCGCGAGAGAGCGGATGCTTCGCGATCTCGCGACGGCCGAAGGTCTAAAGGAAGACACGCCAGAATGGGAGGACAGAGTTATGGTCCTCCGTGGCAAGCTCGTCGCAATCGGCAGCGACCAAGCGCACAGCTGCACCGCCAAAGGCGCCCGGATCGTTGGAACCCGCTACCGTACTGTTCCCACAGCCCTAGAGGACAATTTTGACATGACCGGAGAATCAGTCCGCAAAGTCCTCGAAGAGTGTGAAGCCGCTGGCCTGATTCCTTACTACATCACCACCACCATGGGCACAACAAGCACATGCGCAACAGATCGATTTGCTGAAATCAAAGCCGTCCTCGCATCCCGACCTTCGTGGCAGAAGATATGGGTGCACATTGACGCAGCGTACGCCGGAGCAGCGCTCATCACCCCCGAATACCAACCCATCGCGCGCGAATGGAGCACCGGGATCGACAGCTTCAACTTCAACATGCACAAATGGCTCTTGGTCAATTTCGACGCTAGCTGCCTCTTCGTCCGCAATCGGACGGATCTCACATCCGCCATGGACATCACGCCCGCTTACCTACGCAACCCGTACTCTGACCGCCCGGATACCGTGGACTTCCGGAACTGGCAGATCCCGCTGGGTCGACGATTCCGTGCCCTCAAGATTTGGTTTGTGATGCGTGCGTATGGCTTGTCAGGGATGAAAGCGTTTATCTACAAGGGCTTGCATCACGGTGACGTGTTTGTGGAATTGTTCGGCGGCAGGAAAGATTTGTTCACCGTCGTCACGCCGCCCGCGTTTGGGCTGACTGTCTTCCGTATCTCTGATGAGGCGGCTGCCGCGGCTGGGAGTGCGAGCGGTGCGCTTACGCGTCAGGTTTATGAGAAGATCAATGCAGATGGTGATATATTCATCACGTCCTCCGTTGTTGGTGGAATATATGTGATGCGGGTACTGAGCGGATCATGGCTCTCGGAGGAGAAGTACGTTCGTAACGCATTTGAGATTATCCTGAAAACAACAGAGGAGGTACTGTCAGGGAAGCCAAACGGAGCGGAAGGGCCAAAGAATTGAAACTCGATGCTAAATATCGTTGATCTCGTGGCTGACGAGCTCATCGTAGGTATTGGTGTGACTAGTTACCTGGGAGATAGTTGATGAACATATTCCATAAATCTACTTGATATAGAAAATATATTCAACGGCCTGTTTCAGGCGGGTAGTTACCCGTGCCGCACAAGTTGGGGTGGTCAATTGCTTCCCTCTGCTCTTTTCTCGGGATGCCACTCACAACCTACCGCGGAATCCATGGTACTATTGCCACAGTGGTGCTCATGCAAGGAGTCATACACACAGTGATAGCTCTGCGAAGCGTTGGGGTTTCTCTTGATTATGGGCTGTACTTTTATGGCATCTTTGTGAGTTCCGTACGCGTTCATAAGCCGCTCCTATCTGACAACCCATTTAGACCAGAAGTCTGTTGTTGTTTTTGCTTCTAGTTCCACTTGTCCGAAGGCACCAATATGAGCTGTTCTTGAAGACTCATCTGGCCGTTGCAATTACTCTGACATATACCCCTTGCCGCCATGTGAAGGTGCTTAATAGCTTCTCAAAGAGATGCCTCAGTCTGTCCATAATGACGTTTGGCATCACCACCAACCTCCGCCTCGTGCGTTTTGTCCTGCGAAATGCTGCCTGTGGCAGGCCTTCCACCAGAGTAGAGGTGATATATTGTGGTCAGCAGACGACCACTTTTGCATTTCTGATTATGGTCAAACTCCCAAGGCGGTGGAAAGTCAAGGCGGGCCAGTGGCTTAATCTCTGGATACCGTATGTTGGGTTTGGCTATCTATTTCAGCTCCGCCCATTCATGGCTGCCTGGCAGAGAACAATTATAACGATCCCGAAGCACCGTCGCTGTGTATCCTTGCAAAACCCAGGTTCGACTTCACTCACAACCGGCTCCAGACCGGTGACCCCTTGGGGAAAGAGCAGCCACAGAGTCTAGAGCTGGTAGAGAGAAACATGTGGGCCCCAGCCCGGCAGGACGGCCTCAAAGCCAAGCGGGGATGAGTCGGTGCGAAGCCAGGGGAAACTGCTGAAACCGCGTACTCTAGCACGCCCTCCTAAAACAAGTGCACCGCAGCACTTGTCGCCAGAGGCTGGCACTGAGAGGGTCCCGATCCTCTTCAAAGCTCGCAACAAGCATGGTGAATAGGAAAAGGTACACGAGGTGCCAGTTGGCCCGCCTAATCCGCCCGCAGTTGAGCGGCTAGCCAAGAAGGATGCGCGAAACCGACATCCAACCTTCTATGACAAGAATGGACGTTTGATTGCGCCCGCGCAATGCCTTGATGCAGCGGTTGAGGATGGCACCAACACTGTCTTTATGGAATTCAAGGCCAAACCCGAACGGGGCGGTCGCCGAAACGGGCGGCGGGCTGGTAAATGCGAATTGTACACTTAACGAGGACGTTTGATAACCCGCTCTCCATTCCAGGTCTGGCTGTCCAACACCTGATCAATGACAAATTCTCGTCGAAGAATAGGTACCTGGTTTCCCGCCTCATCTTTCCACCAGGCCCTTGCAAAACATCGTCCTTGGACAATCCGGGTAGCTGAAGCAAGATCGTCCTTGGTGATCAGGGTTCTCATAGTGCGCTCCACTGAATGGCATCCTCGCATGGGGTTGCACCAGCCACGCTACATTAATCATGTGAGTGAAACTTTGAACGTGTATGAGGGGTTGTATGAGCCGAATACATAATGTAATTTGCAGTTTCTAGATAGATTGGGAGAACTGTTGACTGAGAGCAAGTGCTTAGTTGATGGTTGGTCACACGGAGCAGCTCGTACGTGAAGGCAACAAGACATCGTACAAAGTAACGCTGGTGCCTGGGTGTTGGTAAATAGATGGTAGCTCGTCAAATTAAGTCAAATGGGATATTTGGTAATGGACGGACGATATTAAGGTTGTTAGTTGACCGTATCAGAAGTGCTGCGAAGCGGGAGATCAAGTCCTTGAATCAGTCAGCAACCGGAAATGAAGAAACAGAGGGCGGCAAAACATGTTCAATTCCCTGACCTGTGCGGCGGTGCCGGGCAGTTGAAAGTTCACTGCCAGATTTCTGGCCCAGACGGTGCTTCATCTCCAAGAAAAGAAATTGCTCAGGGTCTCGGTAAAGTAGTGTTACTACCTTAGCATAACCAAGCTTTTTGATCATGGCAATGTCGGGCGATCATTGCCAGGGATATAACTGGAGAAGTCCATCATGGCACCACATCATGCCTTCAAGTCCCCGGATAAGAATAATGAGCTTCTGCAGGAGTCCCGTTCTACGCAGTACTTTATACTTCCTCTTTTGCATTTGCATCAACACATGAAATTTCTCAAAGGCATTGGCAAGTCGAAAAAGCTCTGGTAAATTTGGTTCGACAGTACTTCGTCCTTGCCCCAGATTTCGAGAGAATTAACTCGAGTTCATCCCTGCTAATGCTTCCGTGAAGAATGCTGGCACTTGAAATCGTAATAAGCTTTGCGGGGACCCTTGCTCGATATTCCAGGGCTTTCTAGAATCGTCGTTATTTCTCCTGGTAATAATAATTGTAATATGCGGTGTTGCATTAGCCATGTAGTCCCGGAGCTCAAGAGCGAGAGAGTATGGATGTTTGACATGAAGAGTCTTGATTGAAATGCTGTTGAACCAGAGATAGGTGTCAGGTACATTTCTTTCACCAAATATACTAGGCAGCCCCATCATTAGGAAAGAGCTTCGAAAAAGTAGCCTCTCTCTTCATTCACAACTTTCCCAGGGTATCACAGCATGGTCTCGCTAGCAGCCACAGTTCGCGAATAAAGAGCACAATTTGCCAAGAACACCGGGCAACAGGTTGAGGTATCTTCCCGCGAAGCGATCTTCAGGAAGCAATGTCGGATTTCTCGAGAGCCAGTTATTCAAGGTATGACCCGACTCGGTACGACTCTTCAGATCTGATCCGACAATCCTAAGAGAAAGACTGTCCTGGTTCCGGGATCCCACGTGGTCCTTGTAATAGTGCGAAATCCTAGATTGGGGAAATTCGAGCCATGCACTTGTCTGTGGATCCTCATACTTAGCAAGCGCTCTCTGGCTGTCAGAGGGTACTCAAAGGTAGGGGCGAGGACATTCAAGACTGCTCCCAAATTGCGCTTAGTGTAGCATGGCCCACGGCCCGCGTGAAGAAGCCGTCAGACATTATTGAGATGAGGCGAACGCTGAAAGCAGTTTGCCATCAGAAGCCTAAAGGGAGTATTCGCGATATTGCTTCGCAATGTCGTGACTTGAGCTCAGATCAAGGCTTGGGTCCACAGTCCAGACCGGGGCCAAAAAAGGCACAACGGGGGTAACAAGAGGTTGGTTGGGTGGCTTGCTCCGTACCCGTTCTGATTACCCCCGGGGCTGAAAGAAAAGCCAGGTTATAATTATAATCAGCTTGTTGAGGCTTTGACAAAGCCTTTGATAATACGCAAGACCACGGCCAACGTGATGAAAATGTCAGCATATCCGTGCCCAACTCCGAAGCAGAGACAGAGCGAAGCTTCCACAAACATTCTGGGGTGCTCCCGTGGAGCCCCCGTGTCCGTGGATGCAGATTCTCCAACGCCTGGGATATTGGGGCTGGGATTGAATGTGAGAATCCCAGGGCACCAGAAGTCTGAAAAGACGCATGTTGCAACACAGCCAAGCCAGACGGCCAATCAGACCACGCGAATCCATGCTGTTGGACGATGTGGGGCGGCGGGGTGATCAGGCGCTAGGCCCATTGCGGCATAGCCTGGTTACATGAGATTCGGCAGCGTGCCAAGCCTTCCCCTGTTGGAAGGAGCGAGTCTCAGATTCACGTGATCCGTCAGCCCGGATTTGGCCAGCGTGTCCTTTAAAAGGGGAAGGACCGCCCCTCTGGTCGCTCCTGCCGAAAAGCAATCTGTCCTCTCCAGCTTCCTCTTTCCCGCTCTTGCTGTCTTTGGCCGATTTCCATCGCCGGCCTTGTTTACCTAAGCTGCTCGCCCAAGAGCCCATCATGCCCGACGTGCCTCCATAAGGCCACTGTGTCCTTGACACTCGACCTGACCCGACCTCGTTGTTCTCCCCCTCTCGCTCTCTCTCTCTCTGTGAACAATCCTCCCTTCCTCCACGGTTGTCAGTGTGACCAGGCCGCCTCAAAGTGGCAAACGACGATATCCCGCAATCTTCATCATGGATTCTACATTTTCTACTTTCGACTCCATCTCTTTCGTCCAGGGGTCCGATATCCCTCAGCTCACAATCTCTCCGGCGGAAACAACGCTCAAGCTCGATGAGCTGACCCCGGAGCCCAAGGATGAGACGCCCAAGCCCGAAGAGAAAAAGCCGGTCAAGAAGAGAAAGTCATGGGGTCAAGAACTACCCACCCCAAAGACAAACTTGCCGCCAAGGTTGGTGATTCTGCGGGCTGTCTTTCTAGGGTAATATTCTAACAAGCTATAGGAAACGCGCAAAAACTGAAGATGAGAAGGAGCAACGCAGAATCGAACGTGTTCTTCGTAACAGAGCAGCCGCCCAAATTTCAAGGGAACGAAAGCGACTGGAAATCGAAAAGTTGGAAACCGAAAAGGCCAAGATGGAACAGCAGAATCGGTTTCTTCTGCAGCGATTAGCACAAATGGAAGCAGAAAACAACCGTTTGAATCAGCAAGTCGCCAAACTCTCGACTGAAATTCGCAGCTCTCGCGGCACTTCTCCTCAATCGGTATCAGCACCTTCTCCAACACTAGCTCCGGTTCTCTTCAAACAAGAACATGACGATTTAGATGTGGAGAAGATCCCCATTCCGACCCCACCCATCACCCTCTACTCTCCCAGTGCGACCATCGTCGATTCCGTAGAGACCTCCGATTTGACACAACATCCTGCAGAGATGTTGTGTGGCCTGCAGTGTCAATCGGAGGATTCGGGGAATCTGACAGTCTCACTCAATCAATCTTCGACTCCGCATCCAGCCTTTGCCCTGATGTTACAGGTCATCATGCAGCACCTCTTTCTGACGATGACTTCCGCCGCCTATTCGACGGTGATTCTTCCTCTGAACCAGATCTTTCTTTCCTTGAAGACGGGTTCTCCTTTGATCTTCTCCCAGGAGGAGATCTGCCGACACTTGCCTTTGATTCTATGGTTGATTTCGACCCCGAGCCTGGCAAAGTCGAAAACCTTGAGTCAGCGATCGGTCTTCCGGGTCCAACTTCTCACCCGATTGCTAGCGTGCAGCCCAGCTTTGGCGCGTCCACTGAGAGATGCGACGAGCAGGGCATTGCAGCTAGCAGTGCGTGATTTGCAGCGACCTGGCAGCTCTCGATCAATGACCCAGGGTAACCGGCCTAACCGGGATTGGGAGTTGTTAATGACCACGGTCTGGACAATTGATCGGATCGGGAAATCGCATAATTATAAATCTTCATCTCGGCGGTTACACGGAACCGCTCGAGCGGCACATTACGCCAGGGCGAAACACCTCTTTTTAAGTCGTTTGCGGAGTTCAAGGAGTACCATGAATGATGGGCATCACCGCTTCTAACATTATTTTGTATCACGAGCATGTTGGGGCGGGTTGGGTTTCCTTCTTGACATTATAGCCTTTTTATGCCATTCAGTGTACATGTAACACTTAGATTCATTTGAATTTACTCCATATCTTACAAAACTTTATCTCTCAATACTCTGGGCTACCATCATTTCTCGCCAATATGTCAGTGAATCTTTTATTGCTTTGGTGTCCGCTGCGGCTGGAGTTCGATCACGTGATGACTCCGCGCGACATGACGCAGTGGCCGAGACCACATCAACGAACTTTGAGCAGGCAGCGACATCGTCAACCATCGCAGCATCTGCGCTTTGAGAGCCCTCTACGGAGTATATAGTTACGTCTCTTATCCTGCTCTATTCTTTGAAACGCGCCTTGAACTCCGCTTCCTCAGTATACTTATTCCCCTTCAAATCGTCCGGCCAAAATGGGGATGCGAGATCCCCTCCTCGAAGCGATGGCCGAAGTCAAGGTATGGACCCAACTCCGACTCTTGAGAATAATATTGTACTATCACGCTCGCGGCGCCGTCTTGGTCCCTACTATTTATTTCTTGTCCCATTAAAATTACATCGACCACCGCAAAAACGCTAATGAGAAAAAAAAAAACTCAGGTCAACGCCAACCAACTCCGCAAACAAGCCATCAAGGCCGAAACAATGTCCCGCTCACAAGAAGATAAAGCCACCAAAGCCCTGAAGAAGGGCCAGTTCCAAATCTCACGCATCCATGCGAGTTCCGCGATTCGCGAGAAACGCCGCTCCGTCACGCTCCTCTCCAAAGCCGCCGAGGCGGATGTGATTTATTCCGATCTCGCGGCCGCCAAGTCCACACGCGACTCGACGCGGTCGTTGGCCAAAGCGTCCAAGGCACTGGATTCGGCGAGTAGGAGTATTAACCTCGAGCGGACGCTGGCGATTGCGAATGCGTTTGTATCCAGGTCGGAGGACTTTAAACTAGCGGGCTCGGCGTTGGAAGGGGTGTCGAGGGATGTACAAATGTCGGAGTATGGGGCAGAGGGGGCGGACGAGGAGGTTGACAGATTGATGGAGAGGCTGGCGGATAATGCGGGGGTGGATTTGAGACAGAATTTGGAGGAGAATGCAGCCCCGAATGATGACATTGGGGTCAAGGCAGGAAAGCAGAAGGAGACAGATTTTGAGGACGGGTTGGCGGGGAGATTGAGGGCGTTGAGATCGTAGGTGTGGCTGCCTCATGATCCGATGGCACGTTTTGTTTTTGGATATCTGCCCGCAAGCCGTCTTGGCGTCAAGTCCCCAGCCTGCGGAGATAGACTGATGAGTGACGAGATATATGTCCCCTGCCATTCCTAGGAGTTCGGAACGGAGTTTGGGGCCTATGGTACATTTTTACGCTTCCGAGTTTCGAAGAAATCAATTATCTCTTTTCTTCCGTTTAGCGCTATCTTGTTTGGCTCGTGAATTCACGATTCATTTCCGTGCTAGACTCATGCCATTAGATTCTGCTAAGTGAACGGTAGGCTCGGTTGACTGCTGGGTCCGTCCTGTTTCTTGCGGTTGAGCTTGGATTGGCGTTCGGTCATTTGGTACTCTCGAGATTTCTGCTTCTCGTCTATTATGCTCCTGTAGCATTGCGCCAAGCATAGGTTCATCCTCGTCTTGTATACTCTCTTGCTGTTCTGGCTGGTCATCTTCCTTTCCTGAAGGCTGGCTGTCCTTACTTTCTTTACTCAATAACAGCGCGGCATTATGACAGTCTTTGATCGTAATGCTCTGTCCACCAGCATCAGATAATATCTCGTGGTTATGTAACAGCACTCTTTTCACTTCGGTGGGCTTGTATCCTTTACAAATCTCGTTCCCAATCGCAAGTTTGACGGGCGGAAATTTCGTTTAACTTGGTCCATATCATCCATCGAATGGCAGTGTTGACTGCACGTTCCGTGATTCTATATCTCCACGGAGCCATCTTTCCAGAAGCGTTTACGGAGCTTCATCTCACAGCCCACTGCACTGCGCATGGAACACTTTCGTTTTCGAAGCCTAGGAGGAACGGCGGATCTAAAGAGATGCATCATTTAGCACTTTGCAGTTGATAACTGGTACCCCGATCTGGGAGCCACTAACTTCTGATCTTGCTTCCTAAACAATCGACACCAATAATATTCTGTTCGACAATCTGCGGACTCCTTGACTTTATTTCGCACCCAGAAATTATCCATAAATGGCCAATATATCTCATGCTCATAGTGACTTTGAACTATTGGGGCTTCTAGAAGAAAAAATCGCCGTCTCATCTCGCCAATGTTGTCCGGCGCATTGAGAATGTTATTGAATATCGGCCTTACGGGAAAGGGTATTGGGAGCATTAAGTATCCCGGGGGAAGGTTTGGGGGGAAGCTGTGTTGCACATTGGGAGCAGGATTAAATTGTGTATACAAAGCAGGAGTAACAGCCGAATTGGGGCTAGGATGGTGGATTGGAGGTCCCTGGCTCTGCGAAATGTTCGAAGTCATACGCGGCGGAGGTTGAGACGGAGGGTTTGGACGGGGGTTTGAGGGGAGATTCGGGGGAGGTTCTGGGGGAGGATTATACGCCATAGGGCCGGGAACCAAGCGAGTATAACAAATTCAAAGAACGGGAGCGCACCCTGTCTTGTCGGGGCCGCAATGGCAATTGAGGATATAAGTGAGCTTCGGGCGAGGAACTGCGATATCTGGCTGAATTTTAGGACGAGCAGTAGCAGATCGACTAAACCGTCGATCACATGACGTCGGAATGCTTCGAGTCCGTTCTGACTCTGCTTTCAATTGACAACAGCTTGCGATCACACAGAGCTTCCCTTGGAGTAGTGGCATAAATGTCCCTTCTACGGGAAGCAGAGAGATGCCTCATTAACCAGAAAACCTTTGCTGGCCTCAATGCCTTTATCACCCCGCTACAGCGAGTTGGATCTTGGGTTGACCGTGTGAAAGATGCGGACGCTCGGCGGAAGAGAGGTATGGAGCTCTAGCGCTTTTTAAACACTGACTTTCGGAATCGCTGACGCTGTCTGATGGTCTTAGGAGAATCCAAATCACCGCTAGACGGGAAACTCGTCGCCGTGAAGGACAATATATGCACCCGCGATGCTCCAACGACTTGCGGATCCAGGATGCTGGAAAACTTCACCAGCCCATTCAATGCCACAGTGGTGAAGCTGTTAGAGGAATCCGGGGCTATCATGGCTGGGAAAACAAATTTAGATGAGTTTGGAATGGGGTGTGATTTTATTTCGCGCCGCGATGCACGGTTTCATGGCTGATGGGGCTGTAGGTCTCATTCTACGTACTCGCATTTTGGTCTGGTAAAGGGGGCTTCTGCAGGAACTCAAGATCATAGCTCCGTAGGCGGAAGCTCTGGAGGGAGCGCGATTGCTGTCTCGACAGAACAATGTTATGCGTATGCCCAAGTTTAAGCTTACCCTGGCTGAACCAGCTAACTCCGGATTTAGCGCTTTGGGAACGGATACCGGTGGCTCCGTCCGTCTTCCAGCAGCATATACAGGGACAGTTGGTTTCAAACCCTCGTATGGTTTGATATCGAGATGGGGAGTAGTGGCGTATGCCAATTCTCTCGATACAGTAGGGGTGATTGGGCAAAAGATCTCTACCATTCGCGAGGTGTTCGGTAGGTTGAATGGAACGAAGGCCCAGGATCTTGTTCTAATTTTTGATGTAGGGGTGTTGAATCACTATGATCAGCAGGATCCAACCAGCATCTCGCAGGCTACCCGTGCTTATATTGACGAAGCAACCGGAATCGCGACGAAAACTCGACGCGCAAAATTACACATCGGCGTTCCTCAAGAGTATAATATTCAAGAATTAAGCCCTCTTGTCCGCGAAGCGTGGCAAAGGTCCCTTCAATATCTTCAAAGCCAGGGTCATACCATTCGACCAGTTTCTCTTCCGGCTACAAAACAAGCATTATCCGCATATTACGTGCTTGCGCCGGCTGAGGCATCCTCTAACCTTGCTAAGTACGATGGAGTGCGTTATGGTACGCGTAGTCCTGATACCGCAGATAACGCAGGCGGGTATCTCTACGCAAACACTCGCGGCCTAGGATTTGGACCTGAAGTCAAACGTCGCATTGTTCTCGGTGCGTTTTCCCTCAGCGCCGAAGCGATGGATAACTACTTTATCCAAGCCCAAAAGATCCGCCGATTAGTGCAATCAGACTTCAATGCCGTATTTGACCTTCACAACCCGTTACTCCAAATGGAACCCTTAGGTCAGGCCAAAGGCCTGAAAACCGAGCAAGCCAAGCAGGAGAAGGTGGATGTGCTTGTTTGTCCCACGGCCCCTTCTTCCCCGCCTTCGTTGCGCTCATTGGAGAACCTTGCTCCCATTGAAGCCTATACAAATGATGTTTTTACTGTTCCAGCGAGCTTAGCAGGCCTTCCGGCTTTGAGTGTCCCCATCTCCGCCGGGAATGCGATGTGTGAACCCGGTGAACCCGGCGCTGGTCCTGTGGGGATACAAATTATTGGGCAGTATGGGGATGACCAGCTAGTTCTCGATGTCGGGGGAATACTGGAGCAGATGAATGTATGATAGAGGAACGAAGAATGTTGTTATGTATTAAGATCCATCCATCTAGATGAACTGCGACTCTGCGAGGGTGCTGTCTCAGGCCTGGTTACCTTGCGAGGCAACGCACTCCATTTAACTATGTAACGAACTTCTAACTTTCCAACCGCCGTTTACAACAATTCAACTTGCTTCCATTCAACCCAAGCTCTTTTGAATCCAAATTTGTTGATAGGTCTCTTCGGCATCGGCGGTGGGCGGGCTGGCAAATGGAACTGACGTTATCTTATCAACCGCGACTCTTAACACAATGACTGCTCCATTGTCCCAATCTTCACCCTTCGTCATGTATGGCCTTAAACTGCTTTCCTAGTTCTTCGTAGCTTTCTTCAAGCTATTAAAAACATGGCAACCAATACGACACCGGCCAATGGAAAGGGTAAACGGACCAAACGCGAGGGCGGCGGCCGCGAGAAACGCGGCGCAAAGCGACAGGAGCTGGACGATGGCACCGTCACGTACAATAAAAAGGTGACTTCGTCCGCGTCTAGCTCAGCAATTCCGTCGTTTGAATTGTCGATGTCAATGCCTATTCCGCTCGCGGACCCGCGGCCAATTGACATGCTGCCTCCGAGGCCTCGCCAGATGAATCCCGTCTTCACAAGGCATTCGGACGTGCTGAAACAATCCTGGTCCTTTTTTGAGGTTGCGGACAAGTGAGTGCTGAGTTTCTTTGACTAGTAAGAGCTATCTTGTTCTTGGGAAGAGAATTGACGCAGTGGTTTTGTCGTAGAGTGAGCAATCGGAACGGATTCAGATATACCTACGCGGTCACGGACCCCGGATTTCCTCATATACTTTACCGTCAGATCGACGTTCCTCCATATCACTCGAGATTCAGCTTCGAGGACTCTCCTTCCTCGATTTCATTTACGAAGGATGGCCTGGCGGTTAGCACAAATGACCCATGGCATTCAGCGCGCGCCAATATTTGTGCGAGGGAAGGTAGCTTTTACTATGAAGCCCGAGTCATCAGTGGCATTGTCCCTAATAAAGATGCTACTCCCGGTCCGTCACCTCGAGGTAATGTACGGCTGGGATTTGCGCGGCGGGAGGCAGATTTGGATGTTAATGTAGGCGTGGATTGTTACGGCTACGGGATCCGCGACGTCAACGGCGAAGTCGTGAACCGTATGCGGTGCGAATACTTTTTCCCCAAGAACGAAGTTATCAACGAAGGTGATGTGATAGGAATGCTGATCACGCTGCCACCCCTGGGCCTGCACAAGAAGATCGTGGAAGGCACATACGATGCGGCGAAAGACGGCAACGGGGCCGATACTTCTACTCTCAAAACGTCGTTTCAGCAACCGGCATCTGTCAATCTTATTCGTGACCGTATACCTTTCCATTTGAAGTCAGACTTTCTCTATCAACAAAACCACATTTTCCCGTCCAAACACCTTCGAGATTACGCTTTCAACCTCAAAGAAACCCCCACGTACGGCCCACCATCACCCGGAAACGCAGAGGACCCTTCCCTACGCACTCTCCCAGGATCGAGCATAACCATTTACAAAAACGGAGTCCGGATGGGCACCCCTTTCACTGGCCTATATGCCTTCCTACCGCCGGCTTCACGCGCCACCCAACTATCAAACAACCTAGGCATTGGCGAGAGAGAAAACGCCGACGACGGAATGATTGGCTATTACCCAATGGTGAGCTGTCACAACGGAGGAGCTGTGGAATGCCGATTTGAAGCGCCCTGGTGGTTCGGTCCACCGAAAGAGGATATTCCAAACATCAAGCCCTTTGGGGAACGGTTCAATGAGCAGATCGTGGAGGATGTGGTGGCTGATATTGTGGATGAGATTGAAGCCATGTTTATGGGGTGGAATGTGACGCAGGCGCTGGCTGGGTTGAACAACAATGTTGGATTGCGAACTGGAACTGCCACCGGACCGGGGACCGCAGCGGGGACACCGCAAAGGGCGCAGTCCGTGGCAGGAGATGTCCGGATGCAAATGGACGGAGCTGGCGGGACTCCGGGCTCGCTTGATGGGTGAATAGAGGCGAACTATATGGGTCAAAACATGGTTGGATAAATTGACCAGCCAGGGTAGATATTCTTGCTTACGGTCATCAAAACGCCATTAAATTATATGGCAAGAAATTTAAGTGATCGTTAAGTCTAAAACACATAAGGGGCGGGTAGAGTGGCATCCCTTTCGCGAAAAATGCAGCATGTCTGTTATAGCCTTGTTCAAACCGACATTAAATCCAAAAGGCTTTGCAAGAAAATGAGAGCCTGACAAGAACTCGGAGAATTTTAAGTGCAAAATCAAAGTAGAACCAAGCCCCCCCTTTTTTCAAAATATTCGGAAAATTTGTATTCACATAGTCATGTCCATGGTATCGTCACCGCCGTTATCCGCCTGCTGCAACTCCGGTGCCACCACACCTCTACCTCTCCCCGCCAGTAGTTCTCGTCTTACCTCTGGCCCAATATCTTTATGCCCTGCAACCAGTAGCAAGTCCAGAAGTGCCTCACGCTGGTCCTCAGTGACATCATTTCTATACCTCTGAGCGAAAACGAGAAGAGACTGGTGCCATAGAACAGGTAGCTTGTGAGCCCTGGCAGCCGATGGATCTGTCATATCTGTGTCTCCATTGGTATCTGGGGGTTGAACGGCACGGAAACGAAGGAAATGGAAGACGAGTGCGTCGATGACCTTGTAGGGTAGAGCGTATTTCTTTTCTAGGAATGTGCGAATGAAGATGTTTGTGGCACCGGTTCCTTCGGATGTGAGTGATGTGGAGGTTTGTTCTGCTGCGATTTCGCAGAGACGGAGGAGCGCAGCAGCGGAATGGAGAACGGGGACGGATACGCGAGCGATCACGCTCGACACAATATGGGCCTCGCGTAGGGTACAGGTGCCGCCAGCGACAAGTGGGAAGAGGAACCCTTTGAAGAAACATGCGGGTTTGTAAAGAGCTTTCTTTAGCGCGTTGTAGATATGTACGTTGAGCTTCTTATTTTCTCGGATTTCTTCACGGACGCGGTCTAGGAGAACGATGGAGATAAACTGCTGTGCGATATGGGGCTTTGCGGAGATGAAAATTCGAGTTGCTGCGTATATCGTATTTGGAGTCCATTTATCCGGTTGCGTGATGTCGAGTAATGTGTCCCAATACGGCAGGGTGGGCAAGATTTTGAAGGGTTTTGGGAGGGGGCCAGATTTGTACCTGGAGAGAAGCAAACCAACCCTAAAAAATGTCGGGTTAGCAAGATAAGACCAAACGTGGAGAGCGAGCGTACTTCTCGTAGACTTCTACTGCTTTCATAGGAATCTGAACCGCATCTTCCGGTAGTCCACCGCCAATCACGGCTGGTTGTCCAGCCTGTTTCGCTTCAAACGCAGCAATCTTCTCTAATATAAGATCGGCTAAGTTGGTACCCTGCCCTTCCTCTTCTCCACCTGATTGCCTAGGGTTGAAAATAGGATCCTCGTCGTCGCGACCAACGAACTTGTGGAACATGTCAAGGTCGGTTGGGTCAACTTCCTAAACGCACGAAATCTTGTAAGCTTCTCCAACCATGACACAACCACCGACAAACAGGAGCCTACAATTTCTTCTATCTCCTCTTCATCCTCCCACTCTCCCTCGTCTTCCCCAAACTTCCCCACCCCCTCTTCATCAGATCCCTCCCCAGAATCCCGTCCGAATCTTGACTCGAAATTGAACGCCGAGTTAGCGGCGGCTGGGCGTCTCGCAGCCTCCGCAGCGCGTTGTTCGGCTTCTTCTTCTTCGGCTAAATCTTGGCCGATCTGGAGAATCTTCCGAGACGATTTGGCGTCAATGTAGTGGTCGTCCCGCGGCATCGTCATCATCATGGCGGGATTTGCGCTTGGTGGGTTTTTTGGTGCGAAGGTGGTTCGCATTGAGGATGTCGTCAGCAAGGGGAACATGTCGTCGCTCAGCAGTGGCGGCCGTGGGCCGTGCCGTCTTGGGCATGATTGTGCGAGAGAGTAGTGACGGGATGTGTTCTCGGGCGGGTTTTGGAGAAAAGGCTCAAGGCGCGTGGCTCGCTTCTGCAGTGTTGGGATTTCCTCAAATTAGCTCTGACGGTAGTCTCCCACGCGAATGCTTTGCTTCATCTCAGCGTCTGTAAGCTGCAAAATGTGACGCCGCGTCCAAACTGTCAGGCGGGATTGATAAACATTTTTTGCGGTGTGCGATAAGAGATGCGGCTTGCCCAAAGAGGCTTAGCGCGCGTGTTATCAAAATCTCAGGCATCAGGCTCGATGAAGGATTGCTTATGGGATAACGGAGGGAAAAAGGCACAGTTACTATTATTGTGGGATTTCAAAGCTAATCAACTCCTGTTTTCCGTCGCATCGTTTTGTTGCTCCCATAGTCTAACACAATTTCAAATATCAACCCGAACATGGCCCTAATGTCGGAATCAGTCGCATAACACCCGCAAAACTTGCCCTTGTTATAACAAGTAGTCGTGAATCGCCGTGGGCCCTGTCTCGTTGTACTCAACACGACTCAGGAAGCCTTTGCTCAGACCCTGATCAACAACGAATATTACTTTCGCTGCGACCTGTGCCCCAAGGAACGTTGCCTCTTCCATGCCAATATTGTTTGAGCTTGTCGCCACTCCTGTCACGGCACCTCCACTGCTAGCAGCATTGTTGGCTGCTGTTGCTGCCGCAGAACCACCGCCGCTTCCCTGGTCTTTCCATTCCGGAAAGTACTCTGGGGGTTTGAGAAGTTTGACTGATGTTGGTGTTTGAGAATGGCCTGTTGACCGATGGTACGCAGAAGCATTCGGGTCCGCTGAGTGGTTCATGTTTGGATTCAGATGGTTAGGAGCCACTGGGGCGTTTGCATGAGTAGCAGCTACCAGGAGGGGATTTACTCCGTGCGCGGCGGGATGGAGCAACGGGCTAGGATTGATGTGTTGGGCGGGGGTGTTGGTACCTCCGGTGGGGAGTGGAGTAGAGAGAGCGGATGGGATTTCAGAAGTGAAAATGGTGCCCGAGGGTGATAGCACGTACTTTTGTGTTATCGTGGAGACAAGCGCCTGGGGAAATCCTGCCGTAGCTCGTCAGTATTGATCGCCTTCATGGAACAAAGCAAAAAGCTTACCTCGGATTTTACTGCCATTCCCAAGGATAATCATAGAGTCCCACAGCTCGCTCCGTTTCGAAGCGTCAGGGACTGAGTGGATCGTATGGTGTATCTGGGCTGCTAGAGTATCGAGAATTCCATAAGAGCCGAGTTCGCCGGTTTTGGCATCACTCGAAGTGGCTGCTAAAAACCTTTCTGTTCCAACCTCAATATCCCGTTTATGCAAAACGTACTGCGTTATGGCCTGGCCATTTATATCTTTCGTTTGGATCGGTTTGTACTCTTGAAATTGAAACGGCGCCTTCTCTTTTTTAGAGTTGGGTAAACGAGCAAGTTTTGCAGCAGCAGCAGAGTCTCCCCCATGTCCTTTCCGGCTGGCGGCTTTCTCTGCCTTTTCCTTCTCCGCCCTCTCCTTCTCTCTCCTTGCCAGGTACTCGCTCGTGTTCCCGGTCACAATGGAGGCCACATCGATGATACCCTCGTCATCCTCAATATCGCCGCCGCCAACATTCCGACCCATATCCGGCCCCTTCCCAGGAGGCGCTAGAGCTTTAGGTGGTTCCAATTCTTGTCCGCGCCCGGGGAGCGGTGTCCCGGATGGTAGAATTTCGCATATACTACTCTTTTTTAACTGCTCACACATTTCTCGTGTGAACCCTTTCGGCTGTAACAGCTCAAAAAGACGACTAGTCATAGCCTCACCACCACAACCATGTAACGCGATGCCTCTCCCATGTTCACTGACAATAAAATCCGTCACAGCCGTTACGTCCGCTTTTTCGTGGCCGATATCAATAATTGTCGCATTTGCAGTTCCATAGGCGTAGCAGACGGCCAAGGCAGAGTCCATCAAACAAAACGCTGGAGTTTTGAATTTCTCAAAGATGAATTGCGTCAGGGTCTCGCGGTCACGCGCGGTCCAGACGGGTTCCGCAATGAGCAGAATCGGGGTGTGGAACGGAGGGCTCAGCGTATTATAAATATGTGTTAAGAGTGCGAAAAAGCAGGTCCAATCGACAACGGCTCCGCCTCGTATGGGATATACGGCTCCTTCATCGGAAGTGGGATCCTCCTCATAAATGACTTGCTCCTCCTCAACATAGGTTGTCTCGGGTTGCGCATCCTCCTGCTGTACGGTCTGCTGCCCATTGTCCGATGCATCTTTCATGTCCGTGTCCTGCGCCTTCTCGGCGCCATTGGATTCAACGGCCCCAGCTGGAGGAGCGGCGCTGTCTTTCGGAGCAGCTGAGTCATTAACGACAGCTTTTTTTACAGTGATGACTCTTTGGCGTATCTTAAGCGGCTCCCATTCTCCCTTTTTTTCAGCCGGGAACATGCGAGTTGGGAAACGGAACTTGGCTGGAGTGAACGACTCTGGGAGACCCAATTGCGCCAGGGTAGTTTGCGACCCTGGCGCAATAATCTAGAAGGGAAATCATTGTTAACGACCCGTTCTCCACGCAAGGTTGATAAACAAAGTTTTGAGAGGGGCACACGCAGTCACTGCATGCTTACCAGTATGTGTTCATCTTTGAAAGACGGCATGTTGGCGACAAGAGCACTGGAAGGGCATGGCTCTGAAGCTCAACCTGCTGCTCAAAGCGCGTCGAATTCCTTATCGCTGCTGACTAAGCGAACTGTTGCTATCCGGAGCCGGCATCTTCTAAAAGACACAGCTCAGAATCGGCCTCAGAATCTAATTATGAATACTAAATGGCAGGCGGACGTGTAGATATGCCTATAGACATTGCTATCCATTGATAATGTTGGGAGCCTCAGAAGTTGGGCATCATCAATCTGGAAGGGCGACAAATCCTCCTCCCAGAATGAACCCCGTGTAATACTTCGTAAATTCAGATGGGTTGTGAATCACTAAATGAAAACAAGTGAAGGGGAAGAGACATAGATCCATCAATGCAGGGCATATCTAACTCATGCCTCAGATTTCCAAAAAAACAGACATTATCCTAGATGATGCCACAAAGCTATCCAGCAAACAACCGAGCCCATGAACCTCTCCTACGTGAACGCCGCAGTAACTCCACCAGCACCTGACCATAGTTCATACTCGTATGCGTCCCAAGACAATAGGTGTAAATGCAACACGGAAAGGGAAAAATGGGAATCAGGGGCGGGTCTAGCTTCCTGCATGGTACTTTTCACCAGCAGATCTGAAGAGTTCTTGCTGGAGCTGATAAAGCTGTTCCTCAGACATACCGCTTTGCTCAATCTTATTTGTTCGTTTCTCGCGGGACTATTGATGTCGCAGCAACACCGGTTAGTATGGGTACAACCAGTGGACACAGAAGGACATCAAAAGATATCACAGTCACGCGTCAAAAACTATGACTTGACTAACCTTTAGATGTTCTTTATGCTCCTCCGCAACAGCAAGTACATCAGGCACGTAATCGCCAAACCCGAGGTCTGTAAGGGCTTTCTCGATGTGTTCGCAGGCGATAGTCTTCTTTGCCTCCTTTTCACTGATTTCATTTGCCTCCGACGAGATCAGGGTGATGAACTCAACGCAACACTCGATAAGGAGATCTCGTGCATCTTTGGCGAAGTTTTGGCCCGACGGCGGCGGCAGGATTTCGGTTATGATCTTCTGGACGGTCGCTGGATAGAGCCAGTGTTATCAAGCTAAGCGCAATCAGGGAGGGAGGGAATTCTTCACGGAGAACCTCGAAGCGCACAAAGCTATATCATTCCTTTGCACGGGGTCCGCGAGTAACCGTACCTTTGGGGAGCGAGAGATCATCGTTGCCTCGGGGCTTGTTAGTTGTCTTTTGTTGTGTCATGGTAGAATGTCCAACTTACTCGCAAACTCTCTGTCAGACATATCGGCAGCAGACAGAATGTAGAGAATGTAGCTTGATCACCACCCATAGGGGAAGCCGGTTGTTCCTGCCACACGGGCAGCCCTCTGTTATTTATGCCCGTTCGAGCAAGCACGATGGACAAAATCGATATCATGTGACTTGGTTCGCGAAATAAGCTTTTTTGGCAAGAGCCTTTATTAGCTCGCTCCTTCCACAGAGATTTTTTGTTTTCCTTCCTTTATTAACACTCAGAAATATGTCAACAGCAGAACAACAGCCTCAGCAGAGCCCGTCAACAGTGCAGATGTACAGGCAAATGTGAGTAAAGCCCTTCTCTGCTGTGCCCTATTCTTTCCATCATGATGAACTTTGTTGTCGCCCCTATCATACAAAGGGCTATGCCCATGTGGTGATTTACCTGTCCAAGCCAAACGGACTTCTGATTAAATTCCCTCCTGTCATTTGCTTTGCCTACGCCATTGATTCAGGATGAATTGAGACTGACTTCAACTGAAGCTTTAGGAATGTTGTCCAACACCTGTGTGCCTTGTGATGGGAAAAATGGATAACAATGTGCCACATCTACACTTTGTTTGATATTGTAATATCAAAATTGGACAGTGACCATCAGCTCAGCAACATTGCTAGGTTTCAGGAATGGATGCACATTTTGTTTTAGAATCATCTAGTGTTCTCTTGCGATTAAAGGACAACACATTGTGTCCTCTTTACAGGGATTTTTGTCTGCTAGTCTTAAGTAGGTATGTCAAGACTGTATTCATTTAATAGTTTTTCATTGAGCTTGGGACAAAATGATGAAAAAAATTCATCACTCCATGCTAAATCTGAAGATGCCATGTGCATCTGATGCTTAGTACATGTATCCATTTAACCTTTCGACTGACATGTTCCGTGCCTTGAGTCTTTTGTCCGCGTATTATTTTATCGTCTGGCAAAGGATAGTGCTAATATCATGAAAAGATTTAGTCTTGATAGTCCTTCAATTCTTCGGCGTTCCAACTGCCTTTTGTTAGCTTCCATGACCATGACCACTTGTAAAGCTGCACTTACGTCAAGAACTGTCCAGAAAGATCACGGGGAGCCCAACAAGCAAGCTTGGCGATTACACGGCCTGGCTTCTCAGGTGGGAGTAATTTTCCTTCCTTGTGCGCAGCGATGAATCTCCCACCGTCCTCGGGGCCAAGCACTTGAATATGGTCCGATCTAAGTTCTTCCTGCATTTGCGTATCGACCATGCCAGGGCGAATTGCAAGAGAGGTGATTTCGGGCTCTTCCTTTGCCAAGGTCATATTGAGGTGGTTCATCGCAGCTTTGCTTGCGCCGTATAAACCCCATCCGATGGTGGCCGACGCGGCTGCCCCCGAGGAGGTGAAAATGACGGTTCCTCTAGAGATGCGGATATGAGGAAGGACTGCTTTGACCTACTGGAAGTCAGGATTGAGCTGGCCTTCTCCCGTTTTGACCATGTTACTCACAAGTTCAACGGCGCTGAAAAAGTTGATATCGAATGCCTTTTTCCATTCTTCCACGTCAGATCGGACAATTTTGCTCACAGGTCCCAGAACACCGTGATTCACGATAAGCCCATCAATTCTTCCATAGGCAGTAAGAGCTGCTTTGATGGCCTTGTCGCCCATATCAGGGTCAGTTGCATCGCCGCGCAGAACTTCAACGCGTCGTCCATATTGTTCCTTGAGCTTCAGAAGCGGCTCTTCGGTACGGGCGATGACGACCACGTTACTCTCAAGAGGCTCCTTGAGCAAACATTGAGCAATCTCCCACCCGATTCCTGTATCATAGTTAGATCTTATGGGGCGCTCAACTGTGGAAGGATGCATGTGACACTTACCGCGAGAAGCTCCAGTGAGGATGATGGTGCGACCAGATGGTGAATTCATCTTGAATTATCCTGCTACATTGTGCCATATTAGCTTTAGTTCCTTAACCAACGGGTGAATGTGTGCAGCAACTCAGGTGCTCCCTTTAGAACAAAAAGCCACAATTCCAGCCATGTTCATCGCCGAGATCTCCCGTCGCAAGGATGAACCTTGATCAGAAGCACAGAGTAGAAACACCATTGGCTGAGAACGGCACCAGAGGATAGGCTGCAGATTGTGGCTCTGCATGTGCCATCTTGGGCGTCGCCATCACTCTCGGCGCGTCCAGCAATGCTCCATGGACAATGCAAGGCGGCCAAAAGAAAGCAATAATAATAAGGATCTCTGTTACTCACCCTCCCAACAACTGTTTCGTGATGATCTTTGCACAGTGTCTCGCGATTGTCTTCAGGACCAGGAGAGGGTGACAGTGAGGGGAACACATAAGGTGGGAAAATGAGGGCGCTTGAGTGGGGTCACAACAAAACCCCTAAATTTATGGTGCTCACTTCTGGCCAAAGACCACGGAATATTCCGTTGTTATCACTATTTGATATGGCAGCAATGCATGGACAACATGCCTGTTTGATACAATACAATCCTTCCAGGTCCATTCAACAGTAGCAGGACCTGCGTACATGGTTACCAGCTGCACAGGGGGACTATGAAGAAACCCCCAAAGGAAGATTTCCATGAGAAGTTGTTGGAAGATCTGAATTTCTCTAAAGTCCTTTTTGAGCCCTGATTGATTGCTTTAATATGGAGATGGAAGCCTCTATCTTGAATTGTTGACTCCTCACTTGATACCAGATTGGGATGGTTAGATATGTGCGCCCCAAAACATCGCCTCTGCCTTAACCCTTCTTGTTTTACCCAGTCCCTTTGTCCCCAGAAGTTCTACTTCTAAATTATACCCAGGAATCGTGCGGTGGAGGCCATTAGGGCCGGAGCTGGTTGTCTCTCTGGCCTCAATCCATACAGATCCCTGATCTTTCGCATCTGACGCGGCTGTGCTGGGGTCTGTCTTCCCTAGGGTTGTCAACAGCGTGACAATCTTCTGAAGAAATTCATTGTCCGGGACTTCCAAGGTAGTGGCCTTTGCTGAGCTTGATCCTTTTACCGCGCGCTCCAGCAGCTTCAAATCCGGTCGCCATACCCCATCCTCATACAACTCACGGAGTATGTCAACGAGTTGATCTCGCCAATTCTCTGGGTACCGCGATAATTCGTACAGAATATCCCAATCATTTCTGTTGGGCTGGGTTTCTGGTGGAAATCCAAGCCAGTATAAATGCATCACGTCGCAGACGTCCGGATGCAGCCAGTATTTTGGGTACATATGCCTAAGGTCTAGCCGTTTCGAACTCGCTAGTGATTCGAGTTCACACGCACGCTTCGCTCCGCGAGACCGCAAGAGGTGCAAGACTTTATAGGACCCTGCATACGCTTCGGCGGCACGGCTCGGGCTCTCGTTTGATCTCCCATATACGTTGCCAGCAGCCCGCGCCCGTTTCCGGGCTGCGCCAGAAGTGTACGATGCAAGCGCTTCCATATGATCGTACCTCCTACTAGCGGCGCTCAAGAGTGCGTGGTCTAATACGGTGAACGGAGGATCCGTCTCCACAAGCTTGTTGATGTCTTTTTCAAATCCCAAGTCCAAAAGTAGATTCATTGTTTGCACACGGCCCGCCTTTGCAGCCTCTGACAGGGCCAGAATGTTAGCTGGAGCTGGACGGAAGTATTTCTCATAAGCCTCTTTTTTATCTTTCAAACCGGCCTCGGTCCGTACAAGATGCGTCAAAAGCTCGAGAATGAGGTCATGGCTTTGCTGATCGCTAAAGACGACGTTATAAGTGATAGGGAAGAAAATGTTCTTCCCATCGTTCGCATAAGTGGTTAGATTTGCGCCTTTATTCAGCAGGTATATTGCTTGTCGGAAAGGGTCCCGCTCTGTAAGAAGCGAATAGTACATTGCAGTCCACCCCTTGCGATTGACGGCATTGATATCCGGCGGTTGATCGAGGGCAAATAGAATATCGCAAGCCCCTTCAACCTCTTCCTCTTGGTGCAGTCCAGCAACTATTTTATGGAGAGGGGTGTCTTCGTCATATTTGGCTCGTGCGTTGATATCTGGGAGTCTTTCAGCAACGCTTTTGAAGATTGTAAGATAAGACTCGGGATATGTCAACTGAGGGCCTCGAATATATGCCCATTTATGAAGGACTAAAAAAATGGAGTCAGTAAAGTTAACTTAAATTTGGGGAATGCTCGTACCTGTATCCAAGGCCCCCGTCTGAACATCTGCTCCCATAGTTGCTAGAGCACAGGCCACTCCACCGTCCCACTCTTCTGATGCAATCGTGATGGGTGTCGTTTGCCGCGGTACCTGAGATTCCGCATTGATGTCCGCGCCCGCCTCTATTAGGAGCCTTGCCAGCTCCGTAGTCTGCTTTATATGTTCGTCCCAGTTGCCATGGCGTATCCAGTAATGCCATGAATAGGGCAGGCTGCCATGGTAAGCTGGTAGATAAAACGACATGTAATGAAGGATGTTTCGACCCTTAGGATCCGTTGCCTTTGCCTCCGCCCCTCTCGAAAGGAGGAATTTCACCACGTCAACATCACCGTACCACGCCGCCAGAAACAGGGGTGTAGACCCTATGTCGGAATCATGGTACGTAGAGTTGATATTAGCACCCAAATCTAGAAGTGTTTCCATTGCGGGCCTGCTACGTGCGAATGCAGCCCAGTGCAAAGGCGTGCCTAACGGAAGCTCAAACGGGCTATTTATTCAGTTGATTAGCCAGTTTTTCAAGACTGCGAGAGCATCATAAAATGGTAGAATAGCTCACAAATGAGGAGTTTGCATCCTTTGAGGAGCTCCTCCGCTGAATTCAGCTACTGCCGTAACCATTTGAGCGTCAAGAAGTGCCCCAGCATCTTGTACAATTCGGGTAGCAATCCTTCGAATACAATCTTCTGGAAGGGTGAATAACCAATGTAAGGCTGTCAGCTTTTCTTGCTTCGTTGCAACCGATGCTTTTGCGCCCTTGTCAAGCATATAGTCTATAACACTGACGTGCCCGGCCTGGAATGCTGTGTAGAGAGCAGTCTCTAGGTTATCGTTCTGAGTTTCTATCGGGAATTTGGCATCCTCGACAAGTCCTCGTACAACTTCGAGCGCACCTACAGCAGCGGCGGCATGTAGAAGCGTATTCCCTTTGTTATCCACCATCCTTTTATTGTCTTTCAGCCATGCAATGGCTTTCTGCGCATCACGTGCGGCCTCAAGGACATTCTGCTTTTGTAGAAATGGGCCAGTAGCGAACCCACCCGCATCCCTGAACTTCTGTTTTGCTACTTCAAGCTCATTTCGAGCGATGGCTGCTGATGATTTCGCAAACAAATACCCACCGCTAACCGCTTGTAGTGTCCATTTGGCCAGCGTTTTGTCGCTGAATTCTGGTTTTCGACGGTGGGCGTGCATAAGTTGAGCATATACAGCTCTCGCAGGGGAATAGCCACCTCGGGCGGATTCGGTTACGTATTCCAGCAGAGGATCAACATATGATGCTCGGAGCCTTGTAATACTCTGCGCCAATCCAAATAGAGCATCACTTTCAAATGAATTCTTTGAAATACGATATTGCTCTTCAAGCTCTGTGATAACGGATTTGTCAAGGCGGCGCCAGAAGTTGGCGCCCTTGTTATACATCTGATCCGTGGTGCCCACATACCGTGTGGCCCTACGGCCAGTTTGCGACATAGACAACCTATCCGGCGTTAGATGAGATTCACAAGGAGGGCTTCGAGAAGTTCAAATGAGGAAGGGCCTACAGTACCAAGATGCATATGCTAAGTTGTCCAGCTTCAGAAGGTTAGGATTTGGTAGGGCTCGTGCCCAGGGATCTTCTGCTAGTAAGCTCCTTAAGGTTCTTGTGAGCTGCATGCGCAGATCAGATGGCATTGATTCCTCCTCTCTAAGAAGAGAGATGGCAACATCCACACGGCTTTCTTCATCAGAGTCCAAGTTAACCATCTCACCCTGTTTGATGAACATTGACAATATCGTCAGCCCAAGGCTATAAGAATCGAACCGTAGCATAATCTCTGGCTTGAAATTATTTTTTGTCCATCGAGACGCATCTTGTATCTCGGGGTCAACCCAACCGGGGGTGCCTCTGTAATCGTCAACAGTGAATTCGCTTCCAGGCACCTCCATGTCCACACACACCCCAAAATCACTAATCTTGCCGCAAAACGGGACCTTTTCATTTTGAGTGTCTTTGAAAACCAGAACGTTGTCGGGCTTTATGTCCCCATGAACTATATTCAGGGAGTGAAGGGCCTCTATCCCTGCCACAACATCCAATGCAAGGTGGTATTTGATATCCATTGGGCTATCTCCCATCAAATCCTGATTTTCTACTTTAAGAAAATCGGTGAGGGTCGTGAGAGCTGACTCGACAAAAAGTACTGGGACTGGTGTATCCGGGAGAGGATAATCATATCCCCATGCAGCTAATTGAACGATATTTCGGTGATTGCGAAGCATAGGGTTGCAAAGCGACCGCACCTCCAACTCCAGTGTTCGCAACTGAAGGCGGTAATCTTCGCCCGACGCGAAACTAACGCCTTCTTCTCTTGATAGGGGTACATTTACCCGCTTGATAACCAAGCCCTCGTTACCGGAGAAATCCGAGTATTCGCGGAACACCGTAAACTGTGCGCCGTTTCCAATTTTAACCGCGCGGGTCTTCAGATTATATTGCCGCAAATGTCGCGGTCCGTGGATCCCAGTTTTGGCAAGGATGCTAGTAAATTGAGATACGGTGCTCATATATTGGTGCTCGCCATTGCGGATTGAGGTAACTCTCTCCTCAAGAGGATCGACCAAAGTACTATTCGAGTGGGCGCCTGGGGCGTCCTCACAGTCGTCCCCGAGCACCCCCATGGCGTCATCTAGCAGGTCATCATTGTTAGAAAGACTGAGCTCCACCAGATTATCCTCCATAACGTTCAATGCGTCGTTGAGTAAATCTTCGCCCGCTTCGGGAAGCATATCCGACGGGGATTGGTCGCCTTCCAGGGCGTTCAGCGCATCATTGAGCAAGTCTCCACTCGCTTCATCAAGCAGATCTGATGCGAATTCACCGTCTTCCATGGCGTCCAATGCATCGTTGAGTAGATCTTCAGTCGCTTCATCAAGCACCGCGCTGTCAATGAGCTCATTAACCTCAGGTTGACGCTGCAAAAATTCCATTAGCAATGGTCCACGAATACCGCATTAAGCAACATGGCATACATCAAACGCCATGTTCCAAACGTAAAGGCCCTTCCCGGAGAAGGGCAACAAATAATTATCAACCGAATTCCTGGCGAACAGCAGCCCAATGCACGATTCAACTGTCCTCCAAAGATATTGGCGGCAGGGCGGAAGAATCTCAGGGGAACGGCTTGTGGTATGAATAGCTTGAGCCCCAGCGGTGCGGTTTCCTCGCCTTCGCCTGTGCTGGGAATCTCGACACAGCGACAAGGAGGGGTAAATATCGCGGGTCCCCTAGCTGGGTAACTAGTTAACTAGTCAAGCCAGCCGTCTCGTCGGCTTGGCAGGCAATTCCTTCATCAACGAGCGTCTTCCCCTCCAACCAGGCCGGTGGTGGGGCAAGGCTCTCTTCCTCTTCCACCAGACCGACCGCAATGGATTTCTACGGCACAGCCGCGACCGCGATCGACCATGTCGTCAAAGTGACCTTATTTATCAAGGGGGTCATTTCGGATATCAAGGACTACGATGATGATAGGGCCACCATCCAATTGAAACTAGGTCTGCAGCTCACATCGTTGGAATTCTTCCGCCGGAGATTCCTCGACGACAAACATGGGCTACTGCTCCCCGGTCGACTCCCCGAATGGATCGCCGACACCATTTGCAGTTTGCTGCTGAAGATGAAGCGAGTGCTCGCGGAGTATCAAGTGCTCGTGGGACGATACGAGGATTTCGACGATAAGGTGAAAGCGGGTGGGGAGAATGACAGTGTCGGTAAAAGGGAGAAGTGGAAGCAGTCCTTTTTTGAGCGAGCTAAGAGCCAGGCCAAATCCCTTAAAATGAAGGGCTACGACTGGTCCCTCTTTGATAAAAAGAAATTGCTGGGTATTTTGGAAGAATATCAGGGCTGGACCAGCAACCTGCGGGATGTGATGCAGCACTTTTCTCAGGAAATGGTCTACAGTCTCGCAGACCCAGCGTCGCCCGCGAACAACGAGAGCGAGAGCCTGGAGGGCACTGGTCTAGAACAGGTAGTTCAACGTCAGAAATTGGTGTCAGCCCATCCACCTGATGATTTTGAGGGACTTGAAGGAGAAATCGTCGAGGAAGGAACCGCTTCAAACCGCTTCCAGCCTGCCCGCTGGACATGTAAAGGCGAGTCTCAACAGGTCTTGGTTGAATACCGCGAATATGACCGTCGTTTGCGTCTCGACGATTTGGATCCCGAAGAGATTGAGGAATTGAAGGCGCCGGTGAGAAACCTCGCATGGCTTCTGCAAAACTCTACCTTCCAGGATGGCGGCGGTAACGATGCCGAAATGCAACAACCCGCTATTTACTCGCTCCAGTGCCTTGGGTTTATAGACCAAGTGGAAGAAGAGCGAACGGTCTTTGTTTATAAGCTGCCGTCCCTTCGAGCCGGTACCGAAACAAAAACTGGTATCAAAATCCTCACTCTGCATGAGCTCATTACCACAATTGACGCCAAAACAAAACGACCGTTGAAACCGTCCCTTACGGATCGGTTCAACATTGCTCATTGCCTGGCACTGACACTCTCAAACGTCCATGCCTCCCTCTGGTTGCACAAGAATATTTGGAGCCGTGGAATTCTTCTTTTCCAGCAAAGTAAGGAGGGCGTCACCTCTGTAGAAGTGCAACAGGGAATCAACCCCCCCAGTGGCACTGAAAGACCGCGGATCGTCTCTTTCTTAGGAGATTGGGGATATGCGAGACATGTCGAGGGGCGCTACCGACATGCGAAGCGATTTTGAAATCGAGCCCAATATGTATCGGCACCCTGACCGACAAGGCGCTCCAACACGTCAATTCGCACGACCACATGATATTTACGCTCTAGGCGTGGTCTTGTTGGAGGTTGGTCTCTGGAAAACCATCTCCCAGCTTTTTGACGCTCGGATTAAAGAAGGTCAGCGGACTGGGAAACTGCCCAAGCCCAAAGATGTGCGGAACGCTCTGGTAGCTTTGGCGCAATCCGAGTTACCCCGTGAAATGGGGAACGTGTATGCGGGAGCAGTGGTGAGATGCTTGACGAGTGACTTCCGAAAGGGCAGCGATACGGAGCTCTCGCTGGACTTTAGAGAAAGAGTTGTAGACGCCATTGCCGCCGGGATGGACTTGTGACGGAGAGACTCTTTTGAAAAAGAACATATTTCATTAGATTCTGCGGTATATACGAAAGTCTAGCCGTTGTTAGTAAGGAAAGTTCACAGGTCCTTAGATAGAGAGAGCCAACCTTGATCTTGAATTCTGCCATTGAATTCTCGCAATGACCTTTTTCAACAGGCCTGTAGTCAGGAATGCACTTTGTGAAACTCCTTGCATCTTCTTTACACCTTGCAAGCCCAGCGCTGCTAACTTTCTATTAAACTATTGATCGGTTGGAATGGAGTATCATTCTGATCCGCGACTTGATCATCACAGAGACTGATGCTTCAAAGTCCATCTCAGTTCGTGGCCTCCCGGAACGGGAGTTGGCAATGGGACGACCAAGCTAAGCTCATCCAGTAGGACGTATACATGGAGTCCTATCAAAAGGCCACTGGGCTGGTTAACAGAAAACTACCCAGCTGGATGCAAGATTGGATCAGCCCCGTAACTAAGTTAACTGCAAGTTACCAGGTCGAATAAATTAGTCTTTGCACCAAACAAAGGCCGCAAGGAATCGAGCGAATTGGTCGGAACCAACTCCATCTGGGGAGCTTTTTTAGGGGCCACCCAATCTCTACCCATCTGTGCAAAGAGGCTGTGGAAGTATCCTGTTCGGTAATGGGCTCAGTGGACACAGTTCTCCATGCGAGACGCAGGTTCGTTGAAGAAGCTACAAAATGCTAAATGATCAACTAGTTAGTTAATAACCGTCATTTTCCTGTGATTTCCACCAGATACTGACTGCGGTGGAGCTTAGTCAAGTGCTGGATACATCATCCAGTTCGCAGGTTGAGAAAAGGATTGCGGCATTGAGACGGTAATAGCTACGTTTTAAAAGCGTCGAAATCATCTGAACATTCGCTATTTATTTCTCCCCAGTATCGCGAGATCCTGAGCAGCATCCTACACCGATTTGGGGATACCATTGTTATCAACGAATAGCACACTCATTGATTTGTTGACAGCAACCATGTCCACAATCATTGTGGGAGGAGGCATTATTGGTGTCTCCATAGCATACTATCTTTCAGATCCCAAGAGATCACACAGGCCAAAAGAGATTCACATCGTTGATTCTTCTGCCGAGCTCTTCGCATCCGCATCCGGGTTTGCGGCGGGGTTTTTGGCTAAAGACTGGTTTTCGCCCGAATTAGCGCCACTGGGCAAGTTGTCCTTCGATTTACATCGTCAACTTGCAAAGGACAATCAGGGAGCTCAAAAATGGGGCTATATGGCAGGTACTGCGGTCAACTTGCAAGTCCAGGGAGCAGATGGGAAGAAAAGCAGGCGAGGGGACGATTGGCTACGTCGCGGCGCAAGCAGAGCGGAGGCAGCAGTGAACGAAGAAGCTGCCGTTGATGAGGGAGATCCATCCCCATTGTGGTTGACCAAGCAGAGGGGAGGGACCGTCGACAAGATTAGCAACAATGGCAGCGCTGCCCAGGTGTGGGTGTCTCCTTTGCCTGCAAATGTGAGCCGGGAGCTTGATGCTGATTCCCCCATAGAGATCCCCTACGACTCTGCCATTTCCTCCTGGATAAATGCGTCGAGCGAGGCGTACGGGTCCACTACCCCACACGCCCGGTTGCAATTCTCAAGAAGGGCACATCTTCCACTGGCAGTGAGGTGGTGTTGCAGCGTCTTGACACAAAAGAGGAACTGAAGATGCCATGCGACAACCTTATTCTTGCCGCTGGGGCGTGGACACCACGAGTTTTTAAAACGCTGTTTTCGCAATCGAAAACAGAAATCCCAGTTGGTGCACTGTCGGGATATTCGCTCCTGTTTCGCTCACCCCGGCACACACTGGAGAACGAAAGAGAGACATATGCCGGCCAAAGCCACGCAGTTTTCACCACTCATCCAAAGGCTTGTGGTTTCAGCCCTGAGATTTTTTCTCGTCAAGGAGCTGAGATATATATTGCTGGTCTCAATAGCCTGGATATTCCGCTCCCCGAAGTAGCTACAGACTCACTCGGTATTATGGAGAGGGAAAAGTCAGATAGGGTTAAACGTGCCGCGGTGGTGTTGATGGGACGAGCCGACCCCGACGCGTCCACCGATGAGCAGGGCGAAGCTGCAAATGTGGATGATCTCGAAGTTGTGCGGGAAGCGCTCTGTTTTCGGCCATGGACGGAAAGTGGGCGGCCTATTGTAGGGAAGATCGAGCATCAGCTCTTAGATCCCACTGAGGCGTTCCGTGGTGAGGTGTTTATTGCCACAGGCCATGGGCCATGGGGTATATCGCTCTCGCTGGGTACGGGGAAGGTTGTTGCAGACTTAATAACCGGGGCAAATGCAAGTGCGGATGTCAGTCTCCTGGGCCTTGGAGGGAATGGGCTGATTCCCAGTCATCTATAATAGTAATGTCCGACAACGGCATTCTTCCCAAGGGAAGCTCTAGAGCGGTAGTTAGTTAACGGATATCATGTACTGGTTGTAATGGAATCATTCAATAAAGACGATATTCAAAATAAACCCCGGAACTTGCGTAACTTCGCGGGTTTATACAGCAGATGGTCTTGCGTTGAGAGCAAAAGCCACAACACGCGCGAAACCCAAAATCAAGTTCGCGTTTGAACGCGTCAGATTAAGTTGCCATTCGACGAAGTTCTCAACCCAATGACAGGACCAGCAAGTTCACGTCTCAGCTTCGCTATTTGAAAGCCGGAATATCCTCGAAATTTGAAAGTATGCCCGCTGTCGGGGATGAGAATTATGATCACAGCCATCGGGCCGTTTTACAGGCCTTTATGGCACGATCAACCTTGACTCTCGATGAAGCCAAGCCCATCCTAGCAGCAATTTTTTCAGCCAAAGGTACAAGCGATCACTTTATACAGCAGCTGCGAGCGCGGGAAATGCTCACTTCGTCTAATTGTTATGTCTAGATGGCCGAGAAATCCTTCCAGAGGACGTCACCCATGCCGATCTAACGAATTACATTTCCTCCATTAACACGGCCATTTCGCCCTTCGACCTTGAGATCACCAGCGCTATGCATCAGACGGATCAAACTAGAGTCTATGCTCTCGTGAACGTGACCAGTGACCCTCTTATGCAGCTTGCTACAACCTATACCGCAGACGAAATCGCATATGTCAAGCGGCTGTTGGATGCCATGTTCGAAACGAATAACACGATACGTGAGGAGGCTATGGTGGTGTCCTCAATGAAAGCTGTGCAATTGGCGAAAGCGACGGGCAACAATAGTCGACGGGAGTCTCAAAGTGCCACTCAAGCCGCGGCGTCGCAGCCTTTAACCATGAGGGAGGCTGAGGATATGCTGAAACGGCTGGTTGAAGAAGGGTGGCTCGAAAAGAGCAGGAAGGGCAACTATTCATTAACACCACGTGCGTTGATGGAGCTGAAGACGTGGCTTATTGAATCGTATAATGATGATGAGGACGGCGGCGAACTCGATAATGAGCAAAGGCATGATAAAATCAAGACATGCTTTGCGTGCAAGGAACTCATCACGGCGGTACGTTCTCCTCCCTTGTTCTAACCATCAGATTGCTTATTCGATTGCAGGGCCAACGGTGTTCTCAGCGCCAATGCCCAGCACGTCTGCATGATATGTGCACTCAGAATTTCTTCCGCCAACAGAGAGCTGAAACCTGCCCGCTGTGCAAAACCGATTGGACCGGGAATGACTTCGTTGGAGAGCGTGCCATAAGCAACCAAAACTCGCGAAACGCGGCTACCAATTCATCACGTTCGCAGCACCGGACTTCCACACAGCGCGGCAATCGACAAATCGAAAGTGAGTCCGAGTGAGCACGTATTCTGCCAGTTGGTCGTTACTGGAGCGATGTATCACTTTTTTGTTGTTTGCTTTCCCGATCTCTCAAATCGGCTAGCAATTTTGGCACCATCACAGAGTCCGCCGTTACCCTCATTCGATTCACCAAACCACTTCAGATGCAACTTCACTACGATTAAGAGCTTCGCTTGGGCGGGCATGCCTGTGGTACTTTTTAACAGGACTTCTTGAAGTTAGAGGTTTTGATAGGTGGTTCTCAGCACACAGGACAAATACACGCCATCTCGATCGACCATAGATCGGATCATTTCAAAGGCAACACGGCAATATGCCGTGTTACTGTCCAATTGCCGCAGTGATAAGCGGTAAAGGCAACGTTTAAAACGGCGTGCTGGGGACAAACTCGGTATGGACTAAGCTCAATGGCTTTTGCTCTGCCTCTCAGCCGCCAACAACGCTTGCTTCATCTTCGGAGGCTATGGGCTTTATCACATTGTTGCGCAGACGTTTACGGGCTCAGTGATATTTGCATGTTGGCAAGCGGCAAGAAGTCTTACTCCACAAATTCCATGGGCCCTTAGCTCGATGACTATGGTATCTACTCGCCGGCTTCTAGAAAACGCATTGAAGCGCGGAGAAACGACCCGTGTAGATGCCTGTGATTTATGGCTTATATGATTGAGTATCCGGTAGATCCTAGTTTAAAGTAGTTTCTAGGGCGGACTTGATTGCAATGACGCAAAAGAGGCCCAGGTGGAAAGCGTTTTCGTTTTGTATGTACACTATTATCAGAAATTTCTCTTCATCAATGAAGTCGGCAATCAACCTCTCTTTTCCTCACTCTGGTCGCCTTGAAAGCCTCCTGCGTCACTGGAGTCTTGGCACTGGATTCTGGGCACAACAACCTTAATTCAACGAACAACTTCAGCAAACAACCGGGTGTTCCTCCTGCGGTTCCGAGTTCTTGAGAAACAGTTATCGAAGAGACACCATGGATGAACACCCTGAAGTATGCCGTGGGCATTGAATCCTTTTCAGCTTTCATGGGAGCTTAGACTCCCATGCGATGCCGATCAACCTGTGTGATGACGGGGTTGTGATGCGCATGCAAGGAAGTTTGACCTCTGCTCCCGTGTGGCGACTTGCCAGGAGCTCTCCAACGATGCTCCCCGCCTTTTCAAGTTGTACCACGCCATGACGCACGATGGGCGGAGTTGCGTTCTTGGTTCGCAGCTTCACGAACTTCCAACGGCGAGAAATGGATCGAACCACTGGCAAGTGGCTCTGCATCATGGTTCAGATGCATGAGTCCTGGTGCCTTGAGCCCTACCATGGATTGATATGGTTCCCGAGTCGGAATGTCCTTTGTACCGTGGAGGATGTTTGAGAGCCACGGATGCATCCAGCACCCCCACTCCAGCTTCAACATCGTGGGCATAGTTTGGACTCGTCGAAACCCAGGCACCAGCCCGTCCGAGAGTAAATACGACGTAGTATTGCTGGAGCTTTGCCTTGGATATATTGTGGGAATGTCCCGCTTAATTTTCTCTTTTGCTCTTTTGTCCTCCATATGCGCCTGGTGACAACATCCCGCTCCAGCCCTTGAAGGTTCCTTTTCTTACGTTTCACCTACAACGGCTGAAAAACTACACTGCCTTTTCCTTTGGCAGTCTTGGTGGGGTTCTCACCAGTTAATAATCGCATTGCAACTTGGTGCCCGAGTGAAGTGTTGATTAAACGTTGGTCGCCGGGTGGGACTGATTTCGAACACCGCTTCCACCTGCGATGCTGCTTGAGAACGCAGTTCCGGGCTACTTGAGGCGGTTATATCGGATTTCGAATATTCCTGAGCTCTTGCGCCGCCCGTTGCAGCCGTTCACTTTGCAAAATGCTTTTCAAGGTAAAATGACAAAGCTAGCGCATCTCTACTTTTTTATATTATTATGAATTCCATGGCTAATTCGTAACAGGCTTTACTTGTCACCTTCCTCTTCATCGACCAAGCCCCGCTCGGGTTTGCCCATCGTCATGACCCCAGAGTTACGGACGTATTTGACCGTAATGTTCGCTCCCCGCGTTTTGACAAGCGGGAATCCAATGCCCAAAGCCCTGTGTATGCTACCAAATTTACCGGGGTTTCCTGGGATAATACAAACTGGAAATTGACAACGACGAATCTTGATCAGGGACACTACCAATCGCGTGGATCAATTGCGAATGGCTATTTGGGTATCAGCGTTGCTGCAGTCGGGCCATTTTTTGAATTGGATGTTCCGGTTGACGGCGATGTGATAAACGGGTGGCCTCTCTTCTCTCGACGACAAAGTTTTGCTACCATTTCGGGCTTTTACGACCTACAGCCTGAAACGAATGGGTCCAACTTTCGCTGGATGAATCAATATGGTGGCGAGAGCGTAATCAGCGGTGTTCCCCACTGGAGTGGACTAGTTTTAGATCTTGGAGGTGACGATTACTTGGACGCGACTGTGAATAACGCCACCATCTCAGGTTTCGTGTCTACTTTGGATATGAAAGGCGGAATATTGAGCTGGAGCTACAATTGGACTCCCGCGGGTGGCAATGCCAGCTTTGCTATCGCTTATCGGCTCTTCGCGCATAAACTCTACGTCAATCAAGCTGTTGTGCACATGGAAATCACCCCCTCGACTGACGGGAATGCGACCATCGTCAACATACTGGATGGATACTCTGCTGTTCGCACACAATTCGCTAGCTCTGGAACTGATGGACAAGCTATCTATTCGTCGGTCCGGCCTGACGGTATTAATAACGTTACGGCCTACCTCTACGCTCAGCTTGCAGGAACGGATGAGGTAGATTTGTCTACTCTCTCCGTGATCTCCGACAGGCCTTATATTCGGACAAACGACTCAACAATTGCACAGGCGGCTACCGTCAATCTGAAGTCGGGAGTGACAACGAAAATTACAAAATTTGTAGGAGTTGCCTCGACAGACGGTTTTGTGGACCCCAGATCTATGGCCAAGGACTCGTGCAGCAGGGCTTTAAATAACGGGTACGAATCATCCCTAAAATCTCATATCGACGAGTGGGCGACGGTGTTTCCAAGCGATTCTGTTGATGATTTTTCTTCGCCAGAATCAGGCTGGCTGCCCACTGACGATCATATCATTGAATCCGCGATAACCGCCGTAGCCAACCCCTACTACCTCCTTCAAACAACAGTCAGCGCGAATGCGATGAAGGCTGTTAATTATGCTCCAATAAATAGAGGAAGTATGGCTGTTGGTGGATTGACGTCGGATTCGTATGCCGGCCTAGTGTTTTGGGATGCGGACATCTGGATGCAACCAGGATTTGTGACAGCATTCCCCGAAGCGGCGCAGACTTTCACCCACTACCGGGTAGATAAGTATCAGCAAGCCCTAGAAAACACCAAGACTGCCTTTGCATCTTCAAAAAATCGGACATATTTCTCTCCAGAATCAGCTATATACCCCTGGACTAGTGGCCGTTTTGGAAATTGCACGGGATCAGGTCCTTGTTTTGACTACCAATATCATTTAAATGGAGATATTGGCCTGCAATTGATAAACAATTGGGTTACAACTGGTGATATTAATCGTTTCAAATCTAGCCTTTATCCTGTATACAACTCGGTCGCTTCAATGTTCGCTGATATCCTAGAGAGAAACGGGTCTAAATGGACCTTAACAAACATGACTGATCCGGTACGAATTTCATATTCTGTTAATCTTGACTATTCACTAACCGCGTTATGTGCAGGACGAATTTGCTAACGGTGTTGACGGCGGCGGTTATACTATGCCAATGATCGCGACGACATTGATCTATGCGAATGGCTTTCGCCAAATGCTCGGCCTCGAGCAAAACCAGACTTGGAACGATATGGCGGAGAATGTTCTTGTATCCAGGGACTCTGATTCCGGTATCACGTTAGAATACACTACAATGAATGGGAGCACCCATGTCAAACAAGCCGATATAGTTCTTAACACCTTTCCTTTACGCTATACTGAAAATTACTCGCCGGAAAACGCGCTTCTGGACTTGGACTATGTACGTACCCTTTTCAAACGTTTGCCCCGATAATGCTAACAGAGATAACCAGTACGCGGGGAAGCAGTCGCCAAATGGCCCAGCCATGACGTACGCAATTTTCTCCATCGTTGCAAATGAAGTGTCTCCATCGGGGTGTTCCGCATATACCTACGCGCAATACTCGTTTAGTCCATATGTCAGAGCCCCTTTCTTCCAGTTCTCGGAGCAGTTGGTTGACAGCTGGTTGACGAACGGAGGCACACACCCTGCATTCCCGTTTTTGACCGGGAATGGAGGTGCTAATCAGGTAGTCCTGTTTGGATACCTTGGATATCGCCTCCTCCCTGATTACGTCCTCCATCTCGATCCCAACCTACCACCCCAAATTCCTCATATCACCTATAGAACATTCTATTGGCACGGCTGGCCGCTTAAAGCTAGATCAAATTATACACACACTACGATACAACGTGCGCAAGATAGAGACGCCCTTCAAACCGCTGACCAACGTTTTGCTAACGCGCCCATTCCCGTCCATGTCGGCCCTGAAGTTAATGTGAAAGTATATTCGTTACCTGTAACTGGAGAGTTGGTTATTCCAAATCGGCAAATAGGCTCCATCAACACATACCCTGGCAACCTCGTACAATGCCAGCCTGTCAGCTCCCCCAATGAGTACCTACCTGGGCAATTCCCTATTGCCGCAATCGACGGGGCCGCTTCCACCAAATGGCAACCGAAAAGCGCCAATGTGACGGCCTCGATAACGGTTACCTTCCCTGAATCAGCGTTATCGTCAAGAATCGTTGGGTTTGGATTTGATTGGGCACAAGCGCCTCCTCAATATGCGAAGGTTTTGTTGCATGATGCACCCATCCCCCCGGTGGCAAATATCTCTTCGAGCGGGCCTGCGGGTTCGATCGTGGCTGCAGAACTTTCACAGATCATTATGTCAGACCCGTATCGGCCAAATATTACGGATTTGAACGAAGTCGTACCGTACAAGGGAAATACAACAAATATCACCCTCAGCTCGCCAGTTCCAGTGACTAAATTCGCGACACTCTTGATTAGCGGGAATCAAGCCCTTGGTGAAGTTGAGATTCGGGCTGGGAATGGCACCGGGGCAACGGTGGCCGAGTGGTCTATCCTCGGCTCAGACAGCGCTCAACAGAACAAGCGCGGAGAGGGCGAGCTGAAGAAATTCAGGATCCGTGGCGTCACTTGGAGAGATGCCGCTGAGAATAGGAGAGTTTGAGATTTGTGCTGTGGAGTTTTGGTATTCGATATAGTGGATTTTATCTCTAGTATTTCAGCTTCCTTATGCCAATTCTTGATGTTTATGTTTTGAAAAAGGTCAAAATCTCCTGAGATGTGAGTCTTAGTGAGATGCCTCATTGTCAGCTGAAAAGGGGTGAACTGCAAACAAAGCAAACGCCCAACCCTTCCACACCAGACATCACTCGCGACGGCATGAGAGCAGATGGCAGTATGGTGATAGGATTCTACCTAGGTGCTGAATTCTTCACATAGAAACCTGCACGAACTCGATGAGGATGTATTTTCATCGGAGATTTTGGCACTCGTCCTTCATTGCAGAGTTTTGCAAATGGCTCCTGGCTTTAGGTTGTCACACTTTGTCGATCATCGGCCGTGCAGTTGTCCTGTGTGCAGCGTATGGCAGAAGGCAAATTCTTCGGATCTCGTTGGCATCGATAATTTCCATGCCGCCCAAGCCATACGCATAGATTCCACTCTGGGCTGCCGATCACTTTTCGGCTTTGTGTGACGCTGCTTGTTAATATAATATCCCTGATTGACCCTCCAAAGCTGCCGTTGCTGGCCCCGTTGGTCTGTTTGGCGCCCGCAGCTGATAATTTTCCCTATTTCATTTCTGCATTTCTGTACACCTGAACCGAGCTTTTGGAATTTTGCAATGAAACACTTCATAGGAGGCCATGGCCTCCTATTAATATTGAACGTTGCTTTGGTGGCTGCAAAAGTCAAAGATTGTGCTCTGCTTGGCCCAGCCTTTCCTATTCCAACTCGACTATCGTCGAGTTTGACCTTCCAACATGAGCTGGAGAGCCTGTCGCGGAAAATAGCAGAGGGTTTGGCCTCGTCCAAAATAAACGGAGAAGAATCGTCATTTTCTTTGAATGTATTCACCGGCGAAGATGGATCTCCAATCTGGGAGTACCATCATGTCGCGAGCACGTTCAACGGCACATTGCCAGATGAAGGATTGGACGGGAATACCGTCTACCGTGTGGCCAGCATTACAAAACTCCTCACTATATACACCCTACTTGTTGAAGCCGGATTCGAATTCTTGAACGAGAAAGTTACAAAGTATATCCCTGAGCTTGCCGCAGCTCCAAAATCAAACGAGATGTACGACATACAGTGGACTGAGATTACACTTGGGTCTTTAGCAAGCCACTTATCCGGGATTTTTCGCGCGAGTAAATAGTTCAATATTTCCGCAAGACAAGACATCCTTTAACGCTTCATCTAGCTAGTATTGGGGATCTCGCATCCACAGTCCAAGCTTCACCGATACTTAAAGCAATGTTTCCTCCCCCAGAGAAGAATGACACGGTTTCATGTGGGTACGCACCGTGCTCCAGGAAAGGCAAGCTATGTTCCTTCTCTCTCCATGCTCCTAGTGCTAAATATTAATTAAACAGCGTTCATAAATGAGATTTTGCATCGTCGGCCGGTTTACGCTCCTTTCAATGCGCCTATCTATTCCAATACAGCATTTACACTTTTGGGCATGGCGTTGGAGAAACTCAAGGGACGGACGCTTGTAGACATGATGAGAGATTCCGTATTCAACACTCTGGATCTATCACGGACTAGTTTCTTCCGGAATGATTCATGGGGGATTATCCCTGGGAGCCCTAGCAGCTCTTTCTGGAATGTTTCCTTTGGGCTGGAAGCACCGTAGGATTACATTTGTACGAGAGGTCCCTGGACAATGGCTGATTTGTTTCTAGGGCCATAGAGGCTTACTCTACTGCTAATGATTTAGCTCGATTGGGCCAGGCCATTTTGAACTCCACTCTGCTCACACCAACCGATACCCGTCGATGGCTGAAACCGATGACTCATACTAGTTCACTTTCCCACTCCGTGGGCGCTCCGTGGGAGATATTTCGCGCGAAGAATCCTCGCGTGGTTGATATGTACACGAAATCTGGCCACGTCGGATTCTACACGTCCCAGTTCGTTCTCCTACCAGACTACAACGTGGGACTGACTATTTTGATTGCGACTCCTGGAGAGCCCCCGGTGTCTACCATCGCATCAACCATGGCATCTCATTTAATCACTGCTCTCGAAAACGAAGCAAGGAGACAAGCTCAGATAAAGATTGCGGGCTTCTATCGCGCCAATAATCTGAACTCGTCAATTGCCCTGGAAACAAATGACGATCATCATGGCATCCGCATTTCGCACTGGATCAGCAATGGTACCGATGTTATTCAATTTCTCAAGACACTTGTAGAGGACTCCAAGAAGACAACTGATTCTGTACATGTGCGATTATATCCAACGCAACTTAGAGCAGATTCTGCTTGCCCTAATTCTGGAAAAAGGTGCACGGACGTTTCGTTCCGGGCGACTATTGATATAATACCAGCGGAAGTCGAGGGCGCGGATTATGAGGAACTGTTTTCTGGCAGATGTTTCCACTGGATGGAAATAGACGGTCTCTTGTATGACCATATCAGCCTCGATGATATTGTAATCAAGGTTGAAAAGGATACTGGGAAAGCTGTGGCGGTAGAACCCCGGGCGTGGAAGATTAGAATGGATCGGGTTTGAATCCATACTCGACTGTACATACACCAGGAGTCCAGGACCAAGATCGATGCTGTATGTAGTGGGTTTGTTGTGCCCTACTCAATAACAAGTAAACAACGTTGAGAAGTTCTCCTTGCAAAGTTAAACCCCATTAAGCACTGTGGGGAAATGCTTGTTTCTTGGAGGCGATGAAGCTCGAATGCCTTGGGAGCCTGGAGGTTTCTCCCTGGGGCAGTCTACAGAGTTACGGAGTACGGTGGGTCATTCAGGTGGCACTCTCCTGCTCGACAGGGGATGCGTTTTATTCGCTTCAGGCGTCAGTGACAGCGTTAGCATCTAGGGAATGTTTTTAGCAAATTGGTTCTGAATGTTTTAAACCCCTTGGAGTCGCCGGGATGAGACTCCGAGCCTCACTCTCAAAGACCTCAGTCGTCCTCGCTCGGCTGAATTCTCGGCCCGTCAGCGATAGTTACCGTGACGTCACTCGGGTGTCTGGGAGCCCTCGGCAAAACAATAATGCTGTTCCGATGCCAACTCGCTCGGACCGAAGGCCATCACCACCTGCACGCTATCGTTCAACTTGCCCAGTACCAACGCTCGGCGATTGGGATTGAACATGCTGTCGTTGAGGCCCATTGCCCGCCTGCCTTCACTGCTAGGCCGGCAGGTGGTGTCATGCCATCGGAATTCCCCCGTCACATTCCACCTTGATCGACGACGGTACATCTCCGCTTTCGGGTATACGCAGTCGAAAGCCCTCGTTTTCTCCAAGTATGGAGAACCAAAAGACGTTCTTAGGTGTGCTTTAACCCCCCGTTTTATATCCAATTGAGCTTACCACTAATTACGAACACGGATAGTTTACACTCTTATTCCATCTCTCCGCCCCACGAGACCCAATGCACAGTTCGCCTCCTTACAGCTCCTTTAAATCCCGCGGATATCAATCAGATCCAAGGAGTTTATCCGAGCAAACCTCGCTTCACCACCGAACTTGGCACAGCGGAACCCTACGCGGTTCCTGGCAATGAAGGAGCTTTTGAGGTGCTTTCGACGGGAGCGGGTGTTAAAAACATCAAAAAAGGCGATTGGGTCATTATGAAACGGACAGGCATGGGAACATGGCGAACACATGCTCAGTTCGATGAGTCAGAGCTTCTGAAGGTTGACAAAACCGGATTGTCTGCTCTACAGGTCGGGACAGTCGGCGTCAACCCTGTGACTGCCTATCGAATGATAAAGGACTTTTGTGAATGGGACTGGATGCGTAGTGGAGAGGAGTGGCTTATCCAAAATGGCGCAAACTCCGGTGTTGGACGCGCAGCCATCCAGATCGCGCGTGAATGGGGCATCAAGACCATTAACGTCGTCCGTGAGAGAAAAACGGAAGCGGAAACGGAAGCTATCAAGGAGGATCTCCGATCCCTAGGCGCAACGGTTGTTATTACCGAGGCCGAGCTCCTTTCATCGTCAAAGCTGCGCGAGATCATCAAACAAGTCACGCGCCAGGGCAAAGAGCCGATTCGTCTCGCACTGAACTGCGTGGGCGGAAATAGTGCCACCGCGCTTTCTAAAGTCCTAGCTCCCAACTCCCGCGTGGTCACGTACGGCGCGATGGCAAAGCAACCTCTTAACCTTCCCTCGGGCCTTCTAATCTTCAAAAATATCAGTTTTGAAGGCTTCTGGGTGTCGCAGTGGGGGAACAGTAATCCATCACTGAAGGAGGATACGATAAAAGATATCCTTCGTATGACTAGGGACGGCAAGTTTAAGGATATTCCCGTGCAAGAGATCAAGTGGACACGCGATACAGAGGCGGAAGAGTTGGCGCAGGAAGTCCAGGGAACGCTGAGCGGGTTTAGAAGTGGAAAGGGGGTGTTCGTATATGAAGGCGACTGAGATTTGCCGTTGGAGGCCAATTTTGCTCGTTTACTGTATATTAAAAGCTGTGCAGATTGATGGTCTCGTCGAACAGGGTCGATGTTGATCAGCACTTTTATTGTTACTGCGGAAAATTGAACGGAGATTCAATTTACACGCGCTTTAGACGCGTCGATGCCGATTTTCTGGTGATACAGCACTGCCCGACCTGCTCAATGGTTTTACATACGAACGCGGCCTAAGCTACCTAAGGAGCCTGTCCCTGGCAAAGAATATTTGCGACATCGAAGCAAAATTACCCTGACAAACTGTGAAGAATATGCTACCTGGAGCCTCCTCTGCCCCTTTTTGGTTCTTCAGCTATTGACCTGAACACAGAATCTCTTACTTCCCTGTACTGTAGTATTATCGTTGGGAAAATCAGAGAAACCCTGTTGTTCTCAGCTCGCTGATCACACCCTGCCCCTAGTCCCTGGGAACAAACCGCGGAGTTCGAAGGAGCTGTATGCACTTCTGACCGTCTTTTTCAAACTTCTACCAGGGATCTCGACATTTAAGACATTGTTATTCGGAGCCTGTATGCGCTACATTGGCAAAGTCCTTTGAAATCTAAGCACCCACAGTCTATCTCTACTATTCCGCGGCGCGTTATTAATTTATCTGCTTTGCTTGCACTGAACAGCACGCCATGGTTTTATGGCAGAGAGCTGTGGCGGCATTGTTTGCCTGCCACTTCGTTGATGCCCGCGATGCACTGGTTGATTCCCAATTGCTCAAAAACCCGTATCCTTATCATTTCCCGGAATTGGGCAGCAATGGAACTTCACTATTCCCTATGCCACTCTGCCATGGGTTTAGATTGGAGGAGGCAACGATTGATGAGCTTCAAGCACAGCTCACCTCGGGTCGACTCACGAGTGTTGACCTCGTCGAATGCTACACCGAAAGGATCTTCCAGACCAATGGATACGTGAAGTATGAATCGGGAGTTTCTTTGCTTTCTGATAAAGTGATATTCGCAATCCCCATCTGGACCATTAGAGTCGAAAGACCGCTTACGTCTTAACTTATAGTGCCGTTTCGCAAACCAACCCGGATGCTTTGAAAATCGCCCGAGCTCTCGATGTAGAACGAGCCAGAGGTAGAGTCCGTGGCCCACTCCATGGGATCCCTTTTCTCGTAAAAGACAACATTGCCACCAGAGACCGCTTGGAAACAACTGCCGGGAGCTGGGCCCTGCAAGGAAGTGTTGTTCCTAGGGATGCCCATGTCGCTTACAAGCTGCGAAAAGCTGGGGCTCTCCTGTTGGGGAAAGCTGCCATGAGCGAGTGGGCGGAGATGCGCACAACAGACTATTCTCAAGGATATTCTGCCTTTGCAGGCCAGAGTAGAAGCGCGTATAATTTTACCGTCAACCCCGGGGGAAGCAGCTCGGGCTCTGGAATTGCGGTTTCTATCAATCAAGCGGCCTTTGCATTGGGTACCGAAACTGATGGAAGCGGTATGGCTCTCTTAGTGACTGACGATGTTACGCAGTGCTGACATTGTTCCGTCAATAGTTGTCCAACCCGCGGAGAGAAACGCTATTGTCGGTATCAAGCCCACAGTTGGACTAACGTCCCGCGCTGGCGTGATTCCAATATCTAGCCACCAGGATTCCGTGGGAACGTTGGGGAAAACAGTGCGTGATGCGACGTACGTGCTAGATGCCATTTACGGAATCGATAAGCGTGATAACTATACCTTTGTACAAAGGGGGAAGACACCTCGCGGTAGGCGTGGTTACTCCCAATTCCTCACTGACAAGACGGCGCTCAAGGGTGCTGTGTTTGGTATACCATGGAATTCGTATTGGAAGCTGGGAGAGCCGAGTCAAATCTCCCAGCTTTTGGAGCTAGTCGACTTGATCAAAAGTGCGGGTGCCACCATCGTTAACGGAACTGAGATTACCAACTATGAAACCATTATTCCTCGAGATAGGTGGGATTGGGATTGGGGCTCGCGACGCGGATATGCGAACGAGTCCGAATACACGATTATGAAAGTAGATTTTTATAACGATCTCCGAGCCTATCTTTCTGAGCTTGAAAACACCAATATCCGCTCCCTTGAAGATGTCGTCCAGTACAACTATGACAATTCCGGAACAGAAGGCGCTTCTCCTCACGCTCACCCGGCCTGGGCTGCTGGTCAAGATAGCTTACTTGCGTCGCTAGCCACCAAAGGCATTCAAAACGAAACGTATTGGCAAGCTGTCTCATTCTGTCGATCCTCCTCGCGCAAGGGCATCAATGACGCTCTCAGCTATCGTAATCGTCAATTGGATGGCCTTCTGGTCCCTACCGATGTTGGGCAGACTTGGATGATGCCCGCTCAAGCCGGATATCCGATGATCTCGATTCCTGCAGGGCTGAATGTCGAGTCCGGCATGCCGTTTGGATTGGCGATCATGCATACCGCGTTTTCGGAGGCGAAGTTGATAAGATATGCCAGCGCAATTGAAGATCTGCAAAACAGCTCTGGCACAAATTACCGCCGGACCCAACCCCAGTGGCTTGGATATCGAAGGCGGAATCTTCCTTTGGCTAATGCAACGTGATAGCGGGTATACACATAACAACGCTGCATTCCTACGGTGTACCTCGCGGATTTGTAGGCTCGCAAATATCATGATCTTCCACGCTTTTGACTCTCTCATCGCGTATACATATGGTATCGTTCAGAGGCCTAGAGGTCAACCACTAAGCACTCAGCCTCTTTCATTCTATGATATAATTAATATAAGAACAGCGTTGTTCTAGTGCATAAAATCCTACAGAAGCGTATAATACCTGAGCGCTTACTTTCATCTTTCACAATTCCAATTACTCTTCACCCAGTCCACAATGACTGACCTCAGACTCGAACCAGGCTTGTATTCGGCGGTATCCTTTCTAACGTCGAAATCCAAACCGACGAATTTGGCTGCTACGTCGATAAAAGGCTCAATAAACTCCAGGTATATTAGATCCACTGTGTCCGGCTTTTCTAGGTGATTTTCGGTGTTGGTCGTGGGAATAAAAGCTTGGATACAATTCGGCAAGCGGTAAAAGGAGATTGGAGAATGTATTGTGTCATCCCCGTCAGTTCCAGCAACGTCTTTAGTCGTGTAACCAGGTATTAAATCTGCGTTAGGAATGATGGAGTTTGAGAAATCAAAGCGAGCCTGGTCAGATTGCAATGAATCGGCGAAGCCACTCGTCCTACCTAACTGTTCAGGAGGGGTGAGAAAGGCTGAAGTCGAAATTCCCGATCCTTGGGAAAAAATACGCGGTGCTTTATTTAGCACTTCCAAAATCTTAACTGCTTTATCGTAGGGCACATTTTTTGTAAAGCGAAAGCCTCCCGTGAATGGTGATAATATATAAGTTGAATCTTCAGTGACTTGTCCCTTGAACAAATCAAATCGAATAGCACCGGTATTCAAAATAGCCATGGCAGGTCTTTCGCCACGCAGAGTGGACGGGAGTACCCTTTCTTCCAACCATGTGTAGATGCTGTTTGGTGACGGATATTTAGCTCGAGACATCCAAAATGTCTCCGGACTGCATCCGTAAAGCCTGTCTAAATTAAGGGCACGACGGGCCTTGAAGATCATTTCCGATACAGCCTTTCCTTTGGATGTGGGAAATGTCGACTCGTTAAGACCTGTGTGGTGGTGGAAGGACCACAAGTTGTTGTCTATATATCTCCGATTGAATGACAAGGACCCAGTAGGCCTTTTACCACCCTGCGAGAGGCCACTGATGGATGCGAAGCCTATGGTTTCCATAAATCGACCGCTTGCCAATCCATATGACTTGTCGTCGTACTTAGCGTAATCTCGAATATGGAAGTGGCCTCCAAAAAATTGAATCGGGACATCCCAATTTTCGCCACGAATTGCCTTGAAAATGGTATCGTATTCTTTCGACTGCACAGGAACATGCCCAATAACTAGAAAGAGATCCACTTCTTTATCTTGGATTGCTTCTATGAACCATTTTTGTTTGACGGTCTCCTCCACGGGCTGTACGACGGTATTTTGGTAGTTGTCTTTGAAGTCAAATAAGAATCCGAATGCTACAACTCGTATACCTTGGACTTTGGTAGTGAATTTCTTGAACTTCGGCGCTAATGGTACTAGATCACCGGTTTTTGGGTCGATAATTTCGATATTTGAGGAAATGTAATTTCCTCTGAAGTTCGGGACTGTAATAGAAAACTCGTCTTCGGAGGAGTTTTGCTTGTAGAGTTCATGATTTCCCGAACATAGAAGGTCGATGTGTTGAGATTTGAATATATCTGCCGTATAGCGTCCTTTGGGATCTGAAGCATCATATAATCCGTTTCCCTCTATTCTATCCCCTGTATCAATTAGTAGCAGGTCTGTTCCGTCCGCTTCGGCTTTCTTCCGTAAATGCGCCGCAAATGAGACATAGTCTCCCCAGTCAGCCCCATACTGAGCCCTGTTTTGCAAAACATTCAGCTGCGGCTTGGAAGGTGTTCTCAAGGGTTGATCTCTCACTCATTCAAATGCCCCGCTAACCAGCCATGGGTATCCGTTGTGTGAAGGAAATTCAACTGACCCCATGTCAGATTCCGTAAGGGTGCAGGAATGGGATCTGGGGCAGTGGGTTGCGAGCCGAGGACAGACCCAGTAAGCCCCACAAGAGCCGCAAAAACAGATTTAAGCATTTTCAGCCTTGCAAGTAGAACATCAAGTTCTCATACTACCCCCAATAATTGTATCTCGTGAATGATCAACTCCGGCTCAGAGCCTGAGGGCAGGAAGGGTAAACAAATGAGGTTGCAAGAAGCCTTAGTCATTCGGCAGGTGATTCAGCGGGTCGGAATAAAGTTAGACCGTGATCACGTGATGCTTGATTTTGCTGGAGATGCCTTGATATCTACTCCGTACTCCGGACAGTTCAAGATATGAAGTAAGAATTAGGTAATGTAAAAATCTAGCTACTGGCTATTTATAAAGCATTAGTACTGCAGGGCAGTTCCTCTGGAGAAGTTACCTGTACGGAGTAGGTACTGATTTTTGATTGTTTGCATCCAACTGGGTAATGACGTATCGGTATTGTCAGCCCCACCAAATGATCTCCGTATTGAGTGTATGGAAATACCCATTATTTAGGGTTTAGCTAAATTAGTAATCAAATAGAGTTCTCGGCCACCTCAACAACACGCTAAGCCCGAAGCGGCTTCAACCAAACCCCAAAGGAAAACCGTTGGTGGTGAGGCCTTGTATCGCCAACGACGAAGTTCAGGCAAAGAGAGCGACTTTCTTGCGCTTTGTTTCGCATTGATTCCTCGTTCCACTTTCCTTTGCCTCGCCAATTGCGATTTACCCATCGATCTCAGCTCCTTCCTTTCCGGTTTTGCCCACCCTCTCGTTCGCAATGGCAGCTCCCAGATTCCTCCGCCCGGCGTCCCGACTGCTATCTTCCCGGTTCTGCTCTACTCCAATTCGCACAGCGTTTCAACCCGCAAATTGCACTCAATCCCTATACCAAAAACGAACCTATGCGAACCCCAGCGGTGTCAAGGAAGTTGCAGTCAGAGATGCTTTGAATGAGGCATTGGCGGAGGAACTAGCTTCGAACGAGAAAGTATTCATCCTCGGAGAAGAAGTTGCGCAATATAATGGAGCGTATGTGCCATCCTATCTAGATTTCGGTTTATGTAAAGATCCAATTTTTGAGTACAATCGCTGACGTGCTCGCAGCTACAAAGTGACGAAAGGGCTTCTGGACCGCTTCGGCGACAAACGTGTGATTGATACCCCGATTACAGAGGCCGGGTTTGCCGGTTTGGCTGTCGGGGCTGCATTGGCTGGCTTACACCCAGTGGTAAGACCTTTTGGAACCTGAAAGGGCCTTCACAAACGCCGTCTAACTCCCAAGTCGATGCTTAGTGTGAATTCATGACGTTCAACTTTGCAATGCAAGCCATCGACCAGGTCATCAACTCGGCCGCGAAAACTCACTACATGTCCGGAGGTATCCAGCCCTGCAATATTACATTCAGAGGACCCAACGGTTTCGCCGCCGGTGTTGCTGCCCAACATTCACAAGACTACTCCGCTTGGTATGGAAGTATACCTGGATTGAAAGTCCTCGCACCATGGAGCTCAGAAGATGCGAAGGGCCTCTTGAAAGCGGCAATCCGCGATCCCAACCCTGTTGTCTTCCTTGAAAATGAGTATGTGACCTGACCACGCCAGCGGTTTTATAGAGAGGAAGCTGACATGCAATAGGCTTCTGTACGGTCAAGTGTTCCCTATGAGCGAAGCTGCGCAAAAGGATGACTTTGTTCTTCCTATTGGAAAAGCCAAAATTGAACGACCTGGAAAGGACCTGACTATTGTCACCCTGTCACGATGCGTCGGCCAATCTCTTAATGTAGCATCCCAACTTAAGAGCAAATACGGCGTTGAAGCCGAAGTGATCAATTTGCGATCCGTTAAGCCCCTCGATGTTGAAACAATCATCAAATCGGTTAAGAAAACCGGCCATTTAATGGCTGTTGAGTCAGGATTCCCCATGTTTGGTGTTGGATCGGAGATATTGGCTCTGACTATGGAGTACGGTTTTGACTACCTTCAGGCACCCGCTATTCGAGTCACTGGTGCTGAAGTACCCACTCCATATGCATTGAAACTAGAGGAGATGAGTTTCCCGCAAGAAGATACCATTCTATCTCAGGCTGCTAAACTTCTCCGTGTATAATTTATTGTGGTTGATACCTTTTTTCTTTTGAAATTGTTGAATCCTTTTGTGTTTTGAACCACAAAATGCCTTCAAAGATAAGCCGTGGCTTTTCACTTGAGCCATTTTCCCCTTTCCGCAATTTCTTGCTGTATGATTATTAGATGTGTCCATCGTCACAACACGATTTTGAAGATCATGTGGCTGATGAGCCAAATTCAGTCCCATAATTTGAAAATTGAAGAACATTTCAAAATTCAGCTTGAAGAGGTCTTGAATTGCAGAGGGAATTTTTGAAAGCATGCAGTTCAATGGTTCTTGTTGCAGGAGATGTTAGCTAACATACTTAACAGCGGGTATGAGGGAAGCAGGGTCCTCATGGAGCGCCATGTTGCGCACTAAACTGTGTGAGTCTGTAGTTAACCAAAGGGCCAACACTGCCAGATAATACTGGAAAGATCGGATATAGAGCCCGACGATATACTAGCTTTTTTGGCCCGAATGCTCGAAAGTGACCACAAATCTACCTTAAGTAAAAAGAGAGAAGAATCGCCCGTTCTCACACAGGTTATCCTTCGGAACTCTTGAAGGGAGGGACTCAAAAGTTGGAAATAAATTGAGGGTTGCATCTTCGGTTAGATAGCGGTCTTTCAAAGATATGGCCATGGAGAATGTATAAGACCTTATAGTCTTTTATCTTTAGGGCAATACCATCAATACAGATTTCCTTTGAATATTCTAGCCCATTTTTATAGCGGGTGAAAAGATGGGTTGAATCAAAGAGTAAAGTTGATTTTCCTCAGCATGAATTTATTGCAAGCTCCGGCAGAGCTTCCACCCCGGTTTCCATCGCTAATAAGTACGGAGTAACCATCCCAACTCCCGAAACCCTTCGCTACTCACACGCTGGATTGGCTTTGGTAATATTTCTAACTCAGACGGACGGTGCTGTCCAGCCTCGAAGATGCCGCCAGTAAGTTAATCACCCCAATGGGTTAAATATGGCCGTGAAAGCTCATCTCTCCGAATAGCGTGGTTTTACAAATCCAGCTCCCAAGGCAGGTTCTCTACCACACATTCTCCGATAGCTAGAGGGTTAGCTAGTCTAACGAGCCTTCCCGCAGACTGACTCGGCCCGATCTGCCTTGACGTCCTTCACCTGTACGCTCTGCAACAAATCCTATTCCCGCCACCCAGAATACGAAGCACACATCTCCTCCTACGACCACCAGCACAAAAAGCGCCTACGTGACCTGAAGCAATTATCTCGCGATCCTAACGCCGCAGAGAGAGCGCGAAAAGCGGAACGCAAGGCCGACGCGGAGGCGGGGTTGGTCGTTGTCGACACCGCGCAGACAGCAGCGGGAGGGAAAAGCAGTGCGGGTGGTGGAGGGTTTAAAAAGGGCGGCTTCAAAAGCTCCTTCACTGTCGTCTCTGCCGGGAGTGGTGGCGCTACTGGTGCTGGTAATGCGGCCGCAGCGGGCGGCGGCTTGATCCGGAAGAATGTATTGGGTGACGACGATGAGGATGAAGAAAAAAGGGCTGAGAGTGAAAGTGCGGCACGGCCGCAAGCTGGAGCCGGCTCCAAACAGCCCAGTAACGACGTGGAAAGCGACACGGACGAAGAGTACGGCAAAGATGATGTGACAGCGGGAGGAGGTTACTACAACCCTCGCCTTCCAACGGGCTGTTATGCGAATTGCAAGGGCGCATCAAGTATTCCTTTGGGCTAAACAGGTTTGGAAAATTACAGGCGCGAACTATGCTTGTCAAGTGGGTGATTTGTCTTGGTGTATACTAGTTACTTGTGATGGAAGCGTGGTGTCCGGCGCTCGGGATATTGACTATACTCATGAAGCTGATGATCATATTTTGACAACCTCTTTGAATTCACCTGCTGTCAAGTCCTCGTTCCCTCCACGCTAACCACTTCCTACAGTCATAAAGGAATCTGGATTTTCCCAAATACTCTTTTGATCCTGGAGGAGTGGAAGCAACACTGCCTCACCTGGATAAACCTCAGAGATGTTGTTTGACCAGAGGACAGGAGTCAAAATTTCACCAGAGGATGGATAGATCACAAAGAACTGATGAACAAACTCAATAAGGGAGAATACCTGCATTTCTATGGAGTAACTAATATTTATGTTTTTCGAAATCAATATAGTTGGAAGAGGTATGAAGAGATAGCGCGGAACAGCTTCTCACACCTACTAGACTGGCCAGAGTATCCGATTAGCGTTAGTTACGGAGAACACCTCTTCAATATTCATGCGTGAGATATTCCTTCAACTTCCCTTCCACAGAGTCGACAATGCTTGAAAATCACTACTCCATACCTGGAGCACATAAAGACAAAGTAGCTGCTGACTAATATGAACTACGTTGAGCGGAGATTTTGATCCCCGGCGGTGGCACCTGGTCGACACAGAGAGAGCTCGAGTTGAAGTGAGCGCTGTGATAATCCACAATGGGCGAGCCAGACGACACACCTTCTTTCCACCTTCATGAGCTGGAACCAGTACCAGACGAGGACGTGCTCTCGAATCTCGAAAACGGACAATACACCCCCAAACCTCGAACCAACAGCTTTAATGCGCGGCAGAATGCGCGCGGCGCGCGGTTAGGACTGAGCGGTCATACCTGGGAGTATTGGTGTATGATCCCTAGTGTGCGCGAAATTGGACAAAAAAGACTAACGGGCTCCGAGGAAAACTAGTTTCGCAAGTCCAAAAGTACTCTACCTATCCGCCCTCGATTTTCTTTGGGTTGCACCTTGTCAATACCTCTTTAATCCCTCTAGCAACTCGATCTGTCGCGGCCAGCGAGACATACCTACTTCTCACTCGCCCAATTTATCAAGCTCCTATCCTTGAGCCGGTGTTACTGACCTTGCCGATTCTTGCCCACGTTGCCTCCGGAGTAGCCCTAAGGTCCATTCGACAAGCTAGGCGAGCTAAGCTTTATGGCGCAGAGACACCTCAGCAGCGTAAGGCACTGAAAGTTGCCAACCTCCCTAGCATACAAGCAAGATTGGGATATCTCCTGGTCCCGTTTTTAGGAATCCATGTGCTAATCAACCGCATTGGACCATGGTATGTTGACGGAGGCAGTTCTAGCGTCGGGCTTGGTTATGTTGCCCATGGACTCGCCAGGTCACCTTGGACTATAGGAACATGGTATGTCGCATTCGTTGGAATTGGAGTGTGGCATTTTATTGGCGGCTGGGCCTGGTGGATGGGTTGGAGGGAAGCTGCGGCATTGGATAAGGAACGTGAAAAACGACTCGGTGCTACAGGAGGCTATCTTGGGAATGCGAAGCAGGTCAAAGCCCTGCAGAAACGAAAACGACGAACATGGATTATCACGGGACTTGTGCTCGCTGGGAGTGGATTATGGCTTGCTGGAGGCCTAGGTGTAGTTGGTAGAGGAGGTTTTGGGAGCGGATGGGAAGCTAAGACGTGGGACAACATATATTCCCAAATACCGCTACTTGGGCCGTATCTGGTGAGCTGAACAGGACCAAAGCGTCTTGCGAAGTTGGCAATACGGTAGAAAACCGGCGAAGCTGCTCCCGGGAATGAACGAACTGAGATGTGGCTTGTGGCATATCCTGTGGGATCAGGGGAAAAACGAGCCCTAGCAGTTGATAGACACCTGTTGGGTTCAAGCCTCCGGGGCCAGATCTGATATGACTGCTTAAAGGCCTCCAATCAACCAGCGTTGATGGTATCCAACTAGGCACTGCCGGAACAATCCTAGCCTTGAAGTGAGCACAGATAGCAGACACATAGTGCATAGTATTCCGACAGAGGTGCTTCAATATGAACGACTGCAAGCAAATGATTATATGGTGGTCCGTGCACACTCTAGTCAAAGATGTTGCAACTTTAAAAAGTCACCAAGGGCCGATATTCTGGACCATGCTGAAGCAAACATCCAATGTTTCGAGCCGTCTCGCTCCTCAAAGTGACCAGCGACGCAATATGCCGATCTTGCTCTTCTATTTCATCTAATATCCAGATTCTTCACGGAAATTTCGTTTCTATCCGAGGCGTCAGTAAGACTCACCTGCGCAAAATGGCTTCGGACGCCCCCACGATTGGCACGCTTTCTTCTCCTCCTCAAGCAGGGCAGATAATACAACATGAAGGCAAAGAATACGAAACCGTGAAAGAAGGGCTTGCACATATCCTTATCCCTCGATCCTTCCAACCCACGTCCGATCAAGGGGGCAAGAAAAAGCCGACAGAAGACAAGGATAGGCCGGCCGTTTTCTACAACCCAATCCAGCAGTTCAACCGAGACTTGAGCGTTTTGGCGATTCGTGCGTATGGGGAGCACGCCATTGCGAAGAAGCTTGAGAAACACGAACGGAATTCGAAGCGACGGGAGCAAAATGGGACAAAACGAAAGCGAGAAGAGATTGATGGAGATAATAACGACAGCAATGTCGAGGCAGCAAGCAAGAAACCATGTGTGCATGAAAATCGAGATGTGGCCGTACAAGAAGCCTCTGAGGGTGATATGAAAGCCCCAAGGCCGGGAGATGCTGGCCAAGTTCAAGCCGGCAGGAAATCGTTTTCGCCGCCATTCAAGATTCTCGACGCATTATCGGCTACTGGCTTACGTGCGCTTCGTTATGCTAAAGAGATCCCATTTGCGAGCAAAGTGGTTGCCAACGATCTCTCTGCGCTCGCAATTGAATCGATGAGGGTCAACATTGAACACAATAAAGTTGGGGATATCGTTCAGCCAAACAATGGAGACGCATGTGCATACATGTATGGCATACTTGGGCCGCGGGAGCCACGTAAAGACGGCTCTTACTTCGGAAGATTCGATGTGGTAGACCTCGACCCTTACGGGACCGCCGCGCCGTTCATGGACGCTGCAGTGCAAGCTGTTGGCGACGGAGGAATGCTGTGCGTTACCTGCACGGATGCCGGGGTTTTTGCAGCTACTGCGTATCCGGAAAAAGCCTTTGCGCTTTATGGTGGCATTCCTATAAAGGGAGTACACTCGCACGAAGGGGGTTTACGTCTCATTCTACATGCTTTGGCGACCACTGCGGCGAAACATGGGATTGCGATTGAGCCGCTGCTCTCGTTGTCTATCGACTTCTATGCTAGATTATTTGTTCGCGTTCATAAGTCTCCCTCTGAAGTTAAATTTACCGCTGGGAAATCAATGGTTGTGTACAATTGCGACAGCGGCTGCGGAGCTTGGACAACACAGAAGTTTGCCTATAATCAGGAGCAGAAAGCGAAGAATGGCAATTCCTTTTACCTCTATCGTCTGAGTCAAGCTCCAACAGCGTCGCCTAATTGCGAACATTGCGGATTCCGGACACATCTCGCTGGCCCGATGTGGGCAGGGCCTTTGCACAATCCTCACTTCATTCAACGGACACTTGCTCTGCTTGCGGGAGCCGATAAGGAGACGTATCCAACATTTGGTCGCATCGAAGGGATGCTGACCACTGCTCTCGAAGAAGATTTAGATATTGACGAATCTTCTGCAGCACCTACACCCGAGCCACAATCAGCCACTCAGAATAGCGATAACAGCGGGAAACCCTCTGCCCTTATACCTCGAGTTGACCCGAGTAAACTTGAACCTCATCCCTTCTTCTTCCTTCCCAGCGCTATCTCCAAGGTCCTCCACACTCTGACGATGCCCGAGCTTTCACTTCGCGGTGCTCTTCGTCATTTAGGTTACAAATCAACCCGGAGTCATGCTAGGCCGGGCTCTATTCGTACAGATGCACCCTGGAATGTGATCTGGGAGATCATGCGCGAATGGGTACGCCAAAAGGCTCCGATCAAAGAAGGTGCTCTGAGTGAAGGGAGCGCCGGTGCCGGAATCATGAGGAGACGAAGAGAGAGCCTTAATATTGACGGCGACCGTGCAGGGTTGTCGTCTCTAAAACGTGATATACTAAGTGCCGTGGAGTCGGGCAAAGATCTATCCGACCTAACCACAAAAATTGAGGCTGCCCTTTATCGATCTGGCGCAAAGCGACCAGGAGCAAATACAGAGCCTGAAACAGGCGAATCGTCGGCCGGATCGAAAAATGATAAAGGTCCCTCTTCGTTAGAATTGCCGGATCCAAGCAAACTGGATGTAGTATTCGACAAGGCTCTTGGCAAAAAGGCGTTGGATGCGCACCGCAAAAAGCGGCTCATCCGCTATCAAATCAATCCGCGAGCTAACTGGGGGCCTTTGGCTCGTGCGCCGGTTACGGCTGTGAAGAAGGATTAGCGAAGGGGTCAAGACGGCTGCCCATCGCTGAATCATAGCGCCCGGTGCTCTGCCCAGCCCCTGGCACAAAGCCTCCATCGACGCACCATGGAAACAATAGTCCATTGAATAGGTTATTGGAATCTAGTTTCCACTTTGGAGAATCACTCTGAGAGCCACTATGCTATCTCTCTCGAAGATATGTCTCATTACCCATAAGAATATTGTATTATACATGTCATTAAAATATCATGGAAATTTTGGTTCCCTTATTTTTACTCACCCTCTGGATGCTTTTATATACCCAAGGACTTTTTGATACGGGCTACGATGGCATCACCGACGTCAGATGTTCCCGCCTTTCCTCCAAGGTCCGGTGTGCGAATGCCAGCATCGAGTGTAGCGCTGACGGCTTGTTCGATAGCCTTCGCTTCGGCTTCCATATTGAAAGAGTATCGGAACATCATTGCTACGCAAAGGATCATGGCGATGGGATTCGCCACGTTTTTGCCAGCGATCCTACATTTTGAAATCCAACACGTTAACCTCGGAAAAATCAAATGTGAAGGGTTCAGGCGGTACTCACGTTGGCGCAGAACCGTGCGTTGGCTCATACAACGCATAGGACTTCCTGCCATCTTCTCTCTTCTCTCCTGGGACACCGCTCAAGCTTGCGCTTGGCAACACTCCTAGACTACCCACAATTGAACCGGCCTGATCTGACAGCATATCGCCAAACGTGTTATCGGCAAGCAGGACACCGTTTAACGAACGTGGGTTCGTGGCCATAATGAGCGAAGCTGAATCAGCGAGCTGATGAGAGAATTTGACTTGTGGGAATTCGGTGGTAAGTGTCTTTTCGACGACGCGGCGCCAGAGCCGCGAGGAAGCAAGCACATTGGCTTTGTCCATGGAGATGATCGGCCAAGGTGGGTTATGCTGGAGGGCAATATGGGCTGCGAGACGGGTGATTCTCTGGACTTCTTGCGCTGAATACCCCCATTCATCCATTGCTACATGGGGAAATGTTTTAATATACAGCCCAATTCAATACCAGAGGACAGCAAACTCACCGTAATCTTCCTCCTCGACCTTCTTGCCAAAATACGCACCGCCGCAATTCTCTCTCAGGACCACAAAGTCCACGCCTTGAACAACCTCAGGCCGATACGAGCTGAACTCCCGGCTCACGCTTGCGCAGACGTCGGTGCTGCACGGCCTGAGATTCCCATAGACGTCTAAGGCCTTTCTCAGCTGCAACAGGCCGCCCTCTGGACCATCCAAGCCTTTCCGGGATGAATCCCACTTTGGCCCACCGACAGATGCGAAAAGAACGGCATCGGACTCAAGAGCGGCTTGTTTGACTGCGTTGGTGATGGGCGTGCCATGGGCATCGATACTGCAACCGCCGATGAGCTCCGTACGTAAATTGAAGCTGAGATTCGCAGAGGAAAAAGTTTGGAGAACTTTTACAGCCTCAGTCATGATTTCGGGACCGATCCCGTCCCCAGGAAGGGTGAGGATGCTGTACGTCTTGGAAGACATGGTTCGATATTGATTCAGCGATGGCGTTTTTGTCCCTTCCTCGCCCGTTTTCTCCGCTTCTGTCAACGAATATTAAAAGAATTGCGCTTCTCTTCCTCGATTCAATGATACCGTGCGACTAAGCTCCTTATGTACTCTCTCCCTTTCCCTCCGGAATCGGCGTTTTCATTCATATCACCAACTGCTTGTCCTTCGAATCATCGCTTCGCCCCGCCGCATATCTTCGGCATAAACTCATCCCACCTTCGGCGATTGAGCTCCTCAGCTTGAAGCTCGGCATACCGCCAGCGTGATCCCGAAGCTCGAACAAGCATTGTGATTGGCGGTTTAAGTTCCGATATCGCAAGGATAAAGTAAGGTTACCGAAAGCCTACACTAGCACTAAATGGGCTAGACCCGGAGTTATGCAGCCAGCATAAGTTCCTGCAATACGTAGCGGCCTGTGTGACAGTTGTTGCAATCAGTCCGCCAGGATACAATAAGAAGTCGATGGGAATAAGAGCGTCTTAGGTGGTTTGATTGTGAGCATTGGCGGAAACCAAGGAAACAAGCCTCTATTTCAAGTAAAAATGAATTTGTAAACCTCTATATCTCCTGAACATCAATTAATGGAATGGGAATCGCAGGAAACCTTGAGCGTAAAAATAAATCAACTTTTCAAACATCATAGGGCATACAAACATCAGGAAAATGCTGAGCGTGAACCAGGGAAACAAAGTGATTTGCTATCTTCATTAATTAATAGGGCCGTAAAGAAATTACATAAGACCGCAGGAAAAAGGGAAAAAAGCCCTGCAGCTGGGTAAATAAAGGCAAGAAATCGCATGAAAAAAAAAAAAAAAAAAAAAAAAAAAAAAAAAAACAAGCAGAAGCAATTCCCAATGTGTATCAAAACCAGAAAAGCATGATGAAGCAAGCTAGTTAAGGGTAGCCTGCGCAACGGCAACGGCTTGGGAATCGCTGTGGCTGATGCTGACAGTAACCGCCCGGACTCCGGCCTGTTTTGCAGCAGCGGCAGCATCGCCATGCAACTACGAGAGTACGTTAGTTCACCGGCCACAGCACGGAACAATAATTGACAGGGCTACTTACTGTAACAATGGGAGCTCCACTGGCATCATTGGTGATTTCAATGTCCTTCAACGGTGCCCCAGCACCTTTTCCGGGCACACCAAGGGACTTGAACACTGCCTCCTTGGCACTCCATCGACCAGCAAAGGACGATTGGGGTGACGCAGCCTGACGGCAGTACTTTTGTTCCGCTTCGGTAAAATTACGCTCGATGAATGTTTCGTTGTCAATATTGATTGCATCAATGTTTTCAACATCCACCCCGACGCGTGTGGTGTCTGTGACGGCGGCCTTGGCCAAGTTCTCAACCATTTCCTTTGTGCCTTGATTGGCCTTCTGCACAGGCGCTTTGGTTGGGTAGGCCAACTGTGATGTCTTCTCGTTGAGAACCACACGAGCGTCTGGGTTGAGCAGGACCTTTGACTCTTGAGTCTCATCATACGGCGCCTTGTCCTTGGCAACGAACAAGCTGTTGTTGATCAATCCATTGTGGAAGTATCGGTAGGCCTTCTTCTGTCGGGCCTCAACCTTCGCCTTATAGGCGGTATATTGGGCCTGATCTAATGTTGCAAACAGATATTTGGGATGGATAGCAATCGCTTGAGTTCCCTTCTGACCGAAACCGAATGACGTGACGGAAAATGCCTTGATACCGTCCGTCTGAATGCTTCGGCTCGGATACACAACGTAGTCGAACTTCTCCATAATCTTGTCGATGTTGTCCGCGTTACGATTTCCAGGGACCAGACCAGTGTTCAGAACCTGCAAACAACCATTGAACATGAATCCACCAGCAGCGCCCTTGGGATGTCCAGTCAAATACTTCTGGAAAATACCAAGGAGGGCGTTACCCTTTGTCCTGCCAAGGTGCCTCATCTGCTTGCACAAAACATCGCACTCATTTTTGTCGTTGGCGACAGTGGAGGTTCCGTGGAACGAGGCAACATCAAGGTCATCAACTGTGAGGCCCCAAGTTGCGAGAGCACCACGAAGAGGAGCGATGCGTGGATCCTGTTTCCAGAAATTGTTGCCCAGGGCAAATTGAGCATCTTTCTCCTGTCGAATTGCCTCTCGTTGAATATGCTCCACACGCTCTTGCAAGTACTCCTTTTCATTGAATGGTTCGGTCGTCTGGGCCTTCATTGCATCAACTTCTTCCTGGAGATAAAGAAGTTCTGCCTCTTGCCACTGCTTAATTTGACGGCGTCGGAGATCCAATTGGCGACGACGGTATTTGATATCCAAAAGCGGGGATGGGAATTTACCGGGATTCTCCCGAGCAGTGGTCAGAACACCCTGGCCGGGTGCTGGTACGGATCGACCAATCTTGTCAGTAGCCGTAGATGTCAAGGCAATTGTACCATAAATTGGCACACCCATATCCAACGCAAGTTGGGCGCTCATGATCAACTGCATGCCACAACCTTGAGACTCCATGAAACCGCCACGCGTTGTAGTGGTAGGTCGAGACATTTCCTGAGGAGTCCTTCCATGGGCGAATTCGGTTTCAGCGTTGCTGGTAGCTTTCATGTTGGCGAACTCGTATGAGCCTTCTTCCTGGAAATCGTCGAAGCCGCCGACGAAGCAAACTCGGGCCTTGCCTTCCACAATGGTTTCGTAGCCGATGTCGATTGATTCGACAGCGGTTGCGCAAGCTCCAACTGGGGTTTTAATTGGTCCGCTGGATGAAAGAAGCAACATGTTTACCCAGGCGCTCATAGTGTTGATGAAAGATTCCTGGAGAATATCTTTTTGAAGTGGTTTGTCCAAGTAGCGATCCTTGTACATGCCCTTCAGGGCCTGAGAACCACCAATGCCCGAACCAATGCAGTTACCAAGCTCAGATACGTGAACATATTTGTAGAACTCATAAGGATCCGTAATACCGGAGGAGAGAAGCGTCTCTGCTGTGCACACCAGGACATAGAGGGTGACCGGGTCGACTTGACCGATAATGTCATCAGGGATGCCATAATTCTTTGGGTTCCAGCCGGTCGGAATCTGACCCGCAACAAGTCGGTCAAATTTCAAAGCTTTAGGAATGAGGAGAGTGGCGCCCTTGAGAAGACGAACGGTGTATTCGCCAGACTCCTTGATTTCAAAGATTTCGACTTTATCGTTGTGCTCGCGTTTGAATTCTTCAGCAGTTTCCTTAGAAGCCTCGAAAGTTTCGAGGTCTTCCTGAAGCACGACTTCTTGCAAAAGTTGTTTTTTGTTCGGGTCGTAGCCCTTGAAGAGCTCAGGTTCGATAAGGCGGATACCGGAGTGCTCAAGGATGTACTTCTCATACTTGGCTTTGACGTCTTTGTCGCTGACGGGCTCACCGGTCTTCGCATCGACCCACCCGGAGTAGGGCTTCCCTTTAATGGGTCCATTATGATTTTTGATAAGGCCCATAATCCAGGCCATCTCAACACAACCCTCCAAAGAAAACTTACCATAGGCTTCCATCTCCCAGCGGGTTCGCGAGTTACCCCATGGACCTAGTTCAGCAAAACCCGTCACAACAACAACTTTGTCGAGATTCACCATGCCCTTCAGGTTTTGATTGAGAGAGTCCAAATCCTTCCAATCAGGGAGCGTAGGGAATTCAAATTTGATATTGGCTCTAGGTTCCGTGACGACTTTCTTGTAAAGAGCCTCGCTGTCCTCTCCATTGACGGCTTTGTTTTCCAAGGCAGTTTCCTTGACGACGGCGTGTCGAATGGTGCTCGTCTCAAGCATTTCACTTCGGAGTTTCTTCATGAGAGCGTTGAGGTCAGGAATGAATTGGAAGCCACCGTTCAGGTCAGCAAAGACCGGGCTACTTTGACAGAGATCAACGATAGCAGGAGCCATTAATCCTAGCAAGTTGAAGGCCATTTCTTGCTGTGAGAACGTCCGAACACCGAGTTTTTCGATACCATCAGCGATCGTATCATTAGCGTTCATAAGACCAGTAGAACGGGTCCATCCAATTACGGCGCCGCAGATAGTGAGATAGTTGGCCCAACTCTCAGAATACCATCTGTTGAATAGTGTCTCCAAGCCCAATTTCGATTCAGAGTATAGGCCATCATTTCCAAAGGTGCCATGGTTTGGTGAAAGTGGCAAGATGACCTGCGCAGGACGTGTCGAGAATCCACGTTCTTGTTTCTGCGTTTTGACGCAACCAAGCAAGCGGTAAATGTTTGTCAGCATAAGACGGTGAGCTAGCTCTGACTTGGAGTCGATGTTATCGATCTCACGTCCGTTTTCGGAAAAGGCGGCGAACGGGATAACAAAATCAAGGTCCCATCCCAAGCCGTTCTTGGTGTCGTAGACATAGTTTACCAGCGCCTCGACGTCTTGCTTGCTTCCTTGATTGAAGGGAACAACAACTAATTGAGAACCGCGGGCACCGTAGCGAGTATACATGGTTTGGTAATATTCGGTGACCTCACGGCTGAAGCGACTTGTCGTGACGACAACCTTGGCACCGCCACTGATGAGTCCCTGGAGAACGGCTGCACCGATAGAGCCTGCGCCAGCACCAGTCATCAAGATATTTTTACCACTGAAGGTAAGCCCGGCACGCGCAGCCGATTCCAGGCCGTCAATGTAGATACCAGTCAACTTCTTGCTATACTCCCAGCCGTGTCCCTTCTTCCTCTTTAGATGTAAGAATGGAATGGTCTCAACCTTGCCTGGTCTCGTGGGGCCTCCATTCACTGGGGAACGAGAGCCACTACGGCTACCTTTCTTGCTATGTCCATTTTCCTGAGGGATAATTTGATGCTCGTTCATGGACATCGCACGGAGCACTTCACGATAGAGAGAATTGAATTGGAGCTGCGAGGATTTGGATAATTTGTGCTGCTTCCTGATGAGCTTGTAGACACTCTTGAGGTCGTTCTGCACCTTTGTGCGGTTGCTATATTCGGTGATTGGGCCGCCCTGCGCCATTTCTGTGACATAATGTTCGAGTTTCCGTACACTAGCACGAGGAACTTCTTGATAATTGATATTACCGCGAGCGTCCACAACAGTCTGTGGAGCAGTTGGGATAGCGACATCCTTATAGACGGGGTCGGTATGCAACACCTCTCTGCAGTTTTCGATAAGTTGTTGTCCAAGTTCCTTTGCTAGTTTATATGTTTCGCCACGGTCCGTTGGGCAATTATCAATGTGATATTGCATGAAGTCGAGAAGTAGCGGGTTGGACCGGTTCATAATACGAATGCACTGGCTGACGATTTCACGATCCACAACCTTCAACCGGCCGAAGATGACATCGAAGTACATGCTGAGCGCATCCTGCCGTGCCCAGTTCCAGGATGAATCATAAACGCGTGCTTTCAAGGGATCGAATGAAGGCTCGATGCCGGAAGCATATATGTCGCCATGCTCAGCATGCCACAAATCCAACTGAGCCTGGAGGGCAGTTTGAGTCTCTTGACCTGCAAGGTGGGCCTTGTCACCGGCTCGCAAATCCATTTTCAAATAGCGCGCGATGATCTCCAACTGCTGTTTGAAAAGAGCTCTCTGGTCCTTGGTCAATGCGTCAATGGCAGCAGGATCCATCATCATGCCGCCAGCACCGGCTCCGGAATCGCCACCAGCGCTGGCGGTGGAGAGGGAAATGCCTTGAATCGAAGCATATTTGTTGGCAACATCATCGAGATACGCTTTGGCGTCTGCTTCTGAGCCGAGACGCGATGGTGGCTCCATTGTCAAGGCAAGTAGTAAAACGCCGTCTTGGCGACCTGGTCCAAGCCCCCATCTCGTCTCGAGATATTTGCGAACTGCAGTGATATTGAACCCACCAGGCATTTTTGAGGATACCAATCTGGCAACAAGAGAAGTGGATTGCTTGCCAAGCTGGCCATTGAAGGTCGCTTGCAACGCGGAAGAAAGTTCGTCTATTGGGGTATCTTCAGGTCGATCGGGCGTGGAACCGAACTCTTTGCCTAGATCACCAAGGATCTCATTCTGAAGCGTAGATTTGCCTAGAGGGTAAAAAAAAAGTGTTTGTTAGGGCGTGAATGGCGATGATACCTCCTTGATGAGAACTCACCTCCGACCAAGTCCTTGATCGCCTTGTTAGGCGGGATATCCAAGAGCGGCTTCTTCAATTTCTGTGCTACCAATGACCGCACAACATCAATTGCTGAAACTGGAGCATCTGCAACCGCAGCAGCAGGCCCCGCACTGGGCGGTGGTGGTGGTGCGGCAGCAGTTTGTGCAGGCACGGCTGGAGCTGCTGTTGACGCCGGAGCCGAGTCAGCCGCAGGGGCCTCTGGCTCCTCCTCTACGGGGTCAACATCGTAATATATCTCTTTTGCGTCCTTGTTATAACATAGGATCTGGCGCTGAACCGATGTAGCGGCATCGTAGGCTTCATATTTCGAGGCGATTGTTCGCTTGGCCATTCCTCCTAACGTGTCGGCCGGACCAATCTCGACGATGCGCTCGGTGCGCTTCTCTGCGAGAATCACATCTTGGGTTTCGATCCATCTCACTGGCGACGCAAATTGATATGCCAGGAGCTCCACGAGGAGGGTGTGGGCGAGCTCTTGCTCTACTTCAGGTCTCATTATGAAGTTGTAATGTACAAGTTCCGGGGGAAAGGCGACGTCGGGATTCGAAGAAGTGAAGTAGGAGTATGGTCTGAGGTATAGCTCCGTGCAAAGGCTCGAGGGGAGGTCGAGGGTGAGAAATAGGGCTTGTGCTGATTTGCGTCGGGGAAGGAGTCTGGCAGAACCAGAAACGCGAAAGAAAGGACAGTGTATCGAAGACGACGAGAAGAAGAATCCCAACCCCGAATTGACCCACGCTGGCAGAAGAGAGAGAGAGAGAGAGAGTGACGAGAAGAGGAGTGATGTCGTCCGATATTTTCATCCACGGGGCAGCTGGGAGGAGATGTTGGGGCTGTGGTTCCGCTCGTTTGGCGTGTTTTCAACCATGGAAATTTCAAGGTAAGAAAAAAACTGGCTGGAAGCTCAGGAAAGTCACGGCGATACGGCCCAGGGGCCAGACTTGGTAGTCTGCCGTACGCCCAGAACACGGAGCTTAAACGATGCCTCTGATCTCTGGTGGCGGAGGCGCCCCTGCTAGTGTAATTCTGGTAATCGGCCGGTCAGGAGCGAAGCGGCCGTCCGGGTTGGGGAGCTGTTGATAGGCTGCAGGGTGGGCTCCGTACGCCACTAGTAACAGCGTGACCGATTAACTTCCGGGAGACACTGGCGGGCTAATCAAGTCTCCATCCGCCACTCAGCAGTTTGTCGACGGCTGGGAAAAAAAAAAAGAAATCAGTGTTTCTTCCAGATGCCCACAGAATTCCCGGTAAACGCGATTCAAGTCCATCCTCTTCCTCGCTGCGGACAGGATAGAGAGGATTGGAGCTTACACGTACTTGCAAAGACCAGGACGTCATCCAGCGTAGAGACCCAGGACCGCCGTATCGGTACCGTCACGCCGCCCAACCGTTTTGAATTCTTTGGGGACACTGGTAACGGCGCTAGGCCGCATTGGAGCTCCCTTGAATTCAACCAACCTTGCTAGTCCCAATCGAGCGCGTGCCTGGCCGACCGCCAACCGCCCGAAGTCGAAAATTCGATGCCATCGTCAACTTCATCAAGGGAATCGTGGCCGTGTGAATCGGGCGTCCGGATCAGCTCTCGGCTTTTTTCCTTTCTCTCTTCTTCTTCCGTTCCTTCGTTCTCACTGCTGCAATAGGAATTTAATTTTAGCTGCAATCACCTTCCTCCAAGCAGTCACGACACCCGCCCGCCTTTCCTCCCCTCCTCTTAAGACTCCCACTTCACTGTGACGATACTTGGAGGCCATTTGATGCCCTAGCTTGCTTCATTACAATAGGTATGAGAGGCATGCCCTTGAGCCAGCGTCGCTGATGCTCTGTTGCTAATAACACCTACGGTTCAGATAATATTGAGATACCCCGATCATCCTTCCATTCTTCAGTCTGAGTTGGCAAGAACCCGTTTTACACAATGTACGGCACTTCCACCGGCCCACAGACGGGCATCAACACCCCCCGCTCCTCGCAATCTCTTCGACCACTCTTCCTCTCCCATGGCTCCCTCGAGTTTTCCTTCCTCGTCCCGACCTCTCTTCATTTCCATGCTTCACAGCTGAAGGATGCATTCTCAGCATCTCTTCCCGAACCCACAGATGAACTGGCTCAAGACGACGAGCCGTCGTCAGTCCCCGAACTCGTTGCTCGATATCTAGGCTTTGTCGCACGGCAGGTCGAGGAGGGAGAGGACGATGCGCAGGGTTCATATCTGGAGCTACTCAAGCTCGCCCTCAATGAGTTTGAGCGAGCTTTCATGCGCGGAAATGATGTGCACGCCGTTGCAGGCGCCTTACCAGGCATCACCTCCAAGAAATTGCTGGTGGTAGAAGCCTACTATGCCGCTCGTGCATCAGCCGACAGACCGACCAAACCGCACGATTCGGCGTTGCTCCGGGCTGCTACTGATGGCAACGCAAAGCTCTACAGTGTGTACGGGGGACAAGGCAATATTGAAGAGTATTTTGACGAACTTCGAGAGATTTATTTCACCTATCCATCGTTTGTGGAAGATTTGATCTCTTCATGCGCGGAGCTGCTTCAATCGTTGGCTCGCGATCCCGATGCAATCAAACAATACTCCAAAGGACTGGACATTCTACGATGGCTTCACGACCGTGACTCCCAGCCAGACACCGACTACCTCGTTTCAGCCCCTGTCAGTCTTCCATTGATCGGCCTCGTCCAACTCGCTCATTACACCGCCACCTGCAAGGCAATGGGTAGACAACCGGGCGACATTTTAGACCGTTTCAGTGGTACCACGGGCCACTCCCAAGGAATCGTTACGGCAGCAGTAATCGCAACCGCCACAACCTGGGAATCCTTTGGAAAGGCCGCCAAAACTGCATTAACAATGCTCTTTTGGATTGGGCTGCGAAGCCAGCAAGCCTATCCACGGACGTCGCTAGCTCCCTCTACTCTTCAAGATTCGATTGAGAACGGTGAAGGCGTCCCAACACCCATGCTCTCAATTCGTGACTTGCCCCGCGCCGCCGTCCAAGAGCACATCGACGCGACAAACCAGCATCTGCCGAAAGACCGCCATATTGCCATCTCGTTGGTAAACAGCGCTCGGAATTTTGTCGTCACCGGTCCACCCATTTCTTTGTACGGCCTGAATCTACGACTTCGCAAAGTCAAAGCCCCAACCGGTCTAGATCAGAACCGTGTGCCTTACACGCAACGGAAAGTGCGCTTTGTGAACAGATTTTTGCCAATTACAGCTCCGTTCCATAGCAAATATCTCACTTCTGCTTTTGACCTAATTAAGGAGGATCTCGAGGACATTCGCATCCCAGCCACTTCGCTTCGTATCCCTGTTTATGACACCAATACCGGACTAGACTTGCGCGCAAGCGGCGAGAAGGATATTGTTCCCGCCTTGGTTCGCATGATTACGAGCGATCCGGTGAACTGGGAAAATGCCACCGTCTTCGATAAGGCCACTCATATTATTGATTTCGGCCCTGGTGGGATTTCCGGACTCGGAGTCTTGACTAACCGCAACAAAGATGGCAGTGGAGTTCGAGTTATCCTTGCTGGCTCTATGGATGGAACGAATGCCGAAGTTGGCTATAAGCCTGAACTCTTCGATCGCGACGAGGAGCATGCAGTCAAATACGCAGTAAACTGGGTGAAAGAGTTCGGTCCTCGTTTGGTCAAGACCTCTGTTGGCCAAACGTTTGTCGACACAAAAATGAGCAGATTGCTTGGCGTTCCCCCAGTCATGGTCGCTGGTATGACACCATCTACGGTACCATGGGATTTCGTTGCTGCCACGATGAATGCTGGCTATCAGGTCGAGCTTGCTGGAGGCGGTTATTACAACGCCAAAACTATGACGGAGGCTCTGCACAAAATTGAGAAAGCCATTCCTCCCGGCCGAGGCATCACTGTCAACTTGATTTATGTCAACCCTCGTGCCATGGCATGGCAGATTCCCCTGCTTGGAAAGCTCCGTGCCGATGGAGTCCCCATTGAAGGTCTTACGATTGGTGCAGGTGTTCCGTCTATCGAAGTCGCAAACGAGTATATTGAAACCCTTGGTATCAAACACATTGCCTTCAAACCTGGATCCTTGGAAGCTATTCAGCAAGTCATCAATATTGCCAAAGCAAACCCAACCTTCCCAGTGATGCTGCAGTGGACAGGTGGCCGTGGAGGTGGTCATCACTCCTTTGAGGATTTCCATCAGCCAATTCTACAAATGTACAGCCGTATTCGACGATGCGACAACATAGTTTTGGTGGCTGGTAGCGGTTTTGGTGGCGCTGAAGATACCTATCCATATTTGACCGGTACATGGTCTAGGCAATTCGGCTATCCTCCCATGCCCTTCGATGGATGCATGTTTGGCAGTCGCTTAATGACTGCGAAGGAAGCACATACCTCTAAGGCGGCAAAGGAGGCAATTGCTGCTGCTCCAGGTGTCGATGACAGCCAGTGGGAGAAAACTTATGATGGTCCGGCCGGTGGAGTCATTACTGTTCGCTCTGAGATGGGCGAGCCAATACACAAGCTCGCAACCCGAGGCGTTTTATTCTGGGCCGAAATGGACAAGAAGATCTTTTCTCTCGATAAAGCTAAACGTATTCCGGAACTCAAGAAGCAGCGTGACTACATTATCAAAAAGCTGAATGATGACTTCCAGAAGGTGTGGTTCGGCCGCGACTCGAATGGAAATACCGTTGACCTTGAAGACATGTCGTATGCGGAGGTTGTCCACCGTATGGTTGACCTGATGTATGTCAAGCACCAGTCACGATGGATCGATGATTCATTGAAACGTCTTACCGGCGATTTCATTCGTCGTGTAGAAGAACGTTTCACTTCAGCCGAAGGACAAGCATCACTGCTTCAGAATTATTCTCAGCTCGATAAACCGTACCCTGCAGTGGATGACATTCTTAAAGCATACCCCGAGGCCGCTTCTCAGCTCATTAGCGCTCAAGACGTGCAACACTTTCTACTTCTCTGCCAACGACGAGGTCAAAAACCGGTTCCGTTCGTACCATCTCTTGATGAGAACTTTGAGTTCTGGTTTAAGAAAGATTCCCTGTGGCAGTCGGAAGATCTCGAGGCTGTTGTAGGTCAAGATGTTGGGAGAGTTTGCATTTTGCAAGGCCCAATGGCTGTCAAATATTCCAACACTGTTGATGAACCTGTTAAAGATATCCTTGATGGTGTTCACGTAAACCATATCAAGGGCCTCATCCAGGATGTGTATGATGGCAAAGAATCTAATGTCCCCGTCGTTGAATACTTTGGCGGGCGCTTGCTTCTCGAAAGCGAGGATGACCGTGATATTGATGGCTTGACCGTTGCCGAAGACTCATCCAAAATCTCTTACAGGTTATCGTCATCCCCGTCGGCGAACCTCCCCGATCTTGAGCGTTGGCTACACCTCCTCGCCGGAAAAGCCTACTCCTGGAGGCACGCCTTCTTCACAGCTGAAGTGTTCATCCAAGGGCATCGTTTCCAATCTAACCCAATGAAACGACTTCTCGCTCCCACTCGTGGGTTATACATTGAGATTGCTAATCCCAATCTGCCTCAAAGCACCGTTATCAGTGTTAGAGAGCCCACTCAGTCTGGCAAATCAGTGAAAACGGTGGAAGTACGAATGACCGGCACAAACGAGATTTCCCTGACGCTTTATGAAGGCAGGACGGCTGAAGGCGCTGTTATTCCCCTCGTATTCCAGTTCACATACCACCCTGAAACTGGCTATGCTCCTATTAGGGAGATAATGGATGGACGCAACGATCGTATCAAAGAATTCTACTACCGCATTTGGTTCGCCGAAAAGACCGTTCCGTTTGATACGCCTGCTACCAGCGTGTTTGACGGCGGAGTTAAGACTGTTGTTACCAAGGATATCGCTGATTTCGTCCATGCCGTTGGAAATACCGGCGAAGCCTTCGTTGACCGACCGGGCAAAGAGGTGTTCGCCCCTATGGACTTCGCGATTGTTGTAGGATGGAAAGCGATCACCAAGCCCATTTTCCCTCGCGTCATTGATGGTGATCTTCTCAAATTAGTCCACCTATCGAATGGGTTCCGAATGGTGCCCGGCGCAGAACCACTCAAAGTTGGAGACGTCCTTGAAACTACTGCTCAAATCAACGCGATTATCAACCAAGATTCCGGTAAGATGGTTGAGGTCTGCGGTACAATCAAACGAGATGGGCAGCCCGTCATGCATGTTACCAGTCAGTTCCTTTATAGAGGTGTATACACCGACTACGAGACGACCTTCCAGCGCAAAGAAGAGGTTCCCATGCAAGTTCACCTAACATCAACAAAAGATGTCGCAGTGCTTCAATCCAAAGAATGGTTCCGCCTTGACGATCCTGATGTCGAACTCCTCGGTCAAACTCTCACTTTCCGTCTTCAAAGCACGGTACGATTCCAGAACAAGACGGTTTTCCGAAGCGTGCAGACAATGGGCCAGGTGCTTTTAGAGCTTCCAACAAAGGAAGTCATCCAAGTGGCGTCTGTCGAATACGAGGCCGGAACTTCTCATGGAAATCCAGTTATTGATTACTTGCAACGCCATGGCGAAGCTATCGAGCAGCCTATCCATTTTGAGAATCCAATCCCGCTCAGCGGCAAGACCCCCCTCGTTCTCAAGGCTCCCGCGTCGAACGAAACATATGCTCGTGTGTCCGGCGATTACAACCCAATCCACGTTTCTCGCGTCTTCTCTAGCTATGCCAACTTACCTGGCACCATTACTCACGGCATGTATACCAGTGCCGCCGTGCGAAGCTTGGTTGAAACGTGGGCGGCCGAAAATAACATTGGACGTGTTCGCAGCTTCCATGCGTCGCTCGTTGGTATGGTTCTTCCGAATGACGAGCTCGTTGTTAAGCTTGAACACGTGGGTATGATCGCTGGACGAAAGATTATCAAGGTTGAAACCAGCAACCAGTCGACAGAAGAGAAAGTCTTGCTTGGTGAAGCTGAGGTTGAACAACCCGTTTCTGCTTACGTCTTCACTGGTCAAGGTTCGCAAGAGCAAGGTATGGGCATGGATCTCTACAACTCCAGCCCTGTTGCAGCAGAGGTGTGGGATCGTGCCGACAAGCATTTCCTGGAGAATTATGGTTTCTCTATTATCAACATCGTTAAAAACAACCCACGCGAATTAACAATTCACTTTGGTGGCCCACGAGGAAAAAAGATTCGACAGAACTACATGTCGATGACGTTCGAATCGGTTAACGCTGACGGTACGATCAAATCAGAGAAAATTTTCAAGGAAGTGAATGAACAATCAACTTCCTATACCTACAGATCTCCATCAGGTCTCCTCTCCGCTACCCAGTTCACGCAGCCTGCTCTAACCCTTATGGAGAAAGCAAGTTTCGAAGACATGCGGTCCAAGGGTCTAGTCCAGCGAGACAGTTCGTTCGCTGGACACTCTCTTGGCGAATACTCGGCACTCGCTGCTCTTGCAGACGTAATGCCGATTGAAAGCTTGGTTTCTGTTGTCTTCTATCGTGGATTGACGATGCAAGTGGCAGTCGAACGCGATGATCAAGGCAGATCAAACTACTCCATGTGCGCTGTTAACCCAAGTCGTATCTCCCCAACTTTCAACGAGCAGGCTCTTCAATATGTCGTCGAGAATATTTCTGAGGAGTGCGGCTGGCTATTGGAGATTGTCAATTACAACGTTGCTAATATGCAATACGTTTGTGCCGGAGATGTAAGTTTTCGTCCCATATTACTCTCTGCTTGAGTTCATCCGCTAATTTCTTTACAGCTTCGAGCACTTGACTGCCTAACAAACGTGCTTAACGTTCTCAAAGCCCAGAAGATTGACATCCAGGCGCTAATGAAGACTATGTCTCTCGAAGACGTCAAGGCCCATCTCGTCGAAATTATCAAAGAGTGCAGGAAAGTTACAGAGGCAAAGCCCAAGCCTATTGCTTTAGAGCGTGGTTTCGCGACAATCCCTCTAAGGGGTATCGACGTTCCGTTCCACAGCACTTTCCTTCGCTCCGGCGTCAAGCCTTTCAGATCCTTTTTGCTGAAGAAGATCAACAAGTCGACCATCGACCCAAGCAAGTTGATCGGCAAATACATCCCTAACGTCACGGCACGTCCATTCCAGATTACAAAAGAATATTTTGAGGATGTGTATCGACTCACCAACTCTCCTCGTATTGGACATGTGCTGGCCAACTGGGATAAATATGAGGATCCCCTGGATTCGAAGAATTAAGCAACATACTGTCCTCGAACATCATGGTTTCAACGTTCCCATTTTCAGTTTTTAATATTCCCTGTGCAATGTATGAGTTATAGATGTTCCTAATACAAAATTATGATGCATGTTACCCTTGGTGTTTTTTTTTGTTTATGTTCTTTGAGTGGCTAAAAGGATGTTTCTATGATGTATAGACGAATTAATAGATTTAGGTACCCATTCTTTTGGAGTTGCTTAATTGATAGTTGAATTTGAGAAGCTTCCTATAAATGCCATTCTCACTTTAAAAAAAGAACCGCAATAAAGTTCACAGTAATAGTATGTCATTGAACAAGCTGCAAGCTGGTTTGTTATGGATCTATAATTTCTACATGTTTGGGGGAGTAAAATGATAAGAAAATGCTGATCGAGTCAAATCAACCTTGGCTCCTCAACTCCCTTGAACGTATCCACAGGCCATGTACGAAGCTGACCTTGAGCGAACACTCAATATTTTGGGAACGCGATACAAAAGGGGGGAGAAAAAGTACACAGGGACACAATTTGAGCATAACCAAAGCAAATTTTTAAGAGCCGGAAGATTCGAGATTCGGCGCCGGTCTCACTAACTTATCATTATTATTATAAGCACTGACCTGCTTGACAATGGCAATGAACTTTGGGCCGTTAACTGCGATATCGCCGAGACGAACGCGGAAGATCTTGAGTAAATCGGAGGTCGAGATACCAGTGGATGGGATCGCAGCATGAACCTCAGCGGGGGTGGGGAAGGAGGCAGACACTGCGCCTGGGGCACCACCTGGGCGAACTTCTCAATGTTAGCACAATTTCGGATGGGGGATATATAAGGGGCAGAAACAGAGAGAGACATACCAGGAGGACTACCTGCTCGATTGCCAGCCAATCTGGGCTTTCCAGAAACAGGGCCTGGGCTACCGGCGCGGGAACCAGCTGGTGTGCCTTTCTTCGATGATACGCCGGGTGGGTTGATTTTCAGTTTCTTTGCGATTCCGTTGTCGCTCATTTCTGCGCCGGAAGCTACGCCTCTATCCACATCACTGCCTGAACCCGCGCCGGCGGCTCCTGTGCGGACACGTTTCTTTCCCGCTGGTTTGGTGGCATCTTTACGCTGGGAGGCTGGAACAGCGGTAGTCGAAGTCGCGGAGGGGGCTGGAGACATCGGTCTTGAGCCAGGTTTTGACGCATAAGCAGACAAAGACTGAGGCATATGTTTGTTCTTGACTTTCTTGCGCGGGGTGTCTGTACCGCTGGCGTCTGAACCGTTTGGAGAACCAGGGCGTTTCCTTATTTGCTGTGCGGGACCTTTTTTCAACGGATCTGCGAGCCTTTGCTGTTCAGCCAGAGTGCTTGTACCCTTCGTCGAAAACGCAGAAGCTTTCACTGCTTCTTTCTTCGTTTCTTCTTCCGCTATTTGGCGTTCGACTTCACAGTCATCTCGTGCGCTAAATCGCGCAATTGATTAGACTACCCTCATAATGGTAGCGAAAGGTACCAAAGAACTTACTTCATCTGCCGACGAGGGATAGCATTACGAGCCACTGCCGTAGTCGAAATCTATCACGAACGCTGAAGAGCTTTCCGGACTTGCTTCCCAAATTCCTTCAGCGCCTCTTTCTCTCTTCGTTCCTGGTTCTCCTCGGCGTCGTAATCCTTTTCATCTCGTAAATCGAATACATTAGCCTTGAGCTGATCCCTTTTGATTCGCTTCTCTGCCAACTTGGCCTCCTCGTCTTCTTCCACAACCACGTGTTCTTCATCGTCTGCGAATCTATCCTCCTCAAAATCCATGTCATCGCCTTCTCCACCTTCACCAATACCGGTCGAAACGACCCTTCCTGTATAGACTTTGCGTTGTTGCGCGAACTTTGCCAATTCTTTTTCCTCCCTTTGAGCCTGTTCCTTTTCCATAAACCACCGCGGGTCTTTGATTTTCTTAGACATGTATTTCTCAGCCTCTTCGATGGTGAGGGCTTTGAACGGATTTTTTGCATTGAACTTGTACCACTTGTCTATCGGCACCATTCGCATTTTGCCCGTACTTTCTAAAACAAACATTGCGTATGTCTCCGACATGGCGGCTTCGTATTTGCCAGTCCAAGAGTTTTTATTATCGAAATCCTCCAAATGCCATGGCAGCGCTTCTTCGTACTTCACTCGAGCTTTCGCGATCTCGCCTGGAGTCATCTCAGCTTTGAACACCTGTTGGATGCGCTGCTTCGGGGCATTTGTGCGCTTGACGACACCAGAGGCCGACGGAGCAATTTGGGCCAAATTCTCTTCGCGTTCCTTAGCCCTGGCGGCCTTTTTCGCCTCCAACGCCTCCCGATCAGCTTCAGAAAAACCTCCATCCCGTGGCTCTTTTTGTCCATTTTCTTGCCTATCGACTGCAGTTTGTTCCGTAGAAGCTCTTGGATCCCGGCGTTGTAGTCTGACGGGACGAGTAAACTGCGATTCGTCTCGAGGGTCGATGTTCTTCTTCGATATGAACTTAGCCACATGATGCTTTAAATGTTCTCTTAATGCCCGCTTCGTGGTGACCAGGGGGAAATCAACGTATTGCGGAGAGAGAAGAGGCCCGCTGAACCCATTAACAGTCATATCATCTGCGCTTGGGGTTGGCGCTGGCTTCGGAGCAGATGGTGCTTGCTGAGGTTTCAAAGGGTGCTGGAGTGGCGGGCGCGGTCTCCCATTAGGAGCTGGAGTGCCATGCGATCTTTGGGCCTGCTGGGGTGGAATCTGCCGTTTCTTTGGACGCACTAATGGATCTGCGGGCTTGGGCCGACGGACTTTGATAAAAGGTCCATCACGGCCGGTGGGAGGTGTGCGGCCGGGCGGACCGGTCGGGGGTACAGAGCTCATGTCGCCGAAAAATTGTCAAGCAAATGAAAAGACGATGGCTTGGAAAACTGATCGACAATAAGGGAGGCCCTAGTGATCGGGACCTAGTTGACTTGACGGAAGAGAAATTCCCAAGAACAAACAATGCGATGCGACGCGATGCCGGGCCAGGGTAGCAAAACAACCCGAGCTCTAGGGGAACAGGAAAGAAGCAGCAGATCGAGACAAGGGCAGAGTCAGCAGCGCCATGTACGAGCCTTTGTAGCTGAGATATCCCTGGGGTTCCCGGTGATGCAGCAACTCGCACGGAAGACTCTCAAATGCAGAAGAAGCGCTGAATCGAGCGATGAGGTCAGGCGGCCTTGGCACTGCTTAGTAATGAGCTTATGTAACTAACATATCTCCTGGCTTCCGAGTCCGACATATCAATTGCTGTGCAGAGTGCTCTGGTTAGTATTATCTGTAGCCAGGATGAATGATCACAATTGTTCGCCAATTTTCCAGCCTGGCGGTTATATCCGCACAGACAGCATATCCGGCGTCACCGATGCGTCAGGAGAGTGTTGGCCGGTCGTTACTTTCCGTTTGTCTTACCTAATCTGGACAATCAATGTGATATCCCATTGACGACAGGCGATGATGATGCTCTCTGAATTGGATCCTGTGATAGCACGTGTTGCTGACGTCGGGCATGACTCAGAAGCCCTATATCTAGCCCTGCTCTTCTCTTCAGTTCACACAGTGTGAACACCTTTTTCTTTTCCTATATCAAATCCTTCTCTGGCTCTTAAACCAGTCTCCGCATCTCTATTCGCTTATCGCATCCGCTCACAGTCAGCTCGTCTTGGTTTCGAATATTGGATCGTACTCAATATCACCAAACGCCTGCCTGGAACGCTCCCTCTACCCATCTTCCAAATCTGTACTCTGCTACCATGCCTCATAGTGTGGCAGATCAGACCGATAAACCCATGAAGCGCTTGAACTGTGCCTCCAAGCACCGGGAAATGAATAACTGGGAAGGAAAAGACACAATTGCATATCTTTCAGAATCCTCCAAGGAGAATTTTCTTAGTCTTCCGGATGAAGCTCATGCACGTTTGCAGCTTGCTAGTGCACAGCTCAACTCCCAAAATTCAGCTGCCCAACGGCTTCTAGTTGGAAAATTGCAGCCTCTCAAAATATCCGCTGTCGAACAGTATGAGCTGGCTCGTTATAGAATTGATTGGCCATCTCCAACCGCCGAAAAGCATGTTGCCGTTTTACCTCCTCGTCGCAAGCCTAGCAACACCGTGCTCGCTAGAATTCGATACAATAAAACTAAAGAAGACTATATGGAATACCTCTGGGCTCAAGTTCCCCGCTGGGAGATATCAAGCGGTCATCTAAAGAGACGAGAAGCTACTCGAGTCAGACTCGTCAAATACGCAGCCAAAGCCGTCAGGGAACGCATGAAGGAATTAGGCCCTGCAAACCTCTACGTTCACAGTGCCATTACAGTGCTTTGGGAGTTTCCGTGCCGGTTTCGCGGTCCCCCTCGTCTGAGATGGACCTCGTTGTTGTCACCAAGGAGGTCCCCTTCGACACTCGATACTGAACTCCCCCATATTTTGGAGCAAGCCTACATTTCGGCGGGATATAACGTGTACTTAGTTGGGGGTGAATCGACCATTCTCACTGTCTGGGAGAAACACAGCACCGAGTCTTCAGAAGCGATTCCACTCTACAACATCCACTTTTCGAGCGTTGCACTGAAAATGCGCACTACCCACCTTTTGCGCTGCTACAGGGCTTGCGACGATCGAGTTTACGAGTTGGGAGTTTTCATCAAGCACTGGGCTCATGCTCGCCAAATCGACGACCCGAGAAACGGCACTCTGCCATCATTCTGCTACATCTTAATGCTCCTCCACTATTTGATGAACGTCGTGAAGCCGCCCGTTATTCCAAATCTACAGCTTTCAAATATTGGCCTCCGCAATTTGGAATGGGTTGAAGGCCACGAGACATTTTTCTGGGATAATTTCGAAGAAATCGCCAAAGCTTCCCGCAAAGGAAAACTAACTTGCAACCACCAGCCTGGTGCAGAGCTACTCCGCGGCTTTTTCACCTACTATTCGCCCAAGGAGTATAATGGCAACTATCGATTTTCCCGGTTTCCTAAATTCAATTGGAAATACCACGTTGTATCGGTTCGTAGCCCTGGTCTGACCCTCAAAGAGCAGAGAAACTGGGACACGTTTAATTTCCGCCCGGATGGTACTCGAAGTTGGCACTTCCTCGCCATCGAGGACCCCTTCAACCCGAACAATAATATCACGAAAGACATCAACGCGGAGACCGTGTATCTCATCAGAGAAGAATTTGAACGCGTGAATATGATCATGAATCAGGCGCGGTACATTTCGGGATTCGGCTGGGAGTGGGTTAACAGCAACGGCCTAGCCGGCGAGGACGTCTTTGATGACCGGCTTGCTCCTATTCTTGCGCTCCAAAACTGAGGTCTCTACAAATTCAGTGATGGTGTTTCGCAGACGGCGATTTTCCATCGAGCTCGCTAGGTGCTCGCAGTTGTGCTTTTTAACACCGGTATCCGATTTTCCCACGCAACTTGACACGATTTACGTACCCTGGCTTTCTGCTGTTTTGTGATCTTTATGGGCTATTATTTTTTTCATATTTCTTGAGCTGCATACATTACAAGGATAGGGGGATAATGCTTTCATGACGACTGGAAACCTTTTATAAAAAATTGAGAAGAATGGGGTGAGTTTGCAGGATGGGAACTTTTACGCTGCCAACTGTGTACCCTGCTGGCTTTCTATTCTTCTCACAAATGACATTGTTACTGCCTGAAGATGGTTCATTCAGTTCTGCACTGTTCTCTTCCAAAACACAAATCTTGCCGTTGGAATGCTGGTTGGATGCAATAGTTTACCTCAACAACGATAGCACTGACCAGAACATTTTAGCAATGGGACTGTTCAAAAATACCTCCAAGTTAATCACGATAGAAGCATACAGAGAAAGTACCAAATCGTTAACATGCAGGCATTAGGCATATATCATGGATTTCGTTATATCAAAAGCACATTCCACGTCAGGGAGTTTTCTTTGTCCCTCTATCTTCAGATTGTTTCTTCTCCTCAGCCTGCTTCTCTCTTGCCTTGTTCCACTGCTCCCACCAACTCCTCATCCCCACGAAATCATACCCAGAGCCCTCCAACTTCTGCTGATCACAAACAAACCACTCCTTCCCCCCACCACACTCCTTTTCATACGCATTCAAACTCACACCCTCCCACTCATGCGTCTTCAAGGCTTGAAACAAAGCCACCGTCCCTATCGGCGGGTGAAATCGCTCCGCATCGACAAACACGCTCACCGAAATGCCAAGTTCTAGCTTGTCATTGTTGGGATGCTGGTTGCGGTACGGGTGGGAGGTGAAGCTTGCATCGACCACGCGTAGATCCCGTTTTGGAGGCATGTTGCGGCGAACAATAGTCGTGGGCGAGATCCAAGATACGACGCCGAAAATGTCGACGATGTAATTGCGTCTTGGAAGGGGGCGAGGGGGGTGGAAGAGGGTGTGGATGGGAAGAAGGTTGGGATTCCGAGTCATAGAAAGAGCCCTGGAGTGATTCCGGGGCCCTTTGGGTGGAGGATTTGCGGCAGTCGGCCATGCTTGTTCGGGAAGAGTACTGCGGCGTGGTATGGGGGGAGACTGGGGGGTTGATTCGTTTGATTTCGGGGTCAGGCTTCTGGTACCAGCTCCGGGCAGGGAGTGTTCCCGCTCAACTTCTAGAAGGCTATTGGAATCGAGCATTTCTGCGTCACTAAGAACATCTTCAAAGGAATCGCGAGCTGGAGGTGCCGTTTCGACGTTCAGTGGCGGTGGTGCAACTTGTTCAATCTCGAGGTCTGGCTTCGAATCGAGCTTCGAACGCTTCGTCTTCTTGATTTCCAACAATTCGCCATCCTGCTCATCTAGGGGTCTTTTCCTGTCCACTACTGTCACCGTTTTCACAATCGGTACACCCCTTTCAACCGCCTCGTACCTCCGCTTGTCCAATTGATCTCCAGTATCTATTACACAGAACCGTATTATATCGAGGAAAGCCACCAGGCCTGACTCTTTTCCTTTATCACTCTCATCGTTATCAGGGCCCGCGATCCTTTGTGCTCTTCTGATTTCGAAACTTTGTATTGCAAGCACAGCACCCGGAGTGACTTCGCCGACGGACACAAAGTAGTGCAGCTCCCGCTTCAGCAGGGCTTGAATAAGCAGTTCTCCATCACTTAAGAACACGCGATATGACTTGTGTGTCACGGGCTGTTCCCTTTCCGTATCGCCCGACGCTTCCAACACGTACTGTGCCGCCGGGGCGCACGTATCGTCGTCGACGCGAGACCGTGAAAGTATGATAGGGACTTCAATCACGCGTTCAACGCGTAAGATGAGCTCGGGCGGGTGGTAGCCTGTGCGTAGAAGCTCCGCGACGCATGGTAGGATTCGTGGGTATGCGATCGGGGTAGAGGCGCACTCCTTTGCGCAGTGTTAGTCTAGGGGCAAGGCTTCGAAAATAGACCAAATGTATCATGCGGAAGATTTCAGACCATATCAATTGACCCGGAGAATCCATGACAATGGGTCTTCCATTGCAACTAGGTTTATTCGTTCTGCGGATTAGTGTTGGGAGCAGTTGTTAGGCCATGGTTTGCGGTGATGAATTTGTGCGAGCAGCTCGCGAGTTTGCATTTGGTTCACTGCAGAATACAGAGTAGATAGAAACAAATGTCAGAATGGTCTTCTCCAATGTGTGAATTGATATCATTTGCTTCAGTGGACTCAATCCCTCTTAGGCTGACTAACAAACAATCCTCCACCTCTAACGTCTTAATAACCACCATCCGCCAGTACAAATTTACACAAATGCATATTGAAACGCCTGCTGGGTAAATCTCAAGAATGTGGGTTTGGAGGATAGCTCAAGGCGAGGTTTCCATTTGCTGATGATTCGTCAATTCCTGTCCAGCATGCTGCCACTCTTCCCCCTCCCTTAAACTCCCTTGGTTATTCCCCTTTAGAAACACTGTATGAGCGTCGTGCACGAGTTAAGGCCACCATCATCCCCCCTGCGGTTGCCAGATCACAGCCTTGATGAATAGGCATGGCCGGGCCAGCACATCGCGCTCCAGACTTTCTCGGCCATCTCTAGCATGTCCTCTCTGTTAAACACCAAATCACCCTCGCCCGCACTAGGTTTCCGGAGCATCAACTGCTCAAAAGGGATAGTAATCCCATCTCCAGCTAGTTATCTAAACTTGCATGTATTGCACACGATTCCGGTAGTCATATAACTAGATAGACAGTTTTTGATTTGGTAGACTGATCCTCCATAGATAGAGAAGTCGGACCAATTCATATATAGATATCCGTCTCCCTACTAGGTTATTTCACCTAGTCTAACAGTCGTAGATCTCTCGCACGTCAATCAGCACCGCTCTCATCGTCCATGTACCCCCTAGAAATTCAATTGTCAGTTACATCAATATCAAGGGCTGTCAGAAAAAGATGGAGCTCACTCAAAATACCGCGTGATGAGCACTGGATAGCATTAGTGATGAGATTTCGATGCCTGTTAGGGCAATCCCAGAAGCTAATCGTATACTCCTTGAGGAGGTTGGTCAGTGTGGTCTAGGAGCGATTATATATCCTTGGACATCTATGGCCTCCTCTTTGCCGGCACACTCTTCAAGGCAACACACTTAAAGCGTAAGCCGTTCGAAGGCACGTCTCATGTGCTTGATGAATCATATCATCCGTGAAGGCATGAACTTCTCACCGCAGTTTTTGTTTCGCGATTTGTTGCTGCACATACAACATGAAAACGGCGGCGACCATCATGGATACTGCGATTAGAACCTGCGTCTTCCAGAACGTTCCTGTCGCCAAATTATTCAGTGCACCGGCCACCGGATTACCCACGAGGACTCCCAACGCCGCTGCTGCCCACGCCATTCCCATCCATGTCCCCACGACATTTTTATCCGGGCATACCAGGGGGATAACAGCGGGCACGAGAACTGCCAGCGGGGTGATGAAGATCCCCAGAAGCACTACCCAGACAATGAATGGAGCCACGCTTGTTATCCCTAACCATCCAAAGAGTAGGATGGTAGATATGACAGTAAATGCAAGCAGCATTTCCGGCACTCCAAATTTTTGAATTGTCAGCACAGCCAGAATGCGCCCAAACACCGATGCTGAATTCGTGATGACAAGCAGATAAAAGGCCAGCTCACTGGAGGTCCCTAACTTGAATTGTGCAAAGGTGGGAATGATGAAAAATGGGACCCAATATGCAGTAAGCATGAAGAACAAGGATAGGCAAAACGATACGAAAACTGGCTCCTTTAATGCCCGCATGTCGAATAGTGATACGTTTCTACTCTCCTTCCGCGCCGCTGTCGCTGCCTCCCTGGTACGCGGGAGCATGATCGCCAACGCTACCATGAGCTCAAACAGTGTAAGAAACCCAAGGATGCGGGTTACCCAAGCAAATCCCATGCGAGGCAGTAGTTGAACAAAAACAATTGGGTAGATAATCCCACCTATGGCAGTGCCCGTTGTCACAAAGCAAATGGCCAGGGTACGGTTCCTCGAGAAGCAGGATGCAATAAGGGCGATGCTTGGGGTATATAGAATCGCACTTCCCAGGCCGATGCAAAACCCCTGGGCCAACAGTACCTGATAAAACTTCGTGCAGAGGCTGAGCATCATCACGCCAAAGACAGTGAGGAAGGCGCCGGATAGTAGGAGCTCACGGATGTAGCCGCGATCGTAGATGGGACCGGAGACTATCCCGCCCAGAATGAGCAGAACAGCCTCCACCGTGCCGATCCAGGCGATGGCGCTGGAAGAAGTGGAAGAGAGAAGCTCGGTCTCATAATAGCTGTGATAGGAGCCGTATGCCCCCAATAAGCCCCTTGAAGGAATATCAGCATGAACCGCGGTGCGGTACGACTGTCCGTTTTCAGACCCCGGGGAATATATTTACCATGTTGCCGTGTAGACGAGAAACGCACCCACAGCCTGCAGCCACGCCGCTGCGCCCTCGTGAGGGAGTTCACTTTCGAGTTGCTGTGCCATCGAGGCATACTTCTGGCTCGGGCGGGGATCAACATCTGGGACGGCTGGCAGTCCCTGGAGCTCCGAGCTCGTCATCACAGAAGGGATGAGGAATGATAAAAGTTTTCCGAGATCACTTGAGACGAGGATTTGAAGTGAAAAATATATAAAGTTGCTAAAGGCTGTGGCTCTTGCGTGAGGTTCTGTCGTCCCAGAAGAATTCCGTTGTCGGTTGAAATGTTGGAGACCTCATTCCCTATTGGCCTCGTTAGCTTGTTATCGCGAACTCGGAGTGTTGACCAGTGATGATCAAGGGCATGACGGCTGGACAACGCGAATGCGAGGGAAAATACGAGAGAAAAATCCAGTTCTTGTGTTCTAATCAGCTTTGTGTAGTTGAACTATTGACCAGGTTTAGAAGATTTCAACAATTTTCTCTTCCTCATCCTCCTGGGGCGCCTGGCCCAGGGCTTTGGCTCTGGCGCTCTCCATTTCCTGCGCAGACTTATCTTCCTCTCCTTCCTCGTCGCGCATGAGGACCTGCACTAATCGATCGCATCCATCCCTGACATTCTCATCTTCAACATGCAAGTGGCATTCCCGGATCAGCGGATAGACCTGAATGTCTCTCATCAACTTCCTCCCCTCCTTCGTGGTTGTCAGCAGTAGCAAAGTCTCCAGGTGGGTCACGATAATCTCCGGATCGCTATCCCGCTCCTTGTCTGGTGGTAAGAGCTGTAGATCTGGCAACATCGCCGCGCTTTCTTCGTCGTCGAATTCTTCAGGTCCCGCGAGGGGCAGCAGGATATAAGGAAGAAGGTTGATATGCGACCCTGATACCAGACTCGGATGTGCGGGAACTTCAAACGCAACATTTTTAATCGTTGACGCCACGCCTCTTCTCCGAATGTGACTGCGATGCTCTGTGAAAACGGTGAGCTTGGTGATTGGTATTACCGAATCGTACTCCTGCTCCGTTATGAAGTATGACCGGCCTTCTTCGTACTTTGAAATATCCGCGAAGAAATATGCAAGATAATCATAGTTGGTCTCGTTCGATTTGTTGAGCCCACCTTCATCGCCCTTGACGAAGCAGTCCATTAACTGATCCATGGCCTTGGGAGACCCGGAGACTCCAGTCGGCACAGCCCGCGTTAGGGTGATTATCCGCTTTAGACTCTCGGATTTGGCCATATTGGCAAGGGAGCATCGTTATCTCGCTCGCGCAGGGTTCTTTTACATTCTACCGTTTCAATCTAATCAGCGCAAAGCACAAGGTGGAAGAAATAGCCAAAAGGACGGCTTCAAGAGCCGGTAGGATAGGTACCTACATACGGTCACTTTGGCTAGTAACGTCTCCAGGAAGACATCGTCTTCAGCAAGGAGCTTTAAGATTTCTTCATCTCCCCGACAGATTAACCAATATTGCGAGCGCATTCTTCGCGATAGGCTATCCGCATCGAAAAAGATCAGCTATCTTATCCTCTGCAATCTGGAGCCCGAACATACCGTATAGTCGCGCGCGAGAAGTTTGAGGTCGAGGACCGGTAGAAACTGCCGTCTCTTGAACAGGGAGGGTTCCGACGTAGAGTATCCGACTAGGTGGTCGCATGCTAGAGAAGTTCAGTACAGAGCAGAAGAGGCACACGGTGAATTCTACCGATCTGTCGGATCTGTGCATTCCCATGGTGCAGGAACTCAACGAGCTGCGGGCATGGGCGTTAGCGAAGATGTAAAGGGGGATAGGGCCACGGGCAGCCGTACTTCTTCCAGCTCGGTCGGCATATTAGTAGATTAAATCAATACTGCTTGTAGAAGCTGCCTGCGTAGAAAAGAACGTCAACAGTAAAAAGCTCATGACGAAAGTCCCGCTGAAAGAAAATTGATTCCCCGCGATCCCGGGTTCTATAATGCCGACCGCCCGCCCAACTCTCGCCATTCTATAGCTACATGAAGAGTCCAGGATCGAACAAGACACGCCTGGAGACGAACGCGGAAGCACTTGTCTTTGATGCTTCAATTGAGCTCCTTTGATATTCCTCTAGGCCCAATCTGGTCAAAGGTAATCCATTTCCAGTGCGCGATCGCCTCCTGAAAGAGTTCCTGGCATCGATCAGCGAAGAAGGATGGGATGGCCTGTTGGTCGCCTTATCATCGAACCATCATTGGCTGGCGGGTTATTCGAATCATGGCCGCTTTTAGCGATCCAACCCCGTTTTAGGGGAAGCTCCAAAACGGTCCCAAGACGGCCTGCTCTTTGAAGGATGAAGGAGGCGACGGAGACCTGAGTCGCGCCCGTTCTCAAATCGGGCCTCTTCTGACAATGGAGTTTCATTCAATGAAGCCGGTCGACGGCCTTCGAACGACGGAATTCATCCATGCATGATGCATCCTCCCGCCCGGAACATGGATCCCGGAAGCAAGGCTCGACTAGCTAGTGACAACCAAGGGGCTCCCCATTGAGACTATTATTGTTGGCAGGCGGTGTGAACTGTCAAATGGCATGGCCCTATATTTAGCCGTCTGGCCCTGCATCGGCCCCGCTGCCGCTTGAACTTTGGTGTCTGTCTCTCCGTTGTTTTTCGGCACTCCTGTTCTACAAGATGGCTTCTCCCGATGCGAAGGACCGGTTACAACCAGCCGGGTTACTTGAGATCCCCGTTGTATGACTGTCTCTCCAGAGTTACCGTCTTGGACTGCAGGCTAACCAATCCCCCATGGGTGAAAGGACGATAATTGGCTGGGCGAGCCAGATTTCGAAGCTGACTTGTAAGACTTGATCTGATCACAAAGTAGCAGCTCTTGCTGCTAACTGGGGTTGCTTGTTGGGTCGATGTAGCTACAGCGATACAACATCATTGCACTCGGAAATATATGCGTATCGCTTCGAAAACGGTCGACGATATCACGCCTATAAGGACGGGGCATATTGGTACGACGAGCCCTATACGGACAAGGCAAATTCTCTAACCGGGTACCTGGGTTGGTAGGGGTCCAAACGATGAACAACAAAATGAGCAGCTTGATATTGCGTAAGAGCTGTCCTTCCATAGTCACACGCGTGCGCTAATCCTATCAGCCATCACATGTTCTCTCTATTGCTAGGCGGAAAACTGCTTCTTGCGCCGGTCAACAAAGACACTCAGGTGAGTCGGGTATTGGCTGTGCATAACCGTGGGTTTGCATTGATGTCAAAAACAGCGAGTTCTAGACGTTGGGACTGGTACTGGTTCGGTAAGTGATAGCCGACTTATTGGCATTTGTGAAATATGTATTAACAATTCCCGAATAGTGGGCGATGCAAGTATCCATAGTATCACCTGATGTTAGATAAGGCGAAGATCCTAACGGTGGGAGACTAGGGACTTTGCCGACGAGTATCCTTCTGCCGAAGTCACAGGCACCGATTTGTCGCCCATCCAGCCATCCTTTGTTCCACCAAATGTTAGTTTCGAAATCGAGGATGCCACGGAAGAATGGACTTATCCGCCAAACCATTTCGACCTAATCCATACACGCGCGCTATATGGGGCTATTGCCGATTGGCCTGAGTTCTACAAGAGAGTTCTATCGTATGGCCGACTCCGCACACGATATTTTAGAACTTTTCTAACTTTGCACTGAAATAGGCATCTAAAACCCGGCGGCTGGTTTGACCAACTAGAAATGTCAATCCAGTTTCAATCCGATGACGGGAGCGTCAAGGACGACCATATACTCTCCATTTGGTCCAGAACATTCACCGAAATCGGAGAAAAGCTCGGAAAGACATTCCGAATCGCAGAGCTGGCCAAGGGATATATGGAAGAAGCGGGCTTTGAGGAAGTTACCGAAGTGAAATTTAAACTTCCTGTCGGGGGGTGGAACAGTGATAAGCATTTGAAGGACCTTGGCCGGTGGAACCTAATCCATTGTGAGCAAGGCATCGAAGGATGGGCGATGGCCCTCCTAACGAGGGTGTTGAAGGTGAGGTCAATCTATGTGATGAGGATCATCGCTGGCTAATTCGTGATACGCAATACAGTGGTCCTTTGACGAAGTCATGACTTTCCTTGCTCAGATGAGAGTTGGGCTCCGAGATCCCAAGGCGCATGCGTACTTCAATGTGTGGGTGCTTCCAATATCTATTTCATCCGTTGGTACTATCCTTATCGGCTAACAACTGGATTCAGGGTTGGCGTCTATGGCCGAAAACCGTCCCAATAGATGCACGAGGCAGAGACGCATAAGGCTGTTTGTTCCTGATACTGTCCCTCACAATCTCAACGGGGTTGCATTGATCACGGGTTACACCCTGATCGGCCGCTTATCGGCCTATCGTTCATTATACCGATTCACTGTTCCACAGCTGGTCGCGGTGCTCAAGCCGCGTAGACGAGGTAGCGGGTTGCATTTCTACGTATGTAATACAGTTTGCCGGGGTTCCGATTCTCAATACTATTTATTAGAAGCTCACATGGTCAGCCGAGCTGTGTTTCTCATTCGTGCGGTGTAAAGTTGAGTCGGCTGCTGAAAGACTATATGAAGCCGACGGGGAGACTCCAGGTGCGCGAAGCTCATCGTTGGCATCCGGTAGCGCAGGCTGGCAGCACCCATGCCAGGTCTATTGTTGATATTGGTAAAGAAAAAAAAGCCGTAAGCATCCAAATTAATTGCCTGTATTCGACCCAGCGGCATCGGGTCAAGGCATCACAGCTCGAAGAACATCCATTCGGCCAGCCGGCGATAAATTTAGACAATCTCTGTAACCTCTTGATGCTACATGCCTGGCGACATTTTTTTTGCTTCCCCTCGGGCAGTGGGCTTTACCGCCTCTTCACAAGATGAGGATGAGAATGAGGCACCTGACGTGCCACTGAGCTTCGGTAGGATCGGTGCAGGGAAGACCTCGTTCACGATGCCCTAACAGAAGGATGATCAATCGCACGATATTCACCGCCAAGAAAGCAAACGGTCGACCTTTGGAGCAAGACTAGGGTGAAGGGCGAGATCCTTTTCTCGATCACGGATCGGTTGGTGGTGTTACTGTGCTTCTCACTTGGCTGTGCGCCCTCGATCTGCTGATTTTGAGCTCTGCCGGGTATCCAAGTGCAGGCTGACGACATAACCGCAGGCTCGCATTAGTCTGGGTCGGCTGGTCTTCATAGATTTGGGGCGATATAAAAGTGACAAGTTCGAGCACGGGAGATTGAGATTTTTTTTCTTCATCATCGGGAGACAATTGCATCAGTCTCTTCTTTCTTCTCCCTATATATACACCCTCCGCTCGGTTTCGTCCCTTGTGTTTCTCCCGCTCCCCTCAGCTTCAGCGCAGTATAAACACTGGGGATTTTATCCAGGCACAGCTACAAGCCACCAAGCGGTAGAGTCCGAAGAGAATCAGAGAAACTCGCAGAGAAAACACATCCTCCAGATTACAATGGCGGCTAAAACCGGAGCCTCAGCTCCCAATCTGCAGGAAATCCATGACTGCTTTCTCGAATTGGCGAAGCAAGCTGGAGATATGATCACCGGCGCGAAGCCATTGATCAATGCGGCAGGGTCAAAGAAGAACAGTGCGTACTTAACTACAGAGTGCTTAAATTTCTAGAAAGAGTGCTAACTGTAGCCCTGGAATGGTAGGTTCCGATCTCGTAACGGAGACAGACCGTGCTGTTGAGCTAATGGTATCCACGGCACTGAGAACTAAATATCCTGATTATGAGTACGCTAAGAAAACACCTTTTCATGCCCTTAAGGATGCGTGGGAGAAGTTGACCGTGAAGTTCTATTTAATCCAGATTTATGGGCGAGGAGAGCTACGAGCCTGGCAAGCGTTTGACCAGCGCACCCACGTTTATTGTCGACCCCATCGATGGCACCGTGAATTTTGTCCACAGCTTCCCCAACGCCTGTATTTCACTTGGATTCGCCATTGACAGAAAGCCGGTGGTCGGCGTCGTTTTCAATCCCTTTACAAACACTTTGTATAGCGCCATTCGCGGCCAAGGGGCATTCCTGAACAGGACGACCAAGTTACCACTACGGGGCGATAACATAGAGCCGCTGAAGGGCCTTTCCAACGCCTTAGTGGGTGTGGAATGGGGATCTGACCGCCACGGGCCGAATTGGGAGACGAAGATTGGCACATTTGAAAGGCTAGGCAAAGCGCGTGAAGAAGGAGGGGCGATGGTCCATTCGATGCGGAGTATGGGATCGGCAGCGTTGAACCTGTGTGCTGTTGCGGCGGGGTATATGGATATCTACTGGGAAGGGGGCTGCTGGGCCTGGGATGTTTGCGCTGGATGGGTAATCCTCGCTGAAGCAGGCGGAATCATGGTTGACGGGAACCCCGGTGGATGGGAAGCCGAAGTCGACGGCAGACGCTATCTGGCAGTTCGAGCGTCGAAGAATAGCGAGGGACAAAAGGAGATTGTGCAAGAGTTCTGGAAGCAGATTAAAGGGAAATTCGACTATGGCCAGTAGAAACGGCTGCAGTCGCTTGGGTTGGAAACGGATTTGGGTCTCTCTTTATGCGTACCTATAGAGCATGACGGCACTTAAAACAGCAGCGATAGACTGGATAATTTCGTTGTATAGTTAGTGTTTGCGTGGGATCTGGCTGAGAGCTCATCTCGACGCTTGAATCTTGATATAAACACTCTGGTCTGCGACCACCCACTTGACGCTTTGTCCTCCATTTGAAATCCAGCAGCAAAAGTCCAATGATGCGGGCAAGTCGTTGATGCCCAAGCCTCTCTTTTTCTAGTGAACTAATTAGTTAGCAGCCGGAGTAGCCTCGCCATTTCACTCCTCTCCCCAAGACTGACCAGACGGACGACATAGCCCCAATCCGCCTTGCAGAGATATCTACGCGGTGAACGTCTTACCCCTCCCGTCCGCCAATCCGCTGAAGATATTTCACGGAATTAGAATCCTGCCAGCTGGCTGGTGACCGTTGGCATTCCGTGTCCCGCCTCTGAAGCTGGTGGGCATGCAGCACTGAAGCCCAAACGTCTCGATCAGTAAGTAGTTAATCCAATAGGAGCGTTACGCCGGCTGTTTCTTCCTACTCGCGAAAGTCCTTGAAACCGTTGCCTACGAAAAAGAAGAGAACGTCTTACAAACCCTGCGCCAGTGTCATAGAACCGGTTCGTCCAAATCTTGAGACCTGTACGCGAACGACACGAGGTACTATCTTGAAGGGACATCTGGAGACCTAGGACTTTGGGAATAAGAAAATATCTGCAAATAGGGGTGATTGGAATATCAGGATTCCTGCCAATAGAAGAGAACACATCTACTATTTTCACAAGCCATCATGGAGGGTCGGCAGGCTTGGAGACGAATTACGATTGATTTGCTGCCTCAACACGTCGTGGGCTAAAGGACCCATACCGTTACAGCTGAAAGTCCTGCTCGAAACGGTTACGATCCAAGAACTCGAGGAAATTCCTTCTAAAGCCGAGATCACGCTTGAAATAGGCCCCGATCTCACTGCACTGGAGCAGTATGCCGACCGTTATTGCAAACCCGGGGTCCAGGATCGGCTCACATACATCTGATTCACGACCTCACAGGCGTCGACGTCGTAGAGAGACTGAGAAGGAAAAACATCACCGGCCTAGAACTCGAGTTGCGGAACATGAGGATGAACATAGCGGAATTGCGGCATCGCAACCAAGAGTGGCGTCTCCAAAAGTAGAACGCCGCGATGTTCAGTCCAAATCAAACACAAGTTCAGAGCGCAAAACTCGAAGGATGACGACTGCCGGGCTAGATAGCAAGACCAGGACTTCCCAGGCGGCAAAGACCAGGTGACTTTGTCGATTTGAATCCCTTCTGTTATCCCACAAGGCTAATATGAACTCTTCCTTGCCATAGCTCGACTTCTGTCCCTCCGAAATCCACGTCCTCCGCTCCAAAATCTGTATCTTCCGCGAAGAAGAAATCCACTCCTAGCAATAGCCCTCCCACCGCCCAGAAACCTAAAGAATCTCCAAAATCCGCGCCAACGAAGCAAGCACCTGCTGCGGATGGGAAGCGCGGTTCAAGCTCCTTTCTCCTAAGCACCCTTTTTGGCGCATCACATCTCACCCCAGAAAAGAAGTGTGTATCAGAACTTTCCGTCTGGGCCTTTCGAGTAAGGCTGACATGATCATAGAATTACCTGCCTGACCTGTCTATCCGATGACGTCCCTATTAGTAGATCGGCGAAACTGGCCTGCTCACATCGCATGTGCCACAAATGCCTCAAACGGATTTTTACCATGTCCGTCTCCGACCCTCAACATATGCCGCCTCGATGCTGCACTAACGATCACATCCCGCTCAAACACGTTGACAAGCTTTTTGATACAAAGTTTAAGAACACGTGGAACAGGAAATATCAAGAATATACCACGAAAAACCGATTATACTGTCCGTCTCGCGGCTGCGGAGAATGGATAAAACCGAATCAAATTTACCTAGATACTGGTAACGGACCAACCGGTGGGCGCAAGTATGGCAAGTGCAGCAAGTGTAAAACTAAAGTTTGTGTTCTTTGCAATGGAAAAATGCATCGTGCAAGGGACTGCCCAAAGGATGAAGACACGAAGAAATTCAACGACATCGCCAAAGATGCGGGTTGGAAGCGGTGCTACAACTGCTCTGCAATGGTGGAACTGAAGGAAGGGTGTAACCACATGACGTGTCGTTGCACGGCTGAATTCTGCATTATCTGTGGCGCGAAATGGAAAACGTGCGAATGTCCGTGGTTTAATTATACCACTGTGCATGACGACGATATACTAGAGAACATGAACATTCCCCAAGCGCGGAGGGAAGCGGTGCCAGACAATGAAGATCACCGAGGCCCCATTCGATATCAACAGGAGATGGACAGGCGTCGAGAACAGGAGCAAGAAGATGAAGTGCTGGCAAGAAGGCTACAACAGGTGTTTGGTTTCCAGGAAGAGGACGATGACGACGATAGCACGTATGATTACCGTCCTAATAACGGCCAGAGAGCTCTCCCGGATCGCGATGAGAACTCCTTCCCTCCTATATATGACAATTTCTATCTTCCTAGCAGGCCTTCTGGCGCTCACACTCCACCTCCACCGGATTACCAAACTCCTCGATCTCACCTTTTACTAGAGGATCCCGCTGTTTCATCGCGCCATGAAATATCATATATCCCTCGAATACGCACCCAGACTCCTGATTCAACACGACGCCGCCGACGGCGCAAGCAAGCCTTGAGTCATGATGTGCCTTCGAGCCCTTCTCGAGTTGAACATTGGAGAATGGGACTTAATTTATTATCCCGATAACAATGTCTCAAAACACGCTTAGCTGGCTTACATTCTAGGAACAGATTGTTTATCATGCCGATTATATCGAAAGAAGAACAAACTAAACCCCAACGAATTTATGAGATTCAATTCACGATTCCATGTTTTTACTACCCTTTTTTATTTTTCTAGGATCCAGTGTTGTCCCTTTCAAAGCATGTCGCTTTTATATTACGACACTAACGCTTCTCTTAATATGACTTGAGGATATGAGATATGACCTGACATGATGCAAAGTTCGTTCATTTTCGAATCTACCGAACCAATCCTTTTTTGACATATCTTTTCTCATAACTCATCACTCATTTTTTCGCTTTTTTCCCCTTCTTTTAGTACCCTTTTCTCGCTATATACTCCGTGACTACTGCTCTATATCCATAGTGAAATCTTACTCTTCTGATGATCCGTCACCTGCTTCTACTGACTATAAACACTTCTCGATTCAAACGGGTTGGCCGGTTAATTTCATTACGTTTCGTTGGTCACATGAATTAAATACATAGTGCCTCAATATCTATTGAGCATGTTGAAAGGATAGTTGAAGAAGGGCATCAGCCGGGTTAGCCACCCCTTGCCAAGGTAGCTGCCCTGTGAAAAAGACATATATACACACGAGGAACAGTGGGCACATGTTGTTGTCTAGGAAGGGTGAGTATCAAATTCAGAAGGCGGAAGAAGGGATATTAAATGGAAATCGATGGCAGGTTTCAGAATAAAAACTCCGACTAAAGGGGTAATGGATGCGGAATGGATTCAACCAGACTGCGTCACATCTTCACCACTTTGGGCTGTGACCACAGAACTTGGGATATTTCGAGGAGCCCCGACGTCGCTTCTGGTAGCACTCAAACTCCTTCTCGGGTTTTCCCTTAGCCCATCATATCCGTCAGCCTCGTCTGAATAGTCGTCATCGTCACCATCTTCCAAATATCTGTCCGTCCATTGCGCCGAGCTATCTCTCGATAACTTCGAGTGTAGGGAAGAAGCCCTAGAGCCAAGAGGTGGCCGCTGGGATACTTCTTCGCTCCCATCCAAAGGAACGGGGCTGGCGCACAGTCTTGGACTGTTTAGTCGCGAAGGGGCAAGCATTTCAGGGACAGTGTCGTGTTCTTCGCTATTGACGGTTGTAAGGTTGTTGCTCTCAGTCCGCAGGTGGCGTTCAGAGAATGAAGTTGGAGATGGGACCTGACTTGGTTTGTCTGCCTGTCCCTTGCACCTCTTCACCATGTTCGCTGGCAAAAGTACCAAGTGGCAGCGCTCGTTCTTCATCTTGGGCCTTTTCGTCGGCCGTGGTAGCTGTACGGGTGTAGGCGAAGTGTGTGTCAACCAAATGTTTAACGACAGGCCAGCCATACGCATTCGCAAACATGCGCCGCACGATGATATTATTATGCGCGTCAGGTTCTAATCGCACTAGAACTTTGCGCCAGGTCACCTCACGATGGTACGCTCTTGCTATCTTCTCTTCAACTTTCATTCCACTACTTACCCCGGGAAAGGATCCTTGCATCGTTTGCTGCGAGGGTACACTGCTTCCGCTCTGGGATGGTCTATCACCATTGGGACTACCATTGACATTACCATTGTAACTTGGAACCCGGAAGATAGAACGAGGTTTCACAGGTGGTGGAGGAGGTATATCATTGGGGTGATACACGCGATCATGGAAGATTGTTCTTGGTCGAGATGATGGATCAAGTAGATATTCCAAGGATGGTAATGGAGGACTTATCACGTCGCCAGCTGCCTCAAAGAGAGTCGTCTTTGGCGGAGTGTAAAGTCCACCTTCATCATACAGCGAATCCCCGCGGGCCCGACCATGTTGGCGTGGCTGCGTGGCTGTGGACGAGCTCCCTTCAGAGGTTTCTTCTGGCGGAAGCGCCCTGATGGTCTGGCTTCGTTTATAAATTTTGGCCGCCTTGCTCTCTTTGGAGTTCTTTTGGAACTTGAAGAAGGTCATCAATGCAGTAAATGGGTTGGGCGAATTGGGCGTTGACCTGTTGGGTTTAGTTTGTGAAGGCGTTTCGCTTTCTCCGTGTTGAGTTAGAAACTGGCTCGGTGCGGGAAGTTCAGGAGTAGTGTCCAAGCGGTTATTATCAGAATCCGATTCTATCTGACATGTGGGACTCTTGCTGGCTTCCTCCCGGCCACGCTGAATTGCAGGAACCGGAGCAGCGCGACCTGCACGCAACTGACTCGAGGAAGCACCGGTAAGGGCAGCCCAACTCCATTCTGCCACAGTTCCCACCAGTCCGTTCTCTCGTCTGGCCTTTTCCACCCTCTCTAGGCCCCTCCAATCCAGAAATAGTAGACAAGACGTGCGTAAAGGAACGATCCCATCGTTCACAACGTTGCAATAGAGAGTACGATTCTTGAACTTCTTCAGTACCTGATGAGCAGGTCCGCTAGGCAAAATCCTCAGCAAGGGTTTGGCTCCAGGATCTGGATTGCGCTCAGATTTATTTGCATCCGTTCCCAGACCGCCGATCATGGCTTCCCACCCACTCCGCATTTTGGACGGAGCGCTCCAGGACAACCCAAGATCCTGGCCCGTCCGGCCAACGAGACCAAAATCGAAGGCCAGTTTGATATAGATCGGGTTCTCGTTACTAAGACCAAGGAAAGGCGAAGCTAGGGCAACGAAATTCACCGGTTTTATAAAGTCGAAAAATTCAGGAGAATGCTTTTGGATATACGCGATGGCGTAGGTCTGAACAAGGCCACCCAACGAGTGACCAATAAAGCTTATGCTCGTTATTTGGTATGCATAATCCTTGTGTTCGGGTTCTCGACGATAAATGGTACTTCCCGAATGAGACGCATGGATTTTTGGGCTATCCAGGCCTTTTTGAAGACCAAGCGTATGCCCAAGAGACATCTTCCGTGTATTCTTGATGGGAAGATACGGCTGATCAGGGTATGTCATCAACAAGACGTATTTGGCCAGCCGCTTTCCGAGATACTGTATTCCTCTTTCTGTCCGTCCGGAGTTACCAGGGAAACCCCTAACGATAACCTCTTCCTCATCGTCGCTGTCACTTTCTTCCAGAGGTGCATTCGCCGAAGATGCCATGTTCTTTTTGCGTTCCTCTCTCGCCTTTTTCCGGTCGTGGCGAGCTTGCCTAGAGGCTGCATCTATACTTTCCTTCATGTAGAGCATGTCCGCACCAAGGTTGCTATGGAGTCCGTGAGTTAAAACAACAAAATGGACCTTCTTGCGCTTTCTGTCCTTCCTAGGTGCGTCGGACTGACGTCGCGGTCCCTCGTGAGCGGAGTTTAGATTTGCATTCTCGGTATGCTCGGCGTCCAATTCTTTGAGGCCGTCTTTGTCTTCCCAGGAAGGAAACCGCGGAGAAGTCCACAAAGCCGCCGTATCATGAACCACCAATTTCACAGATTCGGAGTATACACCTTTAACCGGTTCCACATGACCCTTTCGCCGCTCTTTCATACTCCGCTTGAAGTCGCGCAGACTCCCCGGCGCAGGCAAATCGGCAATACTAGCCGCTCCTAATTCGGTAGATTTAGCGTCTCGACCGACAAGAACTTCATAATTCACGCTGGCCGTATTCGAAAACACGATTTGGGAGGAAATTTCGATAATCCAGCTGACACCCTCCTGGGTCGATGAGCCAGAAGCTCCATCCCGAACACGCTCCGGCACAAGAATCACCGCATCCCAAGCTGCTCCCGGTTGTACATGGGGTTCAAACTGCGGGATTCCTTCGGTTTTATGGTCGTTGGTTTTGCTATTGGGGTCGAACGTGGAAGGGTAACAGGCTGTGTGGATGGTATACGGCCCATGAAGATAGGCGGCGCGCAATGCAATCGCCGAGGTGTTTCTAATCTTAACATATAATTCCGTAGGGTGAGGTAATATCCGATCTGCGGAAGGAGTATATGTAAGAGTGTACCTATTTGCGTTGGCCAAGTTAGCATATCCCTGAAGAGCGGTGAGGCCGCATCTAAGCGGCCACGAGCGCGACAGCTCACCGAACAACTTCCCCAATATGAACGCTCCCGACCTGATGGATCAAAAGCATCTCCGCTGCCCGTCTAATTTCCTCGGGCGGAATGCTCCACCCGCGCAAGGTACGAAAAGTAGGATAATTCTCTAGGCTCAGAGACAGCCCTTTGTTCGGGGTTTGGGAGAGCTGGTAGGTACGGGGAGTAACGAGCATTGAACCTATCAAGCTGGGTTGAGAGGTCTTTTGGCCACGACAAAAGTTCGGGCGAGCCTAGGCCCCGAGGCGGAGCGGAAGTCTTGGTGGTACTGCTGCTCCTGGACCATGTCATTTGTGGACTGTGCAAGTGGTTGTTCATCAGACGAAACGGCTGTAACACAAAGAGGATGTCTAACGGTGCAGAGAAAGAGCCAGAGCCAGCATTGAAGTCATGCTGCCTGTCTTGCATGTGCACCGTTGCTGGCGATGGTCATCTGCCGCTGACAAGTTCCGCCAAACTTACGACCTGTATCTGAAATACCACCGGGCCGTCTTGACCTTTCCCTTTTGGGCGCATAGCGTAACATATTATGTCATCCGTTGAGCTTATGTAATATATCGGTCCGTCTAAATTCCGCAGGCGGTTGACTAAGCAGATAACTACCCCGCGAACTCCGCGATATCAACAAGTCTCAGCGCAACTCAGAGGAAGTGATCCATTCTCGCGTCCAAGCGCCAAACAACATGCGACTCATGCGGGCGGAATAACCAAGTTCAACAGGTGCCGACTTGACCCTCTAATCTCTAGCCATCCGCCCCGCTCTACCGCAACAATCTTTCCATCCACGCAAACCCGCCTCCACCGTTCCTCCTCCTCGTCAAACCGAATCCTCACTCCCTCAACCGCTTCATACCCCACAGCGTCTTCCTCCACATGCTGTCCGCCTTGGTACGCTTTGGTCATCAAGTTCATTGCATCATCCGGGTCTAGCGGCCCAAAATGGACGATCCGCAGCTGTCCATCTAGCGGGTTTGATGCCGGGGAGATAGTGAACCCTTTCTCCAGTTGAGACATCAGTGTCGTGAGAACATACATATGCTTGCTTCTCTTAACCAGCTCTTCCTTCTCCACTCCGGATACGGGATCAATCTTGATGAGCCTCACCCGCCCGCAATATTGATGCGTCGGACTGCCATCAGATGGGTGTAGTAGTTCTTTGGCAGCCATTTGAAACCGCTGTGCACCGAACTTGCGATACTCATTGGTGTCACTGTCTGCTACCAGCGATGCGTGCATGCCCCAACTCAACACAACCGCCCCGTAAACCTCCGCTATGGATCCGGCTCCGTGTAGTATGGGCTCTCTTCGCCTCCCCTCATCAGTGACATATACCGCTCCAGGGGACAAAGCCGCCCGAAATAATGGTAGTCTCCGCGGCTCCCCCCGTAACAGCGTAGACAGACCCCATGTAGCATCTCTTACCAGTCCCGTAGAATTCGCCGTGGCATTCCCCGTCCCCATGGGAATGAGCGACACGCTGGGCGCCTCAAACTGATTCTCATCGCTGCGTCCATGTTCATCCTGGGCTGAAAACACTTTGATGATATCGACCAATCCGCCATCGCCGGACAGTAGGATAATCGTTTGCCTTATTCCGGCTTGTGCTCTAGGTAAAAATATCGACTTGCTTAGCTCGATAATCGTATGTTCCGATTCAGTTGTATGGATATGGTAATCCGCAACACCTATCTCTGAGAGCAGAGGCTGCAGCGCACCCTTGAAGAACGAGGGGGCTGCACGAGTCCCTGAATGGGTGGATATAACCACATGCACATTGGAAGTGCCATTTGGTGGCACTTTGAGATGGGCAGGCAGAATAAACGGGTTTCGATTTCGCAGCGAAACTGGTAATCCCGAGCCTTCGAAAGTTCTCAGTTTAGCCTCCTCCTTCTGGCTGTCATAGTCGAGAAATAGAATCCTAGTGAAATCGTCACTCTTTCCGATACTCTGGAGCGTCGTGATTATGCTGTTCAACGGCAAAGATGACGTTTGCTTGGCCTCCAAAAACTCGTATTCGATGGTCTCGTTTGATAGCCGGAAAGAGACCGGTTTCCCGTCTATAAAGGCTCCAGAGGTTGGGGACATGATTGATTGTTGATATCTTTGGTAGTTAGAGAAATCGGGGCGCTGACAAACTTGGTGCCTCCCAGCGTGGAATGGATCAACTACAAGTCAATCAAAACCTCGAGTGGGCCTGAGAGTACCGGCAAAAGGTATTAATACATAATAATAATTAACGATACCGACGGAAACATAGGACACCTCCCGGATCGGCTGGCAGTCTCTATTCTAGGTACAGTACATACAACCGAATGCAAGCCCACTGAACAAAAGTTTGCATGAGAAATGCACCAGAAAACCTCCCAGTATGATACATTCTAAAAGGCGATCAACATGCCTCTTCCCCTTGTCTAGCCGCTGCATGTTTGTCGCTGAGGTTGACAGCAATGAATGATTTGGGCAGTTTGACCCTGAAAGAGAAAATTAGCTTCGACTCAATTTGAAAATAAATGCTAGGAAACCTACGTATCAAACTTGGCCTTCAGTGTCTCGATGACCTTCTTCCAGTCTTGATGGGCAGTAAGGCTTCTTCTTGGAGCGCAGCCAATTGCGTGTCGCGAATCTAGTTGAACATCAAGTGGATCAAAAGTGTGGCATCCAGGACTGATCGAGATCCTGATGGAGTAGGAGAATTTGTCCGACTCGCTATCTCTCGACTCGTACAATTCGAAGCAAATCTGTGAAAGATAATCGAGCTCAGGAATGGCACGTCGTGCAATTTTCGTCTGAATTCCACCCTCTAGAATGCAATTGAGAAGAGTGTAGATATGTGACTCCTTGGTAAAATAGAAGAAGGATTTAGCCTCTGGAGAAGCCTGCACTTCTTCCAAATCCATCACGATTTCCCGAAGGAGAGGCAAGGAAGTCAAAAGGCCAATCTCCAGCTTCTCTTCATCCTCAATGCCGTACTCTTGGGGTGTGACAAAGTCAAACAGAATTTTGGCAAGATTGTATAGCTGCTTGAGCCTGGAGAGACGTTTATCTATTTTTGGCTTCGTAGGCGTAGATCCGGGGTAGAGTTTGAAGTACGAATCATAGGAATCTTCGATAGAGCCAAGTGGTTGCATTAAGCCAGCGTGCCCTTCCTCATCATACACAAAGTCATCAGGGGGCAAGAAAACCCACTCGAGGAACTGACGATTATGTAGGGCATCGAATTTCATGCTGTCGTATAATTCGGACAACTTGCTTGGATCGACCTTTTCGGTATCACAAAACTCTTTGAAGAGTTTTTCCCAGCGCTCTTTAAAAAGCTGGGAATCTTCTCCTGCGCACCAGCGACCTTGAATATCGGACAGGCTGAAAGAATCGCTCTGCTCCTCGGAGCCATTTTCGGATAGATTCTGCGCTTGCTGAACTCTCTGGAAATTGTGTCGCATAACGCTTCGGTGAAATTTCATGAGTTCAACAACGGTGGATAGCACGACAGAAGGCTCCGGAAAATTCTCTTTAGGCCAAGCAAACTGAGGAGGGGCGGAGTTTCCTTCACGCAACAAAAGTTTCAGCTTCTTCTTGACTTTATCCATAACGTCTTTCGCTGCGTTGGAATCATCAAGTAAATCTTTTCTTACTTGAATGAAGTCCTCGGGAAGTTCTTTCAGGTCAAGGAAGGCAGATGCGAAGATTTGAGCTGTGTATAAGTTAGGCCGGAGTTCTTACATGATATAGAAGTCAACTTATACTTACCACTTGTACTAACCCTGCGCTCGGAGCTAGTGAACATTCGAACATCGTTGAGACATTCCTTATTCATAAGTTTCAAATCATCGCGCATGTTCAATCCCACATCCTGAGATTGATACCTTGCAGCATGGGTAGGTTCTCCGCCCCATTTGATCACTAGTTGCAATTTGTCAACAATCAAGTCATTTTCAACAGCAGAGAAACGTGAAAATGTTGGTCCAGACACGGAATCGCTTCGGGTTGCAGGACGCCTAGCACCTTCTCCCTCACCATCGACTGATGTTTCAGCCGCGGATGGATGGCCGTCGTTGACCGGCTGCGCTTTGATTTGCGAGATTCTACTTGTATTCTCTTCGGCAGTACGTCGGCGAAACATTGGTTTAATCTGCACTTTTGTGCCCGGCCATGCACCTTTGTGATGTAGTGACGCTCGTAGAAGCTTGAGTTTCTCCGCATCCTCAACTCCCTCTTTCATTGCAAGCTCAACGGCGTCAGAGACACTGCGCAACGCTGTTTCTCCTTTGATCACGACTTCCTCCTGATGGCCTTTGAGAAGATCAATAAACGGTTGGGTATGGAAAGTAAACTTGAATTTCTGTTTCGGGGTACGGTCCGCATGCCGGATCACGGCAACCATGCCCTTAAGCTTCCACGAATTTTTCGACGGAGGAGGAGGAACAGTTGGCGTGCTCGAGACTCCAGGCTCCTTCAATGTGATGCCATTGGTGGGAGACGGTGTATTCTTGGACGGGGAACCGTTCTTGACCTCATTGGTACCACGGCTAGCTTCAGATTTTGACGAAGGGGTTTTGCGTTCAAAGGTGCCATCGATAGAACTCGGCCCATGGCCTTTATTTCCATGATTATGCAAGCCCAGCATACTAGGTGACTTCAAAAGGCTTTTTAATGCGCTACGGTGCGAACCTGAGCTGCTTTTTCGAGGAGAGGTACTCTCACTGGAGCGAAGATCAGACACTTCCGGGACGCCATCCCGTCGCTGCTTTTCTTTGATAAACATATCGCGGAGAATCTTGGCGCATTTGTCGTAATAGTCATTGTTATCTTTAACAAAACTCCAGCCGTTGACATCGATGACATAAGAGCTTTCACCCACGCGGAGAAGATCGAACCCACATATCCTTTGACCGAAACCATTTGAAATTTTAGTAGCCATGGTCGCTTCCTCCTTGCTGAGTTTTGTGATATATCTCAGTTCTTTACCGTGGGTGTTGCGACGCACAACGCCGTCAACCACAGGAGATTTACGCGTCTCGGCGTGACAAAAGTCTGGTCCAACGGTATAAGCTTTGACATCTTCTGCATTATCAACCCGAAGGAATCGCTCGTAGAGATAGCTCCCGTTAGTTTCGGTAACCGATCGTGGGATTTTCAGATTCGGATCATACTCGGAGCTTTTGTTTCCGACTTTGCGGAAGAGACGACGACCGCCCCCGCCATACTGTTGATCATCGGGGAAGTAAATGTGGATGTTGTGATCCTCACCACTAACTGGCTTCTCGACGAATGGTTTCCTAAAAACTTTGCCGTCCACAATAAGGGCCTCACCATCATCAGACATGGTAACGCTCTGGGTGCGAGAAATACCACCGCCAGTTCCATCTCCCGGCCCTTCCAATTTCACACCTGTCAAGTTGTACACGTGTTGGGCAAGCTCAGGGGAGGCAAGTTTTGGGCCGCCGTCTCGATTTACTTCAACTCGTTTCGGAGTTGGAACACCCATCTGGTCTAGAATACGAAGACAAAGCCGACGGTCCCAAAGGATTTCCTGCATGGGAAGATCGTTGATGCAAAATGGGTTCCGAAGTTTTGCGTAAGCGATAGCCTTGTCCAAAGGAAATCCATCGGAAAAGAATGCAATTAGGAAATCACTATTGTAGTTAGCAATGGTCGTGCCCCTGGGGGGAGGAAGGGGTTTTGGGGTCGGTAAGCCTACCACTCCGGCCAGTTTTCCACGTCTACATGAAAAACAATTAGATGTAATCCAATATAACGACAGATCAAGTGATATCTACTTGCCTTCATCAAGGATGACTTTGTCACCAAACACGATCACTTCAAATTCGCCATTCGATTGTAACCGTGTAAGGATGTTTTGGCTTGGTTTGCTTCGAGCCTTGATATCAAGGGCGCAAACACCGATTCTACCGATAGTGGCAGGTTTATCTAATCGACGGCTGCGGTTAGCCCTGGACACCCCAAGAGTATTCGCGAGGGATTATCATCTTACGTTCTATGTCACTAATACTACTTGCTCCAGTGCTACCACTGAATCGACGAGGGGTGCGGCTAGAAGATCTTCCAGGACGGGAGACCCAGTTTGTAGCCAGCGCCTCCCCACTATCTGGTCGTTGCAAGGGTGCATTCTGGCCTAGAGTATAATCAGAACACGCCCGTAAGAGGAAATTGGAAGCCAACTGACCTTGAGGGTTGAATTCCGGAGAAGAATTCGGCACCGCACTAGTCGAGCTGGAGGAGACGGCGGCGGACGACGGCTCCATACGCGCGTTGGCGTCGAGTACAGACCCGGGGGAAGTTGAAACCAACTTTGCGAGATCCTCCATAGCACCTTTCACAGAGCCAGCGATGCTGGATACTGCAGTACTAGGATATTTGTCCGCAGCAGGAGAATAGATGCTAGAAAGAGAGGAGAAGGAAACACGGTGACTTTCACGATCAGTCACAATGCGTTGTGGTTTCTGAAAGGCAGAATCTTCCGGAACAGGGCTTGAAAGAATGTGCTTGCCCGCCGTGCTGCTGGGCTCAATCAATCCGGCAGAGGACTGAGACCTGTTCCCCAGGAGATCTGAAAGGATAGAGCTGCGGTCCGGTGAGGGCGACACTGCGGAAGAGTCATGGAGCAATGGAGGTGAGGAGGGAGAAGCAAGAAGAGATGACGTTGCGGCGGGCGGTTGAGGCATGCCCGATTTGGCAACTGGCTCCTCCCGCACACCTGGCGCATCCAGCGCACCCGAGCTGCTGCTGTTGCTGGTGACGCTCTTGCGGTCCATCTTCACATCAAACAACGACAGCAGCACACTGCTGGTGCAAGATGGCAGCAATCAACCTCCTAGGTGCTATTTAAAGCCAGCAATCCAGGCTGTTTTCTGTGTTCCTGTCCTGTCTAGGCGGGTATTTCTATCTGGACCGCGAAAAAAGTAATGGAATTGTTGGTCCCTTTTCCTTCCTGCGAAAAGGTCTCAGTCGCGATTCCGCCACCAACTCCACTCCTCCACGTGTGTCTGCGCTTTGCTCGACTTCCGAAATACGCAATCTCCGCTGTCGAGCCACCACTTGATTGGCAAACGACTAGAAGAGATGCATCGGGCCGAAACTGACGCTCAATCGCTTTTGGAAAACGAGGCCTTACAAGCAGTACGTGGGAGAATATGGGCTACCAGAATTGCGGTTCCGAAAAGCGGACTTTAGGCTGAGGGGCCCATATTTGATGGTGAAGCGGTGAGAGGGCAACGTCTGGACACGATATCGATGGCAATCTCCTTATTGCTGTCTTGGCCCCGATATGTCAAGAATTCGAGAGCAATGGAAGATGAAGACTGAGACATGAGAGACAGCCATCCTTGCGGTCGTCCAAATGGAACCCTTCCGTTTAATCACACCTTGCTGGCGTCCTCATAGAGTTTCGAGGCAAATTCTCGAATTTTTCTTGGAACAAAAAGCGCAGGGAGGCTTATCTTATCACCATCGGACTAACGCCGATTCGGGCCTAGACTGGCCCAGGGGCCAAGACCTAAAAAAGACTGCAATGTTTTTGGATGTCGAGAGCTCTGCTGAGCGAACCGACGTGGGCCAGGAAGAATTCGCCCTTTGGCAACCTGAAGGAGTGTGGGAATAATGCCGTCAATTGACGAGGGCGTCTTTGGGCTTCCGCTTGCGAAGCGCCAGAAAGTTGCTTCTCAACCACACATCGCCGAAGCAGCAAAGCCAGCACAACCTGCTGGGTCAAGGATATTCTCACCGTTTCGCGTAAGTCCATTTGTCCGGCAACCTGGCGCTTTGCAACTAACAAAAGTATTTTGCAGACGTTAGGATTGGTGTCCCCAACCTCTGTCCCATTCACCTCTGTTGCGCTGGGGAAAACTACCTTCCAAATTACCACCTCAGTTGGGAAAAATTTGCAGACTTACGATCTTCGTCGCGGCCTTAATCTCGTCTTTTTAACTCGCCCTCAAACGCCTGCTACCATCACGGCAACATGTGCGTGGAAGGATCGCGTTTTCGCTGCATGGGGTGGCTCGTTGCCTAATGAACCTCGGGGCGTCTGGGTGTTCAAAAGAGGTAAAAAGATAGCGGAGCTCGACGCTCCTGCGCGCTCCAACGAACCCATTGAGGAATTGATGGTTTTTGGCTCGTGGATCGTAGGATGCGGTAGCAGGACAATTCAAATTTGGAAAACGACGAGCTATGAGCATTACACCACCTTGACCCCACCTGCGCAGCGAACGAGTTTGGCTAGCCGTGTGCTTACGGGCAACGTCTGCAGCATGCCAACCTATCTGAACAAGATATTTGTTGGCAGGTGTGACGGAGGCGTTGATATATGGAATGTCTCAACCGGAAAATTACTGTACACCATTCTCCCTACCTTCCCAAGCGCTGGGATGGTGACTGCAATTGAACCTACGCCTGCCTTGTCGCTCATGGCCATTGCTTATAGTAGCGGCGCAGTGGTAATCCATAATATAAGAACTGATCAAACAGTGCTTCAATTGCGCTCTCCGACATCTAGCACCCTCCCGGTGCACTCTATCTCTTTCCGAACCGACGATCTCGGAGCTGGAAATGATGGTCGGAAAGCAGGCGTGATGGCAACTGCTGGAAACGATAGTGGAGATATTACGATGTGGGATCTCAACAATGGTGGACGAGTAACCGGTATTTTACGAGATGCTCACGAAACGTCTGGCAAAGGTCGCGCACCTGGCATCAACAAGATCAAGTTCCTTAGTGGTCAGCCTGTTATAGTATCGACCGGGACTGACAATGCGCTCCGGACTTGGATCATTGATGAAACGCCGTTTTCTCCCATCCCGCGACCATTACACGCGAGAGCCGGGCATTCGGCGCCAGTCACGACCATCGCATTTTTGCCTCCAGGCTCTGAGGGATCAGAGACTTCGGGGAAATGGCTATTAAGTGCTAGCGAAGATCGTAGTCTTTACGGCCTAAGCTTAAGAAAAGACGCACAGAATGCAGAACTTTCCCAAGGCAATGTCAAGAGCAAGTCGAAGAAAGTCGCTACTGTCCAAGGTTCTGGGGAGTTTGTTGCAAGATCTACGAGCCTCAAGACACCAGAAATTACGTGTATAGCTTGCTCGCTCAATAGAGATGGAGGGATGGGCTCTGCTGCTGGTGGACCTATCTGGACTAATCCAAAGTCTGTAAGTGCGGATAGTACGAATATGACTGGCTGGGAGAGTGTTGTTACCGGACACAAAGGCGATAAATTTGCACGTACCTGGCTCTGGGGTAAGAGAAAAGCCGGCCGCTGGGCTTTGGAGACCGGTGACAAAACTGAGGTCAAGAGTGTTGCTGTCTCATCTTGTGGGACATTCGCGTTGGTCGGCTCGGACGGCGGCTCGCTTGATATGTATAACTTGCAATCTGGCATTCATCGCCAATCATTTCCGGCGAAACTTTCACCAGCACAGGCACGGAGGGCTAGGTTACAATCACAAAAAGAAGAGGAAACGGTGTTTCAACCTGGACAAGGGAAGCACAGTAAAGCCGTTACTGGCGTCATGGTAGACAGCCTAAACACCACAATCATCAGCTGTGGTCTCGATGGCAAAGTGAAGGTAATTATTCTAATCCAAATTGCATGTTTGTTATAGCTGTTCGCTGATATTCCACAGTTCTGGGACCTCCTCACCGGACGCTTGAAACACGAGCTCAACTGGTTCCCAATGTGCGCCATCACTGGTCTTCGCTACAGCGACTCCAGCGACCTGATCGCTTTCAGTTGCGATGATCTTTCGATTCGTGTTATCGACATGGAAACCAAGAAGCTTGTTCGAGAACTCTGGGGTTGTGTAGGTCAGGTGAATGATTTCTGCATTTCCCACGACGGACGGTGGATTATTGCCGCATCCATGGATTCCGTAATCAGGATTTGGGACCTGCCAACTGGCCATCTCATCGATGCCTTTCGGCTACAGGACACCTGTACATCGCTCGCATTTTCTACCACTGGGGACTTCCTTGCGACGGCCCACGCAGATAGCGTGGGCATTAACCTTTGGAACAACCAGAGTTTGTTTAAACATATCGCAACTAGTCATATAGACGAAGACGCCGTTGCTGAGATTGCTGCGCCTACGGCTTCCGGAGAGGGCGGTGTTGCTACGATCGAAGCTGCATTTATGGAAGATGACACCGAGAACGGGCAAATGGGGCCAATTATCGCAACGGACCAACTTGATAGTGATATGATGACACTAAGTATCACTCCTAAAAATAGATGGCAGACCCTTCTTCATCTAGACTTGATCAAAGTAAGATGCGCCTATTCTCCATTACGTCACTTGTTGAAGAGATGCTTACATTCTATATTAGCAACGAAATAAACCGAAAGAGGCACCCAAAGTCCCAAAAAAGGCCCCTTTCTTCCTCCCTTCGACCCTACCAAAACTTAATTCTGAAGATCAGATTGCGGGTGTTGATCCCACGGAAGGTGTCGAGGAAGAAAACATCAAGTCGACCCGTGCCGAACGCTCTCGAATTGCAAAACTGCAGAAACTCCACGGCGACACTCTACATTTGTCGCAATTTACGTCCCTTCTCCACAGCGGCTTTAACTCGGGGGATTATACCTCGTTTATCGAGTATCTTAAATCACTCGCCCCGGCCAAAGCTGATTTAGAAATCAGATCTCTGGACCCCATCAACCGCGAACACGGAAACGAACTGGCCATGTTTGTAGCGGCATTGACAGGCAGATTGAAAACAAAGCGCGACTTTGAGATGGTCAACACCTGGATGGCGGTGTTTTTAAGGGTACATGCCGATGCTGTCGAAGCTACAAGGTCTCATGATGTTGATGAAGACAAGATGGACGTTGATGTAAGCGGTGGGAATGTGAGTTTGCAGTATGCCATGAGCGAGTGGAAAACGGAACAGGAACGAGAAGGGCGGAGGCTGGCTGAGTTGGTTGGATACTGTCGAGGCATAGTTGGATTTCTAAGGTCGACGCGGTAGCCTGCCTGAATTCATGAGATGCCTGGAAAAGGGCTTTGATGACCGTGATACCCAATCTTCTCTAACAACGGTGACTTCCTTCCTTCCCTTTGTAGACTAGCGCGGTTCTATATTTGTAATTACGGACATACGTTCGTCCGGCACCGACCACACTAAAATTACATAATCAGCCTCCTTCCCAAACAGGGAAGGCCCCAAGTGAGCAGCGCGATCGCCAATGCTGGCCGACGTCAATCAGTCTGCGGCGGAGCAAATTGCCAGTCCCCTTTTTTAATTACACAGACAGCTCCATTGTCTCTCATTCTTCCGGAGTACGAAGCAACGGCTGTTGAGAAGGATCAATAATCTACACAGCGTCCTCCTGCCTGTCCTTCGCTGTTACGTTTCCCCCGTCTCTAGTTAATCCTCACCTTTAGTTCCGTGAAAGGGAAGGATTTGCGACTTGCGCACATCATTGCGCCTCCATTGCGCCTCGACACTTTTTTTAATTTCAAGGCTAGACTTCCTCTCTGACCGATTGATAAGTCACATTTCCGTTTCGCCACCCATTCGAAGTGGGCTCTTCTAGCCTACACTTACTTGTCCACGGTGTACCCTAATCGCGACGCATAACAACCGATCACCATGCGTTGGGGTCTCTTTTTCCTCCTCATCATCTTCTTCGCCCTCCTCGCCTACATCGGCTGGATTATATTTACCCAAGTACGCGCCCGTCGAGCCGGGCTCCCTCCGCCAACGTGGAAATCATACATACCATTTACCTCCGCCTCCCCAACATATCGAGATAGCAATTTCCCCTCTCCTCGTCGCGGCGGGGTCGTCGGCTGGATAAAGGATCGACTCGCGTCGTTGAGAAATCAACGCACGTATCGTGGTGCGTATGAGGAGCCGACAAGCGGTGGACCTGGGCCGTATCGCGGCGCCGGGGCAGATCACGACGAGGCGTGGGATACCAGGGTCGGCGCATTGGAAGAAGGTCCCTATGGCCAAGGTCCAGGACCGTACGGGCATTATGACGAACAGGAGCTTGGAACGGGGCCCAGGCGAGAACCATATGATAGCGCGGGCTACGATGCTGGTCTGCCAAAGGTAGACACGGAGCCAGAGAGGGGGAGAAGTCGAAGCCGGGAGCCAGAGGGACCTCCGCGGGTAGGATTGACCCTGGGGGATACAGGCAAGCCTCTGGAGAACCCGTTTGAAGACCATAATGCTAGTAGCCTGAGGGATGTAAGTCCTCGACCGGAACCAGACGGTCGAACTGGGAAATAACGGGTTTTACGGGTATGTATCTGATAACACGTCTGGCCGCGGTCTTTTTTCTTTTCAGGCATTAATGGGCTCTACCGTGACTAATGATGGACGAATCTTGCGTGTATATGTCTTTTCCCCCTTTTCCAGGCCATTTTGTATGTATGATAGACTCTTTTGGCAGAAAGGCGGGCATAACGGGCCTAAGGGTTTTGCGGCTGGCGTTTCGATCCAGGTCATTTGCAATTCAATCAATGTTTCCAAGCATTTCATACGGGTTATTTGTCCTTTTCAACCGTTTTGGAGGCTTCGCTATGTTTGCAGTCTTTGCTGAAGGCGTGCTACATGCCTGCATGTCCCCGATACGGCCATTATCATTGTCGCTCATGCCAAACTGCTTCCCAGGCCCCTGGCGTTGTCCTTTGACGGAAAATAACACACCCACTGCTTTTTGTAACGAGTTGGTGGGGATAGTTCCGCTCGTCAGAACATCGCTTATTGAGTGCGAAAGGATCCTTAAAGGGGGCAACTCTCGTAGGAGCTGAAGAATCAATGCTGAGTCCCCCTTTAGGTCGAACCCATGATGCGAAACTGATACCTCTAGAAATTGTCGCAGGATCCTCAAAGAGTAGAAAATTGACTGTATCTGCGCATTAAGATGAATATCGTCCCAACTCATGGTCGCATTGCAACGACCGGTTCCAAGGAAGTTGCGCATATGGCCCCGAGTAGGCCAGCTATCCACATCCCTTTCTGAAAAGATTTCTTGCAGGGCAAATACCTTCCATGATAATAGAGCTGGGCCTCCACAATTGTCGAAAACGGACTGTAATCTGCCACAAAGGCCAGAGAGAATTTTCCGAAGCTCATCTTCTTGAAATAGATTGATAGCTATAGGAGACAGCCTCGCGCCTCTTCGAGAGTATTCAAGCACCGTCTCTTTCCGTTGATCTGCACTAACCGATAGGTTGAGTACCGAAAAGGCGAGAGCTCGTAATTCATCCCCATCCCGCCATGCACATCGTCGAGAATGATTTTCAACCAACATGGGCAAATATATGACCGGCGATTGGTCTTCAGCTCCGTATCCAAGGTGCGTAAATTGCAAATAAAGCTCTAAGACTTTGGGATCAAATTCTTGTATATCTTTGCTTAGGGTTGTTGATTCTTCAACAGGCGCATATTCCCTAAGAAATGCGATATATGGCGCATTGTTTTCCACACCGCCGACGTTTTCCTTAGCTGCCTGGACAATCTTTCCCCGGTTCAAGTGCGGGTCCCTTTTCAACTCATATGCAAATCTTTGAATGCTCCTGACACCCAGTTTTTTGGCTACTTGCTTTGGTAATATTTCAGTTGCACGTATCCGCAGCGGCTCATTTGTACTCCCACCGTTGGACTCAATCGAATTGAAAAATATGACGGATCCGTCGGGACCCAAATCATGAACGAGAAGGTCCGAGTCTCCAGTCAGCACAGCTGCGCCAGAGCGCTTCGCTACATCAGCGCAATAGTTGTCTGCTTCTCCAGGGACCACTTCGGTGATATTTTCCCAAACATAAGGACCAGAGCACGGTAAGATATCACCCACATGGGGCACAATTTCCCTGATGGCGTTAACGGTCCATCTGGTCTTCAGATCTTCAATCACCGTCTGCACCATGAATGGGTTGTCGGGTAAACTGCCTAATCTGGTTTGGGTCGCTGTTTTATTGAACAGAATATGTGTTTCAATGTCTAGAGAGCTTCGTCTTAAACTTTGGGGCTTAAACCCTTGGGTAGAAAGGGCAGTAAAGGCCTCCAGCTTCCGCCTCGACATCTCCAAGCGGTCCAACCTCGTATCGCTCTTGGTGCTAGGAAGGCCGCCATCGAAGTAAATTTTTTCGCTGCTTGATTATTCAGTGCCTGTTATGTCAAAAAGGGGAGAGACCGTGATATCCCAGGAATACAATGGCACCGACATTCTGACATTGAGTTCCAGGAGCTGCAGGAGGAATCTCATGACACCAATGCTAACTTCATTGCTTGTCGGCTGTGCTGCTAGCGGATTTAAATCCGGCGGCATTTTGGACAATAAGCGATAATAAACATGGTACACCAAGGCTGGCCCGTCTATCACTATAGAGGAGATGCGTCTACCTTCGCGGTTGGCGATTTCCGAGCTTCCCAGCCAAACCACCTCAGCATGCGGCAACAAGTGCCGTGTAAGATGTGGAATTCCCATGCTCGTGTTTGAATGCTCGATTGAAATGAAACAAAAGTGCTTGAATCGAAACTGAAGCGAAGTTTCGGTTTGTGCGGTTGGCAGCTCGTCACGTGGAATCTCCGCTCTCCGCTGTCGTGTTTTCCGCCCGGGTTCAAGCGGAGTCTTGGCGTTCAATATGGGGAGCGCGGAGCACCGCCAAGGAGCCTGAAGGAGCGGGAAATTTGCCATATTACCAGTTATAGGCGGAATATCTTTCCGGTTTTAGATAGAGTGAGGAATTGTTTTAACCATATCTCTTGTATTACGTAGAGTAATGCGTCGGATCTATTTGCCTGCATTTACACTGGCAGTCTTAGGCAAATCAGTACCCACCGCAGCAGTTGCACCGGCATCAACAGTCAAGATGGTGCCCGTAATCCATCTGGCTTCACCTCCTGCTAAAAAGCGAATTGCACTTCCGCAGTCCCACCCATTGCCTTCGGTTCGAAGTAAGCTCCGATTTTTCCGAGCCTCGCGTGCTTCCTCACTCATCCCGGGCCCATACATCATTGGTGTATAAAGCATACCTATAATCTATATTAGCAGCTTGTCAAATATACTAGGGAAGCTATCGAAAAAATATCGTCGAGCGTACCAGGACAAACACAATTAACTCTGATCCCATCGGGCGCATGATGCGCCGCCATTGCACGGGTCATATTCACGACCGCACCTTTGCTTGTTGGATATAGCAAATGGGGCGTTCCTCCTTTCAATCCTGCAACGCTGCCAACATTGACAATACTTCCTCGCATAGGGCCCTCGTTCTGCTTCATGATGGGAATCGCATATTTAGCCATCAACACCATGCTCGACACGTTTATTTCCAAGCCCTTCGCCCACGCTTCCATATCTACATCAACGGCAGTCCCTCGGGCACCTCCAACACCAACATTATTCACTAGAATATCCACCCTGCCGAATTTTGACACGGCAAGGTCAACGATCCGCCTGCAATCTTCAGCTTTGGTGATGTCGGCTTCACAGGCTAAAGCTGTTCCATGTGAATCTTTGAGGATCATCTCCACCGTTTTCTCGGCCCATTGCAGGTTCAAGTCTGCGCAGACAACTGACGCTCCATCCTCAGCTAAGAGGACTGCTGCTGCTCGGCCGTTGCCTATCCCGTTACCTTGACACCCTGCTCCGGTGACAATGGCCACCTTGCCGGCTAAAGACCGAGATGGTCGTGAGGGTATTTCTTCCCCAGCCATCGTGATAAAAAGGCACGTGGGTATATGTCGCGAGATGTCGTTCAGTCGGCTATGTTTCAGCTTTGAATCGCTGTGATGCAACCTTGTCCAAATGGAAGGATTAGCACGACAATATTTAGACGAAACACCGGTTGGCTCCGAAAACACAGCAAAAGAGCCTTTTAAACAATCTTTCGTTTGTTGGTGAATCGACCATCGTGGCCAACATGGCCAAGAGTCAATCCAATGGCCTCGGTAAACGCAAATGTCCCTGTTGACCCGTTGAGAGGGGAAGCTTCATAGCACTCGCTCCATCCTTGAAGCTGCATGAGTCACTTCGCCGCTTGGAACTTGGGCGGTTTCCTTCGTCTATAGTTAACTGGTCAAGAGGATTTGATGGCGAATTTGTGCATTGAGCTGCTAACGTGATGTTCGAGTTGGCGGAAGCTAGCCTGCTCCGCTGCAGATATATGAACAACCTCGTGGTGAAACTGAACTATCTCTGAGCTCGAGTATTAATAGCAATTTGATTCCTCCGTTGAGATTTGTTGTATTTCTTTGCTACCAACCAGACCTTTGGGTTCCCTAACTAACTGAAGTCACAAAATTGAAGGCACAACTGCGCCTATCTGGCGTTGATTATTCCTCTCTCAACTCCACGTTCCGGTGACAGTTTTCCCACGTTCCCAACATATTGTCAGAGCAGCATGGCGTCCTCCGTTCTCAAGTGTTTAAGCATTGGGCGGATTCAGGGGCAGATACCTCTACCCTTGAAATCCAAAAAAAGCTCCTGCTAGTCCTGAGCTCCAAGGCTAATCGCCGGCCAAAATAGAGAGCCAACACTGCTCCCTATATCTTGTTGAAATTTTGAATCCTCCTTTGGACTCTGAGCTATAAAAGAGGCCTGGGATCGCCCTGTCAAGATAGATTCTTCGCAACAGACCATTCCCAAAGAATCTATTGGCAGCATAGCTTTCATGAGATAGCCTTTCCTTAATCGCGATGTTTTCCCAAAGCACTTTATCTGGTGCCTTGATGAATGCTGCACTTGCAATCTCTTTCTTGAGCCCTCATACATCTGCCAAAAACACCATTTCCCATGACCCCCCGGACCCTTCCAAGGACCAGATTCCAGCATTCCCGCCCCTGCTGGATGACATCAATGATGTCTCAGTCAAGTATTCGCGGCCGACCCAGCTATATGGGTGGAAAGGCTGCGGGGATGATGAGAAAAAAGCGATTGCTGAGGCATATCGTGATTTTCAGCTGTTAGCGAGCCAGCCTGATGTATTCGAGAGCATCGATTGGAACCACCAAGCTGCCAAGGACTTTTGGGGTCCTGTGAAAGGTGATGGCAGGGTGACTGATGAGAAAAGAAAGGAAATCCAGGGTAAATTCGCACTAGATATTCAAAGGGGAATATATCAAACTAACTTGAGGCCGTCTCCTAGAAATTTTCCGGTCCACAGAGCGGATATATAGAAACTGGTGGTCAATGAAACCACTGTCGTTACCGGAGCCCAGGGCACTCTGGATTGAGGTATGGTCCGCATCCCGATTTTGAAGCACTCTGCGTCACTAACAATCGGGTTTCTTTAGGTCCGCTGTAGCGGCAAGGACGGCAACAATGACCCAGAAGATATCTGCGGCGACAAGAATCCCAAATCAGAGTGCGCTAAACGACCGGACGGGTCCAAAGGCGGCAATCCACTTCACGGTGAAGACAGACGCCTATTTGCCTGGAGCGATCTGAGAGGGGCGTACAGCCAGATTATGTTCTGCAACAAATTCTTCCACAACTTGCCATCTATGAACAAGGCAATTGCGGACGGGAAAAAGAAGTCAAAGGAGGTTCAGAGTAATCTCGAGACTTGGGACAATAGAGCCCGAGTTTTCTTCCACGAAGCTGCTCATATCTCCGCCTTCATGAACCCACAAAGCGAAGCCCCAACCGTGGAAGACGTCCAGATCGAATTCAAAGAGGACGGCAAAAAAGTCATGAATTATGCTCACGGTCCCTATTACGCCAAACTCCTAAGGAATTGGGTCCATAAGGATAAAGGCGGGCTATACACTCAGCGAAATGGTACGATCTTTAATCTAAGCTAGTGTTGTAGAGTGACTAACTCGCCGTCATAAGCCGATTCATACGCCTTCTTTGCTCTTGCGAAGTGGATAGAGAAACATATACAGCGGTATGTACCTTAACCCTCTGGAAAATATTCGTAACTGATCATGGGCAGCTATCCCGATTTACCTACCCCCGGCTCAAAGAAACCAGAATCAGAGCCCCTCATCTCCGGTAAACGAAACGGTGACCACAAGAAGGCTAGACACATTCGCATCGACAGACGCGAAGGGGAAGACGGTTTGTTAGGTAAAAAGGAGCTTGAGTATAAGGACCAAAAGATAAAGGGATTCTCCACCCCCGGGTGTCCAGACGTCTATCGAAAAATCACCAAAAACGGTGATGATAAGGACCCGAAACTCACTTGTGACAACAAATCCCCGAGTGGGATTCCTCGAGTTTACTTCACCAATCCCACGCCTAAGAGCACCACCAGCAAGTTCTGTGCGGTCGCAGACAAGGACAAAGCCAAGGGTATAACATGGAAAATTGCTACCGGGATAGAACGGAAAAAAGAGAAACGCGCCTCTTTGCTATCCCTTTGGCTGTTCCAATCTGACTTGAAGCCGAAGTCATGGGAACTAGAATTAAAATGGGAGCCGAAGGGCAAGTTGGAAAACTGCAATGTCAATTGCAAAGAAGCAATGGAGACGATGTTCCTAGAGGATTGCGATGGTGAGTCAACATATTCAAGATCCTTAGACTTTGCATCTAGTTCTGACATGTTTGATCAAGCTGGGAAACCTGGATTGGCAGTATCTGCCCACGTCGACACAGGTTGTGGAACATACAGATATAAATTCAACAACTACTAGGTGGAGTTCACTTGCATGCGGCTTGATCATTGTTAATGTTGTTGATATTTGGCCCAAATGTGTTGAGAATTTTCTATGTCGGGTACTAGAGCATACAAGAGTGGCGCTTTCGCTCTCGTTAAAGTCTTCATTTATATCAAAGTCTGATCTTCCCAAGAAGGTTTAAAGTGAGCTCTGACTGGGTTCGCTTAACCCCTTCATCTAATCACTCCCAAACCACAGATGAGACACTAGGATTTCGTTTAAGAAATATCTGAACCCATTTTTTATCCAGTGGTCTTGTATCTCCATTCATATGCGTGTTTCGGGGCTGCAAGTTCTCAAATCAGACGGGAGGGAGGTTATCCTTGAAGATCTGGCTTCCTTATCCACTTATCAAGGGCAGGAATAGCTTCAGAGATGACGTGCTCACGATTTGAAGTCACATTTTAGAAGATTTGAATGCGGAGTGGTTGAGATTGAAGGGCTGAAAGTAGGAAGAAATCTCTACGCAGGCCGGAAGGGGGGGTTCCAATCTTAGCAATGTCATAACATTAGTTGATATCATCCTGATTTAGAGCGCAAGGTGCTCGATATATGTACAGTATTGTGCTTTCGCAAAGCGGTAATTCTCTGTTGGCGGATTTCCGCCATTCAGCTCACGATTTCTGTCAGAGTTTAAGCTTGGCTCTCTTCAGGCAGTGACCCCCGGTTGCTTACCGGAGCAGGATTCAGGCTATAATAGACACGGAATCGATCCTGTAGCTGCTCCAACGAGCTTCTGAGAAAGCCAAACGAGACATTTATCTCGAAACGGGGCTCCAGCATTTTGTGCGTACGGATCACCGACCTCGGCCCAAAATATAGTGGCGGTGCGGGGAATTCTGAAAAATTGTACATAATTCACTTCTCGGGAGCATCTGGAAGTCTTTCGATGACATATTTTGCTCTGGCAACGCTCATGATTGGAACACCCGGGATTTTTCTGTCCTTGAGGTTAGGGCATAGTGTTCAGCAAAGGGCTTGGGGGATTGTCGACGCACCTGATTCTTCGCTTTAAATCACGGTCATTCGTGGCAACGATATAAATCCTATGCTTGATGATTCGATCAACGATGCAGTCGTCGGCGTACGTGCCTTTGTGGTCACACTTGACTCTTTCGAATCTTGGGTCTTTGGCGATTCTCAAAGCAAGCCGATATTTCTGTCCCAGTTTTTCCAGTTCGGCCAGAACGCAATCTGTGATGACGGGGATGCATTTCGCATATAGACAATCCATCATCGTTGGTATGACCTCGAGTTTATGCTGAACGGTATGTGAGAGAAAGTTGGTATCGACTAGGACGGAGTATGGCGGCGCAAGGGCGGTGTTGTACTGAAAGAAAAGAGCAGAGGAAGCTTGAGGTCTAATGAATGGGTCTCCAGTCAGTCAAGAGGGAACCCGCAAAGGTAGAGGGCGCGAAACCATACATTTCTCGGACCACCTCAGCTTTGGCAGGCTTAGTGCTCTTTGCTTCCTCCTTTGCCTGGTTTTGTTTCCTGCAACCACGAAACGATTAGTACCAAGTCCGACAACTCGAAGCGATCGGGAAAGTAGCACATACAATCTGCTATCCCGAAGAGAGATGGCCCGTTTAACCTATGAATTTGTGAGTGAGCGTGCCACAGACTGACAGATTCATAGTCAAAAGACCAACCAGTCCAAATTTCCGGGTTCTCCTTTGAACCCCCATATTGTCTGATGTGAGAGGGCTGGCTGCACTAGATAATTGTAAAATCCTCGCGATGTCGTCGATCTGCTCTGATATCTCTGAGATTCTCTTTTCGACATCAAAAAGTCCGCAAAAGTCGAGATTATTACGCAAAAGTCGAGATTATGTAATCATCCAGTCCTGAAACTAACTAGCCACAGATGGTGGCGCAGGCATGGGTGCGCATGTGGCTGGACTCTAAATGCATGTGGCCCGGGTGTTCGCTGTGATTGGCTGGCATCGACCGTCGATGCTGGATGGCTGACGCTGTCGCTCTCGTCGTCATCCTCCAGGCTGTGTCCAGATATAATTATATTGCAGAACAACGGCGACGGAAGAGAGTCACAGTGCAGCTTCCCGACGCTTGCTAACCTACCTGCAGGGCTCCCAGATTGTTGCTCCCGTCGAAAGGTTGCGCACCGTCCTCCCTTGCATGACTCGGCTTCCAGAAGGGCAGGGCCTGGTCCTGCAATGTAGTGATCGACTCTAGCAAGGACCCTTTCTGGAGGCTACATGGAGAATCGCTGGCTGGGGTCTTGGACTCCGCGTTGTTGTCACCATGTCTTGTATGGAAACCTACTTTCCATACATCCGGTGTGAATGAAAGATCGGAGACTTTTTCGAGACGCGAAGGTTAGCTGAAATCAAGGTCTGATGCTGGTCAATTCCGAGTCTAACGGCATGAATAATACAAGTAACTATGTGTTACGTGTTGCTGCTCCTTTTTTGCTCTCGAAGCCACACGGCTTTTCCGCGTCTTGGGTTCAAGACACCCTTCACTGAGCAGGCATTCCATTGGCCCTAGCAATTCCGAGCTGGCGTCGATGTCTGCATTTGATGAGAGAGAGGTTGCATGGCGTTCCTAGCTGTACTGTGCCCTTGTAGGGTTAGGTTGCATGGTCAATCACCCCTATTGATGTTGCCATGCGAACCTTGCAGAAGCTTCTTGTCTCAAAGCTGGCTCCCGTGATGATTTTTGATTTCTTCTCCGCGTTGATGTTGAGATAATCAATGGCTACTCACAGCTGGCTTGGTCGCTGGCGTTGCTGGCTCTTTGTTGCCATTCCAATCTTTGCTATCATTCTGCTTCACCAGTTACTGATTCATCACAATAAATTACGGGTGTCTCTTACCAGGAAAGAGCCGGACTTCGCGCAGAATGGTCGCCAGGCCCTCTGCGGGGTGGATGACGTGTTGATTATTCTGAAGACTGGTGTCACTGAAGCCTTGGAGAAGGTCCCCATCCATCTCCAGACAACTCTTCAGCACATCCCTAACTACGCTATCTTTTCCGACTTTGAAGAAACCATCTCAGGCGTGGAGACCCACGATGTTTTGCGGACAATCGGCGAAGATATCAAGCGGACCAATCCAGATTTTGAACTTTACAGAAGAATCAAGGAGTTGGGGAGAGAAGGTCTCAAGGCGAGCGATTTGATGCTGGATGACGTGAGTGGGCCTTCAGGGAAGCCCAACAACCCTGGATGGAAGCTTGATAAATGGAAATTTATTCCCATGATTGATGAAGCCCTCGATGTACGTCCCGATGCAAAATGGTTCGTATTCATCGAGGCAGACACATATGTGGTCTGGTCAAACCTACTGGCTTGGCTCGCAATGCTCGATGCGACAAAGTCCTATTATCTCGGCACGCAAATGAGGCTAGGCAGCCTGGTCTTTGGCTATGGTGGTTCCGGGTTTGTGCTCTCCAACTCGGCGATGAAGAAGTTCTCAAACTATCGGGCTTCTCGAACTGCAGAATTGGACGATTATACCGCCTCTCAGTGGGCAGGGGACGCTGTGCTTGGGAAAACTATGGCTGACGCGGGAATTCCCCTTACCTACTCGTGGCCGATGTTGCAAACGGCACGGATATGGAACCTCGATCACTTTGGGGACCTGTGGTGTTACCCGGTTGTCTCTTACCATCACATGACGCCGGGTGATGTAGAAATCATGTGGCGGTTTGATCAGCAATGGTCTAGAAACGTGAGTTGATATAGCTAATGCCTTTGTGGCCCACCGTTAACCATGCTAAACTGTACTAGAACAATGGCTCGATCCTACTCCACCGCGACGTGTTTACCGAACTCATACAACCCGGCATGTCCTCTCCGCGAGACAATTGGGATAACTTTTCAACAGACGAACATGATGTACCATCAATTAAGGAATGTGAATCGCGTTGTGCCAGTGACTCGGAATGTTTACAGTACTCGTATCGGCTAGGGAAGTGCTTCACTTCGAAAAGCGCGAAGAGGGGCACGGCCGCTGCATCTTCTCGTTCTGGTTGGATAGCTGATAGAATAAGGGAGCGGGCCGAGAAGATGGGGTCGTGCGACGGAATTAAATGGATTCAGTAACGCAAAGATAGAATTGATCGTTCTCTGATATCGAATTTAATACTCTCCAGTCTCTAGTTCCGTAAACTCCGTCAACTGACTAAGCAAGACTCTCAAGCCACACTGTGGCGTCGGGTAACTAGTTAGCTGATCCAGTCTTGGCGCTCTTACTGCACCAAATCGGAAGCGTGCAAGACCTCACTTTGGCTGTGCTCCCCAGGCTCGGACTTTTGCTTTCTGGGCTGCAGTCGCAGACTAATTGACACGGCCTGATTCCAGAAGATGTCCGCCGGGAACCTGCGACCGTCGAGTTTACGTTCATTCTGGAATCGCACATTCTCCTACTCCGCTCGTCGCGCGCTCGCAGACCTTCACCAGGGCCCGCCGGAGGCCCAATTCTCCGCAAACCACGAACCCGCGCCGAGACGCGAGGGTCTATCCGATAAACTTGCTGCTGGATATCCTGAAAAGGCCCCGAAGATAGGGTATGATCCCGAGCGCATCACCCAGGAGCGGTCCATCCTGTCTGAGCGCTTCGAACTACCCGATATCCCTGCAACGTACACGGACTTGGGTGTCGAGATCGATGCGATCGGTCAATTGAAGATTACAGATCCCGTAGCGAGTCGGCGAGAGCACAAAACTGCCCTGGTATTCTCCGCCGCGCCGATCTCGCTGGTTGAACGCGATTTCAGAAAGCTGCTAGATCCGGGGAAGCTTATTGAGGGCTGGAGGACTGATGGGGGGCTTGAAAAGAGTGGGTAGCATCGGTCCATAGGTTTTCTGCTTTGATGTCAGCTCTGGTGCTAATCTGTGTGAATAGTAATACCGTCTCGAGACCTTCAAACGCTCCGACGCAAACATGGCTGGGTCCTGGTTTTCAAATCACCGGCGGCAGCACAGGAGTATCAAGCTCGTGTCCACAATTTACGAAATCTACTCCGCCAGAATCTCCCCCTATCGTCCGATTCCAAACTCCAACTCCCACCCGCATATACCACCCACGGGTCCCGCGGTTTTACGCTACAAGATTACACCCTCAGCTCCCCCGCGCTTTTCCCGTCTGTAATAGCCCATCTCGCACCGTTCAAGAAACACATTAAAGACCTTATTAAATTACACCACAACATCAATACCCGGAATCCAGGCGAGGAACAATCCTATGGTGTCCAGATATCCCTGGACACCCGCTATCTATCCAGGTTGGAAACCGAACATATCGCCCAGTTCCTCCGCTACGACTCGGAAAACCGCAAACTCCAGTGGAAGCTGGCCAACGTAGCCAATCCCATCCTACCATTGACGGGCGAATCGCATACGGTTTTGGACCGGGTAGAGAGCGCGGTGCAATCGGCCAAGGGACTGAGCAGCTGGCGTGTCTTGTTTGAAAATCCTTCAGAGGCACGGAGGTTCGTGAGGGCATGGCACAGGAGGCCGTGGCCGAGGTTTGAATCGCTGCCAAGGTCTGAGCCGCCTTCATTGATGCATGTCGAATGTTTGTTCCAGGGCGAGGGGTTTTGAACCCTGGCGGCGATATTTCTTTTGCAATTTTGCTTGCGGCAATTTGCTAACACTTTTATGTACTATGACACATTTGAAATGGAGCTAGATGAGTTCCCGCCAATTGGTGATTGGCTATATGGTGCTCCCGTCCGTGTGTGGGAGGGGGTATAAGGAATCCTTTCCCACCCCTAATTGCAGTGTTGAAGGCTTGGATCAGGACGTATAGATTTCAATATATAGTCCCCGTCCGCAGGCTTTTTGTATTGAGATACGAAAGGCCGTGTCTTACGCTACACGGTTAGGATATGATGTATAAAATAATGACCGAGAAGACACATAGAAATGCAAAGTGCAAACCCCTCGTTGGCCATACGTTTGTGGGGGGGATATTCTGCCATCTCAACAAGAGTTGTCCTCTAATTGCTTTCTGGAAACCGACATGTCATCTAGCCCCTAACTCCTATGATAAAAGCAGGAAACAGTCCTTAAAAAGATAGATAAAGGAAAGTTCATGGAAAAGAAGAAAAAAAGAATGAAGTGACAAAATGCACGAAATTAGCAACCCGGTCAACCTGTCATAGAGCATAAAATCCTATCTCTTCGGGGTAATCATACGCAATAAAGAGGAAAACAAGATAATAGAATTATACAGATAACCATCTGTTAAGAAGTTGGTGCCAACTTTCTTCGTACCTTCTTCCCATCAAATGTAATCAATTCAACAGCACTTGTTCGCCAACCCTGCCCCAGACCCGCTCCCCTGGTCTATACTGACATTATGCGAGGCCGACTGCTCAGCCTTGGATGTGTCCATGACTTTCTTTATCTCCGAAGCTAGAGTATAAAATGCTTTGTCGACGTTGATGTTGTTTTTAGCGGAAACTTCTAGGAATGGGATGCCTAACTCATTTGCCAGCTGCTGGCCTTGCTCCGTGGAGACAGCCCTCTTTTCTTCCCAGTCGCACTTGTTGCCAATCAGCATTTTGTGTACGCCTTCAGAAGCATGTTGTTCCACGTTGGAGAACCATGTCCGAATATCTAAAGGATCAACATCAGCAACTGTTATTAAATAGTCGAGGGTAAAAGACAACTCACTGTTGAAAGATCGTTCATCCGTAACATCATAGACGAGTAATATTCCCATCGCCCCGCGATAATAAGCCGTTGTAATTGTCCGGAATCTCTCTTGGCCTGCTGTATCCCATATTTGGAGTTTCACCCGCTTGCCTTCCAGCTCTATGGTGCGGATTTTGAAATCGATACCGATGGTGGTGATGAAGGATGGAGTAAACGAGTCCTCACTGAATCGAAGCAGGCAGCAGGATTTACCCACACCCGAGTCCCCGATAAGCAGGAGTTTGATCTGCAATAAAATCACAACACTATTAGCAGCCAACCTTCTAATCACCGCCTCGGAAGGAACTCCAGTAGCAACTGTCAAGATAGCTTCTGCGTACCAAAAAGTCGTAATTTCGTGTGCCAGCCATTGTGGCAGGAGAAATGGAAAAAAAAGTTGGAAAAGGTAAAGGGCTAGCAGGGCAAATTGTCGACGATAGACCGAAGAAACGATTCCAAGCAACAGCCCAAGTTGTAAACGAGGTAGAACTGCGGGCACCTTGTGACGGGAGACGGGAGACTGGTTAGGAGCGGATATGGAGTTTGCTTTCTCACGGTGCCGAGTGTAGCGGTCGGTCGTTTGCTTCGTGGATGGGATGCCTGGCTATGAAACAGACGTGATAAATCGTACGGACACGTAAGGAAGGCTTTGATTTCGGCTTTGAAACACGGGAGGGTCGAGGGAGGGCTGAGTTAGGGGAAGAATGGAGGATCAAGACCCGGAGTAACGCTGGCGGTGGTAGGATGGGAGAGGGACGCAGGATGTTGGAGTGGCAGTGGCATACAACAGTAGAAAATGGGTATTGTTTTCGCAGACTCGACGCAGATTGGCAAGGATCCCAACGGCGTGCCCGACTGAAGTGCTGGAGAAGGACAGCAGGGTTGATGTTGGTGGTTTGCTGTTGTGACGTTGGGAGCCTGGTTTCGAGGGGGTCACGTGCGGAACGGCTGCCCCTTTAAAACGGCTCTGGCTGCTGGCTCAAGGGCGTAACCGGCAACCAGTTTTATATTTGGCCAGGCAATGCTGAGAGGTTCGATGGCTATGGCTATGTTGGCGCTTGACAATGGGACTAACAAGAATGCCAGCAGTTGACGATAATATCTATATGTAACTATGATCATCCATCCGTATTATTGTAGCATATGAACAAGACCAACAGCAATGCAAAGAAGCTCAGATAACCCGCTAGACTTTGTGCCACCCCGTAGTCGCATCTATGCCGCTAATATGTAGATTATGCAGTTCCTATTCCGGTGCTTCTCAACGAATCCACTGAGCATATGCCCACCGGATCTGATCCAGAACCCGCAACTGCTGGCTAATACCAGAATTCACGTTCAAAAGGTCGCCGAGGTCCTCGTGGAACTCATGGTATATGTGGCCGGGTAGAACCTGATGCGCTTTCTGGCGGAGAGTCTCTGCCTCGCAAATCAACAGTCCATGATCTTTATACGACAAAACGCCAGTTGGGGTAGGAGTCGAGGATGCAAGGACACGGTTAACCGCCCTATTTGTTACGCAACGTCAGCAATGTCCAACTAGTAGATGATCGGCAAGAGAACGAACCGGAGCGAGCGTCGTGCTTCTTCACGCTTCTTACCGACCCGAAGCCCTCTTCGACTCCCAAAGGCGCTGGCAAGCCAACTGATGACTGAATAAGATACAAGGATTCCGGGGGTGAGGCCGATGAAGCTAGAGGCATGGTTAGAACTCAGTAAATAGAACTCAAAAAGACCCAAAATTGTCGAGCAACGTACGCAAAGACCAGCTGTTGGCTTTTGAGGAGGGAGTCGATGCCACTCATGGCAACTTCGACATCCACTTTGGTTTTCTGGATCTGTATAAGCAATGTTGTGATTAGATCTCCCCGCAGGGCACCCCTGAGAGGCCGCTGCAAATCCCGTTCATAGGCCCGTAGAACAAGAGTGAGGTCGCCTTCTTTTACGCCTGACCGGATTTGTTCGAGTTCAGCGGAAGTGAACGCTCCGCCATGGGCACTTTCCGGGTTCCGGATGGCGTAGTCAACAACCATACGTTCCAGGCTCGCCAAGTCCGATTGCAAGCTCCCCTTGCTCATCAAGGCTACCTCGCTCTTCTCATCATGGCGTATTGTTCCAATTAGCCGAGTCAGGGGACCGATCACCCAATTTACCCAAAAATCCTTTGCGGTGGTCCCCAATTCTCGAGCCCAGGTTATCAGCTCTGCTCGTCTATTCGTTAATATATTCAAAACGGTACTCGAAGAAAACAAAAATGCTAATGCAGGGAGCCAATAGCGAATGAGCCGCGAAGGTCGGCCATACTGACGCGCGAGGTTCCGCGAGAGGAGCCTCTGTTGCGGCAATTGTTTTTCAAGAATATCTATGAGCTGCTGAATAACGTGGAAGGCTTGAACGACGGGATATTTCGGGTGGTGATTTTCAGCAAATGGCGATTCAGCAACATCGACACTGGCAAACACGTTGTCTTCGAATCCGTTAAAATCGTTGCTAAGGTCATTAACGTGTTTCAGAATAGTTTGCATGAGCAAAGTGGTCCGGAATACAGTATCCTGCCAGTCTTCTGGGGTGCTATTAGGGACATTGGTGTTGGTATCTTCTTCGTCGAAATCGAACAGTAGGCCCTCTTCCAATAGAAGCCCGACCGCACAGGCATTGAGCTCGCGCATCTTCAGTAAGCTCCGCCTATTGCGCCGGGCCTCTGTCCGGCACAATTGAAACGGGGACAGAAATACCCGTTTCGCTTCTGCCATGCTCTGCCGCCTCGCACTTTCTCGCACCAGCCGGTAGAATGCAGACCAACGAGCCGACAGGGTGGCACTGTCGAGTTCTTGGCGCCATTGGGGCTGGCACCGCCAAATGTGCTGGTAAATTCCCTTGACATGATTTCCAAACCGTATTGGCGAGGTCTGGATTGCGTACAGGCCGCTGTTGAAGTACGACCCCAAAACCCCGTCCCAGTACCAGATGACTTCGCTGAGCGGGGCCGTCTCTGTGAGCAATGCGTTTGTTATCGCAGCAAAGGCCTGAACCGTTGATTTTGCGGCAACCATCCATAGCAGGCCCGAGGTATAACCATCGTCCAACGCGGCATCGCTTGGTCCCAGGTCCGGCTTTAGATCACGGACGCGACGCAGCAAGTCTAGAAGCTTGGAGGGCTTCAATAACGGGCCAGACGATGAGCCCGCGGACAACGCTCTTACGGTTCCGGCGAGGGCGGCTACCGGTGGCGCAAGCAGGTGGTCGGCTGCCGTGGAGGATCCGTCCTGGTCCGTGCTGGAGGGTTGCACCGCCTCTAGGGCACGCAATTGGAGCTTGTCCAGGTAGAGATCCAGGCGTCGAACATGACTAGGCAGAAACTTGAAAATCAGCCGCGGGAATCAGAAGCAATCTGCTTCGGTATCATTTGTGACGGCTTACTCCTCGATGAGCGACATCTCTCCCACGGTTGGCTGGCGTCAAACTGCAAAACCCTGGTCGACGCGGTGCATGGGTCGGATGCTACCCGCAATTCTGGTCCTACTAATAAAAATCCCGACAACGGCGGTGGTGCTCGCTGCTGCTGGCGCCGTCGGAGGATTTGCGCCTGCAGAGCCGTGATGGCTTGATCTGATAACAAATGACGTAGCGCCGCTTTGGGCAAGTGCGTCACGTGACTGTATCGATACGCGCAATACGGTAACGGCGTATCAGGCCACGCCAATCGAACGATTCGGCTGTACGCTGGATTGGTTCCGGTTTCGACTGCAATACCAGGTACGTTACGTGGTCTGCGCGCGTGATTGGCTGGGCCGGGGTCTGCCCCACTGCCCTGACAGAACCGATACCAAAAAGACCCCCTAAGCAGCCCCTTCGCCCCCAAATCTCGCCATCTTCCCCCTTCGAGCCCTTTTCATTATCAGATTTATTTATTTATTCCTGCGTCGCCAGACTCCAGTTCTCCCTCGCCGCGAAGACCGCTTCCACCTGTCTGTTCAACGCTGCTGGCCGCGCTGATCAATTTGGGCAACGAAGATGTGAGTTGCTCCCCCGTCCCTCCGTCGTCGGGTACGTGTGTGAGAAACTGACCGTGCAGGAATTCGACCACCCTCCTCTCGCCGCCTCCCACGAGCTACTGGGGCCAGTTTGAAGAGATCTCCAAGTACAACACGCATCTAAATGTCGCTGAACGGCTGTGGGCGGCGTGGTATGCCTACATGCAGAATGATGTCCTTGCAACGGGCATCATGTCCTTTGTGATGCACGAGCTGGTTTACTTTGGACGATCGTTGCCCTGGATCATCATCGACCGGACAAAGTACTTTAACCGCTGGAAGATTCAACACGTTCGTGGAGCTCTCGAACCCCCCGGGATTGCTTACCCTTGACTGACAGCCTGGCAGAACAAAATTCCAACCCTCCAAGAACAGTGGAACTGTGCCAGACTGGTCCTCCTTAGTCACTTCACCGTCGAGCTGCCTCAGATTTGGTACGTTTAGTGTCAATGTTATGATTCTCAGAATCCACCAACTAATCCTCTCTGCAGGCTCTTCCACCCAATGGCTCAATACTTTGGCCTTGCAACCGGCGTTCCGTTCCCTTCGATCTGGAAGATGATGTATCAAATTGCCATTTTCTTTGTGCTGGAAGACACCTGGCATTACTTCTCCCACCGCGCTTTCCACTGGGGCCCTCTCTACAAATCCGTGCATAAGATTCACCACCAGTACTCGGCGCCATTCGGACTTGCGGCCGAATACGCTTCGCCGATCGAAGTCATGGCTCTCGGCTTTGGCTCTGTCGGCTGCCCGATCCTGTGGTGCGCGCTCACTGGAGATCTGCACATTCTGACCATGTACATCTGGATCGTCCTACGGCTCTTCCAGGCCATTGATGCTCACAGCGGCTACGAGTTCCCGTGGAGTCTGCATCACTTCCTGCCATTCTGGGCCGGCGCTGACCATCATGACCTTCACCACGAGAAATTCGTCGGCAACTACTCCAGCAGCTTCAGATGGTGGGACTACCTACTTGATACCGAGTACACCCCAGAAGCTGTCAGGCGCCGAAGAGAGCAGAAGTCCAAAGCCGCAAAGAAGACGGAGTAAAGTACGACAGACCGAGTCAACAAACCCAGGTTTTGGGTCCATTTTCAGCAAAAAGGGGGGTTTTGGTTTGTTATAGAGACTTTGCCATTCTCACTTGTGGCTAATACTTACTTTTAATACCCTTTAGCCCTCACGGGATTTCGTCTTTTCTCTTTCTTTTCTTCATTCCTGTGCTGTGGTTGCAATAACGGCCCTTTTTATATGCTCCTAATGATTCCGTACTTCGCAGTTTTGTTTTCAGACCGTTTTTCCAAGGAGCAATTCCTATGTTCTACTTGGGTGGCGTCCAAGAAACACGATGTTTTATAGTTATTACCAGACTTTCTGGACTACCTGTGTAGATAAATACCTAATTATACAAGATGACACCCGTCACTATACGGGATTCGCAAGGTTTTAACCCTAACCCATGATGATTCATCACTGGGACTGCTCTGGCAAGGGTGGAGGAACCACTATCTCCTCATGCACCGCTGCCTGCTCGTCACAGAACTTGGCCATCTTTAGGTCTTTAAGACTGAGACCGCGCGGGCGGTGAGTCGTCCAAGTAATCGAGACTTTGTTGTATATCTAGAATAGAGACAGAGAGTAAGCTGGATAAAAACAAAACAGTAGGACAACAATGTCTCACATTGCTCCATTCGGGATGATGCTTTTCGACACTGCATTGTTCTGCGACAGTAGACATGAACGCCTATACTCCTCGCAACGGGCCATGGTTAGTCCAAATGGAACATTGAAGAGAGACGACTTCTTTTGGTTGCAGCGCACCCAGGCCTTTTTAAACGACTTGAACCGGTACTCTCTACGAATGCCGCGCGCGTCCTGGCACAGCTCCCATCGCCCAGTCTCCTTGCCGAGCAGGACGTCGAGATCCGGCTGTGCAATTGATGGGTCACATCCTTCGGAGTACTGGACCGCTACCTTTGATGCCGGCGACGATGCTGGAGGCGATGTCGACGCGGAGATCCTTCTTGACTGATTGGTGTTAGGAGCCGGCGATGACATTGTGGCGGGCAGCGATCTGGAGGAACGGGCGACAACGCTGCGGAGGGACAAAGGCTTCTGCCAAAAGTGCGAGCGCAGGGTGAGGCGGCCGGAAGCCATTCGCAGGCATGCGATTTGCTTGCTGTCGTGCGATGCTGTTGGTTGCTTGAGGGATGCGATGTCACGTTGGGAGCGTCCGGGTTTTGGGTCGGTTAACCAAATACTCGACGCTCTGCTGCGAAATCCAGCATCCAACTCACGCTCGCCTGGGAACTGGGCGAGGCTGGTGGCCGTGATCCTGATCCTTTGCACAACTTGCATCGATCCTTGGATCTATCAAGTTCTTTTGCATCACCACTGACGGGATTGCATTGCCAGACGGCGAGCTGCTGGAGGGCAACGGGTGTTTGCTGCTGTGCCCCACCACCGTAAAACCCTTCATCGGAGATCTTTGACGCTGAGAGCAAGACGACTGAAGATCGATGACCGCTGCTTGAACAACCGGCATCAGAGATAGATGACAGAGGCGGTTTCGCTATATCAAGTTTGGCATATCACTAAATGACACCGGTCTGTTGATGTTTGATCTCGCCACTCAACAAGCCAGCCCCCAGACCACAGCAACAGCTACAACAACAACAACCGGTGCACGCGAAGCCTGGAGGAAGATCATCTTTTACCACACTACACATTGCTCTGCAGAACAATCACCATGGCAGAGCGGCATAAATTCACGATCCGGCCCGTATCGCGTCAACCCAGGAATGATTCCAAGGATGCATTCCGGGTCTGGATGTCGGCGGCATCGCTTCTGCAGTGCCATCTGATCATAGGGGAACCATGTCACCTGCAGCTTGACGACGGCCCACGCCAAACTGCAATTGCCTGGTCCGCCCCCGAGAAGATCCATGACAACGTGATCCAGACCTCGAAGCTGCTGCAGACCATGTACGGATTCAAACTCGGTGACAAAGTGACCGTTACCGAATCCAAGGAGCCGCTGAGAGAGATTGGCGTGGCTCGCCTGGAGGAGTGTACCGACGCGACGACGATTGCAACTTATGGAGAGCTGGCGGAACAGGACCGCCCCTACTGGGAATGGGGCTTGGAACATCCCCTGTCCAACTGTGAGATTTTGGCCCTGGGCATGACTTTTGACTACGAGCTGAAGAGGTGCCGGAGGAGCTTCAAGATCGTGGAAATCGACCCCGGGAGAGAGAAGAGCGAAAACACCATTGCTCGATTTACTCTGGGGTCAAAAGTGAAGATTGGCCCCGTGGATCCGGTTTCTGCGCCCAAATCGGGGCTCCAGGTTGATACTACCGGCCTAGGTGGCTTGGGTCCGCAGATCGATCAGATCAATGAGAGACTCCGAGATTTCACGGCGGAAGCCCAGAAGATTGAGATGCCGTCGTTTTTCAAAAATAGTGGAGGGATTCTCATATACGGATCAAAGGGTACAGGCAAAACATCGCTGTTGAATAAAATTGAAGGTGCTGGGTGGAGAAGCGTGTTTCCCATCAAGAGCTCCATAATCGGTCGATCGACGGTGGACGGGGAAGCAAAGCTTCGGAAGATATTTGTAGACGCGCTCAAGTGTCAGCCGAGTCTTATCTCCGTCGACCAGTTGGATTTTCTTGCGCCCAGACGGGGCTCAAATGACGGTTCGTCCATGGCCTCTGTTCTCTGCGAGTGTCTCGACACGCTCCAGGATAGCCATGTGCTTGTGGCTGCATGCACAAGGCATCCAAACGACGTGGACGACACTCTGAGAACTCCGCATCGGCTGGGCATTGAAATCGAGCTGCCAGTCCCAACCGGAAAGGACCGAGCCGAGATCCTTAGGGCGCTGCGAGGATCAGCTGATCAGCCGGGTGACGGTTTTCTCGAGAGAATAGCAGCCCAAACACACGGTTATGTGGGTGCGGATCTGTTCTCGTTGCTTCAGCTTTCGTGTAGGAAAGCACAATCACGTCAGCTCTCCCAATTCGCTGGAGAGCGGCTGGATGACAAGCAAGATCCCCCTGCAGACGCGGAGGCTGCGGAAGACAAACCGTCCATCACACCACTTGAAATACGGGAGGAGGATGTAACACTAGCCCTACAAGAGACCCGGCCCACTGCCATGAGAGAGGTGTTTCTGGAAACGCCGGCGGTGAGATGGAGCGATATTGGCGGGCAACGGAATATCAAGAGATATCTCCAAAAGGCGGTAGAAAGGCCGTTAAAGGTGGGTTACCCAAGTCTACTTGTGCGTTGTAACTACAACCCTAACTGTTCCTAGTACCCTGAGCGAATGAAGCGCTTTAATGTTAGTGGGAAGAAGGGCGTCTTGCTCTACGGCCCGCCAGGCTGCTCCAAAACATTGACCGTGAAAGCTCTCGCAACCGAGGCTGGGTTGAACTTTTTGGCCGTCAAAGGCGCTGAAGTCTTGAGCATGTACGTCGGTGAATCTGAGAGGGCACTGAGAGAAATTTTCCGCAAAGCTCGAGCCGCCAGGCCTAGCATAATATTCTTCGACGAGATTGACGCCATTGCCGGGCGGAGAGGGCCTGGCCAGCAGAGCGGCGTCAATGTGCTGACAACCCTGCTCAACGAGATGGACGGCATCGAGGAGTTGAAAAACGTGCTTGTAGTGGCCGCAACCAACAAGCCAGACACGCTTGACCCGGCGCTGATGCGGCCAGGACGACTGGATAACATCCTGTACATCGGCTTGCCAGACATGGAGGCCCGCAAGGAGATACTGGATATCTGGTTTGCGAAATCGGACGTTCATGACGAAGTGGACCCCATTGCACTCGCGGCGCAGACAGAGGGGTACTCTGGCGCCGAATTGGTGAGCGTGTGCGAGACGGCGGCGGATGCAGCGCTGGATGAGGAGGAGGAGATGGGCGAGGAGGTGCAGATCAAGTGGGAGCATTTCGACAAGGCTTTGCAGGAGGTCCCGAAACAGATATCGCTGCCGATTTTACGGGAGTATGAGAGATGGAGCAAGGAATTTGGGAATAGACATGATTGAGACCTGGCTGGTGGTCTTTGGTTTTGGGCGGTAGATTCAATAATGCGATTTATGATTCCGGGAAGCCATAGCACTATTTAGTTGAACTGAAATGAGATGTTTCGATTTCAAAATAATACATCATCCGCAAGTGAAGCGGTGTTTTTATATCAAAGCTCTGAGCTGTTTTGGCCCAGGCTTGGCACACCTTGCTGCTTTGAAACTTCTCAGCAATCCAGCTGTTTATCAACTCGCTCTCACTGTATCTCTGGCCACAAAGCACAACCACCGTTTCTCTCTGTCTCACTGCTTCATTGGCATTCACCCTCAATCCCTCGACCGTCTCTTTCGGCCCACCATGCCGACCCGCCGCTCCCCCTCTCGTTCCATCTCTCCTTCTCGCAGCCCATCTCCTCCGCCCCGAGGCCGCTCCAGATCCGCTTCATATCCCCATCGCCGCTCGCGATCGGCCTCGCCACGACACTCACCAAGTCCCCGCGCGCGCTCTCGCTCTCGCTCTCGACCCAGAGCTCCGCCGTCGCGTGTGAGATCCCTGACGCCACGTTCGCGCAGTCCCAGCCCGAGACGCAATGGGCACGGAAGAGGCAGGTCTCGGTCGCGGTCAGAGAGTAGGAGTCCGTATTCGTCTAGACAGCACAGTAGGGATAGGCAGGGAGGGCGATATCGCGAGAGGAGCTATACTAGAAGCCCGAGTCCGCCGAGGCGGAGTACAAAGGCATGTTTCTTTGCCGAAAGCTCTTGGGTCGGTTCCAACTAACGATCTTGTGCAGGTCGTCGTTGAGAAATTGACGAAGAATGTGAACGAAGATCACCTTCGGGAGATATTTGGCACCTATGGAGACATACAGAGCCTTGAATTACCCATGAACCGACAATGTATGCTGATTCTTCCCACCTTTCCACGCCCTGTGCTATCAATACTAAAAGCTGCTTTCCAGTTATGACCAACCGCGGCACAGCGTACATATGCTACTACAATGCTGCCGACGCCGAAGCCGCCATTGCTCACATGCACGAAGGCCAACTAGATGGCGCAACCCTTAGCGTTTCCATCGTGCTCCCCCGACGTACTTTCTCGCGCTCTCCGCCACCAGGACGCGGACCGTCACGCCCGGATCGACGGCCCATCTACCCAGGGCCCAGCGGCGTCCGCCCGCCTTCCTCGCGGTACCGATCACCCCCTCCAGCAGCACGCAGGCGATATCGAACGCAGCGCGGCATGGATAGGCATGATCTATATCGTCCAAGGTCCGTGTCGAGATCCAGATCGCGCTCGAGGTCTCCTCCACCGGCTAGATCTCCGTTGTACTCGTCACGTTCGCCCAGCCCGCCGCGGAGAAGAGGTAGAAGAGATAGCTATGGCTCGCCAAGACGAAGAAGACGAGGTTCAAGCTACGATAGCTATAGCGATAGGAGCAGAAGCCCGAGCCGCTCGAGATACAGCCGGGAGATGATTGAGGAAAGATGTGTTCACTTGTTATAATATTTCGCGGCCCGTAGCCATGTCCTGATCGGTTTTATTTCCCTTTTTTTACAACAACTGGGTGGCATCGTGCCTTGCATGTACTTTCGTCAAAAAATCTAGGCTATTCCAGAGCCCTCACAATTCAAAACAGTCGTGAGAACTAAAGTAGCACTTGTATGGTATCTAATCGAGCATCTACACATGTACACGAACATCATTCAATCAAATCAATCAGAAGGTTTATACCACAAAAATCATGTACTGTGCCTAGAAATAGGCGCACCACCCAATGTACATCGCTGCTAGATTCTTTAAACTCGTCGCCTGGATAATCAATTCGTCCACCTGGCCTCCAACGGACAGCGGGACGGATTCCCCCGGTAGTAGGCCGCGAAGTCTGTTTCTGACAAACTCAAGAACAGCCTCTGGGGTGTCAGGAACACGGGGGTTGGTTCGTTTCTACTCGCCGATTAGTCTTGTCGCTCTCATGTAGCGGATGTAAGCGGAGAGTAGTGTACCTTTTTATCGATAAAGTCCGTTGTTGGGTCGTGGAGAAAGGTTTCAAGAATGGTCATGAGGGAGTCTTCATTTTGACGGAGTAGCCCTTGGGTGAGTTCGCAGGTCTTTCGGAAAGGCCCTGAGCGGTAGGTAATACGTTAGTCAAGTTCGCCAGATAGGGGGTGATAGGAGAATACGAACCGTTATACCCATATGCTCCAAATGCCTCGATCATGTTATGGGTGAGTCTGAATGGAACTAGCTCAGGTATTTCGAGAGTCGAGCCCTGGTTTTTAATGGCGGTTAGACACGTCTTCTCAAGACGAAACACAACAGTCACCTACCTTGTCGAAAAGACAGTTGAAGTCGACATGGAGTATGCCGCCGGTGCTTTCTTCGAATAGAATATTCTCTCCGTGTCTGTCCCCAAGCCTAGAAATGTCCGTGAGTAGGGTGTTCGCTTTAGCTACCGTCCCGAATACTCACCCCAATGAGGCGCCCACCATTGACATAACAGCGCAGGACCTAGTATATCCCAGCCGAGCAGCAAACCATGCTGACGGTTCAGGGAACATCTCCACAAACCATTCGTGCAAAACTGGGGGATACCTAGTCAATTTATATCAGTATGCACCTTCACCTTACAGACAAACGTGATTATATACCTTCTCAGAAGTTTTGAAAAGAGCGAGAGCTTCGAGTCGCTAGAATTCAATTCTGCAAGGTAATGCCTGATTTCGTTGTACTAGATCTTAGTTAGCCAGCTGATACTAAAAGTATTTCATGGCTCCGGAAGACTCACGTTGACAAGGATGCCTCGCGCCTTTAATAGCTTGGTAACAATCTCTCTCAACGGCCGCAAACCGTCGACCCATTCGATGAGACCGCATTGCTCATTCAAGGGCGTCACAGCGTAGGTTTTGATGTATAAACGCCGTTTATTCGACTCTAAATCTCTTTTCAAAAATCGGTTGATCATACTATTATACTCCATTAAACGTTGGTCCTTGCGAAGGTCATCCTTTGGTTTACAGAGGAGACCGTAGACCTTCCCATCAGAGCCTCGAATGCTAATTTTTCGCGGTCTTTGGGCTGAGAGAAGAACAAGTCCTTCGTCGAGCACCGCTGGAAACTCTAGTCAGTATCCAATAGTTTAACAAAAGAAGCCCTGGTATTACGTACTCTCTATTGTTATCGGGTCATTTGGAAATGCCCGGAATGTTTTTAGAAAACTTGTCTCATGATTTGCGGGTAGAATAGGGGTCAAAGTTGATTCAAGCGGGATAACGAGTCGGCAAGGCGCTACTCGGTGATTGAAACCCAAGTCACGAACGAGACTGACTTTCACTACCCTATCTTCGACCGGTGCGCTGCATAGTTTTAAAAGCTCATCAGAAAACTTTTGTCCCTGATTCATGATTGCCCGAATGTCTGCAGCTGACATATCGGACTTTTGTTTTTTTGAAACCTCCTGCAATCAATTAGAACCATAAACATTGGAATGTCGAAGACGTGACTAACCGTTATCTTTTGAAGGCAAGTTAAGCCGCGCGATGCGCGATCTTTCGTCGAAGATTTCAGAACAGCCAAAAGTGTCCACAATCCCTGTTGGGGAAAGGCATGGATCGTTTTCACCACAATCTGCGCTAGGAGGTTATACACTGCATTGTTCGCATGGCATATACGTGCAACGACTTGTGGCAGAATGGTAAACAACTTATATCATTAGTACTTAATTATCGCCTAATTGGAATACGGAGGTCTTACCAGGGCAGCCGGAATTCGGTTGATATATTTGCGAAACTGGGCATTCATATCATCAAGACTTTTTTTCCGCTGGGCTTTATTGTGTTTCTGGAACTCCCTTGGATGACAATTAGTATCTCCGCAACATTAGTACAATATGTACTTACTGGTTGTCTCCTCGTTTCGGATCAAAGGGCTGATCCACCACGGCTGCATGCTCGAGCCAGAGCGTCAAAGCCTTGGGAAGAGTTTGAAATACGTATTTGTTCCCGTGCGCAAGCGAGCGCAAGTAATTATCAATCACGAGTTTCGATGCTTCGCCGCTTAGACTAATATGATGTTAGCTAGGAAATATAAGTAGAATGGAGCTCTACGAACTAGATTTGGGCTTCTTTCCCAATAGGTTTGGCTTTCTCGGAATCCAATATCTTCGCGTAATGCTTGCCTAGGTAGTAATGCGCCTTTTCCCATCTACAAAGACGTTGTCAGCTAGAATACATTCAATTTGACGAGGACTGTACCCACCGTGTGTGAAACTTGATAGCCTGTCGATACTTTTGAATTATGACATCTGACTGAGTTTGGCCAGCACTATCCATCCATCTAGCAAGAAGAAGATGTGCCTAAAAGTAATTAGTGATAATAGATTAGGCCAATATACGGTTTATACTTACCCGCGCGGTTAGCATATTCTGTTTGTGCTGGTTATCGGTGCTAGCAGTTTCGGATTCTCCGGGATTTTTATCGAACGATACAAACGTGTTCGCCGCAATCGCACTTTCAAGAGTCCTGATCGCTTTCCTGTGGTGACCCTCTTTCCACAACAGCCTTGCATGTTCGATTGTCGCAGATTTGTCATTTAGCTGTGCCGCGTGGAGAACGGCATTGAATGCCTGTTCCGTAAAATTTGCCTTTCGTGCGAGCCTGGAAACGACCAGCCATACTGAAGCAACGTCCAGCTCATTAAATGACGGCCTAGGCAGTAAAAGTCAGCTCCGGAGTTGTAGGTTTAGGATTCAAAGAAACGCACGATAACTCCATGATCGCTCGTCTGACCCCAAGAGTATATTGCTTATCCGAAATGCAGCCCCCAAGAATCGCTAGCCTGCGATCTAGAGTGTCATACAATGTCTCGTGGGCACGGGAGGTTTCAGTTTTGATGCTGCTTAGGATATCGATCTCTGCAAGGACATGGAGTTTGGCGATACTATCGTGACACGACTGGAATGAAGAGACCGAATTTGAGGTTAACCCTTTCGCAACAGTGAGCCGCAACTCTTTTATTTTATTTTTCAGTTGTTCATCGTTATTGCGGATTGCAATCAACGCGGACCCAACACCGATATTAAAATCCATAGCCCCGGTTTTAGAGCGGTCTGGGATGTACTGTGCCAGCCGATCCCATTTACTGGTTACCCACGATGCTTCGACGGCAAATGGTAGCATCCGTGGTAGTGTGGCTTCGGTGATTTTTAGAGCACCAAATTGATTGAGCAGGACATCTAAGAATTGATCAGTATGTACAGTACAGATTATTAGAAGCGCTAAAGACGAGCTTACCATGCTGTCCTGACTCTTTCAGACAAGTCAACAGATTAAGCTGAACTTCAGTGTCGTCGGGTGTTTTATTCAATTGAAGCTCATACCAACTTTGAGCGGCAACCCAACGTCCAGCTTTGCGGTGTTCAAGGATCTGCTGGTCAATATCGAGAACATGTAGATGAGAGGAGATACCTTCAATGCCATCTGGCTCATCGATTTGCGTGTAGATATCTTGCAATTTTTGATAGAGTGATTCGAGCTGTGAAGCGTCCATGTCTGCTTTAGATTTCTGCTGTCTTATGTATTGTTCCCAATGAAAGAGCGCGCGAGCGTAGGATTTACATTCGACGGCACGTCGAGAGATAACTTCGGCTGGGATTGAAGACAGTAGTGCCTCCACTCGCTTGACTTCTGTGCTCCATCGATTCAACGATTCTCTGCGGCCACGGCTGGAAGAGAAGCTTGTGAGCTCCCTTTTTCTTCCTTGTAACCAACGAGATAAATAGTCCAATACCTTGAACACACTCTACAATGCATAGTTAGTAATCTTCATTGACAAAAGATCGATCAGAACAAACCTCGCTACACATGAGTATGTTCTCTTGGGCATGGTGGTTATCTTCTGGCAGAGGGTATTCCAAAATATTGGAAAGTTCCCCTCGGATCTCCGAGCGGACATTGTCTTCATCGCTAATGGCGGCATTGAGAGCAGCAAACGGGAGAAGGAATGATGCGATAGAAATATCCTGGCTTCGGATAACCCGACTACTGATGGTGAAAATCATTTTAGCGTTTGTGTCATTGCCTTTCTGCAATAAATCTAACACAATTGTGCGGAGCCATTCTGGGTAGCTCATGTCCGGAGAAAATAGGGGGTAAGTGCAGGACGTGCTAATAGCTCCTATCGTGACCGTATACTTGGAGCTGAGAAAAGGGGTTAAAGTATTCCGTGCAGATTCCGGAAGCGACAGCCAACGACGATATGCATCGCCTGATTCAAGATCTTGAGTACGCGGTGGTACGACCGAATCCATGTTGCAACAATCTAGGAGAGCTTGCATGGCATAGGCAAGGAAGCCCTGTGATCTCGTGTTAGAAGCAGAAAGAAACGCTTCGACCAAGATATGCTGTAGGAAAAACAAAACGAAGTCTGTGGTCTCATCCATTCTTTCAAAATTCGATAAGACCAAGATGTCTTTCTTCTCTTTAACCAAATCAATCCGGCTTGGATCTAGGCATCCTATGATTCCGAGGCCTTCGGCCGCAAGTGACATGATCGACTGCGAAGCCGGGTTGAATTTTGCACAACAATCGAGCAATGCCCGCGTCAGCTGGCCGGCAATATTCTGATTCGGTTGCTCATTGATGGCTGCGCGATGGACAAATTCTTGATGCTTTTGGAGGTGTGGGACTAGCTCTTGGAGGGCCTGCTCAACGACGACCTGGTTCTCGCTCTGGCATCGGAGACAAAATGTTTCGAATTGGCTGCGAACATCCATTCCGCTCTTCAACTCTAAGATCTTTTTGGAAAATCCGTCCATTTCTGGGATCGATGTTAGAGACGGCATGGTTGAAAAGGTATCGGCGACAAGGTTTTCGTATTTTGTTAATATATGTTCAACCAGCTGCACTGCTCTTTCGCGAGTCTGGGGCTTGGAATTTGGCCCAATTCTTTACGATAATAGCAAAACTTTGATCAACTAGGGGACTCGATGTCTATTTCGTCTAGTGAGGTGATCATGGTATACTAGGACGCAAATGCATGGTCCCGCAGGTCATCCATATCAAGGGCTGATCGAAGGCACGCACAGATCTAGATGGTAATTTGGTCAACACAAGCAATTCTGGAGGAAGCGCATATTGCGTGGTGCGACTCACTTGTGGTAAAGCTATCGCTATTTTACCTCCAGCTAGGGTTATCATTTGGCCAATCGCAATGATATTTCGTTTCTTCTCAACTACTGATTGCCGTATTTGAAAATCGTTTATCACATTTGCGAATTCAGTGATGATTCCAAGGACATGCTCTTTAATAAAGGCAACCAGCGGGCTATCTGACTTGAACGAATTCCCGTGTCTCGTCTGCCGAGGTGTTACGGACGCTACGAGTTCCAGTGCCCGGTGATGCTGCGAAAAAAGCTGTTAGCGAAGCTCAGCAAGTTGATACTCCTCCATACCTGAGATTCTTTGCCTCCCGAGTCACCAATTCCTTTCAAAAGCTCACAAGCGATCAGGATCGGCTCCATTCTGATTAAATCCGCGACGCGCAAATCTTTGAAATCCGGGGATATTTCACTGAGAATGGTAGGTATTGTTGTTTCCAAATCAGTTGACTGCTGAGTTAGTAGAAGAGAGAGAATGGATGCGATGTTGGCTCTGGTGGTGCAAAGACTAAAGACACTTTTATCATCGTATGTTCGCACAATCCTAGCTATAATATCCTTTTTGCGCATCAGGACAAGATACGGCAAAACGTGTACTTCTGTCAAGCGTAGAAAACTATCGACTTTCATTCCAATCAAGTCGCATAAGAGATCTACCATATGGGGCCGGGCCTGTAGGTTTTTAACAAGCAGCACTGACAACGTTCTCCAAAATGGCCGGAAAAGAGCAGCAGGCGTCAATCCGAGACGTTGGGCCAATTTTGACAACTTCGATCATTAGCTATCGTCTTCGAGAAAGAGTGACTCAACTCACTTCAGAGTATGCCACTCCACTAATGAACGGGTTTGTATGGCCCAAATACTCCAAGAGGCGGAGAAGAACAATATTCATCTCTTCGTCACCAGACATCCTAGGGAGATCAGCCGTGCTTCCTGATTTCAAAGTCGGCTATAACAACTTACTCCGCAATGCGTCCTAGAACCATAATACATGTTTCCTGTACGGACAACTCGTTTTTCTCGTGAAGTCGTTGTAAATATTCTAATGCTATGACGAAATTATTTCGGCGTGCGTCTGTCTCAAGTGGTCCTCGTAGAAACACTGGCAGAGTTTGCCTAATTTGAAATTAGAATGCATCAATACTAATGTTTAGAATGGTGGTTCATACCCTGCGGCTATCCGAAGTTCCCGTATCGAGCTACGAAGAGACTGTAAACAAAATTCTCCATAGGGCCCGGTTCCGAGTTGCACATCCTCGCTTTTGGGGTCATGGATCAATAGTCTTCGCAAGGCCAGCATTCCTGCTATACGGCATTCCGCTGAACCATGGAGTGCCGGAATTAAGCTAACTACCATTGCGCGCAATCTATCGAACTTTGATTGTTCGCAAAAGGTGTCCTTGGTTTTCCATTCGTCGGTGTCGCAAACCCTGCACCCATATACGGTGTCAGATATCGCTGTACGCTCCTCCAATATTAGGCCGCCAGACCAGGAACAAGCAAGGCGGCCGAGGAGGAGCAAGGTATTGCCTTTTTCAGCAGTTGAAAGCTCGGGGAAAGCATCCCTGCAAGGGTTAGTGGAATTAGGCCCTATGAGTACAGCAGTCACGTACTTACGTTATAGAAGGATCCATAAGTTCAAGTTCGCTGGCTGGAACTGACCCAATAACGTTGCATATAGTGTTTAAAACCATCTGTGATGTGTTTGGGATACTATTACTTCCTTCCATCTCCGAAAGGCGAAGCCGTTTGCGGGCTCTTTCTGAGTCGGGGGTGCCAGTGCCGGTTCGGTTTTCAGGCTGGGACAGTTCTTTGATCGTCCGGAGGAGCGCCTGAGAGGAAGTACGCCGATGCGGCAGCGGAGCATAATAATTGCCTTCCAGCATTGTAATTATGATATGCTGTTGAGAAAGTTAGTAAATTTTCCGAGCGTGAGTACCGGGCCTTATAACGTAACCTGGAAAGACTGGTGCAGATTTGCAAAAGTATTTGCGTCATGCTTGAGGTGCTTCAAGCTTGGATGAAAGTTCTCTGTAATAAGTTGATCAACCCCGGGGCAGTCGTGAGAAGCTCGCATCACCTCGCTAAGAAGCTGGCTTAGAGCATGCTGCAAGTCAGGGCTGCGTTGTAATTTAGGTGATGATAACATGTCAACGCCGCTTTGTATCAATGCATATATCATTCTCTGGTTTAAACCTAAACTCAACCGCTGCGAACACGAAAAGCACTTTTTCGACAGCAAGATTAAATTCGTGAGAAGAGTTACGATGCTCTCTTCTTCTTGCGGGGTCCCTGTCTGTTCAAACCACCTAAACTCCAATTTCCATAGCCTCTGGTAGCATTGCAGATCCCAGAGGAGACACTCTCGAATAAATGATGCGCGTGACTGAAAAGCTGGTAAGGGCAAGGGGTGGCTAAATACTTCTAAGATTTGAAGACATGCTTTTACCACCACCAAAGGGCTGCCGAGTAAGCGCTTGGAAACTGCAGATCGGGGAATATTCAGTTTATCAAGGCATTTCACAAGTACTGGGGGCCATCGCGGAAAGTATATGGATGGCGCGATAACATCACGATAACTAGAAATGTCGGCAGATTCGATGGAAACAATTAAATCTAGCCGCGTCAGCCTTTTATACCAGAGCTAGATGCAACCATAGATACTAACCTATCACACTCGCACGAAGGAACCAAACGATGGAGCGAGATGAGTGCCATGATCTATCGGACCTGAATTGCGACATGTATATGGTTGACAACACGCGGCAAATCTTGTCTCGAACAGCTTTTTCATCCCATGCACAGAGTAGAGATATATGAAGCGGAATGATCCAAGCAAATAGGGGCGCCGGTACCGTATCCTCGCCTAAAACGCCCGGGTCACAGGGTTCCTGCAGGACCTGCGGCGCCCTTTGTATGGCGAGTTGCACAATATCGAGACAATCCAGCATCTGCCCAAGGATGTCATCCTCAGGCAAAGTTGATTTCCGGCGTTTGAGCAATGGTTCCAGGCCGGCTCTAATAACCACGCAGATGAGCGTGTGGATATCACTGAGGCTGTCATCAAGGTTGACATGGCCGTTTTCGTCCTGGCCCAGGATTTCCCGGCGCAATTGGGAAAATGTCTCACGCTCAATGGTATGACCACCATTGCCTCCGGATGCCAGATGAGGTGCCAAATGCACCGCAATAAGTGAAGAAGCAGGCTCCCCGCTTCGGTTCAGAGACGGCTGTCCAACGCGGGACGGTTTTGTTCCATTATGCGCCGCCATGTGGATTCCATCTCATCTCATGTCGAGGGGCGCAAGGCCTCGAGAAAAGCAACAAGCGAACGAAGAAAGGCAATACCTGGCATATAAGAACGAGGAAAACGCACGGCGAGTCTTGAAGAGTTGGAGCAGGCTCGATGTTTCTAAAATTGGCGACTTGGGGCGCGGTTGAAGCGCGACCAGAGCCGCACAATATGACTAAGCTGGGTTTCCGCCCTCGCATTCTCCAGTGAAAAAGCGCAAGACAAGCAAAATAAGACCAGGTTCACTTTTCTCTGTTGATAAAAGTTTGTGGTTTATCTTTGACAGGTAACTACTTGACAGGCAAACCGACTGGATCCTTGTTTGTCATACAACCGATGCCGTGATGACGGCGGACATCGACATTAACCGCCAGGACCATGAACGCTTCATGAAACTAGCGCTCGACATGGTACATATTGCCTCTTCTTGCTTAAGAAAGCCCTGAGGCGCAGAGCATGAACTGATATGAGCACCAAGGGTGAAAAAGCCCTTTCAATAGGCGAAACCCCGGTTGGCTGCGTTCTTGTATACAAGGGTAAAGTTATCGGCAGTGGAATGAACGACACCAATAGATCATTGAATGTTGGTCTTGTCCTGCGTGCGAGGCACTCTTGAGATTCTATATTAATCGTAAGAAGGGAACAAGGCATGCCGAATTCCTGGCTATCGAAGAGGCATTAAGGTCCTATCCGCGGTCGGTTTTCCGTGAGACCGATCTCTATGTGACGGTTGAACCCTGTATCATGTGCGCATCGTTGTTGAGGCAGAATTATATCCGCTCAGTTTTCTTTGGCTGCGTCAATGATCGCTTTGGGGGCACTGGAGGAGTGTTAAATTTGCATTCAGAGTACGTGCTCCGCCTACGTGCCCTCCATCCTACTGCTGATGATACAAACCTCTGGAAGTCCTGGGTTTGATCCGCCATATCCAGTGCATGGAGGCATATTCCGCAACGAAGCGATCATGCTTTTGCGACGATTTTATATTCAGGAGAATGAAAAAGGTGCCACAATTCTGTCCCCCTTACTATGGGCTGCGTGTGGGCTGATTTAGATTTGGATAGCGCCTAATCCAAGACCGAAAGCGAACCGCGAATTGAAAAGGAAATTAGATGACAACGATGAGCCAATGCCGACTACATCATCACTTCAGGAACCATGAATCCGCGTGTGGAACAACTTCAAGACTACCGTACGTTATCTGATCTAGCCTCAAGGAAAACGAGCATTTCGAGTTTGCGGTGAAGGTATGTATGTACAAGTACAGAACGTAAGATTTCAGATGTGAAATAGGTGTAACATGTTTTTGTTTTTGGCTAATCAACCTAAAGGCTTTCCTTCTGTAAGCGCTCGGCTTCAAGTTCTCGCTCCGCTTGGCGGTAATATTTCGCGGTGTCGACACCATGCTGTTCAATTGATGATTAGTAAATGCCATGGCTGGCAATGACATAGAATAGGGATGTACCTGGTTATGGTTCACAACATTGAACCAAGGAATGACGTGGATGAAGAGACTCGAGTAACGCGAATTTCTAGCAGCAACACCCTGCATGTAAGGAGACAAGGTGGACTCTCCATAAAGAGGCTCCCCCTTTTTCACTTTATCAACCATTTCTCTCATATCCATTTCTTCCTCTCGTTGATTCTCCGTCAGTCCGTAAAATCGATCTAACAAGAACGTCCTGGTCAGCTCTGATATCGAAATTTCCATGGCGAGGCTCGTGAGGAGACTCACTGCAAGATCTCTGGAAGATTGTAATAGCACCCGCCACCAAGCCTATTCCACCAGCCAGTCGCATGCACCTGGCAAAGTTGGCTTTACCCGCATATGCCGGTTGTACTCTCTCCATGACAGCGAATGTTAGCGGGCCGACGGCGGCGGCTGCACCGCCCAGCACCCAATCCGAAGTTCTAGCATATCCGAACACTCGTTTTATATGGCTGCAGATTACAAGAGTCAGGTACTATCCATTAGGGCGGCTGGGGGAGAACGGACGGATCAGAATCTATAAGCTGTAACACAAGCATGTCAGCGCACCAGATGCCAGATGGATACGAGTAATAATTTGAGGGGAAAGAGGCCTTCAATGCGTACCGGATAGTCGGTTCTCAGCTGCTTAGGCGGCACAAGTGGCCTGCCATGGTCCGCGGCCATTGTAATGGTCGAATTGGTGTGCACAATGCGTTGATAGACCGTCGCAAATGGCCCGCAGTCAAGCAGCTGTCGTTTCCAGTTAATCGGATGTTCCTCAGCGATTCGACGACCAATTGGAATAGCCCGTCACGTGATGCATTAGCTTATGTAACCAATATTATCTGCCAAGAAGGCCAAGCCTCTAGTGCACTTCGCGCTTAATTGAGTTTAGGCGCGAGCTTGGTGAACGCGCCGCGTCGTCCAGCGTTTGACTCGGGACAGAGTACGAAGAACAGAGCACGGAGTTATATCACTTTGGCGCTTCCGGGACTTTACATCATCCAAAATGGCCGACGATACTTTTGATGATCTCTTCAACTATGATCCTGGAATCGAAGAGCTCCTGGGGGGGCCCGACGATGAGACCAATTCAGCTGCACCCCCAGGAGGGAAAGCTGATGATCTTGGAATTGACGAAGAGATCAAGATTACAAAGAAACGAGCGCCAGCTGTAAAGCTTGATGAAAACCGGTCTGTAGCTTATCTGTCCTATCGACCCTTGCTTCCGTTGAATTGGGCTGCTAACGCGATGTACGTGTAGATTACTTTCCCAAGCTGGTATCCCGAAGCTCCGGAAATCCGCAGATACAAAGTTAAGATTGAAGGGGAAACATCATGAGGTATCTGCTTGATTTGCCTAGTCAGACTCTAGCGGGAGAAAACTCATGTTTTTTGACCGCGTCTTTATTGATATAGTTCTCTGACGTGGCTCGCCTGCTTAACTTCTACCAATTTTGGCTTGACGACCTTTACCCTCGCGCAAAGTTTGCAGACGGACTCGCGATAATCGAAAAGCTTGGCCACTCGAAACGCCTGCAGGTGATGCGAAAGGAATGGATCGATGAAGGCAAACCTCGCAGAGCCCGTTCACACAATGCCGCCAGAACTTCCAACAACCAAGTCAATGGTACCAAGAAGAATGACGCGGCACTAGACCCATCAGTATCATCCGCTGTGCATGAGGCCGTATTGACACAAAAATCCCCGGAAGCGGAGAACGGTGTGGGAGACGACGGGGCTTCTCGCGGCCCAGAGGCTTCGTCGATTTTTGGCAGTCGCAGAATCTCCAACAGTATCCACAATAGCGATGACAATGCGTTGTTCGTTGCGGATGATAGAATGGACGTTGACGATCCTGCATCAGAGGGATCAGACACGTTAATCGCGGAGCAACCAAGCACAGTGCAAGGCACGGCTCTGCAAACGGCAAGACATGAACAGAGTCCGCGAGTAGCGCCAGAGGATGAGGATGATTTAGATGCCCTCCTTGCTGAGCAGGATTTGCTAGCAAGCAAACCGAGGGCTGTGCGTTCGGTAGATCCTCACGAGAATATCGACGATTTCGAGGCTGAACTTCAGGTTTTGAATGAATTTGGAATGTAGAGAACCATGATGCTCTTATTCAACCAAGGTCGCTTCTCAATGAGATATGAATTGGGGAAAATAATAAACTAAACAAACTCACGATACCGTCTTAAATGATCAAATGCGAACGAGACCATGCCTAAATCAAAACCAACTTCTGAAACACAAAAATAGTAAAGTCACCCCGAATGGTTGAAGAGGAAAATAATAGGTTAAGGCAAGCATGGGGATTCGATGATAGCGCAATGTTTAGGACGAGAATTGAACAGGTCGCGAAAAAAAACATGTTTAGAAACACAGATACTCAAATGAGATCAACCCAGATAGATCAGCCGAAACACAAGCACAACAATTAATCAAGTCTTCAGAGTCGAACATAACAAATCTAATCCATCGCTCAAGCACTCCCGTTTGCAGTCACTCCGTTAGCCGCATCACCATTCACGGCAACACCATTTACCTCAGCCGTCGGCAGCCCAGTGATAATGGAATATTGTCCACCGGCACCAGCCCAGTTCAATGTCTTTCCTCTCACAGCCGTATTATCAATCACCGTAGCAACTTCGATGTCATCATCGGTGCCTTGGCCAGTTTGGTAGTTTGCGGAAAAGCCCCAAGACCAGGCACGTCCATCCTGGGCGATGGCAATGGAATGGTCTGCACCGGCAGCAACAAATTTGGCTTTGATATCCGGGATAGCAGTGGGAGTGGAAAGAATACGCGCACGGCCTCTATCATCCTTGATGACAGACTCCTCTGGAAGGGTTTCGACATTCAATCCAGTCTGGAAACCGTCAACGCGGCCCCAAGCGAGGCATTCGCCCTCCCGAGTGACGGCAAGCGAGTGGTGAGATCCGCCGCAAAGCTGAATAACGTCTTTATCGCTTAGGGATTTGACAACCTCGGGACGTAGAACAACAGCTTCATCAGATCCTGCGCCTTGAGGAATACCGGTTTCGCCATAGCTATTGAGGCCCCAGCTGTAAACTTTGCCGGACTGATGGATAGCAAACGAGTGGAACGCCCCACAGCCGATGTGAGTGATATTTTTTGGCAATCCGAATTCACGGGGATGGAGACCATTAAGCTTAGTGCGCTCAACAATACGGCGACCGAGTTGATTTTGTTGGCCGGAGCCCCAAGCAAACACTGCACCTTTCACATCAAGAGCAAGAGCATGGTTGTCGCCGCAGGCGATATGCTGAATTTTCTTGAGAGAAGGAATGAGTGCTGGAGTGGCTTGAACACGGTTGGTAGCGTCAAACCCAAGAATGCCCTCATTTCCCTACATAAAATCATGATCAATAGGGAACACCATGATATCACTTGTGAAGTGGAACTTACTCGGAAAGTACCCCAGCCATACACTCGACCATCATCAGTCAGAGCAAAAGAGGAGCTATCTCCGGCGGCAACCTCCACAAAAACAGTTCCTTCTGGGAAAGAGTCTGTCGGAATCTCAGTGGGTATGGATTCTTTGGGGTTCAGGCCACTATCACTATCGGCATCCGAATCATCATCATCACTTCCAGCATCAATATCCTTCAGTTTGCCTTCCCAGGTTGTATCGCGCCCCAAAGCGCCTTGGTCGTTGACACCCCATGTAAGAATTTTATTATCATGCGTAAGCGCAACACAATGCATGCCTCCAGTTGCAATCTGCACCACGCCAACGGTATCTGCAGCCAAAAGCGCGTTGAGTCGCGGTCTTTTCACATCGACGGCATTCTTCGCGACTCCGAGTCCGAGTTCGCCAGAGCTGCCTTCACCAAAAACATACACGTTTAATCTGTCGGTAGGAGCCTTGTTGATCACCACTTTTGGCTTGGGAGCTTTTGGAGCAGGCGAGGCTACCACGCGAGCCTTCTTCGGTGCTGGAAGTTTTTCTTTAGTGACGCAGGTCTTTTTTGGCTTCGGCTCCTCTTCATCGTCGGAGACGGCTTTGCGCTTCTTGGAGACGGGGGCTTCTTGTGTTTTGCGCGTGGCTTTGACCGTGGTGCTTTGGGTCGTAGTGGCCGTGGTGGTTCTCCTGGTTCGAGTCGTAGCTGCGGTGGCTGTGGTAGTAGCGGCCCTGGTGCTTTTGGTTTCGGTATCGATCGCTTTCTTAGCACCAGCCGACTTTGATGCGGTGGTCGTTGTAGCAGCTCTGCTTCGCGTCGAAGTTGCTGCTGCGGCTTTCCGAGGAGCCATTGTAAACAAAGGCTGCGAGCGAGGCGCCGGTCGAGTAGTCGCAAGAATAAAGTAAAAAATGAGAATATTCCAGTAATTGATAACCACAGCTTCACAAGCAAGCAGTGAGCGAGGTGAAGATGATAATGTTTGGATGGACAGGAAGAGAGGACTTTTGTGTCTGCTTGTTGGGCTTTTTGTTTTTTTTTTATTTTGAGAAAGTTGAAAGCACACGCTTAGCTCATCACACAACCGGCATTGAGCACCACCAGCCATTATTGACACAACAATGAGATGAATGGCAGGTGTTGTTAGATTGTTGGATGAATATCCTATTCTCAGTCAATTCGGTCCTGTAAATGCAACTGACACAATATATGCCCTGCCGGTGTTGGACATTTGGCTCAACAGCAGTCCGCATGTCAGCCACATCAGAACGGATATTGGGCCAGCGCATGGAAGAAGAGCCGATGATGGCAGCTTCAATCATCATTTGAACATTATAGAGAAATTGATCTGGCAAGATACAGGCAGGAGAATATGTATTGTCCTTCGGATAACTCCCCCTTGCCATCAGAACCATCAGAGCCACTTTAGCAACACCAACTCCATCCACCCGCTGTTAAGACTTTGATAAACCATCGCCTGCAATTTTCAATCCAAATCACTGGCATTGCTGAATCAAAACTCCATATCATCTTCTCCCGGGAACCCATTTTTCCTCCTCCACGCCTCGGTATGGATCTTCCCCGCATCGTTATACCGGTGCCGAAGCTCGTACCGTATAAATTCGGAGACGAACCACCACCCACTGATCTCATTTGTAATCTTCAAGAAGCATTGGATGTCGTTTTCTAACCCTGCACATTATGACCGGTCGCCCAGCAGATCTCCCCAAGTTTTCCGACCTCCCCCTGAATAAGGATGACCCGCCACACTCAGCATGGGGTCTCTACGGCAAAGATGACCAGCTGGGGTTTCTAAACAGGCAGACAAATGAGGTTGTCAAAGAGGCGGCGGGTGAGATTCAAACCGGAGTTAGGTATGTCAGGACACAATATCTGGTCCTTACGGTTGCACGAACATTGCAATGATATTTCATTCTACCTCCTCTTTTTCATAAAAGTTTGGCTGTCTGGATAATTATATAAACTGCTCTAGATATTCTATTGGTTTTTTTCCTCATGCTCTTCTGGATATATCGTGTTCGTACTAGGCTCTCTTGCATGAGCATGGCTAATCTAGTGCAGGGTCTCTATGAATTGGCCCCTGGATGCCCAAAGCGACCTCCCCTTCTTTGGGCGACAGATCTTTGAGAAAAAGATCGTCCAAAGGGCCCCACGCATCGTGTATGATGATGTGTGGACGTTCAACACTCAGAGTAGCAGCCAATGTAAGCCGTGTTTTTAAGCGTTGACACTGACGTTTACCCGGTGGTGTGCCCTTTTGTAAATCCGGTTATCTGACGAGTTCCGCACCTTCAAGGGGATGGCCTGCGTCATGTCGCGTATCAAAAAGAGAAAAAATTCTATAACGGAGTCACCCAGGAGGATATCGTCGGACCCAACAAGAACAATGCCAATGGGGTGCAAGGTTTGTTCATGATGCCTCGACTGCTCCCAAAGACCTTGTCAGCTAACGCCGTTCAGCTTGGGCGGAAAAGGGCATCGTCGGCCGTGGCGTCCTCCTGGACTACCATAAGTGGCGTGTAGAGAACAATATCCCCATCGACGTCTTCAAGTACAGCCCCATCCCACTCAAGCATCTTAAGGCGGTAGCAGAATCGCAGGGAACTGAAATAAAGTTCGGAGATATTCTATTCATTCGCGTTGGTATGTTGTTTATACCAGATGCATGGCCATCACAAAATACGCCCGGTTGACAATAAAATAGGGTATATGGTTGAATTTAACAAGCTTTCCATGGCGCAGTTAACTGAACTTGCAAAACAAACAAGCCCCCAACTCATCGGCGTCGAGCAAACAGAGGATATGCTGGAATGGATCTGGGAGAACTTCTCAGCGGTTGCTGGGGACCATCCAGCCTTTGAAGCTTACCGTATGATCTTCCACCCTTGAATGTTGCTTTCGGCCAAAACTCCATGCTGACCTCCCATCAGCACCTCCTGAGCATTTGAAATTGCACGAAGTTCTGCTGGCCGGGTGGGGTTGCCCCATCGGTGAACTCTTCGACTTGGAGAAACTGGCAGAAGAATGCGAAAAGCAAAAGCGGTGGTCGTTCTTCGTTACAAGCGAGGTGTGCAATGTCCCTGGAGGTGTTGCAAGGTGAGTTAAATTATATCTGAATTTTGCGTGTATTTCGCTGACGTAAAACCAGTCCGCCTAATATCCTGGCGATATTCTAGGCGAACCAGCACGTTGGATCCCCTTTATTCCCCTGTGAGCCCTAGGGCAGCATCTTCGATACCCGGAAGGATTGGAGTCGGCGGAGGGGTCCGCACTTTGCTGCACATAATCATGTCTTGCCCCAGGGGGTGCCATTTCACTTCTTTCGGTTTGAGTGCTATTTTCGGCTTACCGTAATCATCTCTTTTTGAATCCGGAGCAACAGCAACGCCTCCGCGGCCCAAGTAGGTCGGTGCCACGGTTACAATAACCGAGTCAATGAAATCCTCATATTCTGGATTGAGCAATTCACTGAGCACTACTCCACCACCCTCAACCATAACGCTGCTGATGCCTTCAGCAGCCAAAGCGCCAAATATTGTAGACCATCGTAACCGCCATGCGGGATTGAACTCCGCAATCCGCAAAAAGTCTCCTCCATGCTTCTTGAGAAGTAAAATTCGGTCAGCTGGGATATTGGCACCCGGTGATACCACAATCCACGGGCCTTTTCCTTTTCCAGCTAACGCAGATTGCAGCATCCGACATTCCGGATTAAAAGTCCAGCGTCCCGTCGGGTCTACTATAACTGGCCGTGGTTGCCACATCTTCCCTAAGCCTCCATAACCCCCAGCGCCTTCCAAGCGGCAGTTCAGCCCAGGATTGTCTGCAAGGGCGGTTCCGACTCCAACTAGTATTGCATCGTGGCGCGACCGAAGATAATGGGTCATCAGTTTGGATTCAGGCCCCGATAGTGCTGTCTGCACACCCGGCGCTAAGGATATCTTGCCGTCCATGGATTGGGCATAGGTAAGTGTAACGTGGGGGAACTTGCGATTCTCCCCCCGGTTAGGGAGGTAAGGTTCTAGAAAATCCAAGGGAAACTGTGGAAATGGGAGGGCGTCCGGCGCGTGGGATGTCAATGTTAGTTTAGGTTGTGACGTGATTTGTGGAATGCCCTGGCGTGATGGGCGAGAGCCAATCTTATAGACTCCGATGCCGTTTTGGAACAGGTAGCCTTGATGTGTTTTCATTTCCGCGTTAGGGTTTGCAGAGCGCCATTTCGCGCATATATTGCGCACATCGACTCCGGACAGGAACTTTCCGCCGATCGCAGCTAAGACGTCCGGATCTTCACGGAACTTCGCCAGTATAGAGGCGGGAATGTATGCTTTCTCCGCTTCCTGCTTCACAAATGACAATAGACCGGAATTTCGTTTGACTTTGTCCATATGATCCAAATCATGTGAATGTTTCGGAGCGCAATTGGTCTGACGGGAGATTGTAACAGACGCAAATGCGCCCTCTGTCCTGACGACCTTGATCTGAAATGAACACGTCGGCCCCTCCCGGGATGCTCGATGCCGCTTTTTCCCCTCTGGGTACGGCTGGCTTTGAGCCTTGTCTTCATTGCGCCTCCCGGGCTGCTTGCGTTGTCTACAAGAGTAGTAATCTGAGGTCGCGGACTTATCCCGCGTGGTGCTCGTTCGCTGCTTCACCCAGACGTTATCAATGAACGGCCAATAGAGGCTATACTCCTCCAGGCTCAGCTCGATGGGCTGTCGCAATTCAAACATCTCGTCTCTTATCCGCGCAATGTTCGGGGGAGCTTGGTATGGTCTCGCGCTATCTGCATCTGTCGCTTCGCGAACCACTAAACCTGTTTGCGCAGCTTCTTCGGGCGTCGAGTTTGCGGTTTGTTGGCCGGCGGTCCCGTCTTGAACTTCCGCGGAGAGCTGAGCTTGTATATCATTCTGTAGCCGGGAGTCTTCGTCGCCGGGGGTATCTCCATCGACTGGGGAGTTATTCTCCATTTCCACGTCGCCATCGGTCGTGGGTAAGTCTGTTTTCAAGTCCTGTTCTGTGCTGACGACTGCTTCCATCTCTAGCGCTCAAAGTCGGGACTGAGGGTCTAAATTCTCCGACGAGGCGCATACGAGAAGTATGGTGGTAGTGTATGAAGCAGTGAAGACTCTAGATATTAGCTTATCCGAGGAATGTATATAAAGTAAGCCTGAATTTACCATCAGCATTGAGCTCAGCGACTTGATGGATGCGAGATAGCAAGGCCTCGTTACTGTGGGCAGCCCTAGCACGGCCTAAACTGCTTATTAATACACTGCGACCACGATCTCTGCTGAGTAAGCCGCCCTGGGCAAATCGGCTTTTAGACCGCCGGCGAACCCTTTGATATCGCAACTTGCCTATACTTAGACGATGTAGAGATTGTGGTCGACCTGCTTTAGAGCAGAAAATGTTATTGTTTCTTCTTAATCTTGATGAAAAATGGTCTAAATGATTACCCTCCGGATTACCTATTTTGTAGCATGTATGTAATATCTGTTGTGTTCTAAGCGAGCTGGTATTATTCAAATCAAGCCGAGTGGAAATTAAACAAGCGCCAGGCACTACAAGACCGACATATCTCCTGCAGCTTTTGCCAATGCTTCATACACCCCAGGCAGCAATTTTAACCTAATCATACCGGCAAACACCATCAAGTCTTTGGCCATCCCCAGAAGCTGGTCCGCCAGACCTTGTCGCATATCATTCTCGTACACTCCGTGTTGTAGTCTTTCGCGCTCCCGACTGATACATGTGATACTCCACATGATGAGATGGCCACCGTTCCGTGCGATAACCGGCGGTAGCGCGGAGAATGACTGGGTTGCGCTTCGAATGTACGGGAGCGATCCCCGCGCGTTTAGAGGTAATATCTGCAGATCATTGAGCTCCTGCAAAGTGAATTAGTATCGTTGTCGAGAACTTTTCTTAGAATGTGCAAAGACTCACATCGAGCGCTTGAGCCCATTTTCCCGCTTCCACTTTTCTCTTCGCATCCATCATGCGAAGCAATATCCCGCATGCTTCGCGGTTAGTAGGATGAATCTGTTGATAGTACATTGCATTCGTATTGTAGAGTCCAATCATATTCCGTGCAAGGACCACAGGGTCTTCCACGGAAGTGAGGCTGAAGCTGCTACCGGCGTCAGTGGTGTCACTTTGTTGTCCTGCACTAGGTTTTGCTTGGTGAACTAGGCTTCCCAGATTCACAGCTACCGCATCTGAAAGGGCCCTGTTGAGGATCACGATAACATTATCATAATCTTCAGCCAAGTGATACAAGAGTACGGCATCAGCAGTAAGGCCTTTATCATCGGCGACTGCGGCAGCTTGGGTCGTGATGGTTTTGAGAAACTCTTCCTGGTTATCGAGTTTGATCAATTTCAGGCGCTGTTCAATTGCGCCTTTGATCCTCGTGCCATCTGATTTGACGTCTCCAAGCAATTTGGCAAAGTCCCGAGTTTCCAAAATAAACTCTCGCAATGCTTCGTGGCACACGGACGCTTGCGATTTCCCAAGCTCGCCTGGAAGATCCGCATTGAGGCAGATCAAAGTGAAATAGTCAACAGCAGCTTCAACATTTCCTGCCCGGAACTCTCGGGTATATTGAGTGATGAGGAATGCAAAGTTGATCTGAGGAAGCTGTTTGGTGGTAAAAGACACTACAAAGGCGTTAGGCAAACCGGCAGCCAATTTCGGAAGAAAAGTAACCGAAAACTTACATAGCTCTTCACCAGAGGTGTAAAAATCTGACACGCGAAGTAGACCATAATAATCCAAGGCGATTCCGAAATGGACCGCATTAATGGGTGCATAGTTTCCAAGATAAGAGACCGCATGTTCAAACATGCCGCCCAAAATTTGCAGCAAGAAGAAAGTTCCATAGCCGCCAGCAGCCGCCTCTTGGCCTTTGACGAATATCCTCTGTCCGATTTCTGAGATATCGTTCTGGATTTCTTGCAAGCCAAAGACATCACCTGCTACCTCCTCAGCACGGCTACTTTCTCGGGCTAATGTAAACTGTAGCCACATCCAATCCTCCACTCCTTGGCTCATTCCTTCAAGTCGCCTTTGAGTAAGGTCGCATCGGCCAATTATCTTATAACATGCCATCCCGATACGGGTCAACGGTATTTTTCGGGGGGCATTTCGAAGACGCTGTTGATACTCTCCATTAATCTTTTGCTGTAAATCTCTGGGAAGCCGTCGCTGTTGGGCATAAGTCGTCATATAAGTAACGAATTTGTAGTCCAAAGATCGGAACCCCGGGTCCTTGCTGACGTATTCAGCGGCTTCTGGAATAAAGCCACAGCGGAGAAGATAGAATATAAGCACCCAGCAATAATCCTGGTCCACCATTTGCAATTCTATTCCGTCAGGGGCAAGGTCCTTTCTCGCGGCCTTTAGGCGAATGTAGGCCCGAATTTTGTTGGTTATGGATGGGACCCCGCCCAATTGAGCTTCTCTTGGATTTTTCGCAACAGCGTTCTCTACCTCTTTATAAAATGCGTTCTCTAGATATTTCCTAGAGCCCCTCAACAATTCTCTTCCTCATACGGGATCGATTCATTGGAATTAGAGTTCTCATTCAAATAGTCTTGTGCAAAATTGGCGCTCCTGGATTGCGCCTGGCTCTGCAAAATAGACTATGTTTGGATCTTCATTCGTAATGCTTATCAACGTTTGATAAGCTTCGAAAAGCTGGCGAGGAACCTAAATAATATGTTAAAACCGTTAAAAATGGGACACTGTTGGAATGAACTCACGTCTGATGCGGAAAGCTTTTCAGTCTCAGCAAACTCATGAAGAATTGGGAATGCTTTCTCCTGTTGCCTTGTTTCATTCAAACGTTGGACCTTTGTCGCAAAATGACCCATTTTCTCTCGCAAGAAACGTGTATCTGCGGCGTGTGCACTTGATGCTCCAGGCGAGAAAATCTGCATAGCATTGCCGCTACCGGTAGTAGACCCAATGACTGACTTTGAAAGCGCCGAACGTCCAAATACGCTCCTTCTCGTGCTGGCCGTGGGTCGCTGTCCTAGATCCCCTCCAAACCTAACGCCCTTGGTTGTCCCGAAGGCCCCGCTCTCGCGCCTAGTGGCTCCTAAATCATCGCCTCCCGTGTCACCTCTAGGAGCTAAGCCGAAATGCTCATAAATCTTCTGTCGTTGTTCATCCCAGTTTAAGTTGACTTTTTCCTCCAAAAACGCGTCGAAATCTCGCCGGACTCGAGCAAAACTATCGGCGATCATCGCCTCCCGACCACGTTGTTGTATCCGACGTAAGAATTTTTGATTATCAGGGTCAAATGGTTCGTCGTCTTTCGTTGTAGTAGGTGCTGGGCCATGCGTGTCAAACTCCCTTAGATCGTGTAAAACCTGCCCAGGGGAAATCCCTGACGCCGTGAGGGAGTAGTGTCTATAAGCACAGTGGGCAAGTAGGTTAGTAGCCATATTTATCTAGGCGTTCACGCAGTGGTTAACTCACGGTTTGGCCTCAGCTCCATGCGCGGCAGTTTCTCTACCCCCCAAGCCACGGGCAGTTCTTCGAATATCATCCAGGCCCAATTGTAAATTTGGAAGCTCTACTTGAGTAGTGGTCTTAAGGCTCGATGGGTGAGGCCGCTTTTTCCCCCGCTCCAACAAGCTGCTAAAGTAGGCGGGCTTCGTGGGCTGGGTGGACAAAACAGACTGGCTGGCAGCAGTGAATGGTGCTTGCTGACCTGGCTGAGGCTGAGTTCCTTGTGCAAAAAGCGATTGTCCGGGGGCTGTTAAGCCAAAAGAGGGTTGAGTAGCTGGAACATTGGTTCCTGTGGCAGTTGAGTTCGTAGCGGAATAAATGCTGGCACTGGCGGTGGGTTGCGCTGTAATACTGGCTCCAAGCCCAGAATCAGTATTTGCAGTCGCAAATGGTGACGGTCGGCTTGGTTGCGGTGCGTTTGGACTTTCGAATAGCGGTCGTCTCCCAGCTTGAGTGTTCGTCGTGCTTGAGAAAAGGGAGCCGGCTAGAGGGGATTGGCCAAACATGGTGGCCGCTAATCGAATCAATGACTGTATCCAGTAGTTTAGAAAGACCCTTTGGACTAAATCAAAAGAAAGTACTGTCCAGGAATGTCGAGTGAGCCAGCAGTCGTTTTCTTTCGCATCCAATGTGTCAAAGACAGCTTGGTTGAACATTTCGAATGTTTACTGGACGAAGGTTTAGGTAACTCTATGCTGTGACGGAATAACCTTTCGCCGAATAGCTGCCTACCTGTGGACCTTCTCCGTAACTAGCCCTGCAAATTGCTTTCCGGCGCACCATTAACCACCACATGCATTGCATCTATATCACCATTTCCTACCGAAGTACGACTTTAGATCCAATTCGCTTGGGATAATACGAAATCATGACTGTTTTTCAGGCAAAACGCTTCAGGCCGTCGGGATCCGCGGCCTCAAGTCTCGGCGAGTGCATCGGCCAGATGTATCGGGCACGTTTGTCAAAACACCCATTTCTGCTCTTCGGCCTCCCCTTCATGAGTGTCATGGTTGCCGCCTCATTTGTTTTAACTCCCGCGACTGCTTTACGGTACGAAAGGCATGACCGAAAAGTCCAACAAGTTGGCGAACAAGAAGCAATGTCCCTCGGAATCAAGGGTCCAGATGGTGATTCGGAAAATCAGATCAAAATGAATCCTCGGAGAAGAGTTTTGGGTAATGAAAAAGAGGAGTATTACGTATGTCACGCATGCAAGGCTATTGAGCACAAGATGAAATGCTAATGTTCAATTCTCTTGCAGAGATTAATGGCCAAAGACCTCGATAATTGGGAACAAAAGCGAGTGCAACGATGGAAGGGAGAGCCCGATGGCAGGCTCAGTTGATCTGGGGCTCTGCTTCAGATCTTGTTGCTTGCTACCCGCTACTCCGGACGCTTCTGTTTATATGATGTGTAGCGGGCGCCTTGCGAGTACAAGATTGTCTCGCACTCAAAGCGGCAGCCATTCGGATAATTTACCTACCATTGCCGAGATTCATGTCTACCATTCATGGCGCTACTCGCGGTATTATACAAACACAAAATCGTCCCCTCCAATCAAATCGGTTAGGTTCTTATGTTTGAGCAAGCCCTACTCCGTACGTGAAGTTAAGTTCCATTAAATTGGAAATAGCCGACTATACCGTGCCGGATATAGGTTGGTTTGTGTGTGAAAGCAAAGTCGATGAGATGGCTCTTCAACCCGCTTAACAACTGAGTTTTAACCGACAAGATAACCCACAGCTTTTCGTTGGTTGGGTTTCTAAGTTATTCAATTCGTTATGCTTTCGATGGAGGTTTGAGAAGTTTGGTCCGTTCGGACATTGTCGGTAGAAGGTGAAGATGATTTCCCACCCCCGGTCCATGCCCATGCCAAGGGACTGGGGGCAAGAATATAAATAGTCTGGTATTTCCAGAGAGCTAATAAATAAACGATTTGATTCTTAATCTTCGAACGGGGAGGGGATAGAAAGGTCGAAGCGAAACAAAAAAGAAAACCAGTAGACCAACCGGGATTCGAACCCGGGACCCGTCCATGGCATGAGTATCGTGCCACGAAAAGTGAACTTACGGCAGGAGACACATAAGTGGACAACGCTAACCACTGCGCCACTGGTCTAAGATTGTCCAAAATTGCACCTCTTTTGCTTCATGAATGAAACAAGCAAATTTCCGGCTCGGTTCTATTTTCTTCCTTTTCAACCATCGAAGGCCGCTGTCCATCCCAACATCCATCTGCCCGAACATGCAGCCTGTCGATCATGCAAAATTTTTTATGGGTTGTTCTTCGATTACTCCACATTTTCCTATGAGTTGGCGGACTATCAAGTGCACACGCTCGAAGAGTCAACCATGTCACCGCTGGGATGGACTTGCTGCAGTATCAAAGGGTTTTCTCGCGCCTACAGTCTTCCTCAGGATTTTGACCCTCAAAACAGGAAAATCATATTGCTAATTCCTCTTTTTCATTTCATTTTCTTTGGGGGGACGTATGGTGCTTTTTCTTGTAATCCCTCAAGTCGGCCCATGGAGAGAGTATGGCTTCATCCTAAGCTGATGAAACCTGGTATTCATTATCAACCTCGAGTTGGGGACGTCAATCAGGCTCCAAAAAGCCGTTATCAGCAACCTTGCCATTTACTCCGGGCGTTTTCCAAGATTCCAAGTGCTCTGCAGAACACAAACAAAAGGATGAGTGCTGGACAGGAAGGCAGGCTCGGAACAGCACAACAAGAGATATCTGACCAAGAATCCTGAGAAGTTGAAGTTCCAACGCTGTCAACCAGGCTTGACTCTGCTTGAGCCATGCTCATCATTAATGTTTGGATTACATGTTGTGAACAGTTACCCTACTAACTGGTCCTATTTGATAAAGTAGGAAGCTGTTACAGTTCACTTTGCGACACATGGTTTTGGAGCTATGCACACAGATTTATGTTAGAGTTCCAGAGTATTGGCTGTATAGGGAAAGAGAAGTCTTTCAGAGGCTCTAGACTTGGTAGATTTGCTGCAGGCTTGAAGATGAAAGCATACACTCACAATAATAACTGATTTATTGTTGTCCCATTCTTTGTTGCACAGCATATCAATGGCGTCATTCTAGCCTTGAGAAATCACCTCTGCCCGCGAGGAAGCACCTACGGATCTTTTTCATGTGCGCTGGTGATATCAAGAACCTACCCATGACTTCGGGCCCATTGCTATGGGGAAAAGAGGGCATCACAGACAACAGGCACATTTCCCCGCGGGGGAATCTCTCGAGTCATTCACATCTGGAAGGGGTGGGGACGGGGCAACGCCGTGTTATCGTCATGGGGTCAACCAGCACAAGGACCGAAATTCTCCGTCCTTTCACCATTGTCGGAACCGAATCGCCATGGACAGGAATTGCCAGCAATGACGACACACTGGGACAAACTTCCGATTACTAACAGCGTATCCCCCTGATTATGTAACCCGACCACCCAAGGCCCTTTCGACGTCCTTCGCTCCCCTTTCGCATTTCCCTGCCGAAAATCTCTTTTGCTGCCCGTCAACTTCGCTTTGTCGCTGTGGGCTGTTGGTTCATAAATTGTCGCACGATCTGAAACTTTACTCCGTGGTCTTCTCTGGCCTCACGTCTCTGCCTTTCGAGCAGAGAGTCTCGAAAGAGTATTACGGAGGGGACTTGTTCTTCTCCTTCCACAGACTTTGATCCGTAAGTTGAAGCACGCATCGTCAAAGAGCGAGGAGAACGGGTGACCGCAAGTATGGCTCCTGAATGACAACAGTGGCCATTCCTGGTATGACAGTCTTCTCCTTCTCCTCGCTGTCTTCACGTCGATTTCCTGGGTTCCTGCGTCCCGAATGCCAGGCGGTTGGTGGTTGGTGGTTGTTCATAGTGGCGACAGTGGCCAGGCCTGGCTATCCAGCGCAACTTTCGGCATCACGTCATAAGCGGCCCCGATCCTGAGCGACCGCTAACTTCCACGCCCGCACCACACCACCAACTTGCTATACACACAACATCATTCATAATTTTTGATTCATTGAACTCTTAGCCGTGGCAAGCTATCGCCTGTCTTGTTTCGTCCCTTTATAACTCTTAGCCTCTCGTTGATCTTCCTTTGCTAATCGACATACTCCAGTCCATCAGTCCTCCCTGTCTTTTGACGTGTCGTCCAAGTCCCCCCTGCCCGTCACGCAAGACCTTCCGCCCCTGGAAACAAAAGCAAAGAGACTTGTGCTGGCTTGTAAGTCAGCCTGGTCGCGACTGTCCATCACCAGCTTAAAACGATTGGCCATCTCTTTCTGAAACAGGATCCCTGATATCTGACCCCCTCCTTCAGGCCCATTCGACCTGGAGTCTAGGCCCAGCCTCACCTGACTTCTGGCAATCAGTCCATACGAGATTGAAAAATCAGGTTAATACTCCACTGCGGTTAGCTGTCGAGGGGAAATATGGCGACGGGATTAATATCCCACCTGCATTATATTTTTCCCTAAGGAAAGTTGTCGGAAACGGCGTTTGTATCAGTTGCCCAGCATGTCTACAACTACCGTTTCAATGCCTTCACCATCAGGATCATGGAGCCCTGGAGGCCGGCCTTCAACCACTCCTGGCGGAAGACCAGAAGCCGCCACCCCTCCTCCTTCCGCAGGCCAGGTCGCCACTCCTTTCTTCAGTGGAACAAAATTGGATCAACAACAGTTCCGGGATGCAAGTCCTAGCTATTTCAATATCGCCAGCAATGCTACAATACATGTCCATTTACCCCAACAAATATCTCGGGACACCCCCTCACTAGGTCATCCCGGTGTTTATGGGAAGGGTTCAAGGCCCTTTCCATCCATGCCAGGACCGGACTCACCGACCCGATGGGAAGGGCCAAATCTACTCCCTGCCAGTTGGCAAAGCTCGAATTTATTGTCCACACAGCACAACGATGGTGGGAAGCTCACGAGCCTAGCTACCACGCCGTTTGGCAGTGATCCTGCGCGGAGTTGGAATCCCGAGTCCGAAAATCCCAACAGCGGAGTGACAACAGAAAGGCCAAGGCTGCTTCAGAAAGAAGGTCCGCCGCTAATGTCTCCGATACGACGTTCTTTCGGGCCACCACAGTCAGCAATCCCCACGATTCGCGCCCCAGATCCCGCCCCAATTCATATATCTAATCGCGGCAACCTTTCTACCTCGTCTACACCATCGCTGCCCTCCTTCAGTCCTAGTGGACCACGCCTTCAACGGTGTGAAACCTCACCGGCGTCTGTCGATGATGGCGGCGTAAAAATGATTTCGAGTCAGACCTGCAAAGATTTACTGCTTTGCCATGCTAGTGTGACATTGATATTGGATGTACGCCCTTACCCGCAGTTTTCCGAAGGTAGAATCAAAGGGTCCTTGAATTTGTGCATTCCTACGACTCTACTCAAAAGGCCGTCTTTTAATACAGAAAAGATTAAAGATACTCTTGCAGGTGATGAGAAAAGGAAATTCACCACATGGCCAAATAGAACCAACATTATTGTGTATGATGCTGGCACTTCACTACTCAAGGATGCATCGATGTTAGTGAATGTTCTTAAAAAATTCACAAACGAAGGTTGGAAGGGTGAGCCTTTAATTTTGCGAGGAGGTTTCTTGCAGTTTTCTGCACAGTTCCCTGATTTGATTGAGAAGGGGAAAGATCCTGGTGCTGCACCGTCGACGAGGCAGCCTTTATCTATTGGATTGACGTTGCCCGGAGCCCCATCTATATCTGGCGGGTGTTTTATTCCTCAATCTACACACTCAGCCAACCCGATGTATAGCAACATTCGCCAGAATACAGAGTTGGTGGATGGCGTTGGACAAATTCCTGTCAAATTACCGCGTTCCCTGACAGAGCAAGCAAGGCGATCATTACCTCTGTGGCTCTCGAATGCGTCAGACAGTCGCGATCGTGGCAAGTTGCTATCCGCCAAATTTCTAAATATCGAAAAAGCGGAAAAGGCCCGCATGGAGGAAGCATTGTCGGATCCCAAGACATACAGCTCCAATAACAACCCAAAGGCATCATATCGCATCGCAGGAATTGAAAAGGGTAGTAAGAACCGATATAACAACATTTATCCTTGGGAGCATTGCCGTGTTAAATTAGGGGCTGAGGGACAAGGTAGCTGCGACTATATCAACGCCAGTTATGTGAAAGCTACTCGGTCGAATAAGCTTTACATTGCTACTCAAGCTCCTCTTCCCAGCACATTCAATGTGAGTACAAACCGTGACCATCGTTAGCTCCACGGCTAGATAACTAACAATCGGACTTAGGATTTTTGGCACGTCGTTTGGGAACAGGATTCCCGGTTAATTCTAATGTTGACCGCGGAATCCGAAGGTCCACAGGTCAAGTGCCACCCCTATTGGAAATCGGCGACCTACGGTCCCTTGCAGGTGACGATGATGAGCGAATACAAAGTTCCTCTAGAAGCCAAACAGACTTCACCACTTTCTCCCAACAAACGAACCCACAGTCGACGAGAATCTACAGGACCCCACCCGCCAGACAACCTGTACATGATTATTCGGCACCTTACATTGATCCACACCTCGAAACCATTTGAGCCCATGCGAGAGGTGACGCAGTTGCAGTATTCAAACTGGCCAGATTTTGGCACTGCCCAGCCAGGTCATCTGCTTCGGGTCATTGAAGAAGCAAACAAGCTCTCCGACGCCAGTAATGGTAGACGACCAGGGTTCTCTCTCTCTGAGCCGGAGTCCCCTAATCCACGCAAAATCATTGTTCACTGCAGCGCAGGGTGTGGCCGAACCGGGACATTCTGCACGGTGGACAGCGTCCTTGACATGCTTAAACGGCAAAAGAAGCGTGCTCGAGGCGAGGCTGATTGGGTCTATCGTGATGATATCGACCTGATCGCCAGCACAGTCGAAGACTTCCGGTGCCAGCGACTAAGCATGGTGCAGAGCTTGAAGCAGTTTGTATTATGCTATGAAACTATTCTAGAATGGCTGGCGTCCCAGCCCGAATATAAAGACCACAACTGATAAACCGTCAGGCAGTGTTGACTTAACATGATATTACTTCACCTCAAGGGCATCTTTTGTCCTTGGGGGAAGTGGAGAGAAGGAATCGAACCCACTATGACTATGAAGATGTTGGCCGAGGCTACAGAGGTTCACAGACTTCCCCTGTAGCTCACAGCGCCAACTCGAATTGGCAGAAACGCCTGATGACAAGATAGCATTGATTGATGACCTGATGAAACTAGATTTCCTATCGGTTTCCGCATTGGTGCGTTTTCTGGGCTTTTATTTTGTTTTTTCAGCTGGTTAAAACAGATCGTCTGGTTTCGTATTAGTTTATCTATATAGCTTAGGTTTCAGGGAGTTGACTGTTTTGAATACACGTCATTCAGTCGGATTCAGCAATTTCCGCCTCTTCTGTAGAATCGAAAGATCAAAGCATCTATTTGTCCAGACAGTCTCGCATCAGGGCTGCCTGCTGCCTTGCACTCTTGAGGCGCGCTGGGGCTGGGCGACCCAATCACACCACCAGACGGTGTCTGCCTGTGAACATCGCCTCGCGAGCGTGAGGAATATAAAAAGCGCCACGCCTGCCAACGAGGCCTTTTGGACCAGGCCTCTCACTTGAAAACACTCTTTGCAATTTGCACGTAAATTCGAATTGCTACCATGTATCAGCCGGGAAACTTGGAGCTGCTTGACCTCCCCGCAGAGCTGCTCCAGCTGATTCTGCTGCATTGCTCGACTCCAAGCTTTCTTCAACTATCACGAACGTGCCGCACAATCTACGACCTCGCTTCGTCGTGTCGCGAGGTAGTCTTTACCCACCTGAGGAAAACCCCCGGCCTCCAAACATCCCTCGACTCCCTGTCGACCGAGGAATTGTTTCTCATCCTCAAAGCAAGAACCGCAGAGCACCTGTACGGCGCCAACTTCCACTCCGACCTGACCAATTATATCTTCAAGACCGGCATCATCGACAACTGCGCCTCTGCGCTGCGTGAGGGCAAAGATCCCAATGCTGCGCTAGTCGAAAAGGGCGGGAGTCGCGTGCTGCTGTACCACATCCAGTCTGGAGAGGCCAAGCTACGGAACATCCTCGAGGCGCCCTACGAACGCCCTGGACGCGTGAAGATCGTCAAAGCGGTCTTTTGCAGAGACGGATCTGTCGCGGTACTGCAGAAATATGAACCGATCCAGCTGCCCGGCGAGGCCGAAACGGAACGCGTGCACCCGTTCGTGGAAGAGGCGACTAGGCCGTTCAAGACCGCTGGTTATCATTTGATCATTTATCACCACGCGTCGGAGCCGGCGAAAGTGCCACGAGTTACGTTCGCGGCGTTTAGGGATGTGCAAGGCTATCACCCAACTGCCGTGGATGTTTGGGATTTATCAACGGTTGCGATAGCGTGGGAACATGACATCGTCTATGCTGATAGGATGATCCTTTTACATACTATACCAGTTCACGGCGATGTTACAGAAGACCCTGCGAATATCTGTAAGTAGACTTCCGAGTCCCCATTCCCGTCCAGTTATATTTTCTCAGCGGAGTATTCAAAACTAACATGCAAGTAGTTTTAACTTATCAATCAACACGGCTCACGTCGGAATCCGAGCTTGGGGTTATTCCATCTATTGTTCGGATCGATCTGAATGATCACGCAAGCCAGGTTCTTTATTATCAGTCATCGACCACGTTATACAACAGATATGTGAATTTGCCTGCTCCAAACTCTACAAGCCCGGAATCACTCCACTGGACACGCAATGTTTGTAATGCCAGCTTCAATCAAAGATTCATCCCATTCTCGATTGGTGTCCCGTTTTATTGCACCCACGAGACGCGGCCACAGAACAACCGTGACTACTGCCACTGGAAATACCTTGCTCTCGGCATCGGAACCCATCCCGTGGAGAAAAGGGACGGTTGCGTGCTTGCTCCGCTCCGAAGCCATCTGCCCGCGCTAATCGCTGTGGGCACGTTCCAAACCTCGACCGGGGCAGACGTTTCAACCGGTGGCCCGTCGTCGCTCGCCTATGGGGCTATCAGAAGCGCAACGACTCCCTTTCCGGAGTCGTCGCCACATCTCCCAGAGGGAAGCGTATCGCAATCGCAAACTGGAATGTGGTCTACGTGTGGGCTTTGAATCCCAGAGTCATCCTCGAGGGCGATCAGGGCGATGAGTGGGAGTACTATCCGCAGCATATGAAATCGGCGGATGGCGTAGTCGAGTTAAAGCCTGTGATCCTCCAGCCTGGGGCGGTGTGTTTTAGTCTGCAATTTTCGCGGTCTGAGGATGAGCTGATTGCACTGACGGATAAGGGGTTGATGAAATGGGATCTTGGACCGGCTGGGAGGGGATTCAAGGTAAAGAAGTTGCTGGACATGGAAGATAAGGTTGAAGCGGGTGAGATGAGTAGAGACTCTGCTGGATTAGAGGATGATGCAAGATCTCAAGACTTTGGAGTGGACGGAGTGTAGTACTTCAACTGGCTGAGTTCGAAAAAGGATAAAAGTCAGGACAAAGTACAGTATACTGGTTGGATTCTTTTTGAGCTGTCTTTTTAGCATCGTTACGGTTACCATGGAAACACTGCTCTTCCCAAACATGCCGGCCGCATCATGTCTATCCATGGGCGAATACCCGGAGAACTCCGGCGGGAGTCCCCTTTTAAAACCACTGGGCTGCCTTGGAAAACTTTTCACCTTCTGGCTCGGAGTCTTTGCTGCCATATTTTCCTTCATACCCTCAGCTCTTTGGGCCCTTGCTACGATGGAATCCCATGCCAATGATCTGCAGCCGCAGATTCTCCTACAATCAAAAGACCATGGCGAATTACTCAACGTGATTGACCTGCTTCGATCTCAAGGAGTCAGTCGTTACGTTCATCTACCTCAACTCATCGTTTGCGGTGACCAGTCGTCGGGGAAGAGCTCCGTTTTGGAAGCTGTCTCTGGAATCAGATTCCCTGCCAAGGAGAATCTCTGCACGCAATTCGCAACTGAACTTATCTTACGCCGAGCAGCTGAAGAAAAGGTGACTGTGGAAATCATACCTGGGGCAGAGAGGTCGGAGGAGGAGAAGAAAAAGTTGGCGGCATTCAGTGCACCTATTGCACACACTGAAGATGTCCCTTCGATTATCGAGGCTGCAAAGAAAGTGATGGGCCTTGATACCGACATGAAATCTATCAGCGATGATATTCTTCGAGTGGAAATCTGCGGACCCCGTCAATCACATCTAACTCTTGTTGACTTGCCAGGAGTCGTTCACTCCGAGACACGCCAGCATTCGACACTCGACGTCGCGATGATATCGTCGCTTGTGAACTCATACATGGCCAACCGTCGCAGCATCATACTTGCCGTGGTCTCTGCGAGTAATGACCTAGCCGTTCAGGTTGTGACCAAACTTGCACGAAATCATGACCTGGGAGGACGACGGACACTGGGAATTATCACAAAGCCGGATATGCTTCCTGAGGGCTCAGATAACGAACGTGATTTTGTCGCTCTGGCCAGGAACGAAAACGTAGTGTTCCGGCTTGGCTGGCATGTGCTGCGGAACCGTGACTATAAGACAAAAGGATACAGCGCTCAGGAACGGAATGAGCTGGAGAAACAATTTTTCTCTCAAGGGGTGTGGACTGCCCTTCCATCGTCGATCTTGGGTATCGAAGCTTTGAAACCTCGTTTGAGCGCGGTGCTACGGGATCAGATTATCTCTGAGTTGCCGAATTTGACAAAGGATGTGAGCGATGGCATTGCAGGCTGCGAACGAACCCTGGCTAAACTGGGGGAACCGCGGTCGACTAGCCAGGAACAGCGACTGCATCTGGCTCGCGTCAGCCAGACGTTTACTTCTCTGATCCAGGCTGCTATCGACGGGGTTTATAGTCATGATTTCTTCGGCGATGCACGCTCCGTAGGAGACTCCAGCCGTCGCCTACGTGCCGTTGTACGCAATACCTTGACTGATTTCTCATCTGAAATGCGACAAAGGGGACAGAAAACGACCATTGTGGAGGATGGCGTCCAGCCAGAGCCGTTCGCTCTTCCGCCGCAGATCACGAGGACCGATTTTATCAAGGAAGTATGCGAACTGATGAAGCAAAATAGGGCAAGGGAGTTGCCCGGCACTTTTAACCCTCTCGTTATTGGTGACCTATTCTTTGAGCATGCGAGTCGCTGGGACCAGATCGTGCAGAACTATGCCGAGAAGATATTAAAAGCGACCAGGGAATTCTTGAAGGTAGCACTAGCGTACTGCTCGGATGACGCAACGCAACAGGCTCTCATGGTTGAAATAATCGGGCCAGCCATGGAAAAATGTGCGAACCGGCTGAATGATAAAATTGCGGAGATTCTTTGGCCATATACGAAAAGCCACCCGATCACCTATAACCACTATTTCATAGAGAATCTCCAAAAGATTCGCCAAGCACAAACCCATAGCGTCTTAGCCGATAAACTACGCAGCATATTTGGGAGCGGTGGGTTCATAACCGGATCGCACAACGTTGAAGACCTCATCTCGAGCCTGAACAGGGTGACAGAATATGACATGGATCGTTATGCGGCCTCAGAAGCGGTACACTGCATGGAGGCGTACTATAAGGTTAGTAGCTGAAAAAATCCACACAGTTTAAATTGGCCTAACGTACATATTGTAGGTAGCGATGAAAGTTCTCGTGGACAACTTTGCCGTTTTGGCAATTGAGCGATGCGTCCTTGCAGAGCTGCCTAGGATATTTACCCCTGAAGTTGCCCTAACTCTTGACGATAAAGCCCTGGAAACCATTGCGGCAGAAACGGAAGAATCAAAGATTGAGCGAAGGCGTAATTTAGAAAAGCTGGAACGTCTTAGGTCTGGATTGCAGATTCTCACGCGTTTGGCGTTCCATAGAGATCCAGGTTTGTGGATAACTGGCTCGTCTTCTTTTAAACAGATATAATAACACCCTGGCACAGGAAGTTTCGATAGCACAATTGACAATGAACCGTCGGTAAATGGATTGGTCGATAATACACCACCATCGCCCTGTTGTAGCTCATCTCAACTATCGGTTACGGAGCATGAGGTTGTTGAATCTCAACTGACAGAACCTGTGGTTAAAAGCTATTTTGGGGCCGAACAAAGCGCAGAAACACCTTTCAAAAGCGAGGAGCGGACATTTACTCGAGGTTCTGAGCCTAGCCGTAAAAAAAAGGGCAAGAATGTACGAAAATTGAGGTAAATTTGGGGGTGGAGCCAAATATGCTTCCATTAATTTTGTTCATGCAACTCCAAAGAAGAAAAATAAATTAGGGTAAAAGATAAAAACTGATAGATATCATTGGAATGTCTGACGAATACAAACAGCGATAGCGGATTTGACGCCCTAGTTTCGTCCTTAGAGGGTGAAACATAGTTTTCAGTTCTGGAGCAAACCAATCCATATAATTCAAGACTTAGGTAGGAGTTTCTGGGATGAATGTGGGTATTACCATGCAAGGCCGGTTTATCTTCCCTCGCCTCCCCCGCCCATCACCAAGAATAATACAATGGGGATTGCCCACCAATACCTAAGAAAAGACCTAGTTAACTCTCAATTCACCGGCCGGGAAACGTAAAACCATACTTTTGAAGAAGCGATTTCTCGCCAACTTGTTCAACCTCCTCACCATCTTGCCTCACCACAATGGGCCTATTCAAATGCGGCGTGGGCGCAGGAGTTGATCCAACAAATTCCACATTGAGCTTTTGATTCTTTCCTCCGGTCCCTAAAGCCGCGGGGGAAACCGCGACGTTGTAGACTTCATTCTCGGGGCTAAGATACAAGCTCAATGACGGAATAATGGTGCTGTTACTAAACACTGAAAATGACGACAAGCTTCCCACCCAGTGCTTTCGGGTTTGATCAGTGAAGAGGCCGACGCGTAGGAGCTCGTTGTTTGATTGCGTGGGAGAGGGCGGGGTATACGAGCGGACGGAGGACTGGAGTGTAATTGGGTCGTAGGATATTTCGGCGAGCTTAGAGGGTTGTGCAGGTGAAGCGGCGGAGAGAGGCCAGTAAAAGATATCGATGGTCTGGGAGGAGGTGGAAGACGAGGCGAGGACGGACGATTGAAAGAATGAGAGGGCGGAGAAAAGAAGCAGCCAGAGCGCTTGAAGCCAAAGCATTCTGGCGGATATGAACAGCCTAACTGGCTGCTGAGATCGCTTGGAGCATGTCTGATTGACGGTCGTTGAAGCGCAATCGCGAGAGCTATCGACGTTATTAGTAAGCACGATACCCAGGACGCTATCTTATTTGCGGACTAGTCTAGTACAACATCGTAATTTATTGTATTATATCGGTATCCGGTGGAATAGATAATCCGAGGGTGCCGATATTACATAATGCAGCCGCAACCACTGCTCATTGTTGGCTCCCTGGGGATATCTCGCACACTTCCCCGGGGGCACGAGGAGTGGTTTCGAGGCTATGGACTTGTGATTGGGCTTGTTTGAGTTCCAGCCTTGCCTCGCGCCTCCGCTTGTGGGTCATCTGAACGCATTTTTGCCGCTGATCGGCTGAGGTGTCAGGGCATGGAGGTGGGGAAGCTGGTCCACATCGCCGCACGCAGCGAGTTCGGAGAACGCACTCCGGAGACGATGGATTGGGAAGTCCCGCTGGCAGCCTGGGCTCGTGGCATTGGCTCTAGATAACATCAATTGTCGTGCGTGACCGGCATTGAACTTGACTGGGGCCTTGGATGCAACGCAAATGCAGGTGTAGTGATGATGTGTGCCTTTGATTCACATTTGGGCATTGGGAACTCAGCGTCTTGATGGGGACCGCCTGGGCTTCATCCCAGTCGCATGCAGGAGCTTTGTGTAGAGAGCCAGTGGTCTGGTAGAGCGCAGTTCACTCGACGTTGGCAGAGATAAGCTTCGAAGAGAGATGTGGAACCTGATGCCCGCATCCACCGAGTTTGCGAGATTCAAATCTCTCATCCGCCGACCTGGCAGAACAAAAGTCACGATAATTTCTTTTCACATCAAACGATCATCGACAGCAGCAGTCATTTCACCCACGACTGGAGCAAGCTGGTCCCTCTCGAGACAACAGAAAACGTCGGCTACCAGTTGTGGTGAACGTGGAAAAGATAGTCCCAACGCTGAAGCTACAAAGGTACGTAGGACAGAGTAGTCGTGGAAGTTCCCTGGGCGAATTGTGCCCTGATCTCGCCCTCCCGCGTCCTCCTGACCCCCCTGACCCAAGGTTGCTCAAAGCTCGTATGTACGTACTTCGAGACAGTTGTTCTGACAATTCAATCGCAGTTCTACATAAACTTGGCAGCCAGTGGTCCACGGCACCTTTCCAACCTAGCTTCCGGCAGCCGCTCTGGCCAACTCAATCTCGAACCCTCAACTGAGCTACAAAGCCCGGTCTCCCACCCTCCTTCACAATGACTACATCTCTCCCCTACCGTCGTTCCTCCCGGCAGGCGTCGTCAAGGCAGGCGAGCATGGACCCTCGAAATGAGATCAGCGTCCAGATGGACCACTACATCGGTGTGGATGTAGGGACTGGCAGTGCCAGAGCTTGTATCATCGATGATAAAGGTAATATCGTGGGTTTGGCGTCGGAAAACATTGGTTTATGGCAGCCTCAACAAGGGTACTACGTGAGTATTCTTCTCGATTTCTTGTCTTCCACCTCCCATGGCTCGTCCATCCCGTTTTTATATTCCCACACTTGCTTCGGATTGTCATCTACCTACCCAGTACTAGTATTTGCTGACCACTTGCATGCAGGAACAATCTACTACTGATATATGGCGCTGTATCTGCATCTCAGTACAACGCGCCATTAGCCAGCATAACATTAATCCAGGCTCCATAAAGGGCATTGGTTTCGACGCTACATGCTCTTTGGCTGTGTTCGCCGAAGATAGTGACGAGCCCGTCTCCGTGACGGGGCCAAATTTCGACACCGATCGCAATATCATTCTTTGGCTGGATCATCGACCCGTCGAAGAAACCGAAAAGATCAATGCCACAGGACACAATCTCCTTCGCTATGTTGGAGGGAAAATGTCCATTGAGATGGAGATTCCCAAAGTGCTTTGGCTTAAGAACAACATGCCGAAAGAGCTTTTTGACAAGTGCAAATTCTACGATCTAGCTGATGCCCTGACCCACCTAGCCACAGGGAACGAAAAGAGAAGCTTCTGTAGTGTCGTTTGCAAGCAAGGCTACGTTCCGGTCGGCGTTGATGGTAGTGTCAAAGGCTGGCAAGAGGATTTCCTTAATAATATTGGCCTGGGGGAACTTGCAGAGGACGGTTTCAAACGAATGGGCGGCATCAACGGCCAGGTGAGTTTATGTTCTCTGGAGGACCCCATAGAACGTGCTAGTCGCCCTCAATATGTGTAATTTTGAACTAACATCATCATAGAATGGAGAATATCTCAGTGCAGGGGAGCTAGTTGGCACTCTTTGCGAAAAGGCCGCCAGTGAACTCGGTCTGCCCGCTGGGATTGCGGTAGGAAGCGGCGTTATCGATGCATATGCTGGATGGATTGGCACTGTCGGTGCCAAAGTTCAGTTAAGCGCTGATCTATTGAGCTCTGATGCGGCCAAAAATGACAAGTCACAAGCATTCACTCGCTTGGCTGCTGTGGCCGGAACGTCAACATGCCATCTCGCTATGTCTCCCAACCCAGTCTTCGTGCCGGGTGTCTGGGGCCCATACCGTGATACCATTATCCCGGGTTATTGGATGGCTGAAGGAGGGCAGTCAGCGACTGGCGAACTGCTAAAACACGTTATTGAAACCCATCCTGCATTCAACCAAGCACTTTCAGTCGCTGAATCCTACCACACAAACATCTACGACTACTTGAATGAACACCTGAAGGAACTCGTCTCTGAATCCAATGCTCCCACTATCTCCTATCTAGGCCGTCATTTCTTCTTCTACGGAGATTTATTTGGCAACCGTTCACCCGTTGCTGATCCCAACATGTCTGGCTCTGTCATTGGACTATCAAGCGATAAATCAGTCAGCGGACTCGCACTTTATTACTACGCGACACTGGAATTTATCGCCCTCCAGACTCGCCAGATCGTCGAAACTATGAACAAAGCGGGCCACAATATCACGTCCATATTCATGTCTGGCTCCCAGTGCCAGAACGACATTCTCATGTCCCTTATTGCATCCGCATGCGACATGCCCGTGTTAATACCCCGGTACGTACACGCAGCGGTTTGCCACGGTGCAGCCATGCTCGGTGCCAAAGCCGCTAGCGCAGATAAAGACGGCAAGACAGAGGATCTGTGGGATATCATGGACCGTATGAGCAAGCCTGGCAAAGCGGTGCATCCGACCAAGGATAAGTCCGAGAAGGCGTTGCTGGAGGTGAAGTACAAGGTGTTTTTGGAGCAGTGCTACAAGCAACAGGAGTACAGGAACAGCGTGGACGAGGCGATCAAGGGATGGGGAGCTTAGGAATCCCTACATATTATCCCGTTAAGATGCGCGACACTTTTTTATTTCCATAGATTCGTTGAATGAGACAAGAAAGGCTAGGGATGAATTTACAAGGATGCTAGTAATGCTACAGACTAAACATTATATCTCAAGAAGCCCCCTTCTGCAACATCAGTATGTGTGGACCTTCCAGTCCATCCCCAGTTGTAACGGTACAAACCCATCCACCTCCCAACATCATCAACCCATCTTTGTATTAGTAATATCTTGCAGAGGAGAAATATAAAAATCACGCTTCGCCACTACCTGAAGAAGTCAAAGGCACGCTGCCCTTCCCCAAAGCCAGCGTATCAAATCGATCAACACCGTTCGCCTCCATGGTATTATACCTTGTCAGGAAGAACCCCATAACTACAAACAGATACGTAAGCAGTAAAATGGAGCCCTTGAAATAGTTGCTTTTGCCCTCACCGTAGACGTACGAAAGTAAGAAGACGCAGAGAATCACGGTGATCATGTCCCATTGCGGGAAAATTAGACTGTTTTGAAGTTAAGATTAGATTAGCTTTTCTGGAGAGAAAAAAGCGAAACAATAACGCGAAGAAAGGATACGAGTGGGCTTACTTGAAACTATGGCTGAGAATCTCCGCCTGTTCCACGAAGTTGGTGTGAATAGCGCTGAATAACACGAGAGCAGGAATCTGCAAAAGGCAAACTTGAAGAGCATATGCGGAACCGATTTCCATAGATAAAGCGATATTGCCATTCATCGCAAAGGAGATGGCATTCTACAAGTGCTGCGATTAGCACTTTCACCCTTTATGGATGTGGGAAGGACGATTGGAACCCACCAAAAACTCTGTCGTGTTGGGAACCAGCGCAAACAATGTAATTCCCAAGAACTTTTCATCTATATCAACACTTTCGAGAACCACATCAACTGTATTCACTAGGATCTCTGCAATAACCGCATAAAGTAGGGTTGCCCCGAGTAGAATTACTGAGCTCTTTGCCTTGCTCCAGTTGGGTGCATCGTGTCCGCCAGGGGTATGCGGCTCCGTGAACACGGCAGCTTCATTGGCCTCTTCAGGAGCATTACCAGGTGGCCCACCCGCAGGTTTCAGGGCATGAGGAGTAGCAGAGGGTTTCCGTGGATGCTTGACCGCGTCGCGAGCAGCAACGGTAGCAGCTGTAGCCGCTACTTCGGTGACTTGGCGAACAAATAGTTCGTTTTGCTCTTCAGATAGACCTGGTAGCCTTAGATTCAGTGTACGGGGTTCCTTACTCTTGGGAGGGACAACATGAGGAATGGAAGCTTCATCATCGGTTGTTTGATGCTTTGGCTGCCCCGGAATATCATCATTGCCTCGAGATAGGCCGATTTGCTTCAAGGATTGCCCTAGAATTCGAGCGTATAGTTGGGACTCTCGAATTGACCCTTTGGGGTAATTTCCATGGGCTAATTGACGCCCGTTGACAGTACCTTGTGCCTTCGGCCCTAGGAAAGAACCCCCAAAGTCTTGAGGATGGGGATGCTTTTTCTCATCTAAGTCAGTGGACCAGATTAGTGCCGCATGAGTGCGCAAGGTAAACCAAAGACCAATGACATAGCAGAGGAATAGCAGTGTAGCAGCAAACCAGGAATATGGCTGTACCGCCTTGAGGAAGAATTTGTTTTTCGTCGAAGGAATCTCAGAGAAATAGCATCGACGGCAGTCTCTGTTAGTGGGACTATTCGAGGATGAACATGGATGGCAATAGAGTTCGTGCTGCAAGAGGAGCGTGAGCTTCACGCCAACTAAAAACGCGAAAAGACTGGGTACTCACACTTCCATAAATCTGATAGAATAAAGTTGGGCCAAACGCGGCAATCGTAGCGAACAAAAGCATCGTTGAAGTAACACCAGCGGACTTGACATTGAATCGTTGTGTTTTTCGTTTGATGGCACCAAAACACATAGATAATCCAGGCAGGAAGAGGATACCGGCAAATATGCTGCCAACAATACTTCCTTCCACAAGTCTGGCTTTACCCTCAGTGAGGGCAACGCAGTATAAATAAACCTCAACAACGGTCGAGAAAAAGGCATTTATGGCCGCACCGAGACCCATTGATGACTGAGCTGAGATGGACGCTACAGCCTGTCCGATAAAGTAAGCCAGAGGGATGATTGAAAGAAGGGCAAGCATAAATATCAGGCCTGTGTTAGTTACCCAGGACTCGATTTGAAGGCTCCGATGCAAGATCCAATAGTCCAGGATGGTAAACACGACGACTCCCAAGAGGTTAATGAAGAATATGTTGGTTCCATCAACCGTGTACTTCCAATACTTAATGCCAGCTGCTCGGTAAGTGCAAAGCAAGATGGATGAATGCGGGTGGGTTGGGTTCCTGGAGTACGTGTTGTCCAAATGGAAAGATAGGGCAAGAGGATGCCGACGTAGATGATGTAAAAGGATGATCATCACGCGTCCCATTGGTATCCAGAAGACCAGCATCCAGCAGGTCAAAGACACGAGAAGCATAAGAGGGGCAACCAGCAAATAGAAAACACCATAAAACATGGCTCTTCCGAAAGTCCATTCCCCTCGGCCAAAAAAACGGCGTTTGTTCTTGTGCATTGGGCTATCGGAGCGCTGGCCTCTGGCTGGTCGCCCCAGGAGACTTTCGTACTCACCAGCCGAGTCCAGGCTATTTCTCCGGCGGCCGACCAATGACCTGGGCCCGACGGGACCGAAGAACAGCCTGCCGTGCTCTAGATCCCCACTCTGCCATTGCTCATACTCGCTGATGCTTCGTCCTTCTCCTTCATCTTCTTCAGCATAGTTTTCGTCAGACTGAAGACGGACGAAAGATCCAAAAGGATACAGCAGGTATCCTGAAAGACCGTAAAATATCTTTCCGTAAGCAATGGCATCGGGTGAGAAACCCACCAAGAAGCAAGCACAGGCTCCAAGCAATGTCGCCAAAGCCAGCCACCAGCCAAAGAAGATCATCCATAAAAGGTTGACTGTAAAGATTAGGTTATTAACAGCTTCCCCAGGCGCAGAATGGATGTCCCCTTCTGCGGTCTTTTCGACCGAACGGAACTTTTTATATAACGCAGGTTTCCAGATCCTGATACCAAATGGATGAGTTTGGTTGATTGCCTGCTGGCGATCCTTGAGAGTGAAGCTCTCGGCATCACTGGTACTTCCATCGTCTTCGTCACCGTTGTCGTCAGCAACATCGTTGTCAGGAGATTCCGTAGCATCAATATCACCAGGCTCGTTCGTCTGGTCTTCGTCTCCTGATTCAACCCGTTGCAAAGGAGGGCCGGCGACATTGAGCCTCCGCCTTAGCGTACCATGTGACCTGGCCCCGGTTCGCGAGGAGACAGCTGCCTGTCTTAAAGCGTAATCCTCTTCATATTCGGTGGCATCATCGTCGACGGAGAATTCCTGACCTCTGTAGGGCTTGGATGAAGCACGCCGCAAGGTAGGTTTTTTTGGGGTCCTTTCAAAATTTTCCGGTCCAAGGACTGGGCTTCGTGGAACGTCATGGGCACTGGAAGATGCGCGAAAGCTTTGCTGCTCGGAGCCACCTTCTGAGCGTAGGGCTGGGGTGTAATCGATGGTACCTATATCCAAGCAATTAGCTAACATATGCGATCAAAATCGAGCGGGTGTAAGCTAAATCCCACCATAGGTACCTCGAGGTCGCGAACCTCCTTGGGTTAGGTCGCTGGAAGAGCTGCCTTGTCCCTCGCCGCCCATTTGAGCAGCGGGGGTATAAGATTTCGCAGGAGATGTCGCAGATGAGCGAGGCGTTTCGTGCCCAGCATCACGATCACCGCTGTGTGAAGCCATGGTGTGAACTAGGCATAAGCTCAAGTGCTTCAGCCAGGAAGTGGCACAGCAAGGGTCGCAGTTGGTGAACGAAAAACAAAAGCACTTATTCCGTACGCAAACGTCGAGGCATGCATATCAGAGCCGATGTAGACGGTACTTGGTCGATACTTCTCGAGAAGACTACAGACGTGTAGCAGGGATGGTTCAGCTGGTGTCGTTGAGATGCTAACTAGTTAACCGCGGTTCCACTGTGCAGGTAGCTCAAGCTGCACACAAAACGGCCCGTTGTTAGAGACGACGTGACAGGAAGACGGTTGCCTTCTCTCAGATGCGGGCCCCTCAAGGATTCATAAAGAAGCAGCTTTGGTATGGTGTCCGGGCACCGTCCCGCATGACCTCGCGAGCAGCTGGTGGTGGATGCGCAAAGGTCATGAAGCCATAGGCAAACAAGACAAACAGCCGTCAGCTTGGTCGCCAACGCGTGGAGCCGAGTGCGCTAGTCCTATCTCGGAATAGCTGTGGCTAGTGCCGTTCGCCACAGCGGCGATGACTAAGCCAGCCTGAAGCTTCGCGCCTGAACAGCAGAACAAACAGCAATCAAGCAGCTCGTTGAGCGTTCAAGTTCGCCTCCTTGCCCTCTCTGTGGATTCTCTGTGTCCTTTTCCTAGATACCGCACGCGACACGACGAGCTCATATTCGTCTTGATTTCCAAGCATATTCCCTGCCGTTTTCGCCCAGTTCGTCCCCTGTCAGCGTCGTCAAGATGGCGCTGGACAACTACTTTCGCAACAAGATCGAGAGCATGAAGCTCGAAATCATCAAGGGCCAAGCTGTTTTGCGACGGTTAGAAGCTCAGAGAAATGATTACAATTCGAGAGTGCGGCTATTGCGGGAGGAATTGGGGCTTTTGCAGCAGCCTGGATCGTACGTCGGAGAGGTTGTGAAGGTGATGTCAACCAAAAAGGTGCTGGTCAAAGTCCATCCAGAGGGCAAATATGGTATGCCTGATTCTGCGGTTTCCCCTTTTTTTTCGCAAAAGTGCAGAATACTAAGAGGGGACAGTCGTCGACGTTGCCGATGGCGTTGACATAGCAAAGCTTACGGTTGGCAAACGAGTGTCCTTGATGTCCGACTCCTACAAACTAGAGAAGATGCTACCCTCGTCTGTCGATCCCCTCGTCTCCCTCATGATGGTAGAAAAAGTACCGGACAGCACATACGACATGATCGGAGGTCTCGACCAACAAATAAAAGAAATAAAAGAAGTGATTGAATTGGGTCTAAAACACCCCGAGCTGTTCGAGTCCCTGGGTATAGCACAACCGAAAGGTGTTCTCCTGTACGGGCCCCCGGGTACTGGGAAGACACTGTTAGCGAGAGCCGTCGCCCACCACACCGACTGCAAGTTCATTCGTGTCAGCGGCTCGGAGCTGGTGCAAAAGTACATCGGTGAGGGCAGCAGGATGGTCCGAGAGCTCTTCGTCATGGCTAGGGAGCATGCCCCCAGCATCATTTTTATGGACGAAATCGATAGTATTGGCTCGAGTCGTGTGGAGGGTAGCAGCGGCGGAGACTCCGAAGTGCAGCGTACCATGTTGGAGCTCCTCAACCAGCTCGACGGGTTCGAACCGACGAAAAACATCAAGGTCATCATGGCCACGAACAGATTGGACATCCTTGATCCTGCTCTTCTGAGACCTGGTCGTATTGACAGAAAGATTGAATTCCCCCCGCCAAGGTAAGTCGTGCTCTTTTGAAGCCACTTTTCCCAACGCCGATGTCTAACTACGGTTGGGTCCATATAGCGTCGAGGCACGTGCCGACATCCTTCGAATCCACTCCCGTTCGATGAACCTGACTCGTGGGATCAACTTGACGAAGATTGCAGAAAAGATGAATGGGTGTTCGGGTGCGGAGCTCAAGGGTGTCTGCACAGAGGCAGGAATGTATGCACTACGGGAGCGACGTGTCCATGTTACGCAGGAAGACTTTGACCTCGCGACGGCGAAGATCCTCAACAAGCACGACGACAAGGAGGTCAGTCTCGGAAAGCTGTGGAAGTAAGCAGCATCGGATGTATATGGATCTTCTCTTTGCGGCGACTGTCCTGTCATACTCGCGGTCCTATAATAGGAGGGTGGGAACGACAATGTACCAGAGATAAGGTACTCGTTTTGCTGCCGCGGAGGCCAGAATATACCAGGATGCGTGGGTGTTCCTTCACACCAGGCGGTTTGTGGGGCAGGCGTCTCACTGTACATTACGCCATCGTCCACATGGCGCTTGTAGAGTTTCAGCATTCACTTATCTCAGTTCTGTAATGGGCATCGCGCAGCGTTTTTGGCGTGTTTCTACCATCTTGTGCGGCATAACCCGCGGATTCCCCAAGGCCGAAAGGCGCATGCAAGAAATCCGTGCCCAACCATGTAATAGAAGAAATTCCTGAACGTATTCCACACAGCGTGCCTTTCTCCATCAGCGACGATCTATCCTGCCAGGCGTTGTCGGTGATCTGGGGTGGGCGGCAAGGGGTGTAGTGGTTCTAACTTCTATGGCTCTCACAGTGGACACGCAAGCAGAACAAAGGTCGAGTTTGCGTTCATGGGAGAGACAGTGATCAAATCAACAAACCCGCCTCCAGTGCTTCCCTGGATGATACTGTGCATGTAGGGAGTGGAGTTTCACAGGCCCAATCGCCCGCCGTCGAGCCCATGCGTGATGCCACCCTCTGAGCATCGCCAAAACGCGCACCGAGGGTCTGGACGGCAGCGAGATACGGCGTTGCAGCTCGTTAACTAGTTTAGTCAGTTGTAGGGGCCCTGCATGCGAGACTGACCAGGAGGTTCTAGTCATTGCACGCATCCCTGTCGCACAGCTGTGCATGAGTTCAAGGGATTCATTCCTGATGCCCGTCATGCTCAACAGGATCCATCGTCCCCAACCACGTCCTGGTCGGGATGGAGTCGCTGCATGCACAGGCTGAAGTTTATGCAGCGCCAGACGCTTGAGAAGGTGATAAAGCGTCCAGAAATACGGGGGTTGCAGCAAGCCAGTGCCGACCGCCTCACCTTCAGAAGCTCAGATGAAACCATTCCACCAGGAGCTTAGCTACAGGCATCATCGGTCTTGGTATGGACGCCGAGCTGGAGCTTCCGCCAGCCTGCTGGCTGTTGCCCACGTTGCCCATCTCTCGTCTGTCTCACCGCAACAGGGCCGCTCGTCCATCTCATCCTCGTAGGGCCGGTGGAATAAAATGATAATCATCTCCAATACGATCCCGTCGTTCTGCTTACCTTTGCGCATTACGCTTATCTTGCTTTTCCCACTAAGCTTTTATATTGCTTTTTATCCCTCACTGCAGCCCAAGCCATAGTTAGTTAGTTATTGCTTTGTTCTTCCGCGAAGTCTTGATCAACCTAAATAAGAAGAATATATCTCGTCGCCACCACTCGTTCCCCTCTCAACTCCTTCGATTCATACGCGATTCTTGCCTCTTGACTGTTGATCCTCTTCTGCTGCCCGCCCTGCTTCTTGTTTTCCAAGTCTTGACCGTGCTTCTGGCCTGGAGCCAGGTTGAGTTACGTCAACATCACGCCCATCAGCACCCACTCGCTCAAACAAGTTGAAAAAAGGGCGCGCCGTCAACTTGCTGGCGACCGTTTTCCCTGCTGCTTTCTACTCGGCGCGGTTTGCTTCTTCTTCCTTGATTCCGCTTTGACGCCAAGGGTGATATGGCACAAGGGGAGCTATGGGCTACTCTACTGACGGCTATTAACCCCATCAACGCCCGCGCGATGCCGGTCGTGCTGCAGTCGACCATCGAGCTGCTCGAAGCCGAGCTGGTCAAGGCCCGCGCAGCATTGCAGCAGGTTCAGGCTGAACCTATTGTCACCGTGGCCGAAGACGTCACTGCCGGTGCGATGGAAGCATACAAGGTTCACTTGGTCGGCTGTGCCTCGCGCAAGCAACACAATCATTCCTTTCTGCCCTTGCTAGACGAGACCTTTGTGCGCTATAGCACCATGACTGCCCGCAGGCCATCTCAGCGAGGCGCGTCGCTGTCGGACATTTTGTCAAACTCCCTGGTGATCGACCATCTGGCGCCTTATATGTCGGTCGCATCGTTGCTGTCGTTGGCGTCGACCAACAAAACGATGAGGTCGCTTGTCATGGACACGCCCTATGTGTTTCGCCATCTGGACCTGACACAGTGCAGAGGTGCCCTGCCAGTGTCCTCCAGTGGTTTAGAAGACAACTACGACCCGTCCTCGATGGAAACTGAAGATGAATTCTATGCCCAGCCACTCACAGCCATTTTCGGCGACCTGGGACGACGAGCGATCCTACAAGATGTCCGCACCCTCGTGCTGGACGGTCTTTCGGTTCCGGCAAACTTGGTGGCCAAGATTGTCCTGACGGACGAGTTCAACATTTCCATCCTGTCGATCCGAGGCTGTCTCAACCTGAACGAACGCAACCTGATGCAAGCATTGCAGTACGCGGTGAGGCCCGGTCGTGCCAAGGGCATGCCAAGGGTCAAGGGCATCTATCATTTCAGCAAGGACTGCGATCAACCGTCGTGCTCCCGCCCAGCTTCCCTTGGCGCGCGGCATCGGCCCGACCAGCCTCAACCCGGTCACCGCTCCCGTCACACTCTTCACGACCAGGAAAAGGATGCCCGGCGACACGATTGGTATAAGCCTTCTGGCCAGGTGCTGAAGGATACCATCACCAACGGATGGGCGCAAACCGTGCAGCTTTGCCAGGGCATCATCTCTTTCGACGCTGTTCTTTGCCGGAGTCCGAGGCATGATCCGAACTCCTATACCTCCGACAATCCCAAACGGTTAGGCCCCTATCTCCCGCCCGCCATCGCCACTATTGCACTTGGACCAAGAGGGTGCGAAGGCTGCGGCACCGTCCCCGAAGGTCCGGCAGTCTGGGGCCACTCTCCGGAAGAGTATTTCCCACTGCTATCGCCTCCTCCGTTGCATTCTTCCCGAATCACCGCTGCCAAGAATCCCGCGGTGTACAAGAATGAGACGCCTTCGCTGATCATGCAATGTGAGGACTGCGTCCGGAATCGCCTGTGTCGCCGCTGCAGCCGGTGGTGGTGCTCCGACTGTCTGCAAGATCCTGAAATTCTCAGAAACCCCGGCACCGCATCTCAGCCGCCAGGGATGTTCGCTGGAATGGAACAATCAAAGGCACACGAGTTAAAGGTATTTGATGGTCTCTGTATTGAATGTCGAAATCACCTCGTCGATCCGTGACCGGAGTTCTGGGAGGACACTGCCCCCCGTTTCTACGTCAGGACCTTTCCATGTAACTGGAAATGAAGAGTATGCCTCGTTGCCCTTTGCTAGAGCGCTACCTCTACATTTCTCACGCTCCTTCCCCGCATTACAGTGTCTCGACAATAGACTCTGATTCCTCCCCTATCGTGATCTGCATCTATTTGGTATCAAAAGCTAACTTTTTCAACTAGCATCGGAGACAATGCGTTGCCAGAGATTGCTGGGAATGCGGACCCACGGTAAGATAGATACCCTGTATCTTTCCATACGTACATCTCTAACACACTTTAGTGCACTCGCTGCATGCTTGAGGTCATCCGTACTTGCACCGTCTGCCAAGGAGGATTCTGCTTGGATCACAATGATGGTTGCTCCGAAACAAAGGTTTGCCTCAGCGATCCAACAGCTCCATGGTATCCTCGTACTGATGCGGAGTAGTGTGACTGGTGTAATACCCCTCGACGTGGCGGAAGGATCTAACATAAACCGGCAACAATAAAATGTCGTCGAACGATACTGACAAAGGAGTCACTACACATCATGTTACACGGCGCCTTCTCCGCCGCTAAAATATCAAAACGCCAAGCTCTACGGAGTACACCGCGGAAAGCTCGCGATATTCCTTCAAGGTCGAAGATTTCACAAATCTCTCCTCCATTACGGAGTACAGACACCAAATTTCCAACTCGGCGGCAATACTCCGTATACCCCGCGAGAGCTGATCTCCGCCTCCAAAGGCTTTTTATTTCCTTTTTCTATACTTTCTATCCCCCTGAAATCCTCCACTCCACTCCCAGCGACGACGAGTTTCTCTTCACTTTTTCCAACTTTTACACATTAATTCTTTTTAATTTTTTTAACGACTCTCCTAACGTCCAATGCCTATGCATGATACTCCCATCAGTTTTATTTTCCGGGCCCATTCTATATCGGTTGGTCTTTTTTTTCCCCTCAAGATCGATATCTTTTGCCCGAATATCGATACAGGCGGGTTAGGATTTTTTCGGCGAAGTAGTGTTTCGTTTTTAATAATTGATCGATATCGGTGTTATTACTTCTTTCCACTCTACTCTTATTTGGCACCTGGGGGGCCTTGTATTTGTTGCGTTCTTGTGGTTCTGGGGTTTACCCAAGGGTTTAGACAAGTGGGAAGGGGAATGTCTACTTCGCTCCATCAAACAACAAAATATCAAAATATCAAATAGGTCAAATACCGCAGTTTAAAGCCGTGGTAGAATTATCTCTCTTCATTCAACTTGTCTGGTTTCGCCTTGGACACATGGCCATAAATACTACCACGCTTGACATCGGTTCCGCAAACTGCCACAGGATTAAGGCTTAGTTTCCCGCTCAGAGCATGTTGACTCGCCAAAACGCCCACGATTATTTTTTCGGAAGTCGTCAGGACAAAAGTGGATGTCTGTTTGGCCCATGGTTGAGCTGAGCTGCAGGGGTTTGACCTGTAAAAGGATCCATCAGCTTCTTCCCTTCTACAGGAACATGCTTCCAAGTGACGACGCAGGTTGGAGTTGGAAAGGTAGTAGTTTGGTGAATACCAAAAGTGTTGTCTCCGTCGTATCCAACTCGAGTCCAGTGAAATCCGTTCTTACAGAAAAGACCTAAGTCAATAATGTATTATTAGTTAATCAACAACCAAACGAGAATAGAATGGGAGGATCGCGGAGAGCAGAGTGTGGGAAAGAGGGAAACTCAACAATACACCCAGGAACACCCTCCAGTTTTTTCAATCCTTGCTCCGCAGCCTGGTGTCGGGCACATCTTGCTCGACTGTCGAACCATCTCAAGACTGGACCGGAGCTCGGGCGCTTCAGGATGCGATAAATCGTAAGCCGTGCACGAATACCCTTTATGCCATGGAGCATGGTGCTGTAAGCAGGATACTTGACCGCAATTTCTGCAGTTGTATTTGGGATCGAAATGCTTCTCCAGTGGACGGACTCGACCCCCGTAGCATTTGGGCGTTGGGCAGGGGTACCACCGCGGGTGCATTAGTAGACATTTATGTCGCAGTAAGGCACTCACAGGTGCAAGGTCCTCTTTAGATAGCCCGAGCATAAGGGCGTCCAAGTCAATGACCGCGTCACACTGTAGACAGGTGCACTTGCTCCAATCGACCATCGGTCCGTCTTGCACCCAAAGAAAGCCGACGCGGGTTTCTAGACAGTTTATAACATGGGTTTTGACGCATTCTGCACAGACCTCGGGTGCATGATTGCAAGTTCCAAAATACGGAAAGCTTTCACCCGCGCGGTCAAGTTTCTTCCGCTCAAAGCAAATCACACATTCTCGAGATTTCGCTCTTGGATTTTTCGCACTTGCAGCTTCTAATCTCTGAGCTGCGGCCCGTAGCTTTGCTTTTAGTTGCTGGCAGGTTTGGGATCCACGACGTACTCGTCCGGGCGTGCATCGGCTTAAGGACTTGCTCACACGGCGGATGGGTTTCTCGAGCTCGTTTGGGACGAAGATGCCGACGTTGACAGCATTAAGACGCGTTGCATACCTATGGTTAGTAACAGGCAGCGCCTCTGGCGCGTGTTTTCGGGATTTGTGGATTCTGGAACTGGATTTGAGAGGTTTGAACACTCCAGGCACCGATTCACGAGACGGCAGAGGCCTCAATCTAGCAACCATGATCCTTTTAAAAAAAAAAGGGAGCCCCTGGCCTTCACGGTAGGGGTTTGAAGTATTAAACTGAAAAAAAGAAAAAAAAAAAAACAGTGACTTTGGGCTCTCAAAGCATGCGAGCAATTGCTGAGGTGACTGGGCTTCTTATCCTTTCCTTTCAAAGCCTTTCAAAGGAGCTCGAAAAGAAAACGGCTATCCGCTCTACGCAGGCAATGACCTCATGGTAAAACTCAAGGGGGTATCATCGGGAGCTTTGGAGGGGAAGGAAATAATATGATGAAATCAAAAGGGGGAGTAGTTTGGGCCTGGATTCTTGTCTAGCCAAGGGTACCATGGGGGAGTCGCTGGATTCTTCCGAGTCCAATGTGACTAGAGGACCTGCGGCTACTCGACTGTGCAAAGCATCAAGAACTTCCTCCGTCGAATCCGACACATCCCCGTTGGATTGATACGGCGACTCGGCGAGTTTTGTGATCAGGACGAGAAGCGGATGAAGCGGAAATTATTGGTTTGTGTTACCACCTCTGCCAGCATACAATTGGTCGATTAATAAAAGTTAACTAAATCTCATTGGATGAATATACATAGTCTCCTGCTTCTATTGGTCAAATAATTCCTGCCTATGACTAATCCACTGACCCCTTTGATTTCCTCCATCAACACTGCTTTCCGCGGTTTTCGTTTACTCGATGATTTCCAATGCCAAATGCACCCTGGTGCTCGAGCAGTCTACACGATGCAGAGGGACAATGGCCTGCCAATGGCATGGCTCCTTTCTAGTGCGGCTATCTCGCTGTGTGATTCATGGATCTCAGGAGGCCATGCGTTGACAGCCAACCTCCAATGGGAGAAATCTCAGAAAATGCTTTCTTTCCTAAGGCCGCAGTCATCAGGCCGTCAATCCAGGCCCAGAGCCTGACTCGCTTCTTCCGCAGAGTGCCTGCTCCCTGGGGGCCTCTGGCGAAAGATGATTGATACTTGGCTTGTTTCTGCAAAGGGCTTTGTCAAGCGGGAGCGAACAGGGCAATATTGTCGCCTTTCTCTTACTCTTTCACTAAGACCGCCAGAAAGGAAACAGTGGGCATTTCCATCCGTGCATCCATGCATTGTCTACTGAGGTGTATAAAGATGCGCCAAACTTTTCAAGCTCTGAAATGGACATCCCAAACAAGCTTCCCTGTCTACCTATCTATCCGCAAGCCCTGCTGCTCTTCGAGACCTTGTCGAATTTAGGCCCCAAACCCAATCCGAAACCATATCCGGATCCCCAACTCAACGTTGTTAAACTTGCCGATTACTACCGTCCCGCGCCATATCTTGAACCCAGAAGTGATGTGTTGGATTCTAATCCTCACCTATAGTGGCTGCGGCCATAAAGCCCCTCTTGGCGTCGAAAAGTGCCCCAGAGGCAATTGTCCGGAACCTTTGGAAGAAATACCTATGGGGACTCGCCAGGGAGTTTGCCCATACTGCGCTAATCGGTTCAACTAAAAGGCCGGAGCCCCTGACGAAGACTGGTTGCAAATATTCAATCTCTGTCCTTCGGCATCGGCATTTCCACCCAGAAGTTTCCAGTTTTACCTCTTTCTCTCTGTCTTTGGCGATTTTTGCATTTTAAGTTCATTTTCCCTCCGAACTGCATTGTGATGGCTTGGTTTTGAACTTTGGGAATGCTTATGCGTGTCATGAACCGAGTTTCGACTGACTGCTTCATCCAACACCGTAACCAATAGATATTGGCCCCTAATATAAACACTTCGGATAAAGCCATATATTGTTCTCCCAACCATAACTTAGGTTCGCTTAGTAAGGCTGATATGCAAACAGCGCAAACTACCCGTCCATGTGTGATTACATCATCCCATTCAGATGCTTCTGGAAAGCGCCTGAACCAGCGGCAGCATGTCGCGACCAGACAGCAGGCCTCCGTCAAGGGTGGTGAGGCCGAAATCGTGCTCTAACGCTTTCTTTCTCACGAACTTTTACTTGTTGCAGCAGTTCCTGGCTTTAGCTCATGGAGAGCTCACTGAAATGGTCCGCCTCGTACTCTGTTGCGCCGCCTACACGGTCCTTGAAGAAGCTCCGAGGTGACAAGATATGTCTCCCGCCTTCTGCGCTTGAGGGTATTCTCGCTGCTTTTCCAGCCGTATCTCCCTCCCGACCTCATTCCTCCTCCGTCTCCTTCTCGGAACCCGACGATGGGGCTCACGCCCACAGCCACGAGCTTCCGCACCCTCTCACTTTTCGAATTGTGAACCCCGCAAACGGGCGCGTTGTTTATTCAGGCATACTTGAATTCTCCGCTGAAGAAAGTGAGGTGTCTCTAAGCCCCTTACTACTGCAGAGCCTTGGAATTCAAGCGTCGGATTTCGAGTCGGATTCCACGCTCCCGGAACACGAACGAAGCGAACCGGCCGGAAGCGAGCAAGGTTTAGCGCCTCAAAGCCCTCCTAGAGTTACTGTTCATGTTGTACAGCTTCCCAAGGGAACGTATGTGCGGTTACGGCCCTTGGAAGCCGGGTACGACACCGACGATTGGAAGGCGCTGTTGGAGCGATCTCTCGGGGCAAATTTTACAACCTTGAGCGTAGGAGAACCGCTGCCGGTCCCTGGACGACCCAACGAGGTATTTCAGTTTCTTGTGGACAAAATATTGCCAGAGGGCAACGCTATCTGTATTGTCGATACGGACTTGGAAGTTGATATAGTGCCGCTGGACGAGGAGCAAGCTCGGGAATCAGAAAGGAGGCGAAAAGAGAGGCTGAATTCGAAGCTTTTGGCCAAAGGCGGAAAGTTGCAGCTTGGGAAGCCGGTTCGTGGTGAGCTCGTCGCCGGCCAATTCGTGGACTATGAGCTGCTGGATTGGAGCCGCTCGGAGCCTATTGATATAGAATTGGATGTGGCGGAGGGCGCAAACATCGATATATTCGTCAGTCCATTTGGAGCCCGGCAGAGGAATCGGCCCCGGGATGACGAACATGTTTTTGGTGATTTGTCGAGCGAGTTTCCAAAGCGTATCCGGATTCAGCCCACCAACGTGGAGCTGGAGGGCGCGGAGGCGATTCACATATCCATACTCGCGCGTCAGCCAGAAGAATGGACAGCAACAGAAAATCAGACCTGGGGCTTTTCCCTCCAGGCTACGACGTCAGCTAGAGAGGACCAGCCAGAGGCTTCAGACAGTGGGCCTAGTTCCCAGCATGCTGATGAGGAACAGTGCACGAACTGCCATCAGTGGGTTCCGAAAAGAACCGCCATCTTACATGAAAACTTTTGTCTTCGGAACAATACGTTGTGCTCCAAATGCCAAAAGGTTTTTCAGAAGCGATCTGAAGAATGGCAAAATCACTGGCATTGTCTGTATGACGAAGCCCATGGAAATGATGAATATAGCAAACGCAAGCATAATTCCATTTTCCATGTCGAGCAGGCCTGTAAGGGATGCCCCTTTATTGCCCGCAATACTCCTGATTTGGCCCATCACCGCACCACAACCTGCCCTCAGAAACCCATCCTTTGCCAATTCTGTCACCTTGTAGTTCCTCAACAAGGTGACGGTGATCCCGACGTCCTTGATCCGGAAGTTCTCCACACAAATTTGACCCCCCATGAATTCGTTGATGGCACCCGCACCACAGAGTGCCATTTATGCAATAGAATAATCCGACTTCGAGACATGAATACTCACCTTCGCCACCATGACCTTGAGCGTCTCTCCCGACCACCTCCCCAAATATGCAAGAACCCTAATTGCTGCACTACGCTTGAAGATCCTCTGAAAAGACGTCGAGTTGCAACCAACTCCCTGGGCCTATGCAACGTCTGCTTCGGCCCGCTATACGTCGACCTCTACGATCCAGAAGGGAAAGCGTTACGACGACGCATCGAACGCCGGTACTTGTCTCAGATGCTCAGCGGCTGCGGCAAACCTTGGTGTCGCAACGAATACTGCAAAACAGGTCGATCGAACATGGGAATAAGCGTTGTGTCGGGGAAAGAAGCACTCGGCCTTGTCAAGCCTTTGATCAACGCCGTTTCGATCCCACTGTCAGAGCGAGAAGGAGAGAATACAGCGCCTCTGTATTTTTGCACTGATGAGAATAATCAGACGCGGAGGAAGCTGGCGGAATTACTTGCGTCGGAGGCGGGATATCAACTGGGCTGGGCTGTTGCGGCGGTTCAGGAGGTCGGCGGCAATATTGATAAAGCAAGGGATTGGCTGAGGAATTGGGCCCCAAAAAAGGGCGAGAAGCTTGGAGGCGGAAGTTAGTTGAAATGACTGGTGTATATCTAATGATTTTACGGAGATGGCATCATCGGGCGATTTGTGATGAATTTACGACTACGAGCTCATCATTGATAGATTAGTTACAGAGTAGCACTCTGGGACTGTTGGCATATCTTCCGAGGTTTGGAAGAATGGCGAAAGAGCAATGACCAGCGTACAAACTTTGTGTATATTTTGCATATAGAAATACCAATTGCTGGGATTCCCAATAACAAGAGAATAGGCACTGTACATACATACATATCATGAACCCCAATAATCATAATGTCCTCAACTTGTCCCCTCGAATTCCCGTCTTCCGCCACCGGACCGGCCCCCATAATGCGGCGTCCTTGGGCTCATTTACACCTGCCAGCATAGATTAAACGGCTTCGTGATTGCTTTTCTTGGAAAAGCAAGTCAACTTCGGCCAGACGCGATGTGTACACCGTCACAGCCCCGTAATCGAACGAAAAATCCATCAAGATAAAAGACATTTTCATTTCTTCAGGTGCCCGCGGTTTTCGCTGCCAAAGTACCACTTCCCCTCGACGAGAAAATGCCCATAATTCCAAACACCACATAGAAAAGGGCCAGCGGATACGCTACTAGAGCTCTCATTCCCCTCATCCTTGCCACGGCGCAAAACATCCCGGAGCTACTGTAGGTGCACCACCCCACAGCGGCAGAGGTCAGGAGGTACCCAAACATGGTGTCCATCGGAATGAGAATGCCCACTAAGCTCGTGAGGACCAGCGGGAGGAAGCAGTATCCCAATACGCTAGCGGAACGGGGGAATGTTAACGTGGATGAGAAGTGTCCCGCATTGGTATTTGTCTTGTGGTGCGGATGGTACGCGCTGGGATCGGCGCCTGAGATGTCGGCTGGATTTGAGGATATGTGATCGAGTGTGGGAGACATGAGGCTGAGAATGACGTGCAAAGCGACGGTGCCAAAAACGGCTACACCGTAAATATAGCCATAAAATACTTTTCCGGACAGCAAAAGGAATGTGCCGTAGAGCAGGATGTAAAGGAGGGCGCCGTAGAGATCGCTGTCGTCCATTAGGTGCTGGTCAATGCGGGCAAAGGGATTCAAAACGGTAAGCGTCTAGATAGGCAAGATATGATTAGCGACCCTGGGATCTTTTAAACGGAATAACAAAACCACAGTCGGCACAGTCAAGCTTGGAAACTCGAGTTATCAAAGCTACTCACCTTCATTCTGATATGGTCAAAATTGACCCCCAACTCCTCCAACAACGGCGGCTCTCCCTCATATCCCTCCGTCCCAAACGCAGCAAGCCACCCCGTCCTTAAACCACCCTGTTCGCCCATCCTCCCACTCACACCCGCCGCTGAGCTCCCATAACCGCTCCCTCCATATCCACCTGCTCCGCCACCGACAGGAAACGCCGGGGCTGAAGTAGGCGGCATACCATATCCGCCATACGTTGCTTGCGATGGCGTCGTGTGCCCGGAGACAGATGTGTATGAAGTAGGGTAGAATTGGAGGTTCTGCGCGGATTGTTGGGGATGGGCGCCGTAGGGCTGTTGCGGCTGCTGGGAGTAGAATTGGGCCATTTGCGGCCGAGGTCTGACGGGTGGAAAACGAATGCGGTTGCTAGATGAGAGGGTTATGGGTGTAATTGCAAATGGTGTATATTATCGGTAAAGATCCTTATTAGCTTTCAGGACAGATGGCTGGTTGTGATTGACGAAATTTTGGAGCAATGTTGCTGACTTGTGGTCGTTGGTGGTGAAAGCGAATAGGGCGTCCATGTCAAACTTGAAAAGTGGCCCCTTTTGAGATGAAGCAAAGAACCACAATAATTCCAATTGCCTTCTCCATTCTCCCTGGGGACAAGTGCCGTTATAAAAACAATATTCTCTTGAGCTATGTTTTCACCTCATTTGGACAGAATGTCGCAGCGTGACTACCTATGACTAGAGCTTCATAGACTCAGGCACCAGCAAAATAGCTTTTTTGCGCTCATCTAGATTTTAAAGTACAAGTGGACAGTATGTTTTACAAGAAACTGATCCCAATACCAAGCTGCAAGCCTTTCCTACCCTCCTCTCCCTTCCGCAAAACGAGAGGCAAGGAGAAATTCAATTCAAACCTCGCCACGGGATGGGCGTATACCAGCCCGATGCCAGCTGCTGTACTGGGAAGACCGTTCGCAAGCTCTGAAATAGTGCTTGCCATGCTCTCCCGCACCTCTTGGGGTGAGTTCGGGGTTCCTCCTTGCGGCGTTTTGAGCGCTAATAGCCGTCCGGCATTTACAAAGGCTTGGAGCCGGAATGGCTTGTCGGCGCCAACGCGTGGAAGGGGGAACAACAGATTGGCACTGCCAGCAGCGTAAACGTCGCCGCCTAGCGCATCTGGGCCTTCACGGGGACCAAGACCTGAAATCCTGAAACCTCGTACATCAGTTGGACCTCCTAACTGGAACCGGTCGTTTACCCGAGAGAGCTGAGGCTTGGAGCTCGAATCTAAACCCAATGGATAAAGGAGACCAGCGCGGAAGCTTGTCGTGAAACTGATACCACTGTCCCTCTTGAGTCCAGGAATGGGTACCGGTGCCGCAAGCTGTGTCTCTATCTCCGATTTCCAGAACGAGACGTCACCTTTCAATGGGCCCCATCCTGCTAACTCATTTAGCGTTTTGGCGTAGATGCCACTTGAAGGGAGGATGGGATTATCTCGTAGGTCTCTGACCCAGGTGTGTGAAATGCTTGTTTTGACGCTGTCGCCGGCATTTTCGCGTACAGATGGTGAAGCGTTGCTGGCAAGATTGGTAACCTGCCGCCAAAACCCATTCAGCCCCAGCTCATGACGATGTCCAGCAGTGCTCATCCAGCGAAGCCTGCTCCATGCGCCCTTGACCGCCTCCTCATGACTGGCCCATGATTTCTGTGTATCGCTTGCAAGAGCACCAAGTTCAAATCGAAAATCCGGGTCGCTGAGCAGGGGTGTTTCAAAGGTCGCCTGGTAGGCTGACCTTGTCCGGGTACCTAACGAGGCATTGATGTTCAATGATTCGGCACCACCAAATATATTCCTCCATAGAGCATTTGCGTAGGCAGAACCCTCCGCATTTCCAAGATCGGTGCCGGTTTTGAGAAGGAATCGAGACCGCTCCTTGACGGATAAGTAGACATCCAAATCGGTTGGCGTTGTGGACGGATCAGTCTGGGAAGGTTTATCCAAGTACACGGATATCGGCTGCTGGAAGATGTCTGTAGACCTAAATTATTCCATGTCCACCGCACGTAGCCACCATCGCGGAAATTGGCTGTGCCCGATCCAGCTTACCGAATTTGTGTAGTTTATCAGTGCAAGCGCCGACTTCCTGGAGGGCCTCGGCAAGGGTGTACGGATGGTCCCTATTCGAACTTAACAGGGGGCTAAGCACCCTCTCCAGGAAGCCTTTTCGAGTGCGTGAGGCATTGAGGACTTGGACGGACGAAATGGTACATGGCAAGGTGGAGTTTTGGTCGATCTACTCCGGACGATATTAGCTCAAGGACCGCATTATTCGAAGCAACAGGGAAGGCTAAAGTCTGGCTGGGTTTCCGCACCAACTCTGCCAATCGGGTTTGCGCCTTTTGGTATATCGCATGGACTCTGTCATTCACAGCTTGCTGCCTTTCCTCCAAGACCTTTGGGTCCTCGTTGTGTTTCCGAAGCCGCTCGAAAATCTAGGCGGTGCAGAGCCGTCAGTAAATGCAATGGCAGTTCGTAGAGAAGCAATACAGTGGCACTCGGGATCATCACGTACGCCTTCATCGTCTTGGAGTGGGGAAGCCATTTCGGCCTTGTCAATGGCTCACAATCTGCACCAGCTCCCAGTTCTTGATGCGATATTCCGTCTTTGACAAAACACCCGATGGCTTCGTGGAGGGCACGTGACACCCAGCTTGGCCAACTTCATAAGGAAACACATTGGATTCTCTTGCACCGCAGTTCATTCATCCTTCACCTCCTCTTCGTTTTCGCTGGTTCTTGTTTCTTTGTTGGCTTCTTCTGGAGGAGGATTAAAAATCTGAAAAGCCTGTCTCTGGGAGTTTGAGACTGTCGTTAACTTGCTACATCTCTCGCGCACCCCTCGTTGCTCTATCATCATGGCGACCAAGGCCGCAACCAAGCGGGTGAGAAGGCATCATCGCAACAGCAAATGGGAGCAGAGACCGCTAACAGTTCTGTTTCTAGCTGACGCGTGAATACCAAAACATCCAAAAGAACCCCCCTCCTTATATTGTTGCTCATCCTTCAGAGTCAAACATTCTAGAGTGAGGAAGCGCAGCCCCCTCCTTACAGAGTCATTTCTGCTCACAACCCTGTGCAGGTGGCATTATATCCTTACAGGTCCTCCACAGACACCGTATGAAAATGGCCAATACTGGGGGACATTGATATTCCCACCAGACTATCCCTTTGCTCCGCCTGCTATCCGCATGCACACCCCCAGCGGTCGATTCCAGCCCTCATCCCGACTTTGTCTCAGTATCAGCGATTTCCACCCCAAGTCGTTTAACCCCGCCTGGGAGGTGTCGACCATTCTGATAGGACTGATGTCCTTTATGAATAGCGAAGAAATGACGACGGGCAGTGTGAGCGCATCTGACGGGGAACGCAAACTGCTCGCAGCTCGTTCAAGATGGTGGAATTCGACCGGCGGGGGTTCTCATGTCAAGTCGGTTCCGGGCGTGACTTCCACTATCAAGGGCATTGCAAATATCAAAGCGGGCGATGGAGGCAAAAAGTTTCGAGCGGAGTGGGCGGAGTTGGACGAGGAGAACTGGACTTGGATGAAGGATAATCATATCGATATCGCGACCGGTCAGGTCCTCCCCGACCCCAACGCCGCTACTACAAGCTGCTCCCCCGAAACCAGCGCACTACGTCGCCGTCCGGTCGGGAGCGCTGCCGGTTTGGGCGCGGTCATGGAAGGGGGTCAGGTCGCGCGTGATGTTGGCCAGAGCTGGTTCCGTCGACACAAGGTGTGGGTTGGAGTGTTGATGGTTCTGGGATACGCTCTGTTGGCACGACTGTTCGATGACATTCGTGCCTAGAGTCGCTCACCCTTTCGCTTGACAGGACATTTATTCTTTTTCCACTTGCTGACCGGGCATCGCTGGGAACTGGAGCGGCAACATGCCGTCATTTCCACATGATTATATGCAGCAGGGCTCTCTTATGGGATAATTCATTGGTTTGGGAATGGGCGATGGGAATGGCTTTGAATTTCAGCGACTGGCACTTGAGAAATCTGGCGTTATGGCCTGCCTTGGCGGATTCGAGATGAACTGTTCTTAATATTTTCTTTTCTTTTCTTTTTTACTGCGCCGGAGCCAAGAGGGTTCGAGACGGCCGCTACATACATAGACCCTCAATCAGTGGGATGGCCCATGATATCGCAGAGATAGAACCCATTTAATCGAGTTCCAAATGTAGATTGCCTTCTGGCCCAACTAATATCGCGATTACGAGAATGCGACCGGCCTTTTGACTGGCTTGGCCACTGGTGAAGCGGCCGAGTCTCGAATATCCCAATTGGGCAAATGTTCGAAAAATAGTGCTGGGCGTCGAGCCCGCGTTAAGCGCTGGAGAACCTCTGCACCAGCGTCAATTCTCTTCCCTTCTGCCTGTCGCTTGGTGCTGTTCAGGCAAAGAGAAAAAGCAAAGTCTGTTGCTCGCTGCCAGCGAGTCAGCGCCATGCGATCTTCACTCCAGCCTCGCCATCTGCGAACGAAATCCCAACATTCGCATCGCCCGTTATTATTCATCCATCCTGCACCGTCGCGAGTCCCACCATCCATCTGCTGTTTAGTCCAACCCACACTCCTGGATCCGGCCTGTTCCCCAGCAGCCGCGTTGTTTCGCCTCCCATGCACTACTCCTCTTAGGGCTATCGCAGGCCTCTCTAGCCGTGCGCATCTCCCGCGCTGCACACCCCCAAGTTCCAACCGGCGAATTTTCCCACTCACCCCCAAAGGAGGCCGCATGGCCGGCTGCCAGTCAGTTGCCGTCCACCATCCGGCCTGAGAAACCGCAAGGAACGTATCGCTGCTGCATAACCTGGGCCTTGGCTGACCTGGGGTTTCCTCGCCTCCCCTCCATCTGGCCTGGGCTGAGATGGACCAGTCGAGCAAGGAAAGGAGTGGCTCTGCGGCGCCGCTGAACGCTCCCAGTCAAGCTCGCTGTAGGTGCAGTTTTGCATATTTGGCTGTGTTGCTTTCTTTGTTCCCTCGGCTAAAATCCTCGTGTTGAGCGCCGGTTTTGTGCCTGATCTTCTCCTCTAACCGTTTTCTGATCCCTGTTGTTATTACTGGTTACACACTCGCCTGCTTCTGACATGCATCTTGTGCCCTACAGCTGGCATCACTTGCTCCCTCCCCGGGAATAAATATGCTGTTCCAGCCTATTTGCCGCGACAGGGATCCATTGATTCTGTGGGGCTTCGATAACTTTATCAAAGCTTGCATCTATACATCTCGGGAACAAAAATTCAAGATATTAATTGATGTTCCTTTCCCACCACCATAGACTGTAATATCTGCGTTTCGACTAACCTGGAATTGTCTCTCCAACTGGTCTAGGCTCGAAAAAACCAATCCCTGCTCACGACCTACCGTCATTTACCTTCATCGACCATGATGATAACCTGGCTTCCAAGCGCATCAAAGATGCAAACGCCAGAAAGGCGATTCGATCCCATGTGATGCGCGATGTCCGCCGGCGAGAACGCCTTGCTGGCCTTAAACGGGTCTCAAAACGGGAAAAAAAGGGCCAGGCAAATGTTGGCGAACAGTCTACAGATTCCCGCACTGAGACGGCCAGCTCCCCTTCGAACTCTTCGCCTGATACTGGAATAACTATGGTATTGCCTACCAGGTCAAGGAGGCCACCTTCATGGAGATTAATAAATGCATCCCGATCCAACCACCTTCTAAGTCCCTTGTCGGAACCCGGCCTGTACCTCTTTGATCCCTTTTGGAATTTGCCAGGCTCAGAGGATCTCAGGCCTGCCATCAACAACATCCTGAAACACTGTAAGTAGTGCACAACCTTTTATTCTGCTTTCCCTCCTCTTTCTTCCAATGCTTGATTTTTGAATGCTTTTTTCAAACATTAGGATCCCTCGTCCTTGTTACTAGTGGAAGAATTCGAATTTCTGATATCATTGTTCTTTACACTCCAAACTATACCGAAATCCGATGGACTGCCTTGTTTGGCTGACGATCGGATGGGCTACGTTTCCATTTTTTTTCTTCTTGGTGAGAAGGAAGCTAGAGCTAGTGTTTCCCCCTTTCCATAGATTCTTCCACTTCACCACTTTCATTCTAAAGCGTTACAATCATGTCCTATTGTGGCTATCGCTTACTAGACAAAGTGACGTCGGTAATGATCCCCATGACATTTCCGCTCGAGGCCAAACACCCTCACGAAGTCAGTTACAGGGTGCGATCGTTAATTGCGGGCGGAGCCGACAACCCTGGCCCCTTTTTTGCGCACCTCAGCTTAGCGGCGGCTCATAGAGCTATCCTTCGACCGGAGGTAGTTGAGTATTCGAGCCTTGACAACCGAGTTGTTCCGGATTCCGACATGTATCTCATGAAGGCACAAGCTATAAGAGAAATGAATGCGAAAATGCAGAACCCTGAGACAGCTGCCGATGAATCTGCTTTTGAGATGTCACTTTTCCTTATCACTGCTGCCGTGAGTGCGCGCGCCTTTTAGTCGATTGAGCAGATTGCGCCTACTTCAACCTTTGGTGTCTCTACTACCGTTGAAGTTGCGTGTTGGCTAACTTGATGAGGGATATAGGTCACTGTTGGTTTTTTCACCGAAGCCCAGATACATTTTGACGGTCTAAAGAAAATGGTGGATTACAGAGGAGGAGTGACCGCGCCGAACCTTGAGGCAACCCCCACTCTGGCCGGTGTTTTAATGCGAGTAGCCTCCTGGGTCAACGTTCTATTGAAGTAGCGTCTAATGGGAGATTCTAGGTCTGATGTTAAAATTGCATGCGGGCTGATGCGCCGCCCGTTCTACCCAGTAACGTGGGAAACACAACCAACTCCTCGTCGGATGGCGGACCGCGTTTTCCCACCCTCAAGGTCTCCGCTGAGGATCGTAACATCTAAATTACGAAATTCCCCGTACCTAAGCGATACACTAAAGGTTGCGATTGACAAAACTCGTGAAATGATATTCTTCGAAAATTTTAACCGCGAAGATCGCGTTGGCCTTACAAGTGAAGAACTTGAACTCTTCCGTCTTCGTGTACATGAATTGGAGCATGAGCTCCTAGACTATCCATATCGGATATTCAGCAAGACCGGTACGGAATTCGATCTAAATATACCACCTGTCGAAAACGTCGCTCGACTCGCCACGTTGTGCTATATCGGCTATAACTGCGTGGTGGCTCCGCCAAACTCTGGCGTGGGAAGAGCCATAACAACTCACACTAAGCTGGCGCTTGAGAGATGTTCTCCAGATAAGCCGACTAGACTGGCCGATGACCTGCTTGACATGCTTGCCTGGGCCGCTTTTGTTGGTGTACAGCCTGAAGGTGTCCAGTTAGAACGGCCGTGGTTCTTGCATAGACTCAAACACATTTCAATGCTGCGAGGCTGGAAGGATTGGAACGAAGTTGAAGAAGTCATGCGCGGATACATCTATGTGCCGAGTTTTCATGCGCCTATTTGGAAGAGGATATGGAGGGACGCCATGTCCATGTGGATTGTGACGGAAGAGGATTGATTGTTAGCGGCTTGCCTTGTACATTGGGGTGGCGCACCTGGAGAATATTCATATACAGTGAGCGGTTTGTTAATATGGGCGACATTTGGACCGGTTTGGATGTGAATGATTTGGCTGGCATTGGGTAACTACGTAATTAATGAGGTTGTTCGGTTTCTCCTTATTTCGGGATAGGGCAGTGATATGGTCTCATACAAAAGACACAATATTATACTCTTCAAGGTCTTTATTCTATTCCATCCGTTCCTGTAAAAAATACATACATTATATCTTCTGGTATAGTTGCAGTTCACGGGGTTTGAATTCATATCGTCATATCACGTGAAATTCTCACTAATGAAAGATTATTTTTTTGTTGCAGCTCGAAAGCCTTTCAAGATCAATGTTACCTTACTCATTTGAAATACAGAGATTGATATTTTGTGCTAAATAGTCAGGATGGGATGGTTCTGGGCTTCACCTTCAACCGGGAATGCTCCCGTCGTGCAAAGCCAGATGCCTCCATCCCCTTCCAAGCCGGTAAGCTCCCTTGCTGCGCGTCCCACTCCAGTCCAGATCGCTGACAGTAAACTCCATTCAAAGTCCGCATGCCCAGTAATGCATAATACCCCAAAGCAAGAACAATCACCATCCTCATGTCCAGTTCGCGCCTCCGATTCCCCGTTCTACGTCCCTCCCCTCTCGCCGTCGAGCGCTTCCGCTCCGCCTCCTCCCGCTCCACCCGCCGAAGAGCAGAGATCAACACTATCAAAACTAAATCCTTTGAATTACATGTTCGCCAGCATTTCGCAGGCTCGCGCGCCGAACCAGACTGTCGACTTGCCCGTCGAGCGGGAACCTTCTTCTATCCCTCGCGCAGACGGCGCGGGGGGGAACTGGGAGTATCCGTCGCCGCAGCAGATGTATAATGCCATGTTGCGCAAGGGATATACGGATACGCCGCAAGACGCGGTGGAGTCGATGGTTGCGGTGCATAACTTTCTCAACGAGGGTGCGTGGCAGGAGATTGTGCAGTGGGAGAATATCTTCGCGCAAGGCTTGAAGAGTGGATGGGAGAAATGTCGACGGGGCTCGGAGAATTTGGAGATGGAGCTGGAGAAGGAGAGAATGATGGGTGCATCGAATCAGCAGCCGAGACTTGTGAGGTTTATGGGACGGCCGCAGGAGAGAACGCCAAAGGCGTCGATGTTGCAGCTGATGGGGTGGGTGTATCCGGCGAAATATGGGTAAGGGACCTCGCATAAAAATGGCTTGATTTTTGAGTGGCTTGGGCTTTGGCTAATTGTTTGTCGTTTTGAATTTGATAGTACGCCTCCGCCATTCGATCGTCATGACTGGTATGTCTTACGGGAAACCCCGTCCGGACCGAAAGAAGTTCGCTACGTGATCGATTTCTATTCCGGCCCGCCTGAACCAACCGGCGAGCCGGTATTTTATCTCGACATTAGGCCTGCAGTTGATACGCCTACTGCGGCCGCCGAGCGGCTGCTAAAATGGGGCGGCGATGTTTGGTGGCGAGCCAGCGGCGGCCCTGTGAGAGAATCACGTTAAAAACGACACCGGGGAATGTTATGTTGATCATTGCTCTGAGTGCGGTTTGTCCGACCACAGGGAGGTCCATGGGGCGCACGAAGAAGAACATAACATCTCTGAGCTTCTCATCTGATTTTCACATTGTTTAAATATTTTCAGGCTATGAGGGTGCTGTTGCTTTTTCTGTTTGGGAGCATGCTATCAGGTTTGTCTAAATCTTGCTACAAGTTTCTCCTGGTTCCAGTCAAAAGCTGGCTTGTATAATGACTCTCTGAACTTGTTGCAAAAGCTTCGACTATTTTACTGGATTTGGGTGCATGGCAATGGCGGGATGGTCTGGTTCTCCTCTCTTTACTTCTTTTCTTGTTTGTATGAGTATAGGGCTGTTAGCTGAAGTAGTTCATATAATTACATCCCAGGGTACATCTGGCAACATGCGCTTGATGGTCACATGGGGCGAATGTCATCACATGGACAGTTTATCTTTAAATAGGGATCTGGGAGAGCTAAAATGATCAACAAGGCTGACGAAGCTGATCCTGCAGCTCATGTGCATAGATTCTCTCAGTGCCGGGACCTTTCACTGTTACTTCTAGCCGTATGATTGTCAATGAAGCTCTGACAAGACTTCCACATCTACAATATTGATGTCATGGTAAGCTTATAACACTGCCTTGATAAAAGCATATTGTTAGGTGGGCATCCCAGTGCATAATTACCTTGTTGTTGTTCTCCTCTTTTCAAAGAAGTGAGAGACGAGTCAGGCTACAGTTTGCTATGACGACTTTGATATGTCAATAGTACCTGAGAACCTCGAGGAGAGCAACCACACACTTCCTTGCAAGTTAGAACACTTACCGTGGTTTCTGGCCCGGTCAATAATCTACCGACATTATTTGGGATCTTCGCGCCGGATCTAGGAAAGGAGAAACACGGAGCTCCAGCAGCTTATAGCGAATAACGTCCACCAATGTCGACGTCTACTCCACAGCCAGAAGAGCGCGCAGCAAGGGAGTCTCGCGTCTGCTATATCCCGGAACAAATCGACAAAGCCGCCTTCACAAGCCCACCCACGGCGAGAAATACTCCCCTGTCCTTGACGTTCCGAGATGTATGGACCTTGATCTCGGTGCTTCCTCTCCTCCCAAACGTGTTTCGGCCAGTATCATCACGGCGGAGTAGCGATGAGCTGAGTCTCAAAGGCCTCAATCCGATCAACCTGGTCATTCTGGCGGTCGTGACGTGTCTCGAGCTCCTGATTTTTACGATATTGGGCCTATCGTACATCGTACTGCCTGGACTGCTCAGTGTACCTGTTTCTGGATTACTGCAGGGCCTGGTATGGATACTGTGTGCTCCGCTTCGGGGAAAAAGTCCATTGTATTCGAGCCTGGAAGACGGCGGTATCCGGCATCCCACGACACGGAAGAATGAACGGTGGATATTCGTCAACGGGATCTTGCTATCGTAGGTCACCGTCCTCCCTAGTGCGTGTCTCCTTTGATTCCGTTCTAACAGCACACAGAAGCTACGGACTTAAGCAAAACTGTGATTGCCTTGCTCAGATTTTCGGCAGGCCAATTATTGGCATCCATAATCCCACATATGGACTCATCGGCGACTTGCTTGAATGCATCATTCAACGATCACTTTCGTTCAACAACTACAGCATCCGTTTTACATATGACTATGTGAAAAAGTTGCTGGTGGATCCAAAAATCGACAAAATCGTCCTGATTGGGCATTCTCAAGGAGGGATTATCGTATCCATGGTGCTGGATTTGCTGTTTACGGACCTTCCTGCGGAAAATATGGCAAAGCTGGAGGTATATACGTTCGGGTCGGCAGCATCCTACTTCAACAATCCTCTCCGGGCAATTGACCCCCGCTCCAGTGCGCCTCGTACCGGAGTTATCCCATACATCGAGCATTATGTCAACGGTGAAGACCTAGTTCCTCGATGGGGCATTTTGTACAATGTTCGTACAATCTTGGAGAACAAGTTTGCAGGGAAGATATTCATTCGCACAAACATCACAGGGCACATGTTAAATCAGCACTACCTCGACTGCATGTTTCCTGTTCCGGGGGATCAGCAGGAAGGCGAGCAGCCCGGATTCCTAGACCAAGTCGTTGAAGTTGATGAAACCACGCCACATGCTCGAAATCGGCTAATTCACAAAGTGTTGAACGTTCCTGCAAAGGCATCTTCCACAGAAGATGGACGGTGTTTGTCAATCAGCGAGGATATGTCCGGTAGCCCCATAGCAAGCCTGAGAACGGTTCGGGAGCTGAGCAGATTGTGGAGGTACATGGGAGGAAATGATCCCGACAGTCTCCCATAAATTAGTTAATGTATGCTCGGCAAGGCTAATAGCCATTTTTAACGGGAATGATATTCAAGTCGTATCAGCCTTTGTTCATGGTACCCGATACTAGGTAAGCCATATTCGGAGAAATATTGAGCCGATTCCACCAATGAGATGCGTGTATTCTTCCTTAATTAGTTAGGTTTTCGAAGTAGAAGATGTCCATGAGCTTGACGATGCTTCCGCTCAAGAGAATACAGCTCTCGATATGCACCGTCTGCTAAAGGTGCTCTTTGAACAAGGGGAGATTCCGAGCTGGGAACTCTAGGCTTATGGGGTGTAAACGAGATGCGGATTGCTTCAGTGAGTTCGTCCATAATATCACCCCCAAAGTTAGTGCCCGTCTAATTAACATCCATAAATTCAGCGCCCTTTCTACCGCTCTAGCCCAAGATGTCCGCCATCATGCCATTCCATACGTCTAACCTGTGTAACAGAGCCAGTTACGCGCTCCTTGCACGCCCACACTCTCAGGCAACCGATTGGGTTGGGGTCAAGGGCCGACCTTCCGCTACAAGTGCATTGGATTGGGAGACGCTTCGCGAGCTGGAGATATACTACGAAGCCTGAAGGTGCTGTTAGTGATGCAGATACCGTCCCTAAGCTTCGTCGATCCGGCTCTCACGATTCACAAAGCTCTGCATCCGCGGATAGGCTACCTACGGATGAGCGTGATGCGCCCAATGACGAACCAATGCTAGACGTCGATGATTATCCTGCATTGGCCGAGACTAGAGCCGATCCGTTTCGCATCCAGCAGTTATTAGAATCAGTCGTCAACGCCGAATTCCACACTGAATTTAGTGCACGAACATCTGACCGGGTCAGCTGTTTGCTTACATGCTCTATCCAACTTCTGCGCACGGTAATTGCCGTTTCCGAAGTTGGAGTTTCAGAAGTAAGTTGTGATTGGCATATCACTCCAAGCTTTCTCAACCGTTAGGGCTGACCGGTCTCAAAAGAGGGATGCAAAACGAGCGGCGCTGCTTGCGCTTCGGCAAGAGCTTCACAGGCGCAACCTACTTAAGGCTATGTTCGACCATAAAGCTAGGCTGACAGACCTGGAGGAAATCTATGATTATGCTGCCCAATTTATGTGTATCCCACTATTTCGAATTCGCGTAATTGACGGGGCTCAGAGGTTCGAAGTCACTATCGAGTTAAAGGAGCAGTCTCTCAGTGCTACCGCCGCCGATGACTCGTTGAGCGGAGCAGCAAGGCGGGCAATTCATGATTTCAACAAGAAAAGAGCAATTTTCGTTGCCATAAATGATTGGGCAAAACCTAATAACAACGTGACTACTTTGTGTGATTTCAAGGATTTCCTTGCATTCTACGAGTCTCTCAGCCCCCAGCGCAATGCTATGCGTGTCAAGGTGAATTCCTCCGCGATAGGAGAAAACACATCGGCTTACACGGCTTCTGTATACTTACATAACGAGCGGTTTGCAGGTCCGGTCATCGGTTTCCAGGAAGAACAAGCGCGCAACCTTGCGCTACTCACTGCAGGGGTAAAACTCTCTCAACAGGATCCAGATGCTTGGACAAGATATACAGGCACAAGGGACAAATCGCCACCAACTCCGCTATCTACTCCTCCAAACATTATCAAGGATCTACAGGGCTTGAGGTTACGCTTACAGACTGCCCTCTCCAACCTAGAGTACTGGTCGAGAAATAAACCAGATCCACCGAGAGAGATGCTGGCTCAACAGGGGTCGTCGAACATACCGCATCTAGGTTCCAATGGCGTGCCAGTTCCTCGCCCTGACCACCTTGCAAATTTAAAGGGCATGGATTGCAGCTCTAGCTCACACGATTTGCCTGTCTATCGCCACCTCGAAACTATTGTCCGGATGGTTGCTGAAAACCCCATTAGCATTATCACAGGCGCTTCAGGAAGCGGGAAATCAACTCAAATTCCCCAAATCCTCTTTGACCACGCCATTCGAGACGGTTCCGGAACAAAGTGTAATATTTTCGTCGTCCAAGACGGGATAGCAAATGTTAGAGCAACTGCGCAGCGAGTCGCCACGGACCGTGCTCAACCACTTGGAAGTATAGTTGGGTATAGTGACACAGTTGACCCCAAGCTCCCAGTCCTGTCAGGGAGTATCACATACCATACCAGCGAAGTGCTTCTAGATCTACTCGTTGCCGAGTCGCAGGACCTCTTCGAGACCGTTTCTCATGTGATTGTTGATGATCTTGAACAGCGAAGTATTTCAACGGACTTGCTCCTCGCATATCTGAAAAATAAATTAGCAGAGCGACAAGCCGAAGGGAAGTTGGTTCCAAAGGTCATCTTGATGGGCACGAACATCAATGTTGAGCTTTTTGCGAATTATTTTCGGGCTCTATCTCCGGGTGGTAGCCCTGCTCCTTGTCCATGTCTCCATATCTCAATTGATTCTCACCTGGTGCAAAAGTATTACTTGAACGACATACTTGAGCAGTTACGTTCGAGCTACGATACATCTGAGCTATATCGTTTATTGTCGGAGCCTCAAACCTCTCAATTCCTGTCCGACGAAAGCTCTCAATTCAAATTGTATTCGCCGCCAGATTCCCGGATGACCATATCTGGACCGCGTCCCCATACCAAACAATGGGCCTCGTCAGTTTCGGGTAAATCGGCTCCGCCGTTTCCCCTCGGTTTAGTCGTGGCAACCGTCAACCACATTCGAGAGACAAGCAATGATGGGAAGATCTTAGTCCTACTTCCATCTTCGAATGAGGTTGAACGTTTGAAAAAGTTACTTGATGATTCACCCCTCAAAAACGAAGCGAACAAACATCACTGGAGGGTCTTGACAAATCCTTTCACGGGCAGCCGAACTCCTTTATCATTTATGGCGTATTCTCCAACCCGGAGAATTATTCTTTCAGCCAGCTTAGAAGGAAGTTTTGCTATTCCAGATGTTCGCTTTATAGTAGACACTGGTCTCTACCCAGTAAAACTATATGATCCATTGAAACCAAGCACCTCGCAAATCAATTGTTGGATTGATAAAGCGTCGTTGCAGAACCGAGTAGAGCAAACTGGACGCCACGAATCCGGAAAATATTATGCGCTATTTACTAAAGAGAGAGAAGAAACGTTTGACCCTTATTCAACTCCAGCTATCCGCCGGCTCGATTTAGAGCGTGCTTGCCTTGATGCGAAAACTATTTTCCCGTCTGGCGGGTTGATTACCGATATCCTATCCCAAGTATTAGAACCACCCGCCCCGGATTGCATTCAACGATCGATCCGTAAACTTCAGGTTACAAATATCCTGGACGACGAGGAAACATTAACTCCATTAGGACGGATCATCACGTCGATTCCCCTCTCGCCCAGTGCAGGCAAGTTAATTGTTCTAGGGATCATATTTCGCTGCCTTGAGCCTGCCCTCATACTTGCTGCGACTATTGACCTGGCCGATGAATTCGGAACGATTTTCAATTTCCAAAATCCTCGAACGCGACGGGTTTCGGAACCTTACAAAGATTTCATTAAAGACAGCTTAAGCGACCACATTGGGGTCATCAATGCATTCAAAGACATCAGCGAGTCATGGGCAAAATTCGGCGCAGATGTGGCTCGTGACATGTGCCGAACAAAACATATTAGACACCGAATGTTTCTGCGAGTATGGGAATCGGTCCTTCGGCTAGAAAATATGCTCTTGGACGCTGGTATCATCCCTAAGCCTACTCGAGGCACCGAAATGGGTGGTACCGCATTGAACATAAATTCTGCTGAACAAGCTCTCATAAAAGCCCTCTTAACACGTGCCTTATTCCCAAATGTGGCAGTTAAAAGGGACTGTCCAGACGATTTATGGAGGACGGCAACATTGGAAGAAGTCCGACGTCGCCCACAAATGGCCCTTTCAAAACACCTAGAGAGCGGCTCCGTTGCGGTGTTCTCAGCCTTGTTCTCGGCTCAGACTGGCGCCGTCTACCTTGAGAACGCGACATTCATTCCGCCTTTGTTGGCGTGTTTGTTTACGGAAAATTTGATACAAAAGAATAATTTATTGCACATCGAATCATGGGCGCAGTACAAATTGCCCATGAAACACCCGGTTCATGTGGATGGCACGCCAACCTCGAATTTCCACAAGTGCAAATCTGCTCTGGACAAGGTTTGTCTTTCGCTTTTGCTTTGACTGGCCATGGAATAAGTGACTAATTGTTCACATTTTAGTTGATCGACCTAGCTGTGCAAGACCTTGCCACGTACAAGCTTAAGAGGACCGCCTGGTATCCTTCGTCGCAGATTCGACATCGTACCGAATCTAGACGAGGACGCAAGCTCACCTATTTGTCTCCGTATATCCGGACAGGTGTTGCGAAGGAGTTAGCCGAATACTTGGGTAGATTGTCCACCCCTAGTCCGCTGATGAGAAAGGGCCCGATAAAAGATTCTTCCTTCATTAGATGGACTCCATCAGAGAGTAATTCACGGCAGAAAACCAGCAGCCCGGCAGGAACCCCGTGAACCAACGAAGCACACATCGTTCGAGCTACATTAGATATTACATCGAGCTGTTTACTTGAGATTCCCCTTTTAAGGATCTCATCCGTGAACTCGTTACCCTGTCCAGCGCACCCACAAGGCCCCTATTAGAGCTTGACCACATAATTATGTGACAGTCATGAATAGATCGTTTGCAAATCAAATACATAGAATCAACCGCAATTCAACTATTATGAATGCTGAGAATCCAGGATGCTTTCAACCTCCATATAGTTCCCCTGAGAAGAACATAAATTGGACCTCAGCTTAAATCGCAAAAAGGATTTTCCGCGCCAAGTCAAGCTAACTAGAAGCGGTCTAGTGCCAGATGCACTCGAGCTCAACCTGGGATTCCTGACGCAATCCCGAGAAAGAATCTCGTCGCAGCATCGACCGCATCCCATAAGCATGTTACAGAGCGGAATCCATGCCGGCCGCTTCTGCATACGTCGCCAATGTTGTCGAAGCTTGCCTAGGCTCCCGCTAGGACACAGATACTTCTATCCTCGCTTATCGGCCCCGCGCCATTTCTCTCACTCTTCCTTACCCAACCCTCGGTGGAACTGGCGACACCGATGGAAACGAATTTGGAGTCGCTCTCCAGCAGTTGGAGCAGTCGTATTTGCTGCGCTGACGCCGGTTGCTTTCCTTGAGCTCGCGGAGAATGGCAATGGCGACGATGACACGACCAGTGAGCTCGAGATGCTCACAGCATCCCGTGACGAAATGCGAAAATCTGTACCCGAGGACGCGAATATAATAGTGAAGGGCTTCTGGCGAATTTACATATTCTTGGATGAATACGTCTTTGAGGTTGCTGCAACGGGATTGCGATTCTTGCATCTAGTAGCTATATTTGTGCCGGTGATTGCAGCAGTCCCTGTCATATGGTTTGGACGGCGGATAAAGGATCAAGACGGTGAGAGGTCCGGAACACTGTGGTGGTATGAGTTCCTGGTGTCGTCAATGGAACGTGCAGGACCTGCGTTTATCAAGGTGTGAGAACCCTGCTAAACTCTTACGTCCCATTTTCGAAGTTGTATTGATTGGTTTTGCATGTGCTAATATATTTCGATGGCCAACAGTTGGGCCAATGGGCAGCGTCAAGATCCGATATATTTCCGCCAGAATTGTGTGCGTTGATGTCATCGCTTCATTCAAACGCGCCCGCGCATTCGTTCCGTGTCACGAAACGAACGATCCGAAAAGCTTTCAACGGACTTCCGTTTGAGGATATATTTGAGGAATTTGACAAAGAACCATTAGGCGTGGGTGCCATTGCGCAGGTTTACAAAGCCAAGCTTCGACCCGACCTTGTGGCAATAAATGAGAGGAATTTAGACGGCCAACCCATAAAATTTCGCCAAAAGGTTCGCAAGAACGTTGATGTTTTAGTTAAGAGCACGCCACAGCGGGTTCCCTCCTCGTATGTTGCCGTTAAAGTGCTCCACCCTCGAGTCGACAGAATCGTTCGACGGGATTTACAAATCATGATGTTTTTCGCACGCGTGATCGATGCTATCCCAACAATGGGATGGTTATCACTTCCTGATGAAGTCCAGAAATTTGGCGAGATGATGAAACTGCAGCTAGACTTGCGGATTGAAGCGACGAACTTGTCTATATTCCGTGATCGCTTCAAGTCCAGAACCACCGCCTGGTTCCCCTATCCTTATTCAGAATATACGACGAGAGAGGTACTTGTTGAGGAGTTTGCACAAGGAATACCTCTAACGACATTCCTCAAAAATGGCGGAGGCGCCTATGAACGGGAAATCTCACGTGAAGGCCTTGATGCCTTCCTGCACATGCTTCTCATCGACAACTTCGTTCATGCCGACCTTCACCCAGGAAATATTATGGTCCGCTTCTACAAACCCGGGCAGCTGGACTTGTCCATAGGAGGGCGTCACTTTACGTCACATAGTAAAAATGCAACTCATGATCCACCTGAGGATGTTCTTTCGAGGCTTGCGGCCCATCAAACGAACCCCGATGCCTGGAACCGGGAACTTGCGAAAATAGACGCCGAAGGCTACAGGCCGCAGATAATATTTATCGATACAGGTTTGGTTACCGAGCTTAACAACACCAATCGGCGCAATTTTCTTGATCTATTCCGTGCTATCGCCGAGTTTGATGGTTATAGAGCGGGTCATCTCATGGTTGAACGCTCAAGGCAGCCAGATACGGTTATCGATGCGGAAATCTTTGCATTGAAAATGCAACATCTAGTTCTTGGTATCAAAGGTCGAACATTTGCGTTGGGCAATGTCAAAATTGGAGATGTATTGAGCCAAGTTTTATATCTGGTTCGTGCACACCATGTGCGACTTGAAGGAGATTTTGTCAATGTTGTCATTTCCATCTTGCTATTAGAAGGCATTGGTAGGAGTTTGGATCCGGATCTTGACTTATTCAAGAGGTGTGTTACAATCTCTACGACTCCGCCTCCTTTTGTGTCTTGTCTTGGCTGACATTCCTTTCCTTGAACAGTGCCCTCCCTATCCTTCGCCAGCTCGGCTCTGGTACAACCCTTCTCAAATCTGTTCGCGAAGGCGACACCTCCATGCTGCGTGTCTGGATGGGACTCGAAGCGCGCAGCTTCGTCCAGGCTAGCGTCAGCAGCGTTGAGTGGTGCGTGAAGTACGACCAGCTTTCTCCAAACATATAATTGAGGAATCATCTCTCGCGTGGCACGACACGTTCAGTTTCAGGCTGCACGGCGCTTACATTCCCCTAATTCAGTCTTCGAGTACATCTTTCTAATTGGGGTTGGGTGGTCATTAAGCCTAACCGACACTGGAGTTCATGTTAGACCATATTTGCATATATTTGTGATTCTTGGATCCTGGTTTTCATTCATGTTATATACATAGAGAAGGGTGGTTTGTCAGGGACAGATTTGGTGCATGTGAGGTTTTTTGTTTTAGTAGGTCCCTCTGTGACCTACCTGAGTCAACCTGAGTTTTTGGCGCAGTGAAGGTGCCTTGTGATTGCCATGCATTCTGCAAGCCAAAGCAAAGCAAGGGCATGATCATCTGAAGCCAACATGGCGTTTGCATGATCAGCAACTGTCCTACCCCAGGTGCGCGACAAAGGGTCTAAGCCACCAGGAAAGGGATGGTAATGCCCGCAATCACTGAATACCAGAGCACAACGCTTGCTTTGGTCCAACCGGCATAGGAATGGGCAGTTTTAACTATCCCATAATTGCGCTGTTTGATGTGTTACAATGCGCACATCGCACCCTGAGCTAGTTCAACCACGTTCAAGAATAAGCTTACTTCTCCAGAGTATGACTACCCTGTGCAGAACGGGGCCCTTGTTGAAAGGGTCTTCAGGGTCCGGGCTCATCCCAACCCTAATACTAGTCAATTTAAATCCCTTACCAGTTTTTGGGGACTCAGGGCTAGTGAAGAGATACGGTTTTTATCTCTCGAAGCTTAAGCTGGCAATGTGCTGGGCATATATCCAAGGCACTCCTTTCCGTTTGGATCTTCCCTAAGTTAGTCGACTACATAAATGCATGGCCAAATTGACAGATTCAGTGCAACTTGTTTTCGGCCGGATTACCATTAGCCAAGTACGTCTCAGCTAGACAGAACCGTGGAGATAACCGTCCTCACTGAAAACCCTCGCATGAAAGCCAACTGCATCCTCCGATTCCAGAGCGTGATGGGGTCTCTGGCCTGGGCTGAGCCGAGCTTGTAGAAAGAAACTCGCCGTCTGCAGGGCAAATTACCTTTCGGCAATCGAAGATCCTTTCCGCAGCGGCGGGGCCGATCTCTCGTGTCATCAACCAAACCGGTCCGGTCTAACAACGGAACGAGATAGCTCGCGCTTGGCTCTCCCGCGCCGGCGAATGGAGACCATGGCAGAAGCTCTGGATTCAACATTGTTATGTGCGTCGGAATCCAAATTAACGGCAGGAATCGGCGCACTTTACTGGCTGCAGGTGGCGGGAGTGTCACGACAAGCAGCGGACTTTGAGCTCAGACACTCTTTTTTCTAGCATCAAGACCGCCACGATTTTCACAAATCCGCCATCTAACCTCAACAAAAGGGTCTCCAGCTAGGAGTTAAGGATTTCTTGTCGCACGAAGGGATTTGGCCTTCAAGTTCTGGTATCTCCCAAGAGGGAGATCATCCGCTTTGGCTGGCTAAACACTGCACAGACGAATAATGTTGAGTGAAGCAGGAGAATGCTCTGCAGCCCAAGAGAAAAGCGCAGGCGAACGTGTCAATGGCTTCGCCGGCAATTATTTTCGCCCCCAAAGGCTTGATCGAAAGACAGATTGTCGTCTGGTCCTTATCGGTCGAGGATATAAATTGGTAGATCCCCCGAGTCTGGACTTCTGAGATAAAATCACCGGCTTCAAAAGCTCGAGAAAAATTTTCCCTTCACAAGTCACTGATCGAAAACGCTCCCTGTGCAACAAGCATACTCAAAATGGAACGAAAAGCGTTTTCATCCCTACGCTCCTGTCCTGCTGCCTTACCTAAAGACCCTCTGCTTGTTGGTGACGACCTTTACGCGGGTCCTGAACCCCTTCACCCTCCAACTCGTACGTCTCCTCACGTTTTAATCATTGGTGGAGGTGTGACCGGCCTTACGACGGCATGGCTGTTGTTGGACCGCGGTTTCCGTGTGACAATTGTTTCAAAGGAATGGGCATCATACGGTTCTGCACAGCGTCTCACGTCCCAGATCGCAGGAGCTCTTTGGGAGCTGCCTCCTGCAGGTTGCGGCCCGCAAGCCGTGCAGGAAAAGCTCGAAATCGTCCAGAAATGGGCGATGGAGAGCCTAAAGGTTTATTGCAGAATGGCAGAAAATGAAGAGTTGGCAGCCGCATACGGGGTAAAGGTGACAATGTGCACGTCATTCCACACGAACAAAATCGTTGACGATGTGGTCAAGTCGAAAAAGATGGAACTCGTTCTAGACAGCAAGTTGGAAGGATTCCATTGGGGCATGGAATTATTAGACAAATACGGAGCAAATGTGAATTCCCATGGTGGTTTGAAAGACGCATATGAACACCTGGCTCCCATTATTGATACCGACGTTGCAATGTCGTTTTTGATGAGACTCGTCAAAAGCAAAGGAGCACAGTTACATACCGATACCATTCACGGCGATCTACTCGACCAGGAGCTGCATCTCTTGCGAATGTACCGTGCAGATGCGATTGTTAACGCAACCGGAGTCATGGCCTCAGAAACAGCTTCCGATCGCACGGTTTATCACCTCCGAGGTGCAGTGTTGCGGGTCATTAATGATGGAACGGATTTTCCACGAATCACCAACGCTATGCTCGTGTCCACAGAGAGCAGGGCGGACGGAAATTTCAGAGACATGGCGTTCATCGTACCTAGGAACAACGACATCCTGATTTTAGGCTCCATCACGCAGCCCAACCAGTGGCGCTTCGACTTGACTCCTGAATCCCCTGACATTAAAGATATGCGGAAGCGATGCGAGGACTTGCTGCCTGTGTTGAAAAATGCACGCTTGGATCCGAAATATCCTTTGGCCCAGGGAGCTCGGCCGTACCGGATGAGAAACGTGCGCGTGGAACGTGAAGCGAGAAAAGGATGTAATGGGCGGCCCAGCCGCACCATTCATGCCTACGGACATGGTGGAGCGGGATGGTCTCTTGCATTTGGCTCCGCAAGGCAAGTTGGACGGTTGGTGGAAGACGTTTTAAGGCATTCGCGACCGGCTCAAAATGAGTTTGTAGCCAGATTGTGATTCATTAACTTACCGGTGAATGGGAAACGTAACTTGTCTATATTTTATTTATTATGGCTCGGTAGTTCAAATTGGTTCGCTCCGTCAAACATAGGGTCTCAATTACCTTTCATAGCAATCTGCTGATATTCTTTATCAAGTACCTCCTTGTAAAAACCAGACTCACATTTATAACACACAGTGTTCATTTACCTACTCTCCAGGACGATAAGTATAGATTGTGACGCAAATATATCACTAGATATATACCCTGACAGACGTACAAAAGGATGCGATAGCCTTTAGGTTCAATGTAGTCTCAAAGAGGACGCCAAACGATCGTTTTCGAGTTCAGATCGAGCGCTCCCTGAAACACCCTGTAAGCACCATTAATAACAGATTGAATGGAATGGGTGAATAGCTCAGCGATCCTATCCTTTTCATTCCCTGTTGATGCATGGGAATTTCTGGTCTGACAGGGTTGGTTTCGTGATAGGAGATTGTTTGAGTTTGATTCGAGTCTCCTTTCTTCCCCTAGACCAGTATTTGAATTCATTTGTCCAGATGAGAAAGTACAGGTGTAGATGATCCCGCCTAGCTGTGTCAGAATTGCAATGAAGAGTATAGATGGTGTGAGGTTGAGGTTAAGGGACTGCAGTGCCGAAGAATGAGAAGGGCGTGGAAATATGTTGCACTACCCGTGGCTCCTAGCAGCTTTCAGTCGATTATCTTCTGTACACCGCGTCCTCTCTATGCACACGTCCACATCAAACTTCAATCAGGGGTTAATGGTTTACACACTGGTGCTACTAGATGTCGTTGCTCTTGATAGCATGAAGTTTCTTGTGGGGAGTCTGGGGACAAATAGCGGCATTGCAATGCCGGGGCGAACCTCTACGATGGTGTCATCCCCGACCTGTTTGACGGCACGAACTCCGGTCTTGGAGTCCATGAAGCCATCCGAGCCTCAAAATACGTGATTTGGAGTAATAGTATGGATTTTAGGGAACAGGAAAAGTATGAAATCGGTTTGAGATGCACTACTTGAATTCTGATATATCGCCGAAGACGGTGCAAATATAAAAGTCCGGTCTCAACTTCTCTCTTGTATATATATGTCTTCCGCGTCAGCCAGCGAATTGACTTGATTTCAAAGAGATACCAAAAAAGATATTCCATCTAGAGGATTTTCCACTTATCCAAAACGAAGCAATCCACAAAAAATGGCAACGCTCATCCAGCAAAACCTCCAATCCAAAAATGCCGAGTTCGCTTCGAAATTCGACAAGGGGCACCTTGCTCTCCCCCCGGCTAAAAGTTACCTCGTCGGTAAGTAGACCGCATCTCTTCACAGTAAAACTTATGAACAGAGACGCCTAACATCGTGGCCTAGTGACGTGCATGGACGCTCGGATCGACCCAGCAGCAGCATTTGGTATCGACCTCGGCGACGCCCACGTAATCCGCAACGCAGGCGCCAACGCCCGCGATTCACTCCGCTCAATCGTCATTTCGCAACAGTTGCTAGGGACAAAGGAGATTCTCCTCGTCAAGCATACCGGATGTGGAATGCTGACCTTCAGGAACGAGGATGCTCGTGCACTTGCGGAGAAGAATCTCGGCTCCCACATTAAATCGGAGGTTGAGGCGTTGGATTTTCAGCCTTTCCCGGAGCTGGAGGAGGCCGTGAGAAAGGATGTGCAGTGGTTGAAGGAACAGGCGTTGGTGATTCCCGGTATCCCAATTTCCGGGTGGGTGTATGAGGTCGAGACGGGGAAAGCCCGACAAATAGTTTGACTTTGCACTCGAAGAGCTTTTTTGGGTCCGCGATCGAGCCACTTCGTGCTAGTGGCACTTAAGCTTGATAGTTTCGGTGATATTGGTGTACCCAATTTGGAAATTTGCAGGCTTTTGATTCTCCAACTGGGCATATCCCGATTTGGGCTCTTAGATATGTACACCATTGAGCCGAGGAGTCTCCAAAGTCTTGAAGCCGCCTTCATCCCTGTCCTCGCCTTTCTGGGGCCACAAGATGTGTCGCAATTTGATCGCTCGAGTCATCATAAATATAACGAAAAAGTAGGTGATAAAAAGGCAGACCGTCAGCACGCAACCAATAATATTGATTGCGCGGCTTGAGAATACGTCTCCAACTGCAAACGTCGCAGTTGCAAAGGCGGTATTAGGGAAAACAAACGAGAACCAGGCCATGGAGAAAATCATCGTCGAACGGCCAACGGTTGACGTATGCGCAAAAACGGAAATAAAGAAGAAAAAAATAGCCAGACTAAGTAAGCGTTAATGGAGAGCTGGGCCGATTAGATTGTGAGAGACATACCCCCAAATCCAGAGAGACGCAAAATAAGCTGTAACGGACATAATCTTTGCAGTGAGAGCCCCATCACCTAGAAAGCCGGTTGGGACGGCTCGGTGAGCAGCTTTGCCCATGCCAATAAGCCCTGCAGCGGTAAATCCACTCGGGCCAACAGACACGAACATCCCGGGTCTCAGATTCTCTTTCGGCAATTTTTGAGTCATCAATCGATAGATAAACGCGGAATACACCATCATCGACACTAGGAAACCAATGCCTTGAATGGTGACGCCTCCGATAATGATGCGCCACGCATTAGGCTGAGGTAGCTTTGCACTTAGGGCACTCGCATAGGGGCCGGTAATCAGCATGGGATAAGCTGGAAATATCCAGATTGGCGTCATCTGGGCGATGGTAAACGATTGTGTTGACCACCTAGACCTAGGTTAGCAATGTCCGCGGCCAAAAGCATGGGAGATTCCGCAGCATACAAGACGAGATATATTCCAGCAGATGAGGTAACCGCCAATGCAATATAAAACCAAAACAGTACGATGACCGCATGGTTGAGCCATTCCCCTGCATGCGGGGGCCCATATTGTGAGATATTGATGAGGATGGTCCCAAGAGACACTATGGTCGCCGGGACAAACAGAGACTCCGTCGGATGCAGAAATGATGCCTTGAACGTGTGCGGAAAGAAGTAGAACCGTAGTAGTAACAACGACCATATAATCACATATAGCGACATGTTTGCAAGGAAGACTAGAACACCAATGGTATTCAGTCCGGGGAAGCGGTAGGGAACTATGAGTAGCCTAAGTTCTTTATATCCTCTACACGGAGTGACGATGGGGAGACATACCCTCGTAAAGGACATTCGCCAAACCCCCGGTGGCCATGGTCATGGTAAAATACGCCCAAGTAAAGTGCTTGATCCGTTGTTTCCAGGGCAGCCTGGCTGAGAGGATACGCTGATCTCCCGGCCCCAAGCTGTCATCGGCCGGGAGGGATGCAATTTCTCCACTCCTCGTGGCCTGGTGGTCTCCATTAACTTGGGAAACATAGCTTCTTCGACGATATCTTGACATCACGGTGGGCACCGGGGAAAGCTCAGTATTGAACACATCTGGTGGCAGCGCATGAGAGGCGACAGAGTCGCTTTCTACATCTTCAATAGTTGGCGTCCGGTAACCCTCATCGCCGGGCTTGCGGAGGTGCCTTGGGAACCGGGATGGGCTGTGCATTTTCCGCCGCAGAGGGGATGAGTTAGTTACCGAGATCTCGGCATCCCGAACCACACTGATCGCCTGCGCTGACAGGGACGGGCAAGCAGCCTGGATGATTAGGGTAAAGAGGATGTATAGTTATTGAATATTCGTGAAAATGCCGAAAAGATCCTAGACTTTCCCTTTTAAACTTGATGGATCCTGATGTGGCGAACCAAGAAAGCCGGCGGGGATCAACGGGTACTCGATGCTTAGCACAGATTTCAGAGTCTTGAATTTACATCATCGCGCCTTGTCTCCGGGAGAAACATCTGCCAGCAAGGATACATTCTGCACGCCGGTTGAAGATTGGTATCATCACCAAGCTGCTGACAAAGCATTTCGTCTGAAATCTGGGGAAGCGACTTGAAGGACGATACAGAATATATTGCAGACTCCGCGAATTGATTGATTTCATTCCGTTTATATCTCCTCTTGCTTGCCCTTATGCAATGGTGCAGCACTAATGGACAATCGCAAATCCGTTCTCATAACAGGGTGAGCCTCGAAAAGCCTGGGCCGCGATTTGATCCCATTGCTAACCATTTTTATGACTTAGATGCTCGCCAGGCGGTATAGGCCACTCCTTGGCTCTCGAGTTCCAGCGGCACGGTCTTCGCGTCTTTGCGACGGCTAGAACTAGAAATACTCTCACCGACCTCAAGGCGCGAGGAGTCGAGACGTTGGATTTGGAGGTCGACAAGGAACAAAGCGTGCTAAGCTGCCGAGACGAAATAGCATCTCTTCTGGAAGGGAAGGGGCTGGATTATCTGGTTAATAATGCGTCAGTACAGAGCCTCTTCGCTGTCACCAAATGCTGTTCGGCCAACGCGGACTAACCCTTACCTTGATGACGACGGCACAGTGGTTCAAGTATGCGGTCGTTCGCCTATGTCTAGGGACTATTATTAAATCTATGCCCAGACTACACCGTACCCGCGCTCGACGTGGATCTCAATGAAGCGAGACAGGTTTTCGAAACCAATTTCTTCGGTGTGATAATGATGTGCCAGGCCTTTGCGCCCCTTCTCATCGAAGCCCAGGGCACAATTGTTCAAATCGGCTCGCTAGCAGGAGTATGGCTCGTTCAACCTTTGTTCTCGGACCCAGGGACCTAAACTGACCCATCTTTCCGCAGATATTACCTTATGTCTTCGGCTCCGTGTACAATGCCTCCAAGGCCGCGCTGCACTCTTTCAGCGACACACTTCGAGCAGAACTTGCACCGTTTGGGTTCGTTCACACACTACCCCTCCCACCTCTATAGCACCCTTTCGCGCTCTGCGGCTGACATCTAAACTCGCGCTCAGCGTCCATGTAACGACTATCATCACCGGTGGCGTGCAATCCCGGATCGCCCGCGTAGATCGCGCCCTTTCTCCAACCTCCCTATATCAACCTATCCGCGACGACTACGCCCGTCGCGTTACCCACAGCCAACATGGCGCCGTGCCCAATGAGGTGTATGCGAAAACGGTAGTCACACAGATTCTCTACGGCTCAGCGCCGTGGAGGTGGATATGGCCTTGGAGCAGAGGCCCCGGGCGGAAAAAGTGGATCTGGGCAGGGAATAAAGCGAACCTGATATGGTTTCTGAGTGCGGGATGGGCTTGGATAGGTTTGTTCCAGTGGGCGTTAAGTCGGATGTTTAATCTGGGGAAGTTAAAGAGGGTCTTCTCAGAGGAGAGGAAAAAGGCGAAAAAACTATGAATAATTATGGGGAAAGCAAGGTGAAAAGAGTACATTCCGCTGATGACGGTACCATGTATACTAATAAATTAGCAAATCTGCTTCGCAGTTACTGGTTGTAGGGCCAAGATAGGTTGTAATGGATAGTCTGCCAAAATTCTACATTGGTGAGTAAGGGAAAAGCTATACAACGCATAGGAAAGATGACGAAAGCGGCAGGACCTAAAATACATCAGGGCGAATGGAACCAATTCTATGCGATTTGACGGCGGAGATGAAGGGAAAAAACATGTCAACAAACATTCCAAAAAATCCTCCCTGCAGCTGCTACTTAGTTCGTGAAGCATTCTCCATTTGATTGCGAATGCCGGAATGAGGATATCTCGACGAATCGAGATAGTCCGCTGTTACCGACAAATTGGCTCTTCTTCGTCTGCCAGGACATCAAGGAAAAGTTAGCAGGGAGAAAAACACTTTTGGCATTATGTCGGTTTGTCGGGTGTGCATAAACGAGTCGCGGAAGAGAGAGAGGAAAGGAGTGACAAAATAAGTCGAACGCTTAAATACCGAGCGTGAATTCGACGCCGACATCAATGTCACGAGCCATCTTCACGACCTTTGAGAACTGAACAGACTTCTCAGCTGCATTTTGAAGGTCCTCAATAGAGAAAATTTTCAGTCCGGAATCGTTGATCTGAAAGAAAGGTTAGCAATCTCATGCAAGCGCCCCATGGTTGGTAAATCAGGAGGAACATACTAGTTGATGGGCCTTCTCCATGTTGGTTCCCTGCAAACGGGCAACGATCGGGGTTCGAAGGTTCATGTCACGAACAACGTTGATCAACCCCTGGGCAATGGCGTCACATCGAACGATGCCTCCAAAGATGTTTACAAAGATAGCAGTAACTTTAGGGTCACTGGTAATAAGTTCGAAAGCGGATTTGATTGCGGATGGGGTAGCACCACCTCCAACGTCAAGGAAGTTTGCAGGGTTGCCTCCGTTCAGCTTGATAATGTCCATGGTGGCCATAGCCAACCCAGCTCCGTTGACTACACAACATCAGTATGTGACCTTTGAACGGGAATGAATTCATCTTACCCAAACAGCCAATGTCACCATCCAATTTAATGAAATTCAAGCCGTACTCCGCGGCCTTGACTTCATCAGGATCCTCCTGAGTCGTGTCTCTCCAAGAGAAAACGTCCTTTTGTCTAAATTCAGCATTGTCGTCGAAGCCGAGTTTTGCATCCATTGCGAGCACTCGGTAATCAGTCGTCTCGGCAAGGGGGTTGATCTCAATCTGCGTTGCATCCCTCTCCATGAAAACTTGGTACAGTTTCTGGATCGTATCCTTAGCTTCCTCAATGCATTGTTCTGAAAATCCCAAGCCAGTGGCGATTTTTCGAGCGATTTCATCCGTTACTCCCACGTTGATATCGATCTTCGTGGTTGTGATCGCATCTGGGCTTTCTTTCGCAACCGCTTCAATATCCATACCGCCTTGGGAAGATGAAACGATAACGGGGCTCTGAGACGCGCGGTCCATGAGCACGGCAAGGTAGAATTCTCGTCGGGCATATTTGCGCTCGCAAATGTAAACCGCGTTACAAAGGCGTCCGCGAGCCCCGGTTTGTTTGGTGATAAGTTTATGTCCGATCATTTGACCCGCAAACATTCGGGCTTCAGTTGGTCTAGTTTCCTGTCAGCGTGGGGTTCTGTGCAATAATCACTAAGAGCAGACTCACGAGTATAAAATTCGAACGCCTCCCTTCAAGCCATTGTCGAAAGTTCCTTTGCCTCGGCCACCCGCCAACACTTGGGCCTTGATGACCACATCCTCCCCGCCTAGCACATAGTATTAGGATGGATCGCTGTGGAGTCGGTGAGGGACATACCAAGCTTCTTTGCGACGGCTTCGGCTTCATCCGCAGTGCGTGCAACCTCTCCTTTGGGGACACCGATTCCGTACTGCGAAGTTGTTAGGTCAACCGGACGCTACACTAAATGAGCGCAGGTTTACGAACGGATTTCAACAGGTTAGCGGAAAGGTATTCATGGATAGAGAGGTTTCGTTTTTGGCATTGAAGGGCGCTTCTGAGAGGCGTATCCTATAGGCAATCCGTATTAGAATCGAGACGGTGGCGAAGCTCTCGCAGTAGAAGTGTGTTTGGGATCGTGTCAACAGTGTCCTTACCACCACAGGCCTCAAAGCAGCAGCAATTGATCTGCTGCGGGCGAGCTTAAACATCTTGGTAAAACACAAGTCCAATCCAACGCAGAAAGAAAAAAACGACAGGAGATGGAGCAGTTGACGAGAAGACGATGGAGTGACGGCGTGGAGTGCTTTTTCCCGCGACAACGTCCTGATTACCCAATCGAGCGAAACCGTCGGGACCCCAGCCCGGTCTTGGCAAAGCGATGGCGCTAAGCCGCCCTGGGACTAGCGACGCAAAAGCATTAGTCCGGCGCCCCAGCGAAAGTTGAATATCGCTGGGCCAGCGCTGCGAAGTTCGGCAATATACGTTTACGACGAGGACTTCTCCGGCATGGCCACTTCGACTTCGGAGGCTGAGGTTATTTCAATCGCGCCAGTGTAGCACTGGCCCGCAGCCCGGAGGCTCATTGCTTCCCGCTTCCTCCAAAGACCCCAGAAGAACCTGCGCACGAGAAAACGGACGCGGAACTGCAACAGGAAGAAGATGAAATATTTACTGCTGTGCCTGAAAAGTACGTCCATGATTGCAATAAGCAGAATACATACAGCAGCTAATACACCGTGTTCAACAGACTTGGGCTAGGAGCCCCAATGCCAAACAGTCAAGCCGACGGGAGCTGGAATCGCTCAGAACTAAGTTCCAACGACAAGTTAAGAAAGCAACTCCTAGGGAAAAATGCCAAAGCAGCCATGCCGTCGAAAAAAGCCAGCGTGCAATATCAACAGTCAAAACAAAAACATCGCAAACCCATAGCAACTGGCGGTTCCGACACGGAAACAGAGGAGGAAAGCCGGTCATCTCTAGGCGTACGGAACAGAGGCAAAACGTCGCGGTTAAAGAACGCCACCGAGCCTGAGCGTTCTGAAACTGATAAAAAGCAAGGAGCGCAGAAGCGAAATGGCGCCAAAAGACCCAACAGTTACTTGGACGAGCTTCTTTCAGCGCGGGCAAAAAAGAGGAAAGCGAAAACGGTTCAGGACTGAAACGCTCTCCGGACATTGTTCATTTTCCCCTTGGTTTGAGGAATGTGTTGAGCAGCTGCGGATAGTCCCTGGGTCTTGACGCCGGTGTTGTTTCTCGTCGGGCTTCTGGGATCACTGTTTTCAAGGGTTCCGTGCTATGGTTTTCCTCGCTGCTTTGCGCTGGGGTGAATTCGCCCAATATGCGCTGGCGCTTATTACTTCCTATTCCTTTCACAGAAAGCCCTTTGATAAGCCCTTCCGCCGATTCTTGCATGACTTGAATAACATCATGCAAGAACATCGGATTTGTGAATTCTTCCCTTGTGCCGTCGATATCCCCTAGCGCGTATACCGCCGCTGCCAAAAGCCGCAGTTTAGATCCTGGTTCCGTGGATTGGTATATCTTGTTTGCCATGTGCGCAGAGATCTTTGCTCCTCCTCCTGATGCCGATCTTAACACCTTATCAGCCACTTTGCTCACCAGCGCGTCGGCTCCAAACCTCTCGCCCAGTAAATAAAGGCTTATGAGCTGTTCAAATTGCGTTTGTTCCTGTCCAGTCTCATCCATTGGTAGCTTGTCATGGTACAGCCAGGTCGCGAAAGCGTAAAATAAGTCAGGATTGATGTCCTTGAGTTCGATGGTTCCGGCTGGCGAAGATTCAAGACGTGTTTTGAAAAACCTCGACTCCTTGATCAAAATGTTCGCGTGAATTAAGAACTCTTCACTTTTGGCACCAACGCGAATCTGGACGACTGACCGAAACGGTCGCCTATACAATATTAGGAACAGATGGAAACCTTCAAGACGCGTTTCGGAAAAGGGAGTTTTGGCCTCGAGGGTCACCTACATATCCAGTCTGGTCGTTGGAGTCTCCATGAATGAACTGACTGCCAGAATCTCCGCTTTTGTTTGACGATGGGATGGTGTGACGAGAGCAGAATCTTTCCTTGTCGCGTTTTCTTTTGGCAGTGAACTGCGTTTGCGCCTCACAATCAAGGGCTGGTCATCATCTTCATCCTCATTGGGACTCAAAACAAATTTATAGTACTCCTCCACATTGAGATTGGCCGCCGACCTTGGCCTAAGCTGTCTCCGGCCTTCTGACGACATCGTTCTCGAGGTGGTTGTTTTGACTACCCTATAAAATGTCAAAACACTGTAAAATCTTCAAGTCCTTTGAGGTGGAAGCTAGCCCTGGTTTTGAAGGTGTTGCACATGCACTAATGATCAACAGATCAATTGAAGAGATGTAAATCAATAGGGTGATTCTTTGTTTGTCAGAGAAGATGACTGGTGTTTTTTCTAGATATGCTTTCATCTGCTATATAATGAAGAACACTTCAGTCAGTTGTATGAACATTGCTAGAACAGATTCTGTGATATCTGCCTCAACAGATAATCAAGCTGCACTAATTTCATGTGCTGGCTCCCCCATCTGGCGCCATAGGTAGGAACACATCCATTGAGTAGGACTGAGCAGACACTGCTCTTGTTGGGCAACACTACTCTCCATCCTAGGAGTTCTGGGTCTGGGCTTTTTGAACCAATCTATAAGCTTGAACTCAAGCTAATTTTGTATTCCAGACATATGACAGCTGTGTGCTTCAGAAACATATCTTACACGCCAAGGCAACTTGAGGGTATACATCATTAGCCCTTCCCTGATAGTTACAACCCCATTGATAGACAGGAAGGATCCTGCAACCATGAGTTCATGGGGTAGCAATAAAACTAAAGAAGAATCTCAATTGCATGTTGCAACAGTAAGATCAAGAAGCAAGCTGCTTCATCAAGGTCCTGTGGGGATGCAAAAAGGAAAACGCGAATGTGTCATTTCCAAGTCAGCCTGTCAAGATTTGCCTATGTTGTGTCCAAATCCTATCTAGCTAACTACAAATCCCACTGTTAATAGGCTGCAGTCAGAATCTATTTCATGCACAGACTTAACAGCATAGATGTAGATGTAGATGCTTGTTGGCAGTAGAAATAGGAAAACAAAAGGCCAAAAAAGATGTTTTAGATGCTGATCACACTCACTTATTAGAGAACTCTGACCATGGAGCTGAAATAATTGAAAACACAGATTGTGGGCAACTGCCTCAGAATACTTTGATGGATATATGCCACAGCGAAAAAATAAAAAGGCAACTGTGCCTCAAAGACTGGAAATGAAAAGGAAATGAAATGCTATGGTTACATCAAAAAAAGGGTTATTGAGACCAAGAAAAACACCAATTTTGATGACACGGCTCAATGAATATGAGAAAAGTAAAAAAAAAAACACAAAGGGAACTGGTGTTTCATAATAGCCTGTTTGAAAAAACAGAAAAGTCACAGTTAATCAAAAGAAATTCAAAGCATCCCAAGTCTTTCCACAGATGCGATGAAAATCATTTGTGGTTTAGTAAACACAAAAGCACAGCATCAGATGTGATAAAAGCAGAATCAAGATTTTCAAAACAATCATGTGAATCCCATACCAGCCAACAGGCGATGGAATATGAGTCACAACATCAATTTATCTGGTAGTGACACTGGTCGCAAAGAATATGCGCATTGTCAGATCATAATTCATAGGCAAAATTGATTGGCGTACGTGCAACTGCTTGTTACCTCGCGTTGATGGCAAAGGACTGGGCTCGCCAATGCTCAATAAGAGTATTGCAGTGTATACTGTAAGCAAAACTAAATCATTGCAGCCGTTGACGTTTGCGATCTTCAATCGCCGCCGCTTCCTCTTCCTCGGCCCGTTCCCGAGTTTCTGCTGGGTTGAGAAGGGAATGAACATTACTAGCCATACTTGATCGTCTAGTCGCAGGAAGGGATTCAGTAGGGCGCAAAAACTTAGAACCCCCGCTTGGCCATCCACTCTCTGGAGGTTGCGCCGGATCCAGCGACAA